TAGTGGTGAAATCCTGTGTGAGGAGACTCTAGTTCTAAAAGATAATTATAATTATTAATAAAGTTAGTATAGTGGATCTGAGCATGCTCAGTGTGATAGATAATCACTGTAAGGTCACACGGTCCTTTAATAGAAATTTAACTAATCTTTTTAGAGGACTTCCAGTGGTTATCTTAATAGGTAATTTTTTCTAATTTCCACCTATTCGCGGTCTAGCACTGTGGAAGGAACCATAAAAGAATAATAAAAAAAACAAGAATAGTCAGCTAATTTAGTGCTATTTTTAAAATATGATTATTTTAGATAAATAGATAAGACAGGCATAAGATACTTTCTTCCAAGACCTGCTATCCTAAATAAGAATAGAGATATTAACAGGTAATAATCTATTCTTATTTAACTTAAAAGCTATTATCTCTTTTATTATACCTTAACTGAATAATATAACTGCTATAGTGAAATTAAACTTACTTTAGTATTAGATTAACTATATTTAAATAGAGTACTTTATATAAATCTAATACTAAATAATCTATATCTTCCTAGCTATCTATAAGTGAACCAAGTCTACCGGTCCAGTTTATTTAAGACTCTATATTAATGATCTACTCTAGTAGCTAGATTAAGGTACTAAAATCTCTTTTCCCAGGCTCTTTTTATATACTATTAATATATCTACTATAATACTTACTAACAGCTGCACTGCGCTGGGACTAGTTAATAGAGCAGTAAAAACTGCTGTCAGTATTATAGTAGATCTAACTGGTAAGTTTATCTTTTTATAAAAAAGCTGACTATATCTAACTTAATATATTACTAGCTAAATTCTTTAAAATTAATAATCTCTATATACTTTATACTAAACTGCCTACTTGTATTCTATTCTAACAGAATAAATTAAAAGTCTCTAGCTTTAAAAAATTAGAACTGTCTATTATACCGGTATTTCTATTAGAGAGATCTATTTCCTTGAAAGACTACTTAGTATAAAGAAAATAAGTTATAATATATCTGGTATTCTGTCTTATAGACTATAAAGTCTAAGGCTTAACACTTGAAACTGTAATCCTTAATCTTAAAGATAATTTAACCAGATAAGATTAAGATAGCTATAGAAAGTATTACTTAATATATATCTAGCTATCTAGACTTCAATCCTTGAAAAGACTCTATCTATTATAGTAGATTAATATAAAAGATATCAGCTTTAAACTAGATCTATAACTATAGACTAAAATAAAATAGCTTTAAGATCTTAAAAAAGAAATTATTACAGTATAGTATCTAGATTCTTAGATCAGTAACTCTATTTTAATCTAAAAGTTTAACTCTTTCTATATTAATTCTAGGCTTAAAGAATCTTCTAACTAAATAATATTAAATATTCTTACTAAAATATCACTCTTAATATATATAACTCTCTAGAGTATACTTATTTAATATACTCTATATTCTATAGAGTATTAATCTTGAAGATCTTCTCTTTATATCTAATTCTCAGTATTAAAAGAAATAGAAAAACTATAAAATCTATAAAATAAACTGCTCTCTACCTGTATTCTTTATTCTAACCTATAATTCTGATCTTATAATAATGAAATAGAATATATCCTTACTTAAAACTGATTTATTTATATAATACAGGTAAAGTATAGCTATATTACAGGCAGGGTATACTATACTATTATTAGACTGAATTACTATTTAATACTGTATCTCCTTATCTCTATTTAAAGTTCTTACTTCTATATTTCCTGGATTTCCTAAGTACTTTTATATAGTAATCTTCTTTAGCTTTTTATAGATTTCCTTCTTGAAAAACTGTTAAATATAATTTCTGAGAATATCTCTAAATATAAACTTCTCTTCTATACTCTATATTCAAGACTTTATTAACTATATTAAACTGAATCTAATCCAGTCTAGTAAGGGTCTTGCTCTATAGCTATATATTTTACTTAATATCCCTAAAAAAAATATATTTTCAGATAATATTAAATAAAAAGATATCCTAATCCTAGTTTAATTCTTCAGTAAACTAAACCAGTCTAAGTATTATTTATTTAATATATTTATTTATATCTGGAACTCTTTTTTAATAGCTACTATATAAGATCAAGACTTTTATATTCTTCTATATACTTATACAGTAGACCAGTAAAAAGCTTCTTAAACTTAAATAATATCTCTTCTTAAGTAATCCAGTTATTCAGGAAACTATAAAAATATAGATTCATACTTTATATACTATCTAGAAACAGTTTAACCAACTGTAATACTTCTTGCTATAGTAAGTAAGCATAAAGAATAGCTAAATAATAGCTTAAAATTCCTATACTACTATCTCTAATTAACAGTTTATAATAGTTCTAGCCAGATCTAGCATATATTTCTAGTCACTGCCTATTTTAAGAATAGCCAGCGCTGGATTAACTTCCTATTACTAACTTCTAATACTCAAGTATTTATTACTGGATATATCTTTAGAGTAACTAAAGAAAACCTATAACTTATAATAGTAATAGATAATATATACTTTCTACTAATACTGGCCTAATCTTTACTATTAACTTCATCTTCTGTAACAGGCAAGTAAAAATAACCAGACCGGTAGATATAGTAAGTTACTACTGCAACTCTATTAAAGTCTATTAGTCTACATAATATAAATCTGATTCTATTTTATTATGATAACTCTTCTCTTTCTACTCAAGAATATTATAAAGAAATTGATCTTATAGAGCTGGACAATAATAAGAACACTTAAATTATATTAACTGAGATAGCAGTTAAATCTAAATTATTTCTTTAGTTAAGCTTACCTATATCTAAGCACTGTTCTCAGAGACTATAAAAAACTTCTTATACTAATATACTTGCTATATTAAAAAGATTATTATAACTAGTAACTGTCCAGTATTTTTAGCTACTTATATTTCTGTTTCCAGTGTAGTGAGTTTATCACTTGTTTCTTTTACTTATTATATAATTCTGATATATTTAATATATATATACTGAGCTATATTTACTATATTAAGATAAAGATTATATTATCTAGCCAGTTAAGTAAAATATAGTAAATCTGTTATTTTATTTCTACTGTTACTTTACTTCTCAGTATTTCTATTCCAGTTATCTTATATAGCCTTTCTTATATTTTCTAATCTTTATCTTATTATCTATCAATACCTATCTTGTCTACTATCCACTTTTATCTTAGAGTTCACTACTTACTGCTGTACAGTTCTTCTTATAAGTATCTCTCTGTATAACATATTCTAAGTACTTTATTTACTAATTTAGCTGATTCTTTAGCGCTCCTAATGGCCAGTATCACTCCTTATATTTCTGTCTCTGGCTGTCTTGTCAGCAGTAAGTATAACCAGTTATTTATTATCTTGGTTTATATTTAACTCCTTCCTTGGCCTTTTAGGCCATGTTAAAAGCCTTATCAATAGTATTGATAATAATCTTGATCTAGCCTGTATATAACTTTAAACTATAAAGAACGCTCTATACCTTGAGAGTCCTCTTCAGAATAATCCTGGTACCTGCCTCTCTCCTACTAAGAAGCACTCAGTCCTTTATACTGGCTATAATAATCTTGATAGTCTTATCTACTCCCTTGAAAGCGCCCTCGAGAACGTTAAGGCCGCCATGAATCTTATAAATAAGGATTAAGTATTATACTGGTCTTTTAGGGAAAATAGCTAGCAATATAACTTCCTGCTCTTAAGACCTTCACAATTGCTTATCCCTTAACTAAATATAGAAGTATATTTGTCTTTTTAAAATACTGCTCTCCAGAAGCTTGTCTATCTCTTCTTTTTAGTTATCTAATACAAATACTCATTCTTCTCCCTTCTTTCTACTTTACAGAACCAATCGATTGTACCTTGTATGACTGGGCCACCTTTTCTTGTGCAGTCCTCATCTGTCAATAAATTTAAACTGCAAACTCGGATGCGACTCTTTGCTTCTACTAATGTCTTTATCGTTTCAGGGCTTACGGCGTGCGGTAGCGCGCGTCACCAGTGACTTATGCTGTGCCGGCCAAAGCAGTAGCACAACACTAGCACGTGCGACATCACTCGTAATGCGACGTGGGTCCAAATGTATCGGATATGAGTAGTGTTGAAACTACCACACGGACTCTTTTTGCTACCGCCTCTTGCATATTACAGTAAGCGCACATCCTGCAGGACTATCGGTTGAGATCCATGTCTAATAAGGCGTCCAACGTAGTGGGTAATCGAGCTGGTCAATACACTGCAACAGTGTATAATCTGGAGCCAATGCGTATTGGGAGTTGGGGTTAGTCTGCTACCCCCTTGCATGCTTTCGACGACCAAGTTTTACCTTATATGAAGCGTGTATCTGACGTCTCAACTCTAAAGTAGTATACGAAGCATTCTTTACTTGGGGAATCCTCGATATGACAACCTAGTAATATGCGAATCCCCTGTTGTGTAAGAAAATAGGGTTTAATACGTTAAGCATCCTTTGGTATTCCTGATTCGACTCTCGCAATGGGTTGACTGGAAAATGGATTCTGAATCTACATGTAATATATGCTGTTTATATAACCACACAACCTCAGTGCACTTGGCAGAAGTTGAAACCAATGGGGAGTCTCATGAGGGAAGCTCACTGCTCCGACATGGGTGGGGTGTAGTATCTGACAAGAGAAAAACGTGGGGTGGAGCAGCATCCATAATCCTCGTATCTGCCGACGCAAATACAATCCTAGTTCAGATTTAGTAAGGCATCGATTTCCCTGTATTATGCCCGATGCTTGTCTGGACCTATCACAATGAAGTATGAGACGAAGGATTCAGTCTAGATTGAGCCGCGTAGTGAATCAGTGTCACATCTGAGACATGCCCCGGCATGAGCCCACCCAGCCCTGACGAAGCAGCGATCGGATGACGCTGTCACTTACAAAAATAGATAGTCAAGCCACCTTGCAATGGGGTGCCTAAGCCTTAAACAGTTTCATTGCAAATAGCACGAAGAACGTAAGTCTTTACCTCGGTAATACAACTTACCGCGTCTCTGGATATAAATACATCGTTCGGGTCCGTTCATCGACCAGCAAAAAAATTTGATCAGACTTCTCCAATACAAATCAATTTCATCTGCGCTTTTGCTATTACCCTGACGCTTGATATTTACCACAATGAGGCTTCTCACAGTCTCTATCCTTGCCATCACTCTGAGCACTGGGGCCCTGGCTCAAGGTTGGCATGGGTGTGCTGCAGGGTTCTCTGTAAGTGCTACTTCCACAGACCTTTGGTTGATATATAGCCAGAGATCCTACATCTGGAAATGGCAATTGCTTATCTCATTACTCAGTGCAATACCAAGGAGGAATGTCGTAACCAGGAAGATTGCAAGACGACAGCCGGTGGCGTAAGGAGCAATCAGCCCAGCACATTAGCTGCTATTTTCACGAGGCATAAGCTAACCGGGTCCAAGGATCTTGAAAATATCTATTGCGGACAGGCGAACCATCCTTATGCCTGCTGGGCGGTGAATAGCATTTATATCAAGTAGAGACGAGAATAGGCATACTGACGATCTTATAGTACTACCCTACTGCTAACTGATTGTGGGGTGACATGCGGTCCTGCTATGAAGGTGTGGGAAAACCGAGTATCAGAGCAAGAGAAAAGCAAGAAAGGGAAATGGGAATGTCTCTTGTAGACTCTGAAATTTGCTGTCTTTGTTGACAGTTCTGTCTCTTGCTACGACCAAATTGAGCGATATGATGTATACGTCTATTTAGTATGATGAATCACGTGCTGTTCTAAGATCCCTGTTTCATTGCATACCTGTACAGCTTTCTTGAGCTCTACCATTCCCAGAGTTCAATAAAGACCCCGAAGCACATATGTGCGCGATCGAAAGCGAACTTGTACGATTGGAAGGATTTTGGGCCATTTTAGACTAAAATGGAGAACATACCCTTTTGATGATGAGGACTTCCTACCTAACAGCCTTCTTCAATGTGTGTTCCAATACGCCACGAGTGCTGTTATGGAAAGGCTTCAGTAGATGGGGATAAAACCTGCGTGGATATTGTGCTTTTATTATGTGTAATGAGGGATAGTTAGGCTTCTCGTTTCACAAAGAATGTGGGCAATATCCTGGAGATATCCTTTGCTGAGATCAGATATAATTATATCTTGATCGGAGGTTCAGTAACGATTGACTGGCCTGATACATGACGTTAAATGTGCAGACAAGCAGTATACGAGTGGATGAGTTGAAGTCGATGGGGATATGTGAGCGATTCGAGGTATACACGCATTATAATGGAACGGAATAGAATATGTGGTCCAAAAACTGATAAGAATTTCTAGCAACGTAGCCTTTGCATCACTGTAGCATTAGTAGTACATTTTGGGCCATTCATAAGATTTGGATATAAGTTGCGTCTCTGATTACCGGGGTAAAGGCCTTACGCATCTGAGATGAGGGTTGCACACGGTTGTAACACAACTACAATAAGCAATATGCACCATTCAAGTAACAAGGACTTACTCTAGCTTTAGGAGACTAGCTCTCTACATAGTCAGTTATGACTGAGTTCTCGAGCTGAGTATCTTGGAGCAAGCAGAACCCTGCGCCACCTCGGGATTTTATAAAGCTAGGTGTCTCTCCAAATAGGTCAAATGGTTACATGTTGTACCACGATAAATAACCAGAATAAGCCTTTAGGACCTATCAAGGTGAGCTGTTATCGGGACATGCCTCATTTGTTGCTCGTGTGTCTCATTATCGGAGACATTTGTGATTGGTCTGATTTCCCCGGGTCTGGGGAGCTTCATGCGTAGTCATGTACTATGGAGGCATATTGCGGTCTTTTGTTCTGTCACTATTCTATCATCAAAGATATAAGCATGTGCATTAAGGTAAAATTCACGCTGTGAGAATGGAGCCCTTGGAGTTCAACGATAGGAAACTGTTTTTTTTCTTCTCTACTCCTCCTTTATCAAATTTATTGGAGGCTCATTAATACACCCTACACACCGATAATAAGAAAGACACCGTCTTGCCAGAATGGGCTTGTCTCCGTAATCGCTACCCCCGCTTCGCATTTCTAGGAGGAGTATCACATATCACCCTTACCCTTATCATGTTGTAAGCCACAGTGGTTGATATGGGGATAGGATTGACATTGATTTGTACAATTATCTTGTGCAATTCATCTGCATCTAACTAGTGCATAGCTTCTACTCTCAGGAAATCAAATCCAGTACATGCCTTTCCTTGGGTGCTTCTCTTAGCATTGCATTTTCGTTTAGTAAAGTACCTTAGCATAATTTTGAATACTATAGCATTTATCTCGTAGAGTGGTGTTAGTTGAACGACACCTGAGAGACGACGGGTTTCATCGTATGCAAAGAATAGCCTAACTTTGGTCATGCTTATTGTGGAGCTATAGCGCACCATACCTGATAACTAGCCTCCTAGACCTTTGGACGCTCTAGTCCCTCTACTAACTATGAGCATAGTATGGTAAACTCGTGTAGCGTGTATGGCACCGAGATTAAAGATTCTCCGGATTCTCATAGGGCTAAACTGTATGAAGAGTGCATTGATCTGATAAATGAGGGTACTGCCGCCAGCGCTTTGTCCGGCACGATGCCACCAATGACAGTTTATGTTTAATTCGTCTCATGACCGGGAAAAAAAAAAGACATTAATTTGACACATGATTTGAGCCAAAGAACGCGCGGCTTACTGACCTTACATCTTTCAGGTGTGTATCATGTCTTGGAAACTGTAACCCGTCCTTGCTCTCTGAGGGTTTCATTTAGCGCACGGTGAGTTCTACAGTTGACAACTGGTTTTTCTCTCATTCTAAACTTCGCAAACTAAGGACTGGTATAATTATTGATTGTTTTGGTTATACTTGATACTATATACATTTTTCAAAGTTCCAAAATGCCGTCGGCTGTGAAACAATTGCTAGTGACGTCCACTCGGAGGGCAAACTGAACCAACAGAGATCCATGAAACGTTCGGCAAGTTTTGGTCTTGGTGATCCTTCAAGAATGTGACCCTTGCAGCTCGTTTCATAAAATATGCCGATCATTTAACGGGGCGCCGAACTTAAACCATCCCTTGTGGGTAGGGCGGAAGAAGCTGGAACACTCTCTAGAGAAGCCTTTCTATCTATATACAATCAAATTCGGTACGGTTGGGCTAAGCTTCATATAAATCGATTGATCCACCTTGTATCGATTCACCGTTAAAATATCCTTTTCATTCCACTGAATAACAGCATAATCACCTGAGCCAGGAAGACGCGGATCCCATATATGCAAGCATAAGGTTCATATTGAGAAAATAGATGCGTGTATGATATCATGCCGGTGTGATGCAAGGTCCAAACAAAGGTCATAACCATAGCTGAGTGGAAGTCCTAGTCCTATATAGCTAACATCCGTCTAGATGTTAATATGGAGAAGAATTATACACAACCTGCTGGGAGTCCAAGTGATCCCTGTGTAGTCGTTTGTGTATCTACGTGCTCCTCGTAGTTTCTATCAACTTTTGCCTGCCTTCCCGAATTTTCTACCAGTTTCCCGTGCTTCAACTTATTTTTATATTCTATAACTCCATGGTCTTTATTCCGACACTCTGGACCAACGGCCCCTTCTATCAGCGGACGCCCGAATCAATCTTTCAGCTGGAGAACCGGACGAAATGACCCTGAATAAGGCAGAGAACAAAGAAATGATGCCCTCTGACCATGGATATGGCTTACTCGACCAATATCTACGTCAGCATGGGCTTCAATTAACCCCGGATGGCTGCTTTGTCCGATGGTTGCCCACAAACCCAATGCACCCTCGGAATTGGTCTTTCACAAGAAAGACATACGACCTGACAATCATTAATCTAGTAGACCTTTTTGTGTAGGTGACCCTGTCTCTGTTGTGATATGGGTAATATTGACACGTTACTGGATCTCCAGCACAGCCTGCAGCACAGCTGGTGTAAGTGCATGAGATAGCCATGGGTCATGCAAACAATGGGCTAATCCTGGTCTATTAGGCAATGACTGCAAGGGCTGCACACAGGGAATATGGAATAGACGAAACACTGGCAGTGTTCATCTTTGTGTCGGTGTGCGTTGTACACACTTGGCTGCTCTGAAGTTCAACGGTCTAACAACCATCAGGTCATTGTTAGGGCAACTGGTGGGGTCTATCACGTTTGCACCTTACTCCGAAGCATTCGGACGCCGGAAGCTGTACATTGTCAGTAGCCTTCTGTTTAGTGTTGGATGTATAGTCATCGCGTCTGTTCGATCATTGGCAGCCGTCGTGATCGGACGCTGTGCTACAGGGTTTCTTTCCTCCATTCCGGCCAACGTCCTGGCAGGTAGTATCGAAGACATGCATCGCAGCCGACAACGAACATGGTGGTTGTGTATTTGGTCGGCCGCGTCGAACTTAGGTCTTGTTCTTGGGCCGATTACGGGCGCATATATCTCGGCAAACCTGGGCTGGTACGATTAACCCCATTCAGCTTGACACGAAATGAACACTCATGTGGTGTCTTTAGGAGATGGTTCTTTTACATCGCAGCGGCTTTCATCGGGTTCTTGACTATTCTGCTCCTTTTCATTCGGGAATCGCGGCCTTCGCCACTTCTAGTCCGTCAGGTCGAAGAGTTCCGGAATACCACTGGGATGGCAACACCTCCTCCACTGAATCCCGATTATACACCGGATCTTTCCACGTTCATACGAACCACCTTAGTCCGACCCGTTCAGTTAATCGCAGAGCCTATTGTGATGTGCGTTGGAGTGATGACATCTACTGCCTTCGGCTTGGTATACCTCTTCACCGAAGCGCTCCAGCCGATTTATCAAGCTCTCGGGTTCCAGGAATCGTCATCATCGCTTGCGTTCGTGGGCTTAGGTATAGGTATGATGCTAAGCCTCTTAACTCGATTCGCAGATGAAAGAATAATCCAGAACCATCTTCGCGATGGTCGGCAGCTTCTACCAGAACACAAACTCCTGGGCATGTACGTCGGGACGCCACTATTGGCCATCGGTCTATGGTGGTTTGCTTGGACGATTCCCCCACACTTTAGTAACGTATATTGGATTGTGCCAACCATACCTCTCCTGCTTATCGGGTACGCACTGAATGAGTTCCCAACCGTGCTATTGGGCTACCTGGCGGACAGCTATGTGAGTTACGCTGCAAGCGGCTTCGCAGCAGTCGCGTCACTGCGTGCAATTCTCTCAGCCACTTTTCCTCTCTTTGCGCCGCGAATGTTCTCAGGACTGGGAAACAACATTGCTGTGTCCGTACTAGCCGCAGTAGCTACGGTTTTCTGCGCGATTCCACCTCTGTTCGGACGCTATGGCACAAGGATCCGCGCGAATAGTAAATTTGCCGGGTATAGTCTGCGGACTCATGAGGAAAACTGCGTCGACAAAGATGAGTTTCTGCCAGCCAGTCCGGAAATGTCGGGCTGAGTCGACATTTAGTGGGTCTTTCCTATACGCAGATACTATAGGCATGTGACTATCTTTTGTCTATTATCATCTTTCTTCATTTTTCAGTACATCCACTCTTTCTAGACACCTTATGGATTGCAAGCTAACTATCATGATATTTGCATAGACAGCGAACTCGCTAAATACATTTTATTGAGATGCCAAAACTTCTTCCGTAATGCCACCTAGCCTATATAACCAGCGCTGAAGCAACGATGAAAACAAAATCATGGACACATTAATTGAATCTAAATCTAATGCCGTTACTCTTGACCGTATTCCCAGTCTCATACCCTTGCCCAAACCCTCCAACCCCCGTGAAACCCACGACTCAGCATAAATATCAACCCAGAAGCAATCGATACCGTGCCCGAATACACCCACACGGAATTAAATCCCACGTTATCCAGAATAGCCCCAGCTATGGGAGGCCCAACGAGAGTCCCCACCACTGTGGCGGCCATCCCCATTCCCAAACGAGTACCGACCACATCCTTGGTAGGAGACAGCTTCACAAAACACGTCGGTGCAAGCGACATATGTGCACCAGATACGAAGCCATAAGTAGTAATAACCACTATCAAACCCGGCATACTCTGAAGGTTAATCAGAGCAAAGCAGAGGGCGCCACAGATAGCGATACTGCAGGAAAGGACATTGAACGGGCCGATCTTCTCGGCCAAATAGCTTAGACTCACTTGACCGCAAACCGAGCCTGTGGTGAGGATTGAGAGAAGGTAGAAGCCGAAATCCCCGCCTGTGATATGATTCCTGATGGCGTAAAGCTGGATATAATAATCTGGGATGTTCAGCGAAAGTGTACAGGTGGTCACTCCTAGCAGAAACGCAACGTATGCCGGCTCTCTGAATGCCGCCCAGTCGATGATATTTGCTCTGGACAGTTTTTTTGGGCGCGGTCGAGGTCGAAGCACTAGTACTTGGACCAACATGGCGATAAACATGAGTAGCCCTATGGCTCGGACGCACCATGCGAAGCCAACCCGCGTGATGATGCGATGGAACATAAAAGGGTAGATGGTAGCCCCTATCAAAAATATTAATTGGGGTTTCGAGCAGGAATGTTTGCGGACTAACCAATACCACTACCTGTGGAGGCAATGCCGATTGCAAACTCAATCCGTCTGTCGAAGTATGAAGATAGAATCGTGATGCCAGGAACAGCAACCAGGCCCGCACCCAGACCCATACAAACTGCCTGGGCAAGGAAAACCTGATAATAGGTATGACTGAGACTAAGCATCATTTGACCGAGGATAACCACTAGCGATGCTGTATACAGGAGTGACCGGAAGTAACCCCTGTCATATAGAGTTCCAGATATGAGGCCCACGGTTTGGAGTATAGCCGCCTGGGTCGAGCCGATCCAAGCTATGCTAGAGGACGAGGCAGAGAAGAGGTCCCCATTCTCGTAGAATGTTTGATACGCGCCAAAGGAGTCCGTCAATGCCCTTTGAGCTTGTTAGCTGTCTAACAAAACCCCGGCGTGAAGCCTCTTACCACGTAGTAAAATAAACAAAGAAGGCCGCAAGAACCTGCAGCCATGCCTTGACACCTCCGTCAGGGACCACATATATCTCGCTGCTTGGACCGTTTCCATAGCTCTGCCGATGCTTCCCTTCCTCAAGTGCTGATACTCTGTGCAGAAGATCTTCCGTAGTGGCCATTTTTATTGACAACCAGTTTCTCCTTGGGATAGGATTGAAGGGGGACCTTTCAATTCAGGCATAGATCGAAGATACCTTACGCTTTGAGAAGGTATCGCCAACATGCAACCGCCCTTGCAGAGTGCATTGAAAGTGATCGGCTAGTGGATGGATTGTGTGCAGATATTTGCTGGGGTCGAACATTTGAAGACCGTAAAATGACGGTCAGGACGAGAAACAGTTAATCTCGTACCTGATCATCGTTTCTGAGGGCTTAATTTGGCGAAGTTCTTGTTACATGCAAGGGTACTGACATTGTTATTGTACATCACAACGCTCCTTGGATGGTTCGAAAGGGGAAGCCGTAGGTCTTGATTCCGCGGAAAAGAAAAGAGTAGAAGGGGGGCTTCGCAGCGGTGACCGAGGACAAGGTTGTTGGTTAGGTATATGCTAGGGATTCATGTTTTCTGATTATGATTTGTCTCGGCGCACAAAATCGTGAGTAGATATCTATCTATCAAAGGGCTCTTTACGTCTAATCCACTCTCGTCTCCCGCTCAATCTTCTTATCCCGCAAGGTCACGCCAACATGCTTGACAACTAACCATGCTGGGAATAGCGAAATGGCCCACAGCCCAAAGTTGAGATACACACTCCCCACCGATGCCATGATCGTGACACTGTTAAGCCCATACTATCGTTTATTAGTTACCCAACGCATACAATGCTCACTAACAAGAAAACTTACAGAAACCGCCTGAGCGGCCGACTCCGTGCCCCGAAGCAAGCCCGAGATACGAATAACTTCCTCTTCATCGTCGGCGAGGTTTCCAACAAGGAAGTACCTTGACTGTGGTTAGCTATGACAATCACAAAGCGATCTCAAGAAACACTTACAGGAACATATAATTCAACTGGAATCCTGCAACCCAGAACAAGTACAGTGCGAATCCACGACCAAAGCCTGCATCCGTCCAGTCATAGGTCGGCTGAGTTCTCCGAAACTCAGTAACGATGATAGTGCCCCAAACCCACCAGGCACCCTGCAACGTGAGGATCGTCGCGAAAGCGCCCCTGGTCCGCATTTTGAGCGAAATGCTTTTCGTGTCTAAGAAAGCGCCCAGCAAGTTCCCGAGGATGAGTGCGATGATACCGCCGAGGAAGGAGCCCAAAGCACGCGCCCGCACAGAGAACCACAGCGAGAGGTAAGTGAACATCACGGCCTCTGTGAATACCGCTTGGCTGATTAGAGGGACGATTAGAAGGAAGTTGCGACTGCAGAAGAGCTTTGCGGTAGCTTTGATTTCGTAAAGCGGGCTATTCGCAATGCGAAGTTTGACAGGTAGCCCATCCGTGCGCTGCACTCGGGAAGGTGAGTTCATCAGCAATCCGGCGAATGGACCAAGTGCCTGAAGAACAATGAAAACAATAAGTACAGAGTATGAAACACTGCCTGCTTCGTTGCGATTGGAGTTGATGCCCAGATTAATCGCTCCGCCGAGTATTTGACCGCCGACTCGAAAACTCAGCCAGAAGCCGAGAAAGCGGCCTTGGTTGTGTGGTTCTGGATAGGATATGGCAACAGCAGCCTCGGCCATCCAGAAAATACCAGCTGAGATGCCGCAAAGAGCGGCACCGAAGAGAACAAACCATTCGGTGCCGAAACGGTTGTTGGTGTATAAACCCGCAGCGTACGGGGCGTATCCCATGGTGCCGACGATGAGAGTCCATTTGATACCGATGTAGCGGACGACCACACTGCCAAAAAAGCATGAAAGTACCATGAGGCAGAACGTGAGCGCGTTAGCTGCGTTGACGAGATACTGTATGTCACATCATCAATATTTGCAGTGGTGATGGGTGCATTCATGGTGACCAACCGGCTTCTCTAAGCCTCCTCCGCCGACTGAGTTCATGGCCCCCCAGATCCCCGGGGCTAGAAAATTACACAACCCGAGGATCAGAGCATTGTAGAATGTCGAACGATACCATTTGACTACTTCCGTCAGCCTTGCTACATTATGAATTTGGGTAAGTCCCACCGACCTGGCTGCTTTTGTGTGAGAGGGGAAGTATGGCTTCCAATCTCCTCATCTGTAGAGCGTACTTCTGGTTTATCGTGGGCCATTCTTAAGACAGAGATATAGCTGTTGCTCGATATATGGCTTCAGGCATCTCAAAGCTTTGGCAGGCTTTTTATATACAGATTAATATACCGAACTCGTCTAGATGACAATCTAAGATTATCGTGCCGTTTGAGTGCCAGCCTTGGGCCTATGTCTAGTCCAATGGAAATTGATTATGAGATTAAAACGCCATTTGATTGTGCTAAAAGGATATGTTTTCCACGATCAATGCCGCTGACGATGTTGCCGTTGGAGTGCTCAATTACGTGATCGCACGGCATTTTAGCACGAATTGTGAACAAACATCGACAGGAGAGCGCCAAACCTGAGAGATTCCTACCAATCTTGGATTGAAAATTACATAGGAGTGTTTTCAATTTTTGACATTATTCTTTTAACGTATTTGTATTCTTAGTCTTTATTTTGTTGGTCTTCCGCGGCTAAGAGTAGCCATGTTAGACGAAGGAACGGCTTCAGGTTAGCTGGGAAATAAAAATCATGTCATTGCTGTAGTGCTTCTCTCGAAATATTCAAACTGGGTTAATAAACACATAAACAACCATGTCAATGCAAGCAGAAACGCAGTCAGTCGCCGCCATGCAATTTTACTCCCGATCATCCGGATGGAAGACCAGAGCTCTCACCTCGATACTCTCACGAGGCTCCGCATCCACGGTTTCCGGGTTGACAAACGCAGAATGAGGAACTCTACGTGCCCGGCCATCTGTCTTGGAGTCAAAACACTTGATTAAGGTGACCAGATCAGGAGTCTGGCCGTAGCGGTAGTACCACTTGACGTCGGGGTTGGGCTTAACGGCGTACGTTTCACCCTCGCGATCGGGGTAGATCAGCTTGATTCCTACAAGGTCGCTATCCGGAAGCGTACGTGCATCTCCAACGGTCAAGGGATCCTTGAAAATAGGCTTAATAGGTCTCCAAACATTGATGATCTGATAACGTCCCTTGAGGAGCTCGTGAGCATCGTCGGGGAGATGGTAAGAGACGCGGTTTTTGGCCGCTTCGTAGGACTGATCGATGTGAACGCGCTGAACGGGTCCTCGGAGGGGCGTATCCTGCGCCCGGGAATCTTTCTGAGCACGGCGGATGGTGTGGTCGAAGATGAAGACGCGAGAAGCGCCAGTTCTGATTCACTTCAATTAGTATCCGTACATTCGGAGGGAGTTGAGGTATCCTTACGCGTCTTTCAGCAGCTGCTCGGTTTCGGGATAATACTCTCGTTTGATTTTCTCGTCGTCTAGGAAATCTTTTTCTTCACTCGTATGGTAGTAATACTGGAAGCCATTTTGATCCAGCGTGTAGTCTAGTTCATGGCCGCTCACGTCATGAACAGTGACGGCAAGCTCGGTGGATGGTCGTATGTAGCTCTCGGGGCGTGCGACATAGTTCGGAGTGAGATGTGAGCCATCTTCGAGCTCTTTCAAAAAGTGTAGAACTGTTTGAACATGATGAGGCTTCTCCGAAGGGGTTGAAACAGATGACTTTTCTGTAAGCAGCGACGGTTCGTTGCCGGCGGGGAATTGCACTGCGGCGGAAGCCATGATAATTGTAATTGAAGTTATATTGGAGCTTGGGGAGATTTAGACGTCGAAAGTGATCTATCTGTCGATCTTCCGATCTTCACTAGGGTTATAGTATAAAGAGCTACTTTATATACCACGTCGGTGTTGGAACGTGGAGAAGTCTTGACATTTGTCAGATTCGCACGCCATCAACCAGGCTTCAGATACATTTGTCAGTCGATACAGGCTGATAAATCCAAAACCAGCCTATTGGAGCAGCATAGGGCGCGAAATATATGCAAGTATGACCGTCTAAAGTCTATAGAAGGCGCAAGAGGCCCTACAACTAGCGAATAGGAGGATCCGGGTGAATTAATAATCCAACCCAATAGCTGTACTATTTAGGTATAGTTATACATTTACGTATTTCTAATCCATTTGACGCTTTGACGTCACGCTTATATACCCATCTATCTTTAGGTGATTCTATACGAGCGAACCAGCTTCGTAATGCCGGTGCCATCTTCGAGTACATCCTTCTCCTCTTCTAGTTCATAATTGCCCCATCGGGGAAGTAAGACTGTCCATACGTACCAATAAAGGATTCCAAACACGACCCTGACTTAGTTAGCTTTGAACGCCAGGAAATCAATACTCGAGTACTTACACTCCAGCACCAACAACCGCGTATGTAGCATAGAAGAAATGAACATCCCCCTTCCGGTCTGGTGGAGGAAAGAACGGAGCAGCTAACAAGGCGATACAGACCACGATCCGTAACCAGATCGCCCAAGTCCATGCCTTGAACGGTCGGTGCAGAAAAGATTCGCGTCGTCGGATGATGACTAGACCGATTGTTATGGCCAAGGCATAGATCTGGCCCGGATACCCCTCTACATCTAGTATAAAGTTGTATACATCTCCTTGCGGGGGTAGAGAAATGACCAGTACCGATGGTACGTAGTGCACGAGAAGTCCTCCGAGCGGCGAATTGAAAGGTCGGGACGAGGAAAGAAGATGCGGCCATGGTAGAAAGCCCTGACGAGCAATTTCTTGGTTCACACGAGCCTAGTAGAAATAGTCAGACTAGGGAAAGCTCAAAGAACAGGAGGCGGCATCTATACCAGAGCAAATGTCACAACCATTACATTTCCAGCCGCAGAAATAGCAATAGCCAGCGGAAAGAGAACTCTACCTACATGGGCCCCGAAGAGTCGCTCGAAAAGTAGGCCCGCAACGAGTTCACCACTGTTCTTAATCTCCTCAAGTGGAACGACAAGGAAGTAGGATATGTTGGCTAGAAAGTATAGAGCACTCGCAGTCCCTAGTCCTGCCGGACAAACCGTCTTCACCGTTTTAATTGGGTCCTGAACTTCATTGAGGACGTTATTGACGTTGTTCAATCCTGCATAAGAATAGAAGATTTTGAAAATCGAAGTAGATATTAAACTCCAGCTCCAATTGGATCCTTCCCACAAGGTATCCCAGGCGAAAGGATTGTTGGTAACCACACGATCGGATTGCCCGAGCGATTCACCGTTGGGGCGTAGAAGGATAACCCAAATTCCGGTCAATGACATCGCGGCGACGAGAAAGATCTTGATCCATCCTAGCATGTTTTGGATCCAGATTCCGGTTTTGAGAAAGCAACCATGTACAATAGTGATGAGGGTTAGAAGACCAACAGCTAGTACCTTGTGTTGATAATCGGTAGGCTCAATATTGAAGGCGAAAAATGTGTACTTCGCGAAGATAATGCTGTTACTAGCTGTGAAGCCCAACAGCACTGCTTGAACAGCGATGAGAGTGGATGCGAGAAATCGAGGACGAGGATAGGCATATTCTAGGTACACCTATACCGAGTCAATAATCACTCAGCGACGAGGTGTTAGCAAGACCTCAAGGGACAATGACCTTGTCTCCGCCAGAACGGGGCAGCATGCATCCGTACTCCATTGACACGGCCATTCCACAGGCAGCCAGAATGGTTCCGACCAGCCATAATAATAACGTCAACCCAACGCTGCCCGCGGACTTAACGATTGACCCTGGGGTCGCAAACACACCGCTCCCAATGACCCGCGATACGACGAGTATATATGCGCTGGACCAAGTGAGTGATTTGTCATAGGACGATGTTCCGGGTACAGTGTTTTGGAACTCTGCGTGTAGCTCGTGGGGTGGAAGGTTGAGAGCTGGATCAGCTAGGGCATCATATCCCGCGGGAACCGAGTCCAGCAGGGGCTGTTGTTCGGTATTGCTCATCGCGACGGCAGACTTCATAGTACTTCCTGCGCTATACTATAAAACTTCAATACTTTGGTTTAGTGCCAGGTAAACCGGCAACACTGATATGACTTCGGCAGCTGAAGAGATTCTAATTATCAACTTGAAATATGTACTGACATCAAATCACGAACGCAAGGGTGAGATATCGAATATGTCAGCGGGCGGTACAAATAGCTAATTATCCTTCATCATATCCTGGCACGTCATTCTGGTCAGGAGTTATGTGTGCAATCCTGGAATGCTGAGTGGTTAATCCCCTTGATACAACGGACACATCAAAGGCCTCGGAAGCCGACGGCATTGGCCAGAATGTGACACTTTGAGAGTTAATAGAATAGATGCTGGGCTACTAACTATGCATTGGGACGTGTAGATATGTGAATGGGATAGACGCCGATTTTATCAAACCTGTCAAATCGCCAGACCTCATATTGCTCCACAAAGGACCCCTTACACGACAAAGCTCAATCCTACTATAATTAAAAGACGACGACATGTGGGAAAAGTTACCGGACTACCCCAAGGGATGAATTATTAAATTCCTGGCTACCTTTATTCATCCTCGGCCTTGGATCACATCATCGCGTACTTTTATTGGTTCAGGAAGACCCCTGGAGGGACTGATATTGGATCCCTCCACGACAACTACATAGCCCTACCTGGGAACACTTCGACATCGAACAACGTCTATCTAACAACTATAGCTGGAATTTTTTTGAGATTGCACATCTAGAAAAGAGATCTACTATCCCGGATGATATCTCGATGGGCATGCAAGCGATAATCGTGTATCATTTTCCAGATAACCATGCATCACGTCATATCAGCCCCGCGATTCGCCATGCTCAAAAATTAGAAATCACTCCAAGGCACTGACAAAGCTCAGGGCACGTTTTTAAAAATACGTAGGGCGTGGCTATACTGTAAGCGTGAAGGATGGATACCGTTCTACTTCGCCGTGGCTGTGAGCGGCTCCTGTATTTATCTCATAAGTCTGGTGCCGATAACCGGCCTACCTTTATATATGTAACTGAAGGCTGCAATACCAAGTCGTTGGGCAAACAGTATACCTACCCTAAGTAGTTCTCCCCTTCCGATATGACTGCTGTATCTGCATATGCGCCTCTCGTGGCGCTTAACGAAAAACAGCACACCATTTCCTATCAAGAGATCTACCCGGAACAACGCTTGGATCCTATGGTCACCAACCCTGGCGTACAAGGAACAATCGTACCGCAGCTAGAACGGTCCACTCAGCGTGCGTTGCTGCTAAAGGCTGCGCGTGAACAGTACATCTTGGTTACTGATCATGCCATCCCATCAATATCGAACAAGGACGAGATACTCGTCAAGGTACTTTAATCACTTTCCAATCTCTCTACATATATACAGAGGCTGACCCTCTTTAGATCGTGGCGATTGGTTTGAACCCCATCGACTGGAAGGGCCCGTAAGCATTCCGGCCGTACTGAGCTAAAGCTAGTCGTCACTGACAGTCGCCATGGCAGGGCCTTCAATTTCGGCATTCCCAGTCTACCTTGGGTAAATGGTCGTGACCTAGCAGGTATCGTCGTCAAAGCCGACAAATCATCTCGAGTCCAAGAGGGCGACATAGTCCTCGTCCCATCTACCGACTATCGGGATATTCGAAAAGCCGCCTTTCAGGAATATGCTATCGCGACTCACTTCAATGCAGCACGAATTCCACCCAGCCAAAGCATCCATGCGTCTGCCTCGTTAGGTGTTGCTTTCGTAGCATCCGCCCTGGCCTTGGGTGTCTCCTTAGGACTAGACTTCTCCCTGACGTCAGCGTGTCCCGGACCAGACCTCACCAACGTGGTACGCCAACTGGAAGCTGATGCTATTCCTGCCGATATTAGAGAAGAGTGTTATTCCGGTCTCTCGAAGACTGAGCGCGTTAAGCCCGGCGATTGGATCGCTATATGGGGAGGTGAGCTGCCACTATATTATCGAAGGGCGGGGCCATTGCTAAGTTACTCCAGCATCTACCACGACTGGTTACATCGCATTACAACTTGCTAAACTGGCGGGATTAAAGGTCATCTGTGTGGCAGATATTGCTCGCCATGGGGCGAAACTCGTCGATCTCGGGGCTGATGTCATGGTGGACAGACATGACACTCAGCGTGCCGTTGACATTATCAAAGGAGTGACAAGAGGAAAGCTCCGATACGCTATCGACATCGTTGGCAAGGACACAGCAACACTACTTCAGAATACCCTCGAAGACGTTGTCCGCGAAGATGGTTCTCACGCCCATCTCCTCGGTCTGACTGGCCTTCCTAAGGAGCGGAGCTCGAATATTGTTTACCATACAGTTCCGATTAAGCTGTTCCACACATCACCCGAGGTAGGAGAACGGATGGTCTCGTGGCTAGAAGACTTATTAGACTCGGGTGCTCTTCAAACACCAGAAATTATTCGCACGGAAGGCGGATTGGGGAATGTGAACGCCTCCTTAGAGCTTCTTCGACAGGGCACAGCATCAGGAAAGCGTGTTGTCGTTGATCTTGCCGGATAGTAGATATGTTTACATATACCTCTTATGTTAGAATGTTCAAAATCTGTTGATTAGATGCGGTATGATAGAATGACATTCATGAGTTATAGCTTTTTCTTCTGACTTCTAAATGCAATTATTCGTGGTCGAATAACTCGTACAATTTTAGAATTACATTCCCTATCATGATATGGCCTGCTAAAGACAAACAGCAATGCGAACAACCTACATAAGCTGTATCCGGAAGCCGAGACCTCTATCGAAGACCTAGAGTATCGGGATTTGCATTGTATAGCTTCAACCGTGCACAACAAACCAAGATACCCACACGCACCCCGCCTTAATTCAACCAAATGCCCCTCATAAGCACGTTCTCCAGAAGTAGCGTTATGGCGACGAGGGTTTTCCTTGCATCCTTGCGTGATGGCGGGCGAATGAGCAGCGACGAAGACGTGCGACGGATCGCCGATTGCGACACTCTCGGCATGGATGATGTGAAGATCACGACCTTGTTGGTTGGAGTACTAGCTCTCCAACGAATAAATACTACTCCAATTCGGATACTGTTATACAACAGTAAAAGATATGCGGGTCAAACTCACGATAATTATTCCTGGAACGTTATCGCTACTGGGGTCCTGTCGGAGCCCTAGACCAATTAACCATACGACAGGATTGCCAAACCGAGGTGATTGAGAAACGCGCTTTTTGAAATTGATTTTACACATCAAATGTCTCCAAGTGAAGTCGCTTCCGGGGTTTCTCCTCATGGACACCTATTTATTCCCTGGTCCGAGGACATTGTCGACAGACTGCGCGACGCCCTTCCTATCACCTCACCCCTGTCTATTGGTCGTAATCCACAGTCGCAACCACTATGACTTCAGACAATAAGCCCAAGAAACAGCTAATCCTCAATGCCTTTGCTATGCAATCGCCCTCTCACCTGAATCCAGGTCTCCACCGCTACCCCAAAGACCAAGGCGGAAACTACAAATCGCTCCAGCACTGGGTATCCCTCGCGCAAAAGCTCGAAGCCGCAAAATTCCACGCCATCTTCTTCGCCGACGTCCTAGGAGGCTACGATGTCTTCAAGGGCCCAGGAAACCTCAATCCGACTATTCCAGCGGCCGCACAATTCCCCATCAACGACCCGCTATACAGTATTCCCGCCATGGCGGCCGCGACCGAGTCGATCGGATTTGGCGTCACCGCATCGACAACGTACGATGCGCCGTATGCGCTCGCTCGGCGGTTCTCAACCGTCGACCATCTGAGTAACGGACGCGTAGGCTGGAATATCGTGACCTCGTACCTGGATTCTGCGGCGCGCAATTTCGGCTTGAATACACAAGTTGAGCATGACGAGCGGTATCGCATCGCCGATGAGTATCTCGATGTCACATACAAGCTGTGGGAAGGGTCCTGGCGCGACGACGCAGTGAATGTGAAGGACGGGGTGGCCGGATATGCGGATCCCAAGGCTGTACGCCAGATCGATCACAAGGGGAAATATTTTAACGTCCCTGGACCGCATCTGTGTGAGCCTAGCCCGCAGCGTACTCCTTTCCTGTTACAAGCCGGTACATCTACGGCGGGCAAGGCCTTCGCTGCGAAGCATGCAGAAGCTATTTTCTTGCATGGGCAAAAGCCGGAGCTGGTGCGTCCGTCGGTTGATAGTGTGCGACACCAGGCGCAGGCTCAGGGCCGTGATCCAGCTTCCATCAGGGTTATAGCAGGTGTTCTAGCCGTCGTGGCCGAGACCGATGACGCGGCGCATGCAAAATTCGCCGAGTTGGCTCAGTATGGTGATCGGGAGGGGGCGCTTGCTTTGTTCGGCGGATGGTCGGGGTACGATTTATCCAAGTATGAGGACGACCAGGACTTCCGGTTTGTCGAGCAGCCTGCGATCCGCAGTATGGTGAATCACTGGGCCAGCACGGTGCCTGGCACTGGAGGCAAGAAATGGGACAAGAAGACGATCTCCGAATATTTGGTCTTGGGAGGAAATGGAGCGAAGATCATCGGTAGCGCGAAGACCGTGGCGGACGAGTTAGAGCGCTGGGTTGAGGTGGGCGATGTGGATGGGTTCAATCTCAGCTATGCCTCAATTCCGGAGACCTTCGATGATATTATCAAGTATTTGATTCCGGAGTTGCAGAGACGAGGAGTCTTCCACAACGACTATGCAGTTAAGGGAGGCACATTCCGAGAGAACATGTATGGAGAAAAGGGACAAAGTAGATTGCCTGAGTCGCATCCAGGGACCAAGTATGTTTGGCGCAAGGGAGAGGAAATCCCGAAGTATGCCACGGAAACAGGCAATTGACGAGTGCAATTGAATAGTTAACATTAATTAAGAACATGCCATCATGTGTTACAATCAATCAGAGTGATATCGCTATATATGTAGAAGGCTGGGCCATTGATTTATATAATGTTTCTAGGTAGGGCTATTTTCACAGTAAGCAATCAAACATCCCACCAACCCTCCATATACGAACGAAGATCAATCGTATCAGGCCGCTTTAAATGCGGCACCAGATCTGCGTCCTTGCGTTGTTCACGCTGGGTCCAACCATTGCCAAAGTATGCGAACCGATTGCCACTCGGGTTGACATACGTGTACTCCCAATCTTCCCAGCGGGGCTCGCGTCGGATGTAATTCAATGCAGCGGCGCTCCCAGGGAATAGACCGTGAATTCGACCACCGGGACGGCCACCGTTATACCAAGACCGACAGTTCTTCTGCCCAGGGGTCGAGTCATCGTTGCCAGTCCACACGGTGCGAGGGTAGAATTTATCTGAGTACTCGACAAAGTCGTCGGTCGCTTCTTTGGATGGCGCAATCGTTTTGATGCCCTGGCTGCGGACCTTGCGCAATAGCTTGGCGATATACGTGACCATATTCTCTAAACTGTTCGGAACACTCCCGCTGTGACCTGTAGAATGAGGTCCTCCAATCCAGAGAAGATTGGGGAAACCTGGTGTTGCGATACCCAGGTAATTGTAGGGGAATCCCCACAAACCATCATGTTTCCAGGCTTTTTTCAGATCGATGCCGTTCGCAATAATTGGGAAAGGCGGCGCGTGGTCCACGTTAGCACCTGTCGCGCAAATCACGACGTCAACGGGCCTTTCGACCCCATCGGCTGTCACAATGCCTCTCGGTATAAATCGCTCAATCGGTGTCTGTATATAGCTCACGTTCTCCTTTGCCAGGGCCTCGAGGTAGCCAGGCCCTGGTGTAGGCCGCCGACAATTTGGGGGAAAGTCCGGTAGAATCTTCTCTGCCAGCTCTGGCTTTTCCGTGATGCGATTGAGCATCAATTGTGTCCATGTGTCTCGTTGTTCGCGGTTCTCCGGCGAGTCCTTAAAGACTGCCCCAAAGCGGGAGAAGTAGCCTTGTTCCACGCTTCTCCGGTACTTCAAGTACGTATCGGGATCCTTAAACGATTCCAGCTGTTTTGGAGAGATGAGATTCGGCTCGAGTCGACGCACGCCAGTTGTGCCAAAGGAATCGGCGATCCACGTCCGGTTGCGCGCATAATGATCGACGTGCATTGCAATCGGCTGGATGGAAGGTAGGACCTGTAGACCGGATGCCCCATTGCCAATCAAAGCTACTCGTTTTCCATTCAAGTCCGCGTTATGATCCCAGTGGGAGGAGTGAAAGAGGGTACCCTTGTATTCGTCAATCCCGGGGTAGTCGGGGAGCTGCCAGGCGTTGAAGTGACCGATCGCATTGATCACGATGTCAAGGTGCTCTATGTAAACCTGGTTCTCTGTCAATGTGATTCCCGCATATTATTGTTAATCGGAAGCGCACGCACTCTCCCAGTGCCCACATCTTGCACGGTGACACGCCATTTCCCTGTTTCGGGGACCCATACAGCTTCCTCCACCTTGTGCTGCAGCCGGATATATTTGTAGACGTGGTACTTGCGGGCAAGGCCTTGCCAGTACTCTCTAATCTCATGTCCCTGCGCGAATTCTTCGGTCCACTGTGTGTTCGGTGCGAATCCGGATTGGTATACATGGGCTGGAATATCGCATCGGACACCGGGGTAAGTGTTTTCGTACCATGTTCCTCCCTGGCAATTGTCAACCTCTTCATTTGCATCAGATATTCGCACGAAACGTACCACATCAGCATTCTTGTCGAAGATGCGAAGGTCAATCCCCGGTAGCTTGGCTGGCAACAGGATACCAGCAGTGACACCCGCTATGCCAGCTCCTATAACACCGACTTTGATATTTCGAACTTCATCGATCGGATGTTCTTCAATCTCGAAGACGGGCCTCCCTTGCGGAGTGACTTCTTGGGTTTTCTCTGTGATTGTCGAGCTGCTCGGCCCTCTGAGCTCTATCGGCACGCCCACAGACGCAAGGCTCTGTGCAGGGCCATCCCGTAATGGAAGGTCAATTTGCGATATCGCAGGCACTTCAACAGCAGCCATAATGGTCTTCCAATTGTTCTAGTATGTCCCAGTATTGAGGGGGGGAAGTTATTCCATTCTCGGGGTTAAATAGCGTAGCCAAGGAGATGTGGCGCGAGTTGGAGCTGATTGCGATCTTTGGATACCACTCAGTATCAAACAAGTGCTAATTATGCACCATATGCACGCCATCGATAGTGGTGGTCCGGGATGGCATCCCGGCCGAGCGGCGTCACATCATCGCAGGATTTAATGGTGTCAGAAAGGTTGTGGTGTAGATCACAGTATTTTTCAAAACTTGTGTACCATTGTAGTCTATCGATTACCATACTTGATCACCTGACGCACGTCCCCCATCTGCCGCACGGATTTCTATATACGCTGACTTTTGACTTCAACTTCAAACCACCACAACTCCGTCGATATGGGTTTAATTGATGAGGCGCTTGCCATTTTAGAATCCCTAAATCCAGGAGAATTGTTTAAATATGCAGAATTTATAAAAGAATTTGGTATTAATTATACAACTCTCTTAAGGCATCACCGCGGCATTATATATTTGAAAAGAACTAATATAAAAACCAGCGATTAGTTAACAGTGATACTCCCAATAAGTTAACAATCCTTCGGTGACTAGCCGGCCGTTCTTGGCTGTTGTCATCCCATGGTCGTTCTGCCTGGAGTATCCGCCTTCGATAAGGTACACTAGACAAGGGTCTGTAACACGCAGCAGCTTCAGAGTAAAAAGAAAACTGCTATACAACTTGTTAAAGCCTCTAAAAAGCAGGAAAATTTTGCTGGCAGCAAAAGAAGCAAGAGAAATAATGTTTAGTTAAGAAAAGAAAATGTCAGAGCCTATGGGAGCCTAAGGCAGCAACCACGTGACCTGACCACAACACCAAGGAATCTCTGTATGATAGATTTAGACCTTAAGACAATCAATCCCATACACACACATGAACTACACCAGCTCCATCAGAAAATAAATCAGAGCAGCTAATAAAGAACTATACCTTCTTAAATAAAGTAAAAGAAACTGTTATGGGACTGACTTACAGCAGCCCTATGTCATGGGAGGCTCCGCCTAAGGCATTGTTGCCAAGCCTTTACCTTATAAATATTTCGTACAACGCGTTATTCATGTCAATTCGCTATCTCTTGTTCAATAGGCACACTTAGGTTGGAACAGCTTATTCGTCCCGTAACAGCAACACCAGAAGAAGGAAAGTAACTGGCTAAGAGGGACTACTAATAACCAGCTTTAAAATAACTTTAAAATAGTCCAAAAAGACAAGAAGAAGTGTCCTACACCAGCTATATCTTAAAAGAAGCAAGATATTACTATTCCAGAGCCTCAGATTAATACAGAGAGCTGTATACCTATAAATCGTTGTGGAAGACAAATAGGCCTTCCACAACAGTTCCGGGACTAGGAAAAAGCTGTATATAGTTTTCCTAGTATCATATCTCTGTTCCGCCAGAAAATCTAAGTATAAATTATTTTGTATATTGCTTTGAAGCTCTATTTTTAATGCTGGTTGCCATACAGAAATTCGTGCGTCAGGTGATCAAAGTACGGTACAAGTGATTAATCGGAGGAAACATTTGTGCCCTACTTCTAATTACACCTCCGCCGAATTGCAGGGACTTGGGGTTGATGCCAATTATTTATGTTATATCCGATATCGATTCAATTTCAAACACCCTCGACGCGATTTAATCACCACACTTTTACAGTATTCCTTATCGACAGCACTAATACAGTGGACAGATCCCGAGCGAGATATTCATTATTATTTGTACGAGGGCGTTACTTATCCTATCTTAAGATCTAACCTCTCCCTCCCCTACATCAGATACTCAAATCCCTATTAGCCCTTTCCATCCCCAAACCAATGTACGCAAATTCTCAAAACGAACGGAAGAAAATTGATTCAGCTAAATTAAACTTATTAGTCAATGACTATCTTCATCAAATTGTTTCCAAAGCGCATCAATTGCCTCATGTCTCTTCAGCGCCCAGTCGAAGGTGGGATACCATTCCTTCTTGCGATAGGCCTCGTAGAGACGCGCTATATTCTGCGCCGGGACCGATAGTTCATCCCATTCATCTGTCTCCGGGAATAGCTCCTCGACGGTTCCCGTATCATGATTCGCAATCTCCAGCTTGATTCCTGGGCCACCGACATTTAAGAAAAACATGGGGGAGCTCAGTCGCAACCAGCCCTTTTCACCCTGGATGCGCCAATCAAGCCGCGGTTGACCCGGAAACTCCTTTCCAGCGTAAAGATTGATAGTCACCGCTGCATTATAAGGCTCAACCCTGCCGTATGCGAGGATCTGATCAGGGACGGTATTCTGAACCCCAGCCGCAATAACCTTCCCGGGCTCTCCAACGCTATAGTCCTTGATGTCTAATGTCTGCCGACTAATAGTCGAAAAAGTCTTGAATGTTTTGAACTCCCCGAGGACTGTGGCAGCACATTAGCATTGAATGGAGGCTTGCATTACCAACCAACTCACCGGCGGTAAAGAATTCCAAGCCATGGCCAACATGGATCGTCGTTGGATTCCCTCCAACTTCACGATCTAGGAAATATCGCACGTTTTTGCTCTCTGCATCAATTCTGTTGCCCAAGGCCCCAGCGGCAGTACTAGAGAGAACACGGCCAATCCGTCCACTCTCGATAACCGACCGCAGCTTGCGGATGGCAGGTGAAAACGAGCCCTGTAAGCCTACTATCGTGGGGGCATTATGTTTGGCCGCCAGGGTAGCCATCTCCTTGGCTACTTCAAGGTTACGGTCTAGTGGCCATTCGACATACACTGCTTTCCCAGCGATTAGGCTCGGGCGCACGGTCAGGAGGTGCCGGTCTACTCGGACGCTGCAAACTACGAGGTCGACATTGGGGTCATTGGCAAGGTCTATTGATAAGCATCAGTATGTGTTCATATCGGGCGAAGTGGTTTACTCTAACCTTGGGGATCGCCATAGGCCTTCGTTTCACTTGAGAGATTGTATTTTCTGATCGCCGCTTCGGCGGACTCCGCGGAGCTGTTGAGTAAAGCAACAATCTCAAAATGGGGGGACTTGGTGAGAAATGGGAGATGGGCGCTGGGAGTCCATGAAGTGCCTTCATAGTCCTCTGCCGCGGCGCTGGACAATCCGATTAAACCAACTCGAATGACAGACATGTTTCTGTAATGGCCCTAGCTCTTTAGCTTTGATCCTAGCAAGCCTTGATGTCGTTTATGTCCTGGGGGGGGTTTTTTTTTTTTTTGCCTCTATTATATATAATGGATTGATATCGGCCTCCGGAGACATCATTCCTCCCATATCTATATTATAAATCAAGCGGATAGATGAATTCGCCCGGTTTGTGCACGTTGCTTACGCCGCTTAGAAATCAAAATCGATGAGGACATCTCCATTCTGGTTACTTTGACTTTCTCTCACACATCTCCTGCCCCGATTGCTTGGCATTTTGTAAGCGACTTTTCATTTCCCTCTTTCGGATGCCAACAGTTCAGTATGACAATTGGGTCTCAACAATAACGGAGGTATAACATAGACACAATGATCTCTCACACTGTCTTACGTCGAGTAATTAGTGGCCTTTGTCTACATAGTCATCCTGCCACCGATGCCTCTGTTCGAAGCCTAACAACCGCTTCATCTTCTGATTAGAGATCGGGGCCTCTCTGTCCTCCATCTGCCTCGTGATAGTGATATCCGGACAAACCTGTTTCAAAAATGCCATAGTGGACGCCGCAAAATTCGTAATCTCATCATTAACCGCATTAAAAATCTGGAACCCAAGTCCATCCGCCATCAAACACCTCTCAAACATAAGCCCAATGTCCCTCGCATCCGTATACGCCCAGCCATGCACCTTATACTCCCCAGGGCTCTCCACATACCCACGAAACCTTTCCTGGAACTCCTCCGGCGCGACCACCGCCCCCAAGCGCATCACATAGATATCATTCTCAAACCGCCTCGCAAAGCTGCGTGCCGTACGCTCCCCACACACCTTACTCAACGCATACACGTCCATCGGATTAGCATCCACATCCTCGTCAACCGGAAAAGAAGGATACTCGACATCGCCCTCGGCGAAGGCAACGCCGTAAACGCATATCGTGCTCGCGATAACGATCTTCTTAACCCCAATCCGACACGCCGCTTCAATCACGTTGTAGAATGATAGGACATTGCCCCGGTAGGTCTCCGTATCGGGGACGATCATGTTACGGGCGTATCCGGCGAGATGGATGACGGCGTCGGGGGCTTGCTGGCGGGGTTCGCGGAAGGGTTCGGTGAGGCGGAAATGGGAGAGGAGGGCGCCGTGGACTTGGCCATTGTCGGTGAGGTCGACCTTGAGGGTGTGGACCTTTTCGCTGAGGGGTGGTGGGAGCGGGTTGAGGTCGAGGTTTAGCACGGAGTAGTTCTGGGATAGGAGGTGGGCGATGATGTATTGGCCTGCTTTTCCAGAGCCGCCGGTTACGATGATTCGTTTGGACATGGTGTCTTGGACCTGGGACAAAAGATTGCTAGCGAAGGGATATTGAGAGGCTTGTTGTTCAGCTTATGGAGGATGTCCAGATATTGCGGGGTGTGCGGGGAAAGCTGACGGTGGATACGAGTCCTATCTTCTCCGGATGTATGGAAGCAGAGTACTCGAAGACCCACTTCTATGCGCCTGGAATACCGGTTGTATGAATTGCCTGATAGGTGTTACGTACAATGAGATATTTTAACCCTTGGACATACACTCCATATTGTAGGATTCCTTCGTTGACCTAGTATGAATCGCCGAGACACTTGGAAGGACTCGACCGAGCGAACGAGAAGGAACCGAAAAAAAAAAAAAAAACATGAAATAAACTTGGAACACGGCAACTGGAAACAGATCCAGATTGGCAACGTTCTCCCGCAGATTCATTCGTCTTCCAGGAGTGGACATAGAACATCTCTAATATCAGCTAGACGAGCGATTAACCTCCGACAAGCTCTGATAGTACTCGTCAAAACAGAAGCTAATTGGTTCCTTATCCCAGAGATCCTCAGCTATAGTGCTCATTTCGTCAGTCATACAGGCTCTGAACTCATATTTAGCCATGTTAGTGCGGTGGCTGTCATATGGGAAGCTGCTTTCAACGTCGGCAAGTGGGTCATGAGCGACATTATCCACTGGGACAGTGCTCGTATAGTCAAACATGTTGAGGCGCATCACTGATTTATGTCTCGACTCAAGTTGCTTCTGACTCCGACACTAACGCTCTGGGATCTTTGATTCTAAGTCATAGAGATGTTTGGGATCAGGACTTATCCGCGCTTCATCTAGTATATTAGCACCGGGATCCACATCAAGCATAACTATCCCGGATATCATCATAGTCAGCCAGAATGCAGACCCTGGCAATTGCCGGTGTCATACACGGTCGACAGCGGAAAAGCTCCTTGCAGGTAGATGGATGTGGAAGGGAAGGGTAAAAGATACGGTAGGGAGTGACTCTGTCTCGGGAGTAATTCGAGAAAGGTCATTGTTCATGATAAAGCGGGCAGTGATTACTCTTTGGACGAAGGGGCCGAGGTCCGGTTGAAGTGACCACCACTTGGCGAACATGGTATGGGGATAGATCCCACGGACAAAACACCTCACCTCGGCCGGTACCATGCGAGGACAAAGTAAGCGAGCATACCGGTCAATATCACCATTGTATGCGGCCATCAGAATCAAGACGTCTTTATTCAACGTGGGTAAACCCAACGGTAGTGGCGTATAAAGATGCTGTCTGACAACTTCCTCGTCCTGTGGAGGTCTGGCGAGGGAAGTAAGTCATCCAAGGAGGTTGCCGCGCTGGGATCCGCCCTTTAAAGAGAAAAGCGATATTTTACACTCGACCCGAAGGTCTGTCTGCAAAGCTTGATCTTGTAGATCCGGTTCACTCCAGCAACCACACCCATGATGTGTTCGATATGCGTATAATTAGTTAGAAAGCAAATATTCTGTAGCATAATTAGACACCTCTATATAGTGCCTCGCGCAAGTACATTCTCGTCTATTATCCCATTGCATATAAATTGCCACACCGTTTCTCAAACATGGAGAGCCTATTGGATCGCAATCGACATTGCGATGGTGATAACTGGCCTCCATGTCTTTTTATCCAGGCGACGGGATCAGCCTTACGATTAGATTCCGTACGAATGCCGGATATGCTCGGCATGATGGCCTTTTTTGTAGAGAATGAAAGAAGAAGGGAAAGCTTAAAAAAGCGGAACACAAAGCCCACGCCGGGGGGTACCATAAAATATTATGCCATGATTATATACAGAGGAGGGGCATATCGCGGAAGGCTCTTGAGTGACGGCGCGAAGAGTAAAAGGGCCAAGTGTCATTTCAACAATGGAGAATGCTTATGAAAGCTCCTGTGGCCCTGGCTCCGGCTTTCCAAGCTCATATGTATACTGTGTTTGCGCTCCTGATTCTGGCCCGGTCAATGGTTGTGGCACTGAGGAAGGTGTACTGTATCGTGATGGCCTTCGACGCCGGGAAAAGAATACGCCCGCCATTGCAATGAGAAAACACCCACTCCAACCCCTACTCCAATGCCAGCCGCAGTACCACCGAGAGCCCAAGCCTAGAAAAGTATCATCTGTGCAGGTCTCAGCCCCATGATTTCCATGACCGGAAAACCCTTGATTTTGTATGTTGCATAGGATTCTAAGGTTTTAACGTAAGCCTGCACTACCAACCAAGCTTGCTGACATTCTGATTCTATTAATGCTACAGACTATAATACGAAAAGGTGCTTTTGCCGATCCCGTTCCTTGAGGCTAAGCTAGCTCCACTAAGGGTCTTAAACCTCGTTAGGTTGGCCTACTAATTTCCACTCAAGATGGTAACCCCCGTTCTTGTCGCTTTCTAGACAAAGAGTCCTGCCGCCCTAGCTCATTTCAGGCCCTTTCAAGGACGGAATTCAAGCATTCTAGCCTACGTGCCCTCGTTCTATTCTCCTCACTGTCTCATTTGAAGATCTCTCACTCCAGTATCGTCAGTTTCTTTTCAGAAACGCCGACAAGCCCCCTGACGCCTAATATTATCACGAGTAATGTGTTGTACTGCTGTCCAGTCAGATCATGAACCAGGTGGAACAAGGGTCAGGGGCCCACGTGACGATGCAAGAGACAACTCTCACCTGATGTTGGTGAAGTGATTCTCATCATTCAATCAAACAGTTTCCGACCGATAACTACCCTCAAGAAATCTTGGCCGATTCATTCCCTCCTACATAAGATACCTTCTCGAGACCGATATCATCGCCAAATGGTATGTACTTACCAAAAACTAGTAGTAATCCCCCAGCCTCCGGCGATACAACGCCGACTGAGCCTAGGTCTCTTAGCTATAAGACCGACGATGTGATGAGAACACTCCTGAGGAGGATACTCCAAAGACTTTGAGAGATTCCGGGATCCTGGAACCACTCTGTAAAGCCTGTGACACCCTTGGGTGCAAAGCCCCTACGCTCATCCAGACACTCTCCATCTCGGTAGCGTTGGAAGGACGAGATTTAATCGGCCTTGCAGAAACTGGCAGTGGCAAAACTGCCGCCTTGTCTTACCTGATCGGAGGGGTCGACATGATAGGGCAAGCGATCGCGTCTGGGAAGGAGCCTCATGTTGTGGTTGCGACGCCTGGACGAATGCTTGATCATCTGGAAAGTACAAAGGGTTCTCGCTGCGACATTTAATATACCTGGTTCTAGACTAGGCGGATAGACTACTCGACTCAATTTCGGGCCTATCTTAGACAAGGTCCTGAAGGTTTTACCCAGCAGGAGAACATATCTCTTCCCAGCAACAACGTCTAGCAGAGTTGAGTCGCTACAACGGGCAGTCCTGTCGAACCCCGTAAAAGTCTGGGCATCGTCCACGAAATCCCAGACAGACTCAACGCTCCTGCAATCATATATGTTAATCCGCTAAAGTTCAAAGATATCTATCTTGTTCGTGTCTTGAACGAGAGAGCAGGTCAAACAGCAATCCTATTCACCCGTACCGTGATGGACACCCAGGACACCCAGCGCATCACGATTATGCTGCGATCGCTTGGATACCGTCGAGGTCGGCATCATTTCGTGGACCTCTCAAGAGATATACAGCAACCGATCATAGGAATATAATATGTAAGATTCAATGCTATAAGATCTTTTGAAGAGTAAAATAATTATGCATAATATCACTAAACGGCCCGGCTCGGACAACTTGGTCATGATGTCATAACGGGAAATAAGCTTAAATCGGGTGGAACCAATGCTTGATGTGACCCTGAATGACCCAGCCGATCCCAATTTCACTATTTCCCTGGTCAATGATGGCGTGAGTGTCTCCACATGCCCCTCTCAGGGGACAACTACCCCCGTGTGTCTTCTGGTCGTCCGGTGCCGTCCGGTTCCTATCACCGCAGCTATCCGAACCATTATCATACACCCCAGCAACCATCTGCTGACCCCGACCCAACGTAACTAATGATCGATGATGTGGTTATGGATGATATGGAGGATCATACCGGTCATATGTCTTTCCACGCAGTCAAACGCGCAGACAGAGGACTTGAATCTTCCCCCTAGGGACAGCAGTGCGACGGCTCCTAAGAATGCGACCACACTGACGGTATCGCGCGAAGGCGGTAATCACTCCAGCCCTCTACTCTATGGGATAATGTTTGAGGTGAGATACCGGACTACCAAATAGTCCCTTACTTGCGCTAAAAAATAGAGGATTTAGGAAATGGATCATTCAGGTATACCCCCTCCCTCCCTCCCCACTTACCGATCGGGATTCTGCTAAAGGTCTTAGGCGATGGAGGTATACACGGACAACTCCTCCAGAACAATGGCTTCCAGGGCTCGACACTTGGGCTTACCGCGTATAAACCTATTGGTGATGTGGATATTTCCAATGACACGGTGTTTCCGGTCAGCAAGGCGATCACCTCTTCCCTAACAGTTCAGGTACCCGATGGCGAGACAAAATACGTGGGTTTCGCCAATACAGGCTACAAAGGGGTTCCGGTGGTGAACGCCACCTATCAAAGTGAATTCTGGATGCTGGGCGATTATTCCGGCACGATCATTTTGCAGCTGGTCGGGTCGGAGAGCGGAGTTGTCTATGCGTCTCACAACCTCACGGTAGAGAATACTAGGGTGGATTTCACCAGATATGAGACCAAGTTCAACTCCACCGCCTCTCCAGATGGGAACAACGAATGGCGCTTGCTATTCGATGGCTCGAAGGTCGCTGGGTCCTGGTTGAACTTTGGGCTGATCCAACTATTTCCTCCAACATATCATTCTAGGTAGGTTGCTAGGACCGTTGTCTAGTAATGGTGCTCATCGGGACACTAGACAGAATGGCCTTCGCGATGACCTAGCTCGCACTGTCGAGGAAATTAACCCCTCATTCCTACGATTCCCAGGAGGAAATAACCTGTACGAGAGATAGGGCGTTTGCTATTATGTTGCGTGGTCCGCTGACTATCAAAAGGGAAGGCCTTCAGATCAGTAGCCGATGGATCTGGAATCAGACTATTGGGCCGGTGGTTGATCGGCCAGGCAGAGATAGTACGTTCAAGGTACCATATGAGGACAACTCTGACATCAATATGCAGGTGATTGGTGGTATCCTAATACCGATGCTCTCGGTAAGTCTAATGTCATTCAGTGCACCCATGAATTGCTGCTAACCGCTCTAGGTCTTGATGAATACCTATGGTGGTGTGAAGATGCAGGAATGACTCCAATTCTCGCAGTCTGGGATGGTAAGTCATATGGCGGGATTGTTTCTGGTCCGGATCTCCAGCCATATCTCGACGATATCTTGGATGAACTGGAGGTGAGTTCAGTGCAAGCAAGATAGCAGAGACGAATTATCACTGAGAACGGACGAAGTACCTTCTTGGTCCTCCGAACAGCACCTACGGCAAGTTGCGAGCACAGAATGGGCGTGAAGATCCATGGCAGATTGGATATATCGAGATCGGAAATGAAGACGATCTGAGCGATGGTTGCGACACGTATCCCGACCGGTTTATGCAAATCTACAATACAATTCATGATCAATACCCCAACGTCACCATTATCGTATCCACTATTGACGAATCATGCCTTCCCGATACTATACCCCCAGATATCATCTACGATTATCATTACTACCGCATGCCAGACGACCTGGTTGCGATGTTTAACATATGGGACAACCAGCCGCGGTCGCAACCGGTCATCGTTGGTGAGTATGGCTGTCGGAACACCAGCGAAGCGGACGGAGTATTCTGGTCCTTCATGCAAACCAGCTGCAGTGAAGCTGTCCATATGATTGGTCTGGAGCGCAACAGTGACGTGGTAAAGATGGCTGCCTACGCGCCTCTTTTACAGCATATTGGATATACACAGTGGTCGGTGAGTGCTACCCACCTTTCCTTCTATCGATGCCCGACTGGCAGCCTAAGCAATCGCAGCCTACCCTGATTGGATTCGATTCGAGTCCGGAATCCATTACACGATCGACATCATTTTACGTGCAAAAGATGTTCTCCACTAACCGCGGCACGACAATACTCCCCGTCAATTCAACGTCAGACTTTGGGCCGCTCTACTGGGGCGCATCAAGAACGAACAGCACATATTATGTGAAGCTGGCCAACTATGGGGAGAACAACCAGACAGTCCAGGTGAATGTGCCAGACACGAAATCGGGGATGCTGGAAATGCTTTCGGGCCCCAAGGAAGCATACAACACAGTCCATAACATTACCATTGAGCCTACGGTCGACAATATCACGAGCTCTGACGGCAGCTATTCTGTTGAAATGGCCCCTTGGTCTGTTGCAGTTTTGGTTGTGTCGTAGACCGCGGTTCTGCCTGACTTACCCTGTGATGCTTCTTTCTCTCGCCAAGCCTTATTGTCAAATACTCGTGGTTCAATTAGATAGATGGTGATTATGTAGGCTCCAAAAACAGGGAGAATAGGTGTCACTCGGACGGCAACCTCCTATTATGGCAAGAAAACCCAGGATATGTACATGAACCTCATATACTATCTAAGCCATTTATTTATAGAATTTCGGAAGTGAAAAGTGACGGTCACTTGAAGTTTCGTATTTCATTAGGTATATATATATCCTGCCATTTTCAATGTCGCCAAGAAGAGAAGAATAACAGCCGGAAAATGTAGACGAGAGAGTGATGCACAGCCCAAAGGCCCGGCCCTGTATGTTCCTAACTGGGCCGACTGTTGCTTTTGACCGGGTTTCTCTCGACCAGTACAGCTGAAAACATCATCGACCCTGCTAGGGCAACAGCCAAGTAAAATGTGTACTGCAATGCTGCATTGTAAGATAGAGTTACTCCCGGGAGATCCTGCGCCGGAACATTGCCTTCCGAACGTGTCGCACCCAAGTGAATGACCGTCTCTGGGTTGAGGAGTGGCATTGGCTACTGTAGATGGGTCGTAAGGCGATTGAGGAAAATTGCCTGGGCAATGCTGATGAAGATGGCTCCACCAAGGTCTTGAGAAAATGTCATCAGAGCCATCCCTGCATATAGATCATGCACGTCAAGGACGGTCTGAGGGGCAATGAATGGGGTAGGCACGCCGCTACCAGAGCCTATTCCGAGCAGGACAAGTGAGGGGATCCAAAGAGTACGAGGGCCCTCCTAGGGTCAGTTAGATTGTGATCGCGACACCGCCAACCACAAAGAGGCTGGAAGGTATCATCACCGGCGTATAGGGCCCCCACCAGGAGATGAAGCGCCCCGTGAGAGCAGAGAATATGAGGATGGCAATCACGAGAGGAAGAGTGTTGATTCCTGACTGGAGGGGAGACATCCCGCGGGCCGTTTGAAACCAAACGGAAGCTGACGCCTGTCGTGATCTCATAACCGGGTGTGAGCAGTGATGAAAGGAGTCACCCTTTCAACTCACATAATATTGAACGATTGCTCGACACGCCGAGAGTGAGAGGCTAAAAAGGGAAACAGCCAAAATCGACCTGTTCTTCAGAATTTGCGGAGGAAGTATGGTCGTTTACTGTTTGCGATACTGGACTAGACAAGATAGTAAAACCAACTGGAGAGAGAACCAACAGGACAATAGCCCGAGCATTGTCCCAGTTATATGTCTCGCCGCCCCATTGTAGCGTGAGCAAGCGCCAGAGAACCACCGGAGCAAAAAAAAAAAAAAAAAAAAGAAACCCAGCAAGTCAAGCTCACGAAACTTCTGGATTTGTGTTTTAGGGCCCCGGGAAGGTATGTTAGGCCACTCCAAGGCAAGCAACAACGCGGCCAGAGCGGTAGCCGTGAGGAGGATTGATATAAAAGCACCGTCGCCACGACGGACTCGTGGTTAGCACGACGCCAACGATGGGTGCGATCGCGATAGCCGAGTATCCACTGACGCTGATAAAGCCCAGGTAGGTCGCCTTTTTGTGAAGGGGGTGAGACACAGCAACAGTGCAACAGTGCTAATTGATGTTACTGAGAAATACTTGATGCTAATCCTTCAATCAGAACTTACACCATGCATCCTTGGCTAATGCAGGAAAACCCCAGGCCAGTGATTGCCCGACCATCTATAAACACCACGGAGCTCCGAACCAAACCTGACATCAAAATCCCACCCTCAAAGATTACCATGCTGATGAGGAAAACCCACTTAACCAGGTAGTCGTCGTCATACAACTTGCCCTGAGATAGTTGGGACATGTAGGAGAGCCGACCTTCGGCAGGTTAGCAGCAACCTGCGCCTGATTCTTAAATGTAGGGACGCTAAGTTCTCACATTGACTGCCAGTGGATGAAGAAGTCCAGTTCTTATATGAAGTAAAACAGCACAAGGCAAATAAGATGTATATTCCACAGGGCGGCCCTTTATGCTATATAATCATGCGTTAGATTGCATGTCACTATCCTTTGTTCGTGGTGCTACGTCTTATTTGATTTTGATATAGGCAAGGAAGGTTAGATATGTCCAGGATAGAAGCCGATGGTGCCAACAAGTCTTCAGTACGTCAGCCTATCTGTCGGCATCAATTGGTGCCTCTGATAGCATTTGATTTGATGTAAGGTTAATGCATCAATCTTATTTAGTTGGACATCTGGATCCATGAAAATCTTGCGAGGCTATTGAATGGCACATATGTATGTGAAATGGCAAATCTATGCATAATATGGTCGTTCTATTGCATTTTCGTCGCTCTTCTAGCTAGTATAGATTGACACTGCCTCAATGGCTTTTAAATGGTGAGGAAGACTAACGGACTAAGCTAATCATTTCTTAGTCCATTCGAGGGTACTTAGGAAGATTGTCGTAAACTCAAGGGCCTGTAACGAGAACCACCTATCTACCGGGGGACTTATAAGAGCTACTGAGGGAAAGGACTGACTCACTAGCCACTACATGTGAAGTTGATGGATCAGATCTTCACCTTACCAGGAAATATCCTACGTATACTTGTCGGACCAAGATGGGCGAGTCACTGAGATATTACCTTGATTCTATGCTACCGTATCTAGACGATGCAGCCTAGGTAGGCTTCTTTCTACTACCCTTTGTGCATGGTTCATCCTTTCCTAGAACAGCTACTAAACGGGTAGTCCCGGAATTTGAGCAGGGGTTATTTGGCCTACATCTAGCGACATTTTTTCTGGACTAACATTCGAATGCCCTTTCACCCTGGTGGTGGTACATGATATCGAACCTGCCCTGAGGAACACTTCAACCGTAGATAAGCGCCGTTGAATCATGGAAGTATCAGGCCCATTTAGGAACATAATTTGTTATATGTAGGCATATAAATGCTACTAAAGATCGCCCCTTGCCTCGTCTTACATCCTTTGTCTTTACGTCAACAGCTTTATTTATCTGTCATCAGAGAGACTCCATGCTAGACAAGCTATTTTGATCTTTTAATTCTCTTAATGTAGCTTGGGAAATTCTGCATTACTCCCAGAGGTAGAAGAGCACCGTTAGTTGGTCGTGGGTGTGAGTATTTAATTATGTTTATAAATAGGACAGCTCATAATTTGAACAGCCTCGGTCACTGATTTACTACCATCCTCTAAGTTTTCCAATAAGACCTCCTTTTGCTCCTCAAGAGTATTAAATATAGCGTATGGTTCCTGTTCGCCTTCCTGAACAGCTTAGACCAAACAAGACAAAGGAGTACAAAAGGAAGTATCATGCTGCTCTCAGTATAATGGAGTCTACGAGGAGATTTAGTTTGGGCAACATATAATAGAGTCTTGTTTCTTTCACTTGGTCTTATTCTAATGTGACTGCTAAGTGTTGAGTAAGCCGCTTGGTGTAGATAAACCACAATAAATTCATCATATATCAATATAGAGCATTAAGCGACAGAGCGAAGATTTGGAAGTATATACTAAACAGGTGGACTCCTAACACTTGGTTAAAGCAGCATCACATTGTTCCGAATGGAACAGCAGACCGTTTTAGTGACACGAATGCTCCTCTACCGTTCGCAAGATGGCCCTTGACCATGTCGGATTTGTACCTCTGTGTGAATGATGCCTCCTTCACAACGCCGTACTTTACGATATAAAGTGTAGGATCGCCAGCTACCTGAGCGATGCAGTTGTGCCACGGTGTAGGAATATGTAGGAGATGAGATGCTGTCATAACATCTTCATCCTCTTCGTTCCCATTGTTACCATCGACAAAGCCCAGTTCGCGAACAGCACGGACGGTCGCGGTGTCAAAGAGTCTGATTCCAAACTTCGGGCCAGAGTTATTATGTGCATGAATCGACAGACGCAGATAGTCGGGAAACAACAACTCGATCAAGTTTGAATATGCCTGGTTTCGCAGGATCATTTCGAACGAGACCCTGGAGGCTAGCTTCTTTCGCTGAGTACGCGATCGAGACTCGGTAAGTGGGTGTTGGTCTAGATCTTCAAGCATGAATCGCGAGAATCCGCGATACAGCGCTACAATCGACTCATCTCCGGATTCGATCTGACTTCGAAGGCTTTCTCTCGAAGGCTGACAGCCAGATACCAGGATATGACGACACAGTTCCGCGACGTCGTCAAGAATCGTTGGGAGATAATGAGGCAGGTCGGGAAGCTTCATTCTACCGAGGGAGGCAAAATCTGGTAGCGATTTCAGATCAAATAGATCGACAAGAGACTGAAACTGAACTAGCTCGTTCGGCTGTCCAAGTTCCAAGGAGATCGCATGATTAAGCTCTTTGAGGCGTTCGCCGTATTCGTCCACCGTTTTATCATCAACCCCGACTACCCCTTGTTAGCTATATATTACCACAGCGCTGTGTGTAGGGCCAGCTTACTGCAATCGCTAAACACATGTCCGTCACTGATGATGGAAATCCTAGCTCCAGGAGGATATACCTTTTTAACGTTTCGAGCAAAAGCATGCAGTTGGCGCAGCGCAATTTCTTCCCCTCGGTCTGGGAGGACACCTATAACCTTGTCTGGATTCGATGACTTGCAAGGAAATGCCGGAAGACACAGTTCCAGCGTGAGATTGTGACGTACAAAAAAGCGCACCTTTGCTGCAAAATACGCCCGACCCTCTGCTTCCCATTGATCATTGGGCACGCGATACCGAAGCTCGGCATCGAACAGGCTGACGATCGCCTCAACAGTTGAGTCTGTCGGAGCTGCAGCCTTTGATTGAGGGCTGACAAGGTGAACGTCAACGTTAATGCGGGCCAAGATCAACTCCACAAAGAATTTGTCTATTGACGTTGTGCTCATCGACCATCCCGGTGGAGTTGGCCCGAGAATGAGCCCAGCGACATTCTCGCTCTTCGCTCTGCAGCTTTCGTAGACGTCCACTTCCCGGGACCCAAAGTTGAGAGTATTACCAGGCAGGCAAACTCTAACATGCTGAGACAAGCTTGGACCCCTGACTGTGACTGCAGATCGGATCGTTAACCAAGAGCGTTGGACCCATTGCGAATGCAGTCCCACGCAACGGATGAGATCACCCTCTCGGCTTCGTACATAGGCCCCAAGAGCCCTGTCGTGGACCGAGAGCGTTGTGGTAGTATTCCGCTTGAAAGTCATACTTGTACCGGTGGCAATGGACGTGAATGGTGTATTCATGCAATGAAGAAAACATGAAATTTCTGGGCCTGGCAAATAGGCAACCGATTGACCAAGTCATTACGTCTCAGACCATTATTGATATCCCTTTACTAACAAAATATGTCAAATTATGTAGGGGGATGTTCCGCATGCTCCCCTTTCTTGAAGGAATGGCCACCATCACGAGCCTGAGCATGAATGCTCGCATTATTACGCGATATTATAGGTAGGCTACAAGGGAAAAGCATAGTTTGCTACTTTTGCCCAAGTATTGGGGCGAATGTAGACCTGGCACCGGATCCTTAGAGATTCCAGCTGGTGGGGATAATGGGGCCATTCTATCTACTAGTTCATCCATACACGATATTAATAAAATGGCCAGACCGGATATTCGGACGGAACCCGCGATGGATACTCCAATGTAGCTTCTGTGCCGTACTAGGTAAGTGTATCCTTCGACAGCCAGCCAGCATGACGCTATTGTTAATGAGTCTCGCAAAGGGCAAGTGGTTGCGAAATAGGGTGGAGTCTGTGCTTATATTTTCCGATGTTTAACATGATATATGCTTCCTCGGCACGTTACGCTTTCAGTGTTTGACACATTGGCGCCTATTATTGCGATATGCTAACAGCGAACCTCAGCGCAGTGCTCATGAACGGTCTTTCGACCATGATATGGCACGCCCTTCTGGCCGTCGTCATTATCCTAATATCGTATATCATATCAACAATTGTACCTCCTCGCCACCCTCGAAATATTCCGGCTGTTCCTTTTTGGGTCACCTTGCTGTCTCTGTTCCGCGACATCGACCAAGAGGACATCTACAAAAAGCATATCCAAAAGCCTCTCCACACGCACGGGGCTGTTAAGATATTCTTCGCAGGCCAGTGGAACCTGCTTGTCCAGCGATCCACCTATCTTGCAGAGATATTCAGGAACGAGGAGCTGTATCAGAAAAGCGGAAACCAAAAGAAGATTCCACATAGTGTTTTTGCAGAATTTCTAGGTAGGATTCCTGTCATTTATTCCAGACTCACATGACTAGTAGCTAGTCGTAGAGATTCATCTGGATTTCATGTCTCTGACTCGTGTGCCAAGGTGACAATGTAATATCCTCTCGAAATACGACTTGGCGCCTGTATCGAGACATTATTACCCCAGGTCTTCAGGGAAGCTTCGACATAGACATCCTGGTTGCAAACGCGGAAGGGCTATGTTCTTCCCTTTTGGCGTCCCAGCATGTAGCTGGCAACCGGGGAGTCCATGTCCAGGATCTGTTGCAACAGTTCACCATTGCGAATGTATTGCAAGCGCTCTTGCACGCAAACAACGTCTGTTGCTCCATCCATCAGGCGGAAAGTCTATACACTGCTAACCAAAGGTCCAGAAGCCCACAAGCTCTAACGAGCCATCACTTCACCAGCTGCAAATAGCCGTGAAGGGAGAGATCTTCAAGCCCATGTTCATGAACTTCCCCGTCCTTGACAGGTTTAGCGATCTTATCCCGTGCCGTGTGAGGGCCCGCGACATGGTGAAACAGTTCTCAGCCACATTAGAGTACTGTGTCAGACAAGGCCAGCGATCAGCAAACCCGAATAATCTGGGGGCACGGCTAATTGCTGCAAGAGACGGTGGCGTCCTCACCAGGAAGCAGTTCCGGGATAACCTGAACGTACTCTTTGTCGCGGGACAGGAGAACCCTCAGTTGCTCCTGATTTCGATACTTTATCTGCTAGCGAAACATCCAGTAAGCACGTGAAGATGTTTATATGTAGACATCACTAATGGTCTAGGATGTCCAATCTCGCCTGAGGACCGAAATCCATACGTGTGGCACAACTAATCCGTCCAACGTTGCGCTCAGCGAGCTTCCATACCTAACATCTGTTATCTATGAGAGCCTCCGCCTCCTTCCCCCAATATCACAACTGATTAACCGCAGGACATCGCAAGACGCAGTGCTCGGAAACCAAATCTACATACCTAAGGGTTCATACCTCGGATACAACTGCTACTCAACCAATCGCGACCCTTCAGTCTGGGGTCCAGCAGCGGACGAGTTCCGACCGGAACGGTGGGGCTACAGTAGCACAGAGGTCCTGCAGCGGTACCGTCAAAGGAGAGCTCGAGCGGAATTCATCTCCTTCCACGGGGGGAGTCGGGCGTGCTTGGGCGAGAAATTCGCGCTCCTAGAGGCGCGAGTGGCGCTTTTCGTCCTGGTCAGCAGGTTCACTTGGTCGCTGGATCCAGAATGGCCCGATCGCAAGACCGCGGTGAGTCGTGCTCCGAGCTCTTGATATCCATGTCCTTTATTTAGGAGCGGGCCGGGGGGGGGGCGCGCTGCTCAAGGAACAAACGCTGACTCGTGGGGTGTTTCAGGCTGGCCCACTCTATCCGCGGGCTCTCCGCTTAATTTTCACGGAAAAGAAGGTAGGATCAAATGGAATGATTTGAAGGGAGGTCGGTTGAAGTGTATATTCTTGGCACATAGGAAGAGACTTGGTATGCGGTCTTTGCAGGATGCTTCCTGTAGTAACTAGGCAAGTGTTGGGTGCATATCCAAACCCCCGGAATATCTCCGAGGCTAAAACAAATCGGAAAAATAAATCTCTCATTTGTCCTTCTGGGTAGAATAAGGTATAAGCCCTATGACAACACGAATATCAGAGGATGGATTGTGCTACTGATCTTGATAAGAAAATGTGCGCAAAAGCCCTCTCGTGCTTACTAGGGTTAGTATAAATGTGGTGCTTGTATTCCTTCGCTCTAGATATCGACAATGCTATGGATTGCCAAGAGACGCTAGTTCACAGAATACGGAACACTATTTTGCCAAGTTTTCTTGCATGAGCTTCGTAGCTTCCGATTCATGCTCGATCAACCATGGGGTGAACGTCTCCATTGATGAGGCAATTACTCCACTGGCTCGTGTCAGTATATGGCCGCTTTCACGAGTTTCGAGAGGAAATGTCACGAGAGGAAAAGCCAAAAGAGAAACGGAAATTTTCTTTCCATCTGGAGTAGCGCTTACAGCGCGTTTATAGTGACTGGGGATGCTATGAAGTCGTCTACTGGTGCCTTGGCTACCGGGAGTGGAAAGAAATCTCTCATTCAATTTGTCATGTAAGACCACATAATCTAGGACAATATTGCCTCTAGACTCGGCACGCTATCAGTTGTCCTCCCTAGCCGCATCCAGCGGCACCTTTGCATCCTCAATCCCCTTCGGGATATCCACCCAGATATACAGCAGGAAGGCAACAAAGATAAGCAGCACGTTCGGAATCATAGGAAACCGTAGATTGTGCATATGATCTTGAATCACACCCTGCACCAGTGGATTAATCCAACCAGTGGCAAGGTCCAGCGTGATTTCCATACCAAAGAACTGTGCTTCAGATCCGCATGGGATGAGAGAGGCAAAGACCGTTCGGTTATAGGATCGCAAGGCACTACTGGTACTCATGAAGAGCACCTGCTCCACCCAAAACTCTGCGGCGTGTTTATACCCGATGGTAACGTCGTTGCTGATCCCAATACATCCCCACAGCGCACAGAGAAAGTTGACACTCAAGAAGACGTACGCCCAGCTCTTAATAGGAATACGGACATGCGGGTAGATAAAGAGGAAGCTCAAGCTACCCATGCAGGCGAAGATCACGTTGGTGAAGGACCAGACTTGGTAAACGCCCGACCCTCTGGCGATGCCGGTGACTTCGAGGAAAAGCGACTGCATCAGTCCAAGGTAATTGCTGTAGCCGGTGTTCCACAGAATCCAGCCAATGCAGAATTTGAATGCTTCGGGATATCGGCGTGCAGAGGCAATCATGCGTATCCAGCCCTTGACGGCCAGAACCAAGAGATTCCGCCCCTTGGGCCGTTCCTTTCCGGGGACAGAAGGAAGCAGGAACTGACCAATGGTCGCAAAAGTAACTGCGTGGAGCGTTTAAGAACGAGGCTCAAGCCGGGAGCGAGACTCAACTTACTGGTAATGCAGCCGGCTATGGTAATGGCAAGGAGGTAACTGAAGTAGCCCACCTTGACATAAGACCCGATCCCGTACACGAGAATGACACCAATGAGCAGAGAAACGATGCCACCGACGTTACTCGCAACTAGGGCCAGAACGCTCACCGTGAAGCCCTTTTTCCACGTGCGCTTTGTGTCTAGATCAGACGCAGGTGACGCTGAATGTAATCCACCTACCGAGCGCATGAATATGGGAATGTACGATGCCTCGATCACAGTATATACACCTTGAACGGTCGTGAGCAAGCAGTACAAGGTCGCGAGTGCGTTGAGGTGAGTATAGTCGGCCCCAGTCAAGCCAGCGAAGGGTAGCGCCAGCGCTCCAAAAAGAAGGATTGAACATAGCATCATTGTTTTGCGATAGCCTTGTTTCCAGTGATCGAGTCAGTGACCATTATCCCGAGTCCTTTCGCTGACTACATGGCAGGAACACACTTACGAGAATAGTCCGCCACCCCTGCAGTGATGATAGTAATAACACCCTCCATCGCGCGGCCTATTGAGCGAAGATAGAGCCTAATTCGTTCAGTGATCGTTCCCAGGATGCCATTAGGAAGGACGTACACATAGCTAACATAGTCGATCTCACCAGCCCCGAACTTCACCAGGCATTTAATATTTCCTCGGCGAGCGCAGGGCTTGTTCGATCCCGGTTGGTGGCCGACGGTATTCGCAGCAGACTGGATGGCGGCCGAGACATAGTTGAAGGCCATTGAACTGGTTGGGCCCGTCTTGAGGCGATGGTCAGTAAAGGAATATTCTACCCAGATATATCGAATTTAACCCACCGAAAAGCACAAGATTAGATAGGCCCATAATGCCTTTTTGGTGCCTAGAGAGGCAACTTGTTGATTCTGGACCCTGGTCTCATTGGCATTCTCTTCATCAGGACCAGGACTTTGTTCGCGAGTGCGAAAGTCGCGCTTATTCTGGTCCGGTTTGATGATACCGTCTGTGGATGACATATTCAATTCCAGTTCATATAGACAAATGTAGTGATGAGGGCTGGAGCGTCACTACAAAGACAAATTATTAAAGGCGAGAACAGGACTGTGGCCACACAGAGAATATTTCAATGGCATTCGTAGCATGAATGCATAACTATAAACCCTCGACCTACCAAACCCGAAACGCACGAAACAGAATAAAATAGAATAGAATAAAATACAAAGGCCGGTTTGCAAGAGGCCGTAAGCTATAAGCTAGTAGGACTGACTAAATGCGCGGGATTGAGCACATTTTCCTGGATACCCTGCAGCGCCGATAACTAGTATGGTGGAGAAAGACCTTTAATTATATCCTGCCTTTGTGTTATTGAACTCCACTCGAGTTTATGAGTTGTCGTGACCCAATTTGTTATTATTACTATTTTTCTTTTTACCCCTTCATATACGTACAACATGGGCATGTTTTATCTGCGTGTCGTTCAGGCTGGGCATTCGAGCATCTAATTTTTTTGAACATGGCGGCGAACGAATCATCTTCAATAGCACAAAATGATCGAGTATCAACCCTTCCAGTGGCTTCGAAGGACTCGCCTTTAGCTACAGTGACGCAGACGCCTTCATACTCAGCCTTTTCTCGCCCAAAGAGAGTGCTTATTCTCGCCGTGGTAACATTGGCTGGCTTTTTAGGTCCATTGGCAGGAAACATTTATCTTCCTGCTTTACCTGTCCTCGAACACGAGTTCCACGTAACTGCTGCAGCCATCAATGCGACCGTCTCGGTATTTATGGCGGTCTTCGGCTTCGGGGTGAGTCCTTCGACGTAATCCCAGATTGTCGGCGGCCATGCGTTAACCCCTGTCCAGCCTCTCTTCTGGTCCAGCTATGCGGATTGGAAAGGGAGGAGACCGTTGTACTTAATTTCCCTAGTGGTTTATATTGTCGCAAATGTCCTGATGGCCGCCCTTCCCGCCAACTTCGGTGCTCTGATCTTTTTGCGTATTGTCCAGGCATTTGGTTCGTCGGCCGTGGTGTCGATGGGCGCCGGCACAGTGGCTGATGTATGTAACCTTCCGGATTCACGATCGTATACTGTACTTATCATCTATATAGATCACAGAGCCGAAGCGGCGGGCCAGAGCGATGTCATACTTCATGCTAGGCCCTCAGTGCGGTCCAATCTTAGGCCCCATCTTGGGAGGTGCAATTGCCGGGCACACAAGCTGGAGATGGATCTTTGCTTTTTTGGGTATGTATTATGCATATCCCTATACCTTCCTTCGATTCTTATGCAAACCCAGCAATTCTTGCGGCTGTCCTCTGGCTCGTCATGCTGCTATTCCAGCCAGAGACTCTCCGTGCCAGAGTCGGCAACGGAAAGCTGTATAGCGACGAAGGCTGGATATTGTGGCCGCCCAGTCCATTTTCCTGTCTTGCCCCAGAGCCCGAGCGCGGTCCCCCTCCCCCGAAGCCTACCCTAAAAGGCTACTGGCGCCTTTTCACGTATCCTCCGATTGGCATTGTCTCGGTCAACACAGCCATTCTCTATTCGTCGTATTTCGGAATTGCGGTCCAGCTTCCTACAGCACTGGAAGAGGTATATCACTGGAGCTCTACTCAAGTAGGAGGCGGATATGTCGCCGTTGGCATCGCGATGGTTGTAGGCTCTATCGCAGGTGGTCGGCTATCTGACTGGCGTCGAGCCCGCATGGTCAAGCGGCTTGGGGAAGATAACGTGGCACCTGAAGACAGACTCCGGGACCAGATTGGAGGTATCTTGTTCTGTGTTGGTGGCTTAGCTATGTTCGGCTGGTTTGTCGACCGGGCAGTCCACCCGGCAGCAGTGTTGGTGTCGACATTTCTTGGTGCGTTTGCGTTCTCTTACAAAGGGTATGATATCAGTGGTTACACTGGGCTAACTGCTTAATCGGTTACAGTTGGATTTGGAATGTCGTGGATCTTCGTTACGACTAACGCCTTCCTTACCGAGTGTATACGCCAGCAGGCTGCCCAAGCCTTCGCGTTAGGGAATATGCTTCGCAGTCCCGCGGCGGCAGTGACTGCAGCCATTATCCAACCACTAACCGTGAGAATGGGATGGGGATGGTGTTTCACCGGGCTGTCAATATTGAATTTCGTTCTGGTTGGCTCTGCGATTATTATCCTGCGGATCAAGTCTCCCAATTGGAGAAGAAAAAGATCTTCTCAGATGATGGGGAAATAAGGATAGTTAATGCATGGCTTTATACCTGTCCAAGAATAGTATCATGATAGCCAAGAGACTCCCTCCACTTTGTATAAGTAACGTACATTCAGCAAAATGACGAAAATCTAAATACACACGTTTTATCAATACCTTTACCTGTCTCATCGCTTGACTGCCGTAGCCGAGAGCTATATGCGCACGCCATCCCGTGTACAGATCACCCCATAGATAAGACTATGGCAAACAGAAGAAAGAAACTCGTATTATTCTCTCCGCATTCCATTAGTTCCGTTTTAAACCTGACAGGACGTCGCCCCCATTAGTTGGAGAAGCGCGGAGGGAGAAATTGTGTGATGTCCGCCAGATATTGGTCAAGTCCATCTAGACCTCGGCCAAGGCGTATCATTTGTTCATGGTACACCAGCTCTAGTTCCTGTTACTATAGGATACGGAACTGCCGTTTATTTATTCCCCTATGCCTATGGCCTTTTTACATTTTATTTTTTATTTTTTTATTTTTTTTGTTCGCTGTTAGCCTCATCATCTCGCCATGGAGAATGCCACAAAATCACGAGTGCTAACCGACGATAGAGAGAGTAGCTCCGACTTGGGCACAGAAGATGAGAGGAGAAAAGCTCTGCTTCGATCGTTCACACCCGAGGATGACAAAAGCATTCGCCGAAAGATTGACAGGCGGTTTTTGTTTCTGATAGGCATGATGTACATTATCAAAACTGTGCGTAACCGGCGTCATCGAGATCCTATTTTCAATGCTTATTCCAAGTTACTTTATCACAGATAGATTACACCAACGCGGCCTCTGTAAAGGTCCTGCAGGCCGGTGAAGATCGTAACGTGCTAAAAGAGCTCAGAATGACATCGGACGAATACAATTGGGTTCAATCAATTTACTTTGTTAGTTCAACCCCTTTTGCTCTAAGACATTCCGGGTTCATAGCTCTTAGTCAAATACAGAGGCGGAAGACGAACAAGGGTTAACAAATCACAGATCAGCTACATTGTCTTTGAAGTACCGAGCAATCTATTACTGAAGCGGCTTACGCCTCGCCTATGGCAGTCGCGGATCATGCTGACATGGGGCATCGTCCTGGCCTGTCATGCAGCAGCAAAAAACAAGGAAACACTGTGGGCATTGCGCTTCCTTCTCGGAATGTGCGAGGCAGGAATGTTTCCGGGTATCGCTGCTCAACTATGTGGCTGGTACCGCAGCGATGAAATGGGCAAGCCGATCATGTGGATGTTCGGCTTCCAGAATACCTCTGGCATTGTAGGCTCTTTATTAGCGTACGCTATATCATACATGAATGGGCTATGTGGGATGAGTGCATGGCGCTGGTTAGCATCGCGCCTACTACTTTACCAACGCATCTTACTAACTACTTCGAAGGATCTATTTACTAGAAGGCCTATTCACCATCCTCTTCTCTGGGGTCATATATCTAGTCCTTCCAGATTGGCCCAAGTCACCCCGTACCAGAAAGTGGCTCACAGAGCGCGAACAAGAGTATGTAGAAGCCCGACTATCCGAGAATGCACCTAAAACACAAGACTCGAACTTCTCCAAAGAAGAGGTGATCGCATCACTCAAGGATCCACGAACCTACGCCTTCATGTTATCCCAAGTTCTTGTCAACTTCTCCGGATACGCGCTTACATGGGAACTTCCAACAATCACCACCAGCCTGGGATTCGCCGGGCTTCCACGGAACCAGTTGCTTAACATCCCCCCGTCCGCGGCAGCCGTTTTGGCGATTATCTTCTCGGGCTGGTTCCTTAAGAAAGCCTATCTGACTCGTCCTGCATACACAATGTTCTGTATTATGGGGCCAATGCTGTTGTTTTTTATTTTGCTCACGGTTTTGAAATCCCGTGTCGGGATCTATATTTCCTGTGTGCTGGGTAACATGTTTTATGCGGTATATTTCATTCCGTTTTGGGCATGTACGTTGCTTAAGCATATCTAGCTCGTCTGTTAAATTCCCTTACTAACTATTAAGCAGGGCGAACATCTTCCTTGAAAGGTACCACCGGTGCCGCATTCACTCTAGCCTTCCAGTCGTGCGTCGGCCAAATTGGCGGCGTTATCGGTCCACAGCTGTTTCAGTCCAGATTTGCATACAATGGGTACAAGACACCATTTGCTATCTGCGCTGGAGTAGTTGGCGCGGCATGTCTTGCGAACTTATGGACATGGTGGTTGACCAGGAATGTTGAATGGGATGTCCGTAGGATTCGTCGGTTGAGAATTAAGGAGGAGAAACAGGGGAGGATATACGCCGACGACGATGTAAGAGTCTATCAAGAACGACTGTTTTACGAGGGAGTTACCAAGAAAGGATCTGAGCCAAATGCGACTAGAGGTGTATAAAATGTGGCCAAAGTTCTGAGAGACGATTACGGTAAAGCGACTCTCATGATTATATATTAGCACCAGACATCTTTTGTAGGGGATTAGTAGCTGGGCATACTTTCCCTATATTATCTCATATACATCCAGCGTAAAGGGGTTGGTTCATTTCTACCCTAGATCTCAATAAGACAGCGTAAACCGCCCGATAACCCGCTAGACATCTATACTTACTCGGCCTGCCTGATGACGGTCGCGGGCGGGACCTAATGAATGCCATTCTGACTATTTCGGCTTTAACTGCAGCTACGTAAGGCTAGTATTAGCACATATCTCTAGCAAAGCCCGCAGGTGCAGTGGAATAGACGTGCTTTGATCCCGGCAGCACGTCAAATGGAGACTATCCTGCATCTGTAGTTGCGGTCAACAGGAGCAATTGGGACAAATGGCTGTAATTAAAAATAAACTAGCTTAATCCAACCTCCAATACCCCTCTAAGCAGGAGTTTATAATTAGACTGACTATATAAAACTAGTTTTAACCTGAACACCGTAACTTTTATGCCACCTATCCGGACCCCTCGAGTCCGCAGTCCACTCGAAGATAAAGACAAGTACAATATTGGGCGACACCAGAGGCATTGTTGTTAGCGACCAAACCGCTCTTCATGATGACATGAAAGATGGTGGCCTCCACTATGCAAGTCGTGGTCAGGTCTTCCGCGATGATAACCTGGACACCGAAACCATTGCAGGCCTCGATGCGGAATGGATGGGAGCACGAACATCCTTAACTGCCGACGAAGAGAAAAGGCTACTACGTCGAGTTAATTGGCACATTATGCCTCTTTGTACAATTATGTTTCTGCTGAAGAATATAGATTCCGAGACTGTACGATGCAATCTATAGCCGTTTTACCTTGTGCTTGGCGAGCATACTGAGCTCCTACCTCCAGGTTTCAAACGCAAAGATTATGAATAAAGGAACAGACAGAATTATCCTGGAACAGCTCGGAATGACCGCTAATCAATATAGTCTCGTTACGGTTCTTTACTACGTATGCATCGCGTGACCCTTTTTGACTCTACGCCTTGTTGATCATCTACAGATTCCATATATTGTTGCGGAAACCCTATCAAACCTACTATTCAAACGGCTGCTCCCTTCCAGATGACTTGAATCATGGTTTGAGCTCGCTCTAGATATTTGTACGATGTGGTCGCTAATTTGAGTAGATCAGTTGGGGTATTGCGCTTGTCTGCCATGCAGCAGTCAAGAATAAAGATGGATTATGCGCTGTGTGCTTCCTTCTCGGCTTGGTAGGACCCCTTCTTTGTTGGATCTCATTTGTGGCACCTAACACCGTATTCTAGTTTGAAGCTGGACTCTTCCCTGACGTTATTCTTCAACTATGCTATTGGTACCGATCCGATGAAACGTCGCTACGGTTGCTTCACTTTTGTGGGTAAACATCATTCGTTAGTTTATTCTGGCTCTAACAGAAGCAAGATATCCTTGGCAACCTTTCCGGAATTATCAGTGGTGTGTTAGCATACGCATTCGATACTGTCTCCGGCTCACATGGCCTATCTGGTTGGCAATGGTGCGTCCTCTCCTTGCTGGACAAGTGCTCCCCATTGATTCCGAGACTCAGGCTTTTCCTCACAGAAAGAATCATTACCATCGCTTTCAGCATATCACTAATACTCATATTCCCGGATTATGCCTACTCCTTCGAGAGGATCAATCGCAATACTAACCATGTTATACCAGGTCCTCCACAAGCGAAATGGCTGACTGAGAAACAGAAAGCGTTCATCCAAGCCCGACTACCACGCAATGCCCCCAGGGCGGAAGAACTCAACATCAACTTCCGTGAGATCGTCGACTCTCTGAAGGACAGCCGTCTCTGGCTCTTCACCTTGATATGGGTCTTCTTCACCGTGGGAACACACGGTCTAAGGTTCTACCAACGCACCATGATTTCCAATCTCGGATTCACGTATGTCCCCCATTTACCCCAACAATCCTCCCCCGTGGTACCTGAACTAAACAAAACCAGCGACATCGCAACCTCCCAACTCCTGAACATCCCCACCTCTATCCTAACCGTCCTCTGCATTGGCATCTTCGGCATCTGGGTCGTCAGCTCCCGTGCCCCGCGTCCACTATACCCGCTTTCGTTCCTGATCGTGATCCTAGCCTGCTACGGAGTCCTCTACAGCTACCCCAGCAATGGAGCCGTCTACGCGGTGACTGTCATCGCGAACGCACTAGGAAGCGCCTGGTTCCCGTTGATGTGGCCACGGCGCGTGCAAACCACAAGCCTTGCAACGGGATCCGCCATTTCGATCGGCTTTGTGAATAGCTACGGTCAGGTCGGGGGTGCGATCGGTTCGTATCTTTCGGAGTAAGTATGCGCCGCATTACACGGCGCCGTTTGCGGCCTCGATGAGGTTAATCGCGGCTTGTATTTGGACTACTCTTGGGACATGGTGGGTTACTCGGGACATTGAGAGGGTGACGAGGAGGTTGAAGTTGGCGAGGTTGGGGGCTATGAAGAGGGGGGAGGCGGTGCTGGATCATGTTGTTGACAATGATCTGGGGAAGGGTAAGGGGGTGGGGGAGGGATAGAGTGTGATGTTTGACAGTGAGATTTTCGAGTCAAGGTGAATAGCAGGTTCGAGTAGATCATACTAGAAGTCACTTGGGATATCAAACAGAATGAAACCTGAGGCGTGAATTTACTAGCGGCGACCCAAACGGGAAAGGACCGGGAACCCCGCATTCGAAGACTTACAAGATCATAAGATAGTTAAATGAGATAATTGCGTGAACAAGTCAATCCTGGCTTGGTGCAACACCTGTACGACATTTACTGATTTCTTAAGTTCGTTTCAATTCGGTCAGAATGCCACAACTCCAGGACTATCGCCTCCTCACATTCGACGTCTACGGGACCCTCGTCGACTGGGAAGGCGGCCTTCTCGCTGCCCTTCAACCCAGCCTCAACAAAAATGACGCTCAGTACTCTCGCGAGCACATTCTTAGGATCTTCGATGAGCTTGAGCGGGATCAGCAGGCCAGAACACCAGAGATGCAGTACTCCGACCTTCTCTCTGTCATCCACCCCGCTCTCCTCCAAAAGCTGGGTCTAGACACTCCCACCGAGGAAGAAAGCAAGGCCTTTGGCGAGACTGTGGGCCACTGGCCCGCATTCCCGGATACAGTTGATGCCCTGAAACGATTATCGAAGCACTACAAACTCGTGGTTCTATCCAACGTCGACCGCGAGTCGTTTGCCAAGACCAATGCCGGCAGTCTAGAAGGCTTTCCCTTTGATCTGGTCCTGACTGCACAAGACATTGGATCGTACAAGCCCGACCTCAAGAACTTCAATTACATGCTAGCTGCTGTCAAGGAGAAGTTTGGCGTGGAACCGGGTCAGGTGTTACAGACGGCGCAGAGTCAGTTCCATGACCACCACCCTGCAAGGAAAATGGGCATCAAGTCCGTGTGGATTGTGCGTCCCGGAGCTACCCTAGGTAACCATGAAGAGGAAGTATACGATTGGAAGTTTGACACGTTGGGGGAGATGGCGTATGCTCTTGAGGGAAGCACATGAGAATCGCTAGACTGGGTAGCGGTTGGGAGATGTATATATTCAGCAGTGGTTGAATGATTCGTGTCCTTACCCACTCTTGTTACCCTTCACCTAGACCTATATCCAGTGAGATGGGTGTCCTCAATGAATTCTTAATGAGTCTCCAAGGAACCGCCATGGGCAGTGGGAACAAGTAGTATCAATAAATCAACACTTTTTAGGTGCACAATAAACAATGACGTCACTTCCCCAGATTCCCATCGGGTTGTCGGAGTCTAAGTTAATCCGAGAAACCGGAAATCATGTGCGAATTTGACCGCTTGTTTGTTTCTTTCTTGTCCTTCAAAGATTCATTCTCGATGACCTTTCATGCCTCATAACACTCTTCTCCGGCTTTGATGTCCCCTCCACCTCGCAGAAAATCTTTGCGCTTGAGGCTGTATCAATGGCTTTGGCGACTTCGCAATCTCAGCACCCCCTTGCGGCTACGAGGGAGCTTGGTCCGGCTACGTCGATTTCATGACAGCCCCCTTCTCGCCCTCCTCCGTCTATTAATTCCATTCCCGTATTGGAAGTTCCCTGTCCCAGACCCGGTAGCGCCCATCGATATCCTCGGAAATGTCGAATTGGAAGAGAATAGGCTAGAATATCTGGACGACCTACGAAGTATCCCCTTATGGCGTGCGCGAGACACCCCCATGCGGTCCCTCTACCGGATGTATGAAGCCATGATATCCGGAATGTATGAGGCGCTAGGTCCTGAAACGGAATACTTCTGGTATCAGCGGAAATGGTCGCTACAGAGTATTCGTGACCCTGACGATGCTGACCCGGTCCGGTATGCCATTCTCGCGTGCTTGGTTGAGGAACTCGTCGTGGCATTCAATTGGCGGTTGAGCTTAGGACTGCGCCGGGATCGCAATCACATCATGCGAGAAACAGGGCAGGACTCAATGCCTCCGTATACACCCCTGACGGGGCCGACATGGCCAAACTCGGTGCCCGCGATTTCCCCTGAGGACCTCGATAGCTTCCCACCCGAGTATGTTTCCCCCGACGGGAGGCTTGTGCTCGAGGCAGATGGCCTGAATAAAGTCTTTGCCCGGCGAAATATTGTCACGAATGTTGGTTGGCTTTACACCATCTAAACAGATCACTCCCGATGCCCGGGGTCAAGATACCATACATGTTAGGACGGAACAACGAGACAAAATAGCGAACACGGTTACCATGTGTCGACCCATAGTGGTTTCCGGTTGATGCCTGCTATCAAGGGACTAAGGCACCAACGTATGAGGCGCCAGATTTGTTGCGAAAGCATCGTCGCCGGCTCAGACATTTAGATCCACCACTGATAGCGGGAAAGGCAGAGCTCAGAGGAAGACATCCTCTTTGTATTTTGCCTTGTAAGCGGCCGATATCCGTTTCATCGTCTCAATATTCGGGACCACGTCAAAGCCGTTGATGTTCAATGTGCGGTAATATTCCATGTCAAGCTTCCCTCCCTTAGTGTCCTTGAGAAGCTTCAGCATAGCCAGTGCATCAGACAAATCAAGCTCGGCCTTGCGACCACGGTCCGCCGCGTAAATACGCCGCAATTTCCTTTCCAATGCCCATTCAACCGGTGCGGAGAGAACGGTGATATGGTTCCCGGACCACAGGACGATATTCTGTTTCAAGGCAAGCTCCATTAGCAAGTGCCTCGCTTGCTTCGTGACGAAGAGTGCGACATCTTCATTGGCCCAGTTTTGTGGATAGCCGAGCTCGTCCGCCACTTGCACGATGGCCTTGCGAAGCGATCGCTTGATATCGTCGTCACCCGCCCAGTCCGGCTCCAGCAGATAGTCCAGATCCTTCGTGGTTTGTCGGTTCTTCAGATGCGCCACGGCGAAAAACCCCCCGGCCGCAATGACTTTGATCGGTGCGAAAGCGACGACGACCGGGACTGCGGCCAACTTGGTATCCAACAGCTCTAGGCCTGGTCCGTAGTTAGGGGCGGGTACTTTCACACTATATTGGGAAAGGGGACCGATTGCTTGCCTTTGTAGAAGTCCTCGGCTTCCAGATATTGCTTTCTCCGTTGCATGATGTGGAGCAATTTCGTTCTTTCGCTACGAAGATGGGGGCCCGCAGAACATAGTTATCGTGATATCCACGGTGGAGACCCGTCGGTTTGCTACGGTGAAGCCTGTTGCGTTGGCTGCTGCTGACGTACTGCTACCCGTCTCGCCGGCTGTCTTCCCGCGGGGCATTACTGACCCGTGCTATAGGTAGACAAAGGGTTCCACGCTCTCGTGTCACGCTCAGGCTGTGGCGCAAAGTATGCCATGTGCAGATAAACTCAAGCTTCAGATGCCAATTCATATAGAAGATGTAGTAGCCAGGATGGCTCTGATGACTTCTCCGCGCGCCGACCAGTCGCTTCGGCGTCGTCTTCCCTGCAATCGGTGCGGCAGTCCTGACGCCCTCCTTGCGGCAAATCCTACTCAGATGCCGGCTTGGCGGCGAGACTAGACCGAGAGCACTGTTGAAGCAAGTAGTGAATCGGGCGATTCCACGCGTTAGAAGAGATGTGTTGTCCGATACAAGTCTGTAGGATCGGGGGGGGAAGAGTATCCGTGAGATTTGAATCCGCTCATGGAGCCTTCCTGCGATTGGGTGGTGTAGACATGCATGTAATGTATAGCACCGCATCAGGCAATACATGGCAGGAATCCACGAATAGAATGGTCGCACGTAACAAAATCCAAAATATTTGCCAAGAGTGTCGGATGAACAAAGACGCTCTAGACTTCCCGTGGCTGATCGTCTCGTGTTCTCTTTCCTGAGGTATTATCCTTTTTAGGGTTCCTGCTGCCCTCGTGATTGGAGAAAGATGTGACTAATTCCATATCAACACTTCCCGCTATGGAGACAATACTCCCTAGGCGATCACTTTTCTACCTCGTCAAGGTCTCTGCAAAGACAGGAATACAATTGCCTGGGGCCAATATTCCGTTCCATGCAAATAATTACATATTCTCGATGGCATAATATTTACCGGTTCGACGTCAACGCAACCCACCCGCCTTTAGAATGGCTATCCTTGCTCGTATGGAACATCCGTCCTTGTCTCTCAATACTATATCCGTACTGATCTTCGCGAAGATGGAAGGTATCGTCGAACAGCCGTAAAAGCGAACATCACCCTGGCCCCACAGCTTGTCGCCCACTACATTGTTGCTTGCCTATTCGTGCGCATTCACTGATGATGCGCAGGCCAGAACAAGGGAAAAAATTTTCCCGACGATCTTTGACCCGCACAGACCCGTTCTATAAATCTAAAGAGCGTAGGATAAACGGCTGACAGGAGATCTGAGTCAAACAGTCTCGTCGCAAGATCGGAAGGTCTCCGTAAGCGCGGGTTCTAGATACCACGCCCACTCCTATCAAGAGAAGTTTAACGGTCACTTGAAATGGTGACGGGGATCTTTCTCCAATGTCCTAATGTCCTGCGGGTAATAAGGAATCGAGGAATACAGACTAGTTGGAAAAATTTGGTCATAATAGCAACTGCATATAGTGAATGTACCTCTTCTTCAAACGATGGTAGTCTTCCTGCCTCGACCGCTGTGCTGCGTCTTACTCATTCTGTGCGGTAAGCGGACTACAAAGATAGAATTCGTCAATGCAAAAGATGTAGTTACTCACGATGGCCTTTCTCGCTGGGTTAAAAATTTCGGTGTCTGAATTAGGCAAAAGGCGCACTCTTCCGCAAGGTCTAGGCCGTCCGTGGCACAACAATCTATACAGGGTAGCCACTATTGGAGATAGTCCACCAACCTTGTTACATTTTTCAAAACTGCACCCCGTCCCGGCAGACTGGTTGATAGCGAGAAAAGCCTCTTCGATAGGTAAGAGGCCAAGCTTTGTGGGGAAAGAGGTATATCTACATTTGATAGTACTTCATCAATCCTTGCTAGGTTTCTCGGAAAAAGGACTCCGAACTCTCAATGACTGAGTATCCCTTGCTTTCTTTCCCCAGAGTATTTTCTTAACCACATATACGGCATTAATACACGCACTCATGGCGGAAGAGAGTACTGTTTAATCTGTTAAGGTCAACTGAGTCTGGTGTCTCCAATCCGATCAATTCAGTTGTTGTTTGCACAGAGGGCCAAGGACCTAGGGCATTGCCTTGACCGCCTCCATGAAACCCCAGGAACCTCCCACCTTTCTAGTTCTGGTGTATGTAACTGTGCAAAGTATATTATGGATATTGTCCTTATGTATGAGTTGTTGGGCCTGTTCCAATTACTTTGTTTATTATAATTATGCTTCTAGGCATTTTCTAACGTTTATTATTAGTCTAAGGAAATGCGTAAAGATAAATGTGGCATTACATCTGAGCCTCGGCACACGGGAGAGCTTTTTAGGGCTGGAGAAAGGGGCGCACTTCACCACGCTGATTGGTACCAATCTTCGTGGGATGAAGGAGAGTGGCACGGATTAATGATCATTCTTGTGGTTTGAGTGCCGATCCACTATTCTAGACCCTCTTCCATGACGTCAAACTGGGATATACTATTGGACAATATTGAATCTAGGGTTTAATAGTTGCATTCCTGGACCCGAACCTAATTCGCAGGGCGAACAAGGGGTCCCACGGGTCCGTTCCGACTTCTCTCAACTTTCGTGTCGTCTCCGATTTTTATCTGAACCCCGTATGTCGTGCAGAAAATGTCCGACTCCAAGCCTTCCGACCCAGCCGACGGGAATACCGACAACCAAGATGGTCGTCGATTTAAACTCCCCGGCTGGTTGGACCACTTCAATGCGCACGACCTGAAGACCCTCTTTCGCTGCTGGGCCGCGGCTTGGGTGGCCTCTCTGCTGATATTCATTGGCCCTGCCTTGCACAAGATCGGTATTGCGACCTTCTTTGCGGCGTTGTTGCTCTACATCGTGCCCCCTGGGGGCATTCTCTTTATCTACCTGCTCGCCGGCCTGTCACTCCTCTTTGGTATGTGCCTTGCGTGGGCATGGGGACTCCTCAGCATGAAGGCCGCCTTAGCGGCACGGCCCGATTCGGAAACCCAGGCAATGGTACAAGCAATGCAACAGCAGGCTGTCGCCATCGCCAACCAAACGGGCATCAGTCCTGCTGCGGAGGCGCGAATCCTCGTCTACGATGGCTTCTTGCTCGACACCCGCATCACCGTCATCTTCTACGTGATGATATGCGTGTTCATCTATTTTATGTCCCGCGTCCGCGTCGCCAACCCGAAGTTCGCTCTGGCGCAGATCTTTGGCATTATCATCGCCGACCTCTTCCTACTCTTCGGACCGACCCTGCCATCTTTCAAGGCTTTCCTGCCGAATGTCCTGATTAAGCCAGGCGCCATCGGTATCGGCCTGGGCTTTGCTTGCTGTCTTATCTTCTTCCCGCAATCCACGTCTTCGGTAGCGCTGAGGCAGATGGAGCAACTCGTCCGCCTGGGAGAAACCCCAGTCAAGTTCACCCGGCAGATGTTAGCAGGCGAGCCGCTCGACCTGCAGCAGCTGATGGGCGTCAAGGCCAAGATGATCGGAGCATACAAAGCCATGCAGCCCTCTTTGGCCTTTCTGCCCCTCGACTTTTCCCGTGGTCGCTGGAGCTCGGCCGATATCAAAAGTTTGCAAGAGCCGTTGCGACAAGCCAATCTATCCACCGTGTCATTGCTCGATTACCATATTACGCTTCTCAGAGCCGACCAGAAACTACAAGGGCCCAAACCTTTGTCGCAAGACGGATCTGGCAAGAGTGACGTGCAGGAAAAGCGAGCCCGCGAGGTCGGACAGCGGCAGTTACAGGAGAGCGCAGACATGATGCAAGCGTTGAATAGCCCTGAGCATGGGGCCTCCCGGGCGCGCACGCGAGAAGCTTTGAGGAAATCGACTGCCGGACTCCTCGAGCTGTCTTCGGAAACGAGTCAATTGATTGTGCAGTGTATCCACGGGGTCAACTCTGGCCGATGGTTTCGTCGCGCTGTGTCTCGGAGTCAACTCGGAGAGCTTGCGGCGAGAGCAGCGACCGTCTTGCAGACTCTGCAGGCGACCCGGGTATCATGTGCGACTCAGACAACCGAGAGCCTTTTAGAGGGCCATGCTGATCTGTTCGATGAAAATGGCCAGCTCAAATCGGGTGAGAACCTTGGACCTCATGCTCTCCGCGGTATAGTTCTAGGCATGGTGATGGAGGAACGCATCCTCGGCTCCGCAGAGGCCTTGGAACGGCTTCTGGCTCAGGTACTCCGCCTCATGCAGGAGCGAACTAAGGAACGCATATGGATCCCCTCGGGGCTGCGCTATGCCTTCCGCTGGCTGGTGAACCCACGCCAGAAGGCTCCCGTGGAGGATTTAACAGCCGCCAATCCTGCGACAGACCCCGATGAGGCTGAAGAGCAGACCAAAGAGGCATATCGCCGTCTGAAGATTAGCCGTGGTTACGGGAGGCCCATTCGCAGAAGCCTTTTGGCGAGATCTCTGACTGGCACTTATCACTGGTTCACGAATCCCGGCGGAATGTATGCGCTGCGCATGGTTATCGTTACGATTGCCGTCGCGATTCCCGCTGCCATCCCGCATAGTACTGGGTTCTACTACCGGGAGAAAGGTATCTGGGCCCTTATCACCGCACAGACTACCTTACTCGTGTACATGGGCGATTTCACCATATCGCTCGTCGGTCGAGCCATTGGCACAATTGTAGGCGGCGTGATGGGCATGGTAGCTTGGTACATTGGAGCTGGCAATGGGCCCGGCAACGCCTACGGTCTAGCAGCAATTACGGCCGTGATGACCGCCATACTGATGTGGTGGCGTCTGTTCTTACCTCCGATCTTCACCATGGCGGCCATTATGGGCGGTGCCACCTTTGCCCTGGTCATCGGCTTCAGCTACGACGACACTCACACATGGCAATACGGGCTGCCGGGACATGGTTATGAGGCATTTTGGAAGCGTCTGGTCACCGTGCTATTGGGCTTAGTCGCAGCGTTCATCGTCCAAATATTCCCTCGTCCACCATCGGCTACGCGCCACATCTGCAAGACACTATCCAACACCATCCGCATCCTCTCCGATCACTACGCCCTCCTCCTCTCCCACTGGAGCAAATCAGAAACCAACAGCCCCATCAGCGCAGTAGCCGAAAAGATCGCAATTGATGTTGCCGAAAGCCTACTCTCCATCCAAGGCTCAATCGGCCTCCTCAAATTTGAAATGACACTCAGCCCATTTCACCGCGAAGCTCTAGGCAAAACGCACACCCTCTGTCAAGACATGAATCAAGCCCTGGGCCGTTTACTGATGCTCTCCACCACCCTCCCCCAGCACTTCCAGGAACGGCTCGCCCAGAACGTGGGCATGCTCAACGACCATATTATCGGTGATATCATGGCCGTGCTTAGCGTGATCGAACAGGCACTCACATCAGGCCTTCCGCTCCCGGAGCGCTTGCCGACGCCGTTGGTCAAGAGGTGTTTTGAGACCTGGCTTGCACAGCATCGAGCTGCGGAGTTGAGTACGACGCTAGTTCGGGATGAGAACTATCGGCGGTATTGTGTGGCTATTGCTATGTATTTGAAGTTCTTATCTTCTGTTGATGATATGGTGTTGGTGTTGAAGGGGACTTTGGGGGAGTCGCATTTGATTGAGCGGTGGGATGGTGAGGTGCCGGTTTGATTTTGGGTATTCAGTATGCCCTAGATGGGTTTGCTCTCGATCATGGTGTGGTGTGGTTGCTGAAAATATGGGGATGTGATATTTATACCAAGTAATTGTGGTTTTGCACGTTGAGAGACATTCATGGTTTGTGGGTTGATTTGCTACAAACTCTACATAACTAAATACGATGATAGAGAAAGAGTCAATATATCTTTTGCAATTTTTTCAAGCACATCTACAACAGGCATCCGAGGCAAAAGAGACCTCCTATCTGGTTCATTCCGTCTCCAGGCCCAGGTGGACATAGAAAACTCTTTTCACTTATAATTGGAATATGGTTATCAATAAGATATCTATTCAGAACCCCGATTTACGAGAAAATAAAATAAGCTAGGTATCCAACAGATGGTGAACAAGGAGAAGGTGCTCAGTTGCCTTTAGTTGTCTGTCTCATGGGAAGGCTAGTTAAGTGCTTTGAATCTACCTCGAGCTATTGCCACTTCCACAAGCCTTTGAACGTAACACTTACTCTCGGTAAGACTAAAACCGGAGTTATCGACCATTGCCTCCCTGAATGAACAACCACTATTAGCATGGTAGAGACAAGGAGCGGGCCCACGGCGCATAAGGGTTCGTCATTGTGCATAGTACCTTTGCGCCGTGGAACCATCACATGGACAACAAAGCCCCCATAATCCTACCTAACGGATTCAGAAATCAATGAACGTGCTATGAATAATTCCGCGAGCACCAAGCCAGTGTAGACTTCCCTGCTATATATATGGCAACCCTAGATCCTAAGTCTTACATTCTACTTAACCTCCAAATCCAGCCAACCCACGTTTCCAAAAACCACTAAATAATTTTACTTTCACCTAAAGCAAACCCCAATGCACTCCCCACTAAACTAACAGTCAATGCGCATAGTAACCCTTGCACCGACAACACCAATACAGCCCATCCTACTGGTGAAAGCCCACACCCGCGATTCCCGCAATACCCTACAAACTTCCCACCAATCCCTTTCCACCCGCTCTATACGAGCCAGTGTACGCCGTGCCCTCATTTGCCCATAGTCCACCACGGAGCGAGCTAGACAAGGGTACTCCCCAGATTCCTGGATCCTAGGACCGGGGTAAGTTCTACTTCTTGTTTCTTACCCCGGATATGAGCCGTGGGCTGTGTGCTATGAGGTAATACGTCATAGGATTAGGGTTGTGCCTGCTGACCTATATACTGTGTGGAGAGCTTTTTGCGCTAGGATATATTAAAGAAAGACATACAATTCTATTGAGACGCGTTTATCATAATTTTTGAACAAGCTGGGAATTATGAGTTACATTAAGGAAAGCAAGATGGGCAAATCTGTCCTCCCCTATGTCTCGCCCGAGGAGGTGTTGAAGCGGAACGGGGTGGATCAACCTGACATTTGTGTGTCTATCTACGTTCTCGTCTCTAATTAAGTTAGAAAGAACTATACTGATAGAGTTAGGGTTGGTGATCGATGATATCGTTTATGATTGTACACCCTTCTTATCACGACATCCCGGGGGTGACGCTGTGTTGAAGAGCTTTGCTGGGTTTGATTGTTCGTGTATGTTTTCTACTGTGATGATTTTATGGCTTGAAATCCTCTTGATATGTGGTAAGAACATAGGCTAAATATAGCAACAGGGCAATACCACTCCATCCATGGCGCACGGCGAAAAGTCTCAGCAAACAGGTCATTAGAGAAATTACGAGTCGGCTGGACAGAGGGAGTTAGGAATCCATATTCCAAGCCCGAATGGGCTGAATAATTTCTCTTATATCTGAATATAAATATTACCCTTCGACATACCAGTTTGGCATTTTCTCATATTACACTCTGTAAATAAACCCTATCAAGAAGAGAAGTTTTAATACTCCTGCTCCGCAAGCCTCGGAAACGTAGTCGAGAAATCCAATGCGTCTCGTACAAAAACATCCCAATCGTAGCTATAATTCAACAGACTCGCATCAGGCGGGTTGAGCAACGTATCTGCAGACCAGGTATCGTCCGTCCCATTGCCCGCTAACGGAGATACGGACCCATTCCACTGTTCTTCAGCAGCAGGGCCATCCGGCTTCATGTTACCGTCCGTCGATGCCACGGATTCGTTCAACAGGGCTGCGTCCTGTTCTTTCCGTTTTTGGGATAACCGGACTAGAAAGTCAATCGTTTTGAATGCTCGTCGAGCTTTCTGAGTGCCGAAATGGTCGGCTGCTTTTTTTAAGGTAGCGAGGGAATCCTTGACGTGGACGAGCGATTTACGAGTATCCATTGCGAGCAGGATGCAAGTGAACTGGAACGGGACGTTACTGACGTGCCACCAGGGACAACTGGCGTTGATTGAGCGGGCTGAAGCGGCGAGGCCTCGGCGGCCTAGGCGAATGACCCGGTCAACGACGGAGGTCATGCTGGCGCTTGGGTTGAGCAATTGGAGACGACGGTAGATAGTAAAGGCGAGGATACTCTGGGAGAGGACGACGGCGTCGGAGTCGAATTCAAAACTTTCGATGCGCTGGAGTGACTCTTCTAGCTCTGTCACCTGGACCGTCTGGTCCGGGTCTAACTTCTCCGATAGTTGAAACAGCGAAATAAGACCCATTGTCGGATCACCAGGTTTAGGCGCAGGTAGCGGACACTGGGCCCCTCGAATGACAACCTCCGACCGACCATATTCGAAAGAGATCCACGTATTCAGCAACTTCGCAATCCAGAACACCCTCCGTCGACATTCCAGATTCGTCTCCTGGCATCCCGGATTAACATCAGGATAAACAAACGAACCACGCATCGAGTCACGATGTAACCCCGTCGCCTCAACGATATGCATAGTCGTACACGACGCTATCCACGCCGCATGAGGCGAACTATGACATCTCAGGTACAGAGTCCGTAACAACCACCCCTCAACATCTTCCAACCCCGGATTAACAACCAGCGTACTCGTGCTCTCCAGAATATCCTTAGCACAATCAACCAAATGTCGCTCCTGATCGCTCGCCTTCGAGCGCGCAGAGAACAGTGACCCCAACGCCGCAATTCCACAGAGAACCCCATCATACTCGTTGGACGCACACGGATCTTCCCATCTCCTCGCCGCCCGTCCAGCGACACCCTCCAGGTCCAAGAACCCATAAACAGGATGCACCTTCTCAGCATAAACGGCCAACAACCGCTGCCACGCCGCATGGGACAAAATCCACGTAATGCTCTTCTCCGAACGATGCGGACTCCGCCGCACCCCCAGATTCCACCCGGACCCTTGCTGCATGTTATTCGCATGGTCGGGGCTCAGTTTTAGACCTAGTAATTGCGGGAACACGACGCCGGAGTTAGCTTCCATGGATTTCTCCTCGGTCGGGCGCTGGATGCTGGGTTCCAGGGCGAGGGAGCTTGATGGGGGCGGACCACCGGGCGACGGGAGTGTGACTGGCGGCGAGAATGCTTGTGAGGCGGTGGCTGCTGCGGTCGAGAGTCGCTTCTTTCGAGGAGGCGAGTCGTAAAAGCAACGGTAGTCGTATCGACTGCACGATTCGCAAGGCATTTGGCCGTCGCATTTTCGTTTTCGGATCTTGCATGTCTCGCAGGCGAGTCGGGTGCGGCGGCGGCGGGTTTGCAGGGGTTCTTCTTGGGGTGGGTTTGTGTCCATTGTGGATAGATTACTGTATTGGAAATGGGTGATTTTGGTCCTCTTAGTTCATATATTGCCGATCGACACAATGGTGGTTTGTTGTTCAGTTCGATGATCAAGAGAGAGAGATAGGGTTGGTCAGGTCAGTGGCATCAAAGTCCGGGTGGACCCACAGCTTATATTAGGGTAATTAATGCGGGGAAAAACTGAGTTGATCTTTGTTTTTCTTTTTTCCCCCGCCTCTTATGAGCCTTTTCTGCCCCGGACTTACAGTTCACACGGCATTGGAACCAGAGGGCGAAGGGTCATTAGCATGACGACGCTCGCTATTAAAGCAATAAATATGAGTTGGCCAGACCGCCATTCGCTCGGTACGCTCGGAAACGAACAACGGAACCTGCATGAACGGTCTCTGGTTTTAGGAAAGTGGGGGGGAGGGGAGGATGCGACTGTGGTCTTGCTTGTGCGTCATGTTACAGGAGGTGAGGGTTTACAGGATCATGGGGCTTTGATTGAGGTACTACTGGATGGACAACGATAACATCCTTGGGGTTAATAATATGGAAATAAAGCCAACAGGATAAAGGCCAATTACAACGCGATTAAAGGTACTAATCTGTAACACACAGTCAATCCTCGTTTAATGAGCAAGTGTTCAGTAACTAAGTCTATTGTTGGTGGAGATTTTGCCATTTGTTTACAAGTCGCCTCAGTATATACCGACGATATCATAATCGATAGACTCTTGTTTTTCCATTAACCTCTACTAATTCCAGCTATTGTCTGCAGCGACTTACTTATAATTTAAAATATTTCTAAAAGATCTCTACTAATAAACCTGTTTAGGCTTCTATATCTTCTCTCAGAATAGAAGCCAAACCAGTATTCTAACTTTGAATTATCCAAATCTTTGAGAGCAATACTATACCCGATAGAGCCAAAAAAGCTAAGGCTTCTCAAATCCAGCGCGATTATAACCTGACTGAATACTGTCTTATATACTTTCTAAGAGAAATAAATTTCTAAAAATATTAGAATCTTTCTATTGGATGAAAAGCGTTGCCTGAGTTATATCCTTACCACACGATGTCTCTAGTGTAGGGCTGTGAGGCGCTGTTGGGGTCCTTCATTCTTCTCCTGTCTTATTGAGAAGAAAAATCGTAAGGAGAGTATATAATACGTATATATCAAGAGCCTATCCTAAGGTCAAATGACCTGCAAAGGTTCTCCACACGAGAGCCGCCAAGGAATATACGGTGCTCTCATCTGGTCTGTCTTCTAGTTAGGGGATACGATCCCTAATATGGGGTTTTGGCATAGGATGAGTTGCGACATAGTAGCGTAATACGAGTTGGCCAGACCGCAATATGGTTCGTTCGATACTCTCAGAATGAAGATGCATGAACGGTTCCTGCTTTTGAAAAGCGAAACGAAGAACTCCCTTCTCTAATCCTCACTTCCTATATGAAAGAACCTTTATGCACTCGTGTAATTATATAGCTTTATTATAGAGTAGTAGCAAGATATAAGGATGAGAGAAAATATGATATAGTAAAGAGCTCCAGCTACCGGATAAAAGAAATAAGAGATAAAGAAAACCTTCATTCTTCTACCTAAGACAGATTGCTTACAATTGCTTACTCCAGTCTAGATAAATAATAGTTAGAATAGACTTGGAAGACAAGGGTAGAAAGCGAACCAATATACCAAGTCAGCAATAGAACGCTGCTGCAAAACCTAACCTGAGCGCTAGAACAGCAGAGCAACTTAACAACGCGAAAGGATTTTTACGGGGTGAGAAATTATACCCGTTCCTAAATCCTAAAGAAAGCATATGCAAAGGGAACGGTGTGAAATATAGGTCAAGGTTGCTCTTGGACAGAATATTGATCAATCTTAGTGAAATCTTCATCAATCTCGCTACCTTTTTTATATTTTGACTTTATACTTTAAATAATGATATATATTTGACTCCGTGTGTATATTTAATATGTTTTCTATAGTAAATTATTACGATGGGTCGGATCCAGATGATACTCCATGGATATATAAGGACACCTATGTCATGTGTCTAATCTAGTGCTTCGTCTTCAATAAGATTCTTACTATCGAAATAGTCTTCACGATTCACTATCTAACTATATCTGATCGCACTTATTCCACTAAGTATAGAGCCCAGAGAATGATATTGTTAGATTGTTAGACTATAGCGCCATGCATAAAAGCCTCCTGGAACGACCTAGCCTTTTTCTAATGCCCCGCCAAGGTGCACAACACCCAGTAAAGATGCCCAAAAGAACATCCTGTATCAGATTGCTCCGCCAGCTCGGGGTCACGAATCCCAGGTTCGATTTGCCAGACGGAGAGGGAGTTTGTATATGTAACTCGGCTTCTGATTCCTCATCGCCTGGTTTTATACTCGAATGGACGTTGTGCAGAATGCTGCAGAATATCTCTTGATATGGCCAGAGGCTCGGATATGCTATTCCGTCGTGAATCCATAAATAAGAAGCGTGCAACAGTACAAGATCTATTAATCATTGATATTTGATTTTCTTGGCCCTGCTTCTTTGAGCTGTTTTTAGACTTGGTAGTAAAGCATAGCCTAACTCGTTCATCTTCAGTCAGTAATAACAAAAAGATCTGTGAAAAGGGCGCATAACTCAACGCTAATGTTGGAAGAATCCTAGTTGAATACGAGACCCCTGTGCCTCCGATGTTCTCGTCAAGCCATCGGGTAGGGAAGGGCGATCTCCACCTTCGTTCAGCCAACTGCAATTACAACGACAATCTCAATAAAAAAGGGATAGAATGGTGAGAGGACCTGAGTTGGTGCAGAGAGTTTGAGCATCCTGCCCCAAAAGTCAATATAATGAAGGCTAAATTATTCGTTGATTTCAGGTCACCAGAACCTCAAATAATTCTGTCTTACCTCTATCGTATTGAGACCGCGATTAAAATATTGGCCCCACGAATCCAACATTTCCATCATGTCTGGTGCCGAAAAGTCACGCCTAAGCCGAGCCGTGGACGGATATAACTTCGTCGTGGTCACCACACAGGAAGCTCTTAACATGGGCTTGAAGCAATACTTTGGGAGTGGTAATTTGCCAGCCACCCTGATTTGTTTCATTATGGGTGAGGATGGGAGTAGCATTGCTGAGGCCATTACTTTGGATGAACCCATGAAGCACAGTGGTGCCGTGAATCCCTTCACAATTCCCAATGGCACGGCCCTGACGGAAGAAGGAATCCAAGAAGATGCTCGATGTCAGATTTGCGGTTGGCCTTCAATTCCGGATCAGATTGCCACAGACCGTTCATCCCAAAGATCTACCCGATGTCATCGAGCTCGGAAGTGGCGCGAAAAATATCGGATTTCGGCTTATGTGCAAGGAAATTATCATTATTATCCACACACACTCCAGGGGGGTTGGCCTCCTGGATCTTGGAACGTGCTCAGTCAAGCTGACAAAGTCGATGGCAAGGACCAGATGTGGCTCTTTGAAACGACAGTCAACCTTGTTGCCCAAGAATCTGGAAACTCCCTACTTTGGCAACAGCCCAGAAGAAAAGGAAGCAAAATTGCGCGCGTTGGAAACACTATCAGGCACAGCCGTCAGCCTTCAGCAGCTCCTCTTAATCTGGATAGTACGGTCGCCCAGCGGGTCCCAGTGATCAAAGGCATGAACCGAACCCTCTTGACCAAGGCCTTTGGAGATCTATTCCTTGAATTGAACCCTGAATGGTGCTGTATATTTTACGCACACCGTACTCGCCCGCACCAGCCACGCTTCTCAGGCATGCTACTGGAGCCAAGCCTGCCAGAAACCTTCAGTGTGAAGCCAGAACCCGCTGGGGAAGATACAGCGTACATTGAGTATACCTACGAAATATAGTCGACGTGCAACCGAGCACAGATTTTCACGCTGAGGGGTTCGAGACCTCAGAGCTATACCTTGATAATCTCGTTAGTCTCGTTCAAGGAGCATTTTGTAGTCCTGGAACATAACATTGAGTTCAATATCAAAGCAGTCCAAGGGTATGATACCAACTCTGACAAACTGACTGTTGTGGAGACCGACAAGTACGAACTCTGGGTGGATGGAACAGGCAACGTACGGTTAGAGAGAAACGCGGGGACACCAGAGGTTATTCACCAGTAAACCCCGAAGGAATGGGGGGAATGCATGATGAACGTGGGGGGTCTAGCATATGATTGACTTTGCGAAAATGATTGAGGATACGTCGGTAATAGATGACGACTAATTTTATTATATTCCGAGCTTTGTCTTTCCAGGATCTAAGGTCTTCGTTTGCACGAATGCGCCGATTCTCTGACTACTAAGATATGGTATGCGACCTTTCCTACCTCGACCGAACGAGCTCCAATGGAAACAGTGTGATGGAAGATGCTAAGGGCCTTAGGATTAGCCATTCATCTGAATTGATGGAGAACTATCTCCAGGCAGAAGCCCTGTCACCGACTGGTCACTTCGAGGTGCTGCAGTCCGAGAATGAGAATGGCCATACCTTTGTCTTCACCATAAATTCCCAGGGCCTGTGCCGGAATCCAAATACAGAATTGGCGGTAAAAAAGTTTGATACAGCGCAGGCACATTTCACTCACATAAATCTTTCCTTGAGGGAGTGAGGGAGAAGAGTTGCTTACATTCGAAGCGATGATAAGATCATAAGATTCAGGGTCAAAGAAGCTAGGTTGGTCTGAGTAATCTGACCAAGTTCCCTGCTCGCGTGAAACGCCCTCATGCTTTCAACCACCTAGAACCATGGCTCAACGCCGAGCTCTAGGGACCTTGAGTACTAATATTAGATGTAATACTGAGCTGAAGCCAGCCGAGGGACATCTCATACTTGGAACTCGTTTTGTAGGTGCTAAAACTCTAAAATCAATGAAGCTCTAGATAGGCCTATTTCATCTACCAGCCGAGCTATTTTACAAGATGATTGCCGACCTTGACCAGGATTAGGGCGGCCAAGGCTTCATACTGAGCAAGATAAACGTTTACATTCTTGTTTTATCAAGCGAGATCCTTTGCGGTCCTATTCTTCACTACAGAACAAGCTTTTCTATCTATTTATCTCACCGTACACTACAAGACAGCTAAAAAGCGTCTTGAATGAACCCTACACTGCACTAACTATATCAAGGCCGATTGACCTACGATGATATAGTGAAATAAGTACTAATTAGAGCTCTCAAGATATCATCAGCAAAAAGTATTTTATGGCTTAGATTTTCATAGAGTCTGGGCAGTTATCTAGAGTAAATACCGTAACGAATTAATACATTGGGAGCCGGATTTTGAGTCAAAGAGGCATGGCTACTCTGTATACTCCTATCACAATATCTTAAAACAGATATTGCCTATTATTTATAATCCAGAGCCCACCTTCATACTAGTCAAAAAGATCCGGGATTGTGGCTGCGAGATATTAGTATAAGATACATGGAATCGCCGCTATCTTCACCTAATCTCAACCACATTGAACTCATGTTGCTTCCTTTTAAAGAAGGCGTGTACAACTTCAATCCTTATACTGAAACCTACCAAAATTCAGAGGAGAAGAATGAAGATTGTCTATATAAAGTATTAAGATCCCTGGAGCTTAATTCGCCAAGATATCCTAAAATACGGTATGTAGTATGAGCAGGCGCGTTACTTTTTTATTGTTATTATTTTTGGTCGAATTCAGCATCACTAGTACTAGTTTTGTTGCAACAAAAACCAATAACTAGATATATATATTATATTAATTTTAATACTAGACTTTCATGCTTATCCAAAGAGCATCTTCCCCAGGTACCTGCGGCCCCATCGTGGACTCAACGGCTTATGGGTGAGTACCTTGGCCACGCACCAGATGTGCCAGAGACTCCATGACCTCCACAATCGGCACCAAGTCCGGACGGTACTCGGCGCCGATGGCTAGTACCTTCTGCAGTCTGCCCAGGGAAAGAATGTCTTTGCAACGCATCTCGTCGGTGACAACGGCGAGATTTTCGTAAAGTGTCAAGACAGCGAGAAATGGGCGGAGAAAAAAGATCCGCCTGATGGTCGCATCTGATGGGGACGGAAAACCCATTTCCAGGACAATCTCAACGATGTGACGTGCCGTCTGGACAGCGCTTTTCCAGTGTTTGCAAGAGGAACTCGGGAAAAAGCATGGCAGCTTGCTATTCATAATAATAATAAAGTTTAGTCCCGCGAGCAGAGCGTCAGCCAGGAACAGCTTATCCAGTAATAAACTAGATTTATGGAATCTATCTTCCTGGAAAGGTGTGAGTCATTTCTCTCCCTGTAATCTTTCCAAAGTGTTCTGTAGACGAACCAAATTCCACTCTTGGATTGTTACCCTGATCTTGCCGCAGGTCGACTCGATGCAGCTTTCTAGATCAAAGTAAGGATCGACTGTAGCTTTGCCGATAGCCTCTAAAAACCCCATACCGATGAAGGTAAGGCGGGAATTGGCAATAAATGAGGCGATATTCACCGGGGGATAGCCAGCGCCATCAAGCTCTAAGTTAAAACCCAGCCAAGGGATATTCACGGTCCAATCCGTGGCAAAAATTGTGGGGGGAACATCATGATAAAGGCAAAAGTTTAAATCTGCCTGGATAAGTTGCCAGAAGCCATGCCGTTTGTGTTCGAAGGTCATTGTATCTACACTGGATGGGTCCTGATACCGGTCGAGATTGTGCAAATCAAGGAGCTGTGCAAACTGACAGGCTTGACGGTGGAGGGACCAACTTAAGTCGAAATCTTGATTCTCTGCCGCTATCAAAGACTAGATGCAAGGGAGCAGGTGTCAGATACGTTCCATAGGTAGATCTTATGAGCCATACCATTAATAGGGCGCCTACCAGATATGTTGTGTTTGCAGTGGCGCCTTGGCGCCACTGAGGCAAAAGGTTGATACACTTGAGATAGAGCCGAGAGACAATATCGCCGCAAGATCTGTACCCGTCCTCCCGAATCAGGTGGCCTTGGCATAGCAGCAAATAATATACAAGGAGCACTGACGCATGAAGATGAACATGCACTTTGTCTATGATATCTGGTAGCGACTTCATCAGTTCCGCATCCACAAGACCGATAAATAAGTCCCCCTTGAGCTGCTCCAAGCAATCTTCTTCCTCGTTAGCACTAGCGGCAGCTCAACCTTCTCGGGGCCCTCACCCTCAATGAGTACCTTCGCTCTTTCAGGAGGCATGCTGAAGTTGTCTTCCGACGTACAAACAGGGGCATCCTGCAGCATGATCCTTCGGGATTTGTAGAGAGCATTTGTGAGTTGGTCTCGGATTTTAGCACGCGGCCATGAGTCGATGATGGGATTGAGCATTTTTGTATCTTCGTCATTGGGTGAGGCCGGTGTTTTGCGCTGAACCGATGTGCTGAAAGCAGAGGATACTGGGCTGCCAGAATGGGGCCGAGTTGGGTGCAAACTAGAGTTCCCGGGGTCTATCAATTGTTCCAGGTTCTGGATTCGCTCCGAGAGTGTATAAGCTATGTCTGAATTCCTACATCCAGCCGCGTCAATTCGAGACCGAGATCAGGAACAAAGAGCTGGCTTGCAATCACCATGCTGTAGAACCAAAGGCGGCACGTCCCGTTGTCCGTCGATGAGGCCTATTATAAGCGCACATGACGCCAGCTGCCTGACATCGGTCACATTTCGGCTGCTGTTTACTGCAGCGTATCTGCTCTCATTAACGTCGGGAACTGGGCTCCAAGCAAGTCAGACCAGGATATACCTTCTTGGTCTGACATCTAACACACTGGATATATCTATTAGTATACAGTCCTCAATTTTCTCCAATCTACTCAACGAACATACGGCCAGATTGCCGGGTTTGTAAGGAATCATCACGTTGGATTTGGATTTGGATTTTGTCTGGCAACTTAGTTGAGTGGAGAGCTTTCCGTGGCTTTATGCGAGGGCTACTCGACCTCGAGAATCAATGATCTCATTAACCCACGGTTTATGGTATGCCAAGCAGCGGGAGTGGCGGTCTAGAAGGACGTCAGGACGTCAATATCCCACCCTAAAAATGTAAAAAGTCTAGTCTTTAGTTACGTCCTCTGGTTCATAGAAAGTATAATTTGAGCCAAATAGTTGAGTAAAATCAGGTTTGGAATCAGAAATGCCTTTGTCGGGTACGGTACTAACACTGCCCAGCACAAGTACTTCCGTTGGCAGAATAGGCCTGTGCCTATTGTCCCTGGGGTTTGAATTGTGTGTATGCTTCAGCGAAGAACTTTCAAGGATGGAGAATAATTGATCGTTACGGAGTATACTGGTTTTTTTCTCTCCCTTTTTTTTTTTTTGAGTCTAATCTGTTGCCTAATGCAGTGCTGGTCGAGTGGTTTACCCCCTTGCGGCCCTTTGGGTCATTGTCTATAATATCCATTCGGCCCAAAGGATGCTAGCAAACAATACGGTCTGGAACTCCATTAAAGCGATCCAAGGTAGCAAGAAACGGGATACTTCTGATATCAAAGGTGCTAGGTCGAAATAACGTTAGTACCTCCAGGAGGAGAGTAGAGAGGAAATCAAGGGCCCATAACAGTACCGCGAAAAAGTCTAACCGCTTGATAGATAGGGCCTAAATAAAGCCTTTGATCTTTGTGCTCTTTTTAGAGTCACAAGATATAGTATTACCGGTATATAGTACTGCTCTTATAGACATGACTATCTAAATCTAATAAGACTATAGTAAGCGTAAAGTAAGAATTAGGGCCGTAGTGTTTTCATTAATTACTTAATTAATTCTACGGGCCACGGTATATGATTTCAATATGTAATATCTAGTTATCTATTTTCTATATTTTCACGAGTCAGATTTTCCTATTAATATTACGTAGATATACGGTGAGGCCTCTCTATAACACGAACCCCTGTATCTAATCCTTACTCCCTAAAGACTTCACAACTGTCTCTCATTAGTAGCCTAGACTTGAGCGGCCTTATATATTCAATATTGGTAGGAAAGGTCTCTTAAGCCGATACTGCTTCTGTAACTGCTGTACTGTTACGATACACGGCCTGTGATTTTCTATATATAATTATTCTGGAAGAGTACTAGCTTCAATTCCTATTTCAAATATATTCCCCTAAAATATAATAACCCAATCTTATAGTGGCGTTACCACGACACGATATAAGCATCAATTAGGTGGGATGGTCACTGGCTGGCCAATGCGATCATGGCAAGTTGGGTCTATTCCACGGTCCATTTAGAGAAGAGCATTTCTTTCTCTGTCTCATTTTTCTTGATTGCAATAAGCTAACTTTTAGTCATTAATGTAAAGATAATCCCCGGGAACTCGGTGATTCTTGCACTATACGGAACGGAGTCGGGACCCTTTCTGTGATATCATGACTACCTGAGATGTAACTCTTCTATTCATGGACGATAAAGTACCGAACTCAGCGTATTGTGGAGGGGGTCTTGTAAGGGTTAGTCATGCATCAATTTTACAGCTTGGTATCAGTGATTCTCACCTATACAGGTGCTCTGCCCTGTATACGTTAATGTATTCCACGGGCAAGCGACGGATTTTCGCCGCGCTCAATGACGTATTCAATTATACTATCTTCAACGTGTTGCTTTTTCACTTCTTTGCTATATAAAATGCCTTGTCGAATATATCTGGTGTATCAGTAACAACTCCTCACGCGCGCCTTCAAGAAAACAACGCGCAGAAACACGTGCCAATTGATATAAATTGGCTATAATGGAAGAGGAGCCTCAGTCAAACGACTGCTTGATGCGGATAGATGAGGCATTTCAATCCGACCTGAGTATCTGGGTGGAATAGTGCAGATTCTACTCCGCGAGCATACACGGTACTCTACCGCAACTCTCGGTATCAAGTGGCCTTATTCTTGTATTAAACGCCGTCCTGGACTGAGCGCAAGATATAATCGGACCATTTCGTATCTGTGGATGAAGCAGGAAGACCCCAAGAACTTGAAACAGTGGCTTAACACTTTACACGAAGCCATTGAGAAACATGGCACACATGAGGATGATAACTGGAATTTTGATATATGACTGCCTTTGCATTTGTGATAGGACTCTGTACAGCTTCTAAAGTTACGATTACAGCGGAGCGCAGGAAAGGCCTTCTACATTTATCCAAGGGAACTGTGAGTAGATTACAATTATTAAGAGTGTGAGGTGTAAAGAAATGTCTGTACAGCCAGTAATTATCTTAAAAGGGGAAGGGGCACCAAGCTGCTTGGGTACGAAGAGCCTAATCTTCCTTTAGATTAGAAGCCTACCAACAGAGTCAAGGGCTAGACAACAAATGAGCTTGGCCTTAGGTGGGTAAAGCATGCTTTCATCCTTTTTCTAGGCTGTATTCAACTTTTGTATACCTCCACATACTTCTCATCTTCAACCCTTAGATGTCGTGGTTGTTCGGTCACTTTAACGTGCATACGGAAAATCAGTCGAGGGAATGATAGTGGTTGGGAACGAGCACATTAATAAAGAGGATTTTTCTATACCTATTTCCTCCCGTATGAGAAGCAGTCTTTCGAAAAGTTATATGCAATGACTTCGCAGGAGCGGCTCTCAAGCCATTGAATGAAAACCGGATCCTTCAGAAAATCACCCTTCAATTCGCATGCCGACTCCACCACTTCTTAGTGAAGGTTCAATCTCATCTGCCCCTTCAAACACCTCGAAATTCCCGTCAGCTAGATCACAAGGATCACAGTTTGCAGAGAAGCCTTCAGAAGAACACCACACTTTCTAGACGCCCAGTCTCTCATATTTAACGCTTTGAACAAGCCGCGCAGATGGCAATGACTATGAATCTTCTCTACAAGAAATCAACATCCTAAGAGCTGGAAATGAGCGGGAAGTATAGAAGGAATCCAGAAGACACTCTGATGTAGAATACGATCTGTTCATCTGGGCTTGCTATTTATGAAAGTTTCATGCATTCCCCGGCAAAGATCTCACTCTCTCAACTATCAAGCTTTTGGTGATGGGTAGCGAATCCTAACGATCTAACAAGACCTGGCGCTTCCGCGCGGGGTCCCTCCGAAGCCCTAATATGCTGGTGGGCCGAAAGCATATACTGCATTGATATTTCCCGTCAGGTGTAGTCTGGTATATCATACAATCCCGGCAAATCCGATGACCACACTTAGTCAAGTGGACGTAAGCTTTCTCACCGGACACGACACATGTATGACAGAAGTGCGTAGGGTACTTGACGTTTTTGCTCTTAGCTCGCCGCTCAATCTCTGCCGCAAGTTCTTTTCCTTTTTCAACACGAGCTCTTAGGAGTCGCATCCTGAATTCTAGACACTTCAGCACTTCTTCTTGCTCCTGCCTCGACTGACTGCCGCGCACATCTCCAAAGGCAGCCAGGCGCTCAAGGCGGGGTGTACATTCAAGAAAAATGACAGGTTGAAATCTCTGCAGTACCGGTGTATCGCTCATGTAATGATGTTCGAGGAGCCAACGACGACGGATTTGCCGGTTTAGAAGACGGGTGAAGAGGATCTCGAAAACTTTTAACGCTCGCCATCGAGATTGATACTCATCCATTCTGCTTAGACTATCGATTCTTCTGAAAGTGCTTCTTCACAAGTGAAGAAGCAAGAAATTCTCCGAGGTCTGACCTGGAAAGAGAAAAAGTCGATATTGGCACTTAATCTATTTATTGGTAGTCTGCTGCGTATGTCGGCTCAAGTAATTACGGGGATACTTAAATACTTCATGACATTTTTTGGCTCGCTAAGAAGCTGGGAATGGCGCTATAATCTACGGCTCGCTGATATCTCAGTAGGTATGGCGCGCCAACATCTAACTGCCGATTGGATAAAGTGCATGGATTAGTTCGCGATATCCTCGTGGCAAGGAGGCGCATAGCACCTTTCTAGCCGTGAACCACATCACTACCAAATTATAGAAGTCTTCAGGACTGCTTTCCTGGGCCGGTAGCCTTTTCCGTTCGGATCAGCTGGTCTTATTCGCAAATTGATTGCCGAGGTTCGGTGGAGACGGAGATTCGGTCCCCGAAACCTATTTTGCCCTGCTCCTTTAGAGATTCCCATGGTCGGATGGGTAGCGTTACAGGGTAAACGGATTTTAGTTCAACTCTATTGTGGTGCGTTTTATTGAGGTTGGCGTACTCAGGCTACTACGCCTACTCAGTGATCAGTTCAGGGCGTGCTCAGTGAGCAAAAAGCGGCGAGGGTGCGCAGTAAAACGGAAATGGAAAGTCTCTGAGCTGTCTAGAAAACCCGATACGTCTTGGGGATTTTGGGATAGAATATGTTGGGATACCTCAAGATATCTATGCTTATATCTATGAAATAAGCCCACGAATACGCAAACTTCACTATGGCACAACATATGTGAAGGCAACGGTGCAACGGTATAATATATAAGTCAAACAAGGCCTCGCTTGGACAAAGCATCGATCAACCTTGGTTGACAGCGGCATCGTTTCCACCCACTTTGTACTTTGTCTTTACACTTTGAACAAGGACAATGTACCAGACTCCCTACTGTGATCGCATTCGATATTTCTTCTACCGTGACATGAATAACAGCCTGACGATAGAGCCACGACTTCACCCCGTTAGCCCACTAGTGAGCCAACGCTGGTTATTAGGTTTCCTGCTCTCCGCACGAGTAGCCAAATTCTGATACATTGAAAACCTTGCATCCCGGCCATGTTCCATCCCATACCCAGAATGGTTGGTATTTCTGAAAGGTCCAACCATTAGCTCGTTTGAATAACGGTGCCCGGGTGTATCCCGCGTCTGAGACTAAAAAGATTGCGAGCTGTGTGCTGGCGATGACTTGCTGTAACGCTCCCAATCCCATTGCATCAAATTGACGAATATTTGATAAGTGCTTGGCCGCTGGCGATCCCGCCACGGCGCCAGGGTCGATCGCTGAAGATGGTAGGCCAATTTGTCGACGATATTGTGTTTAGGCATCCAAGTATGTGCAAGCAGCAGCGTAATTCTACTGATCTGCAAGTCCTGGTAAGGGAGCCTATAATAAGAAAAAATTCCAGCAGCTGGCCTTGTACAGCCTGATGGAGGTTCTACGTCCCAAATACCTTTGGTGCCAGTGTAGACATCCATTCAAAATGTATCATCCTGTACGGTCGACGAAAAGAGTCCATGTCAGCGATGACAAACGACGAAAGCTTAAGGATGTACAGGTAGGGAGAGAGCTAAATTAATAACTCCAGCTAGAGGCTTGGTGCACCTAGACACAGCCGCCTTCACAGCCTCTATATTCGCCACATCTACAGTGACGGCGATGACTTGGCAGCCAAGTGCTTCGAGCTCGTTCAGGAATGTCTGCTCTTTTTCTACGCGTCTATCGAGAAGGTACGCTCTCAGATCTGGTTCACCGTCGACAGATCCACCTTTATTCGACAATCCCAGATACTCCTTATTCGTCTCAATATACAAGTGCCTGCCCCAATATCCTCAAAACGCACTATCCCAGTAGATGCAAGAGACAGAAGGGCCTTCGCCCCGAGGTGCGTAATTGTGTCCATGTCCAGTGTTAGGTTTGTGTTGACGACTCCGGGGTAAGTAAGAAAGAGAGTGGTTGCAGGATGGGCCCGGGCCAGCTCATTCAAGGTCGAAGATGCCATTGTAACCGCATGATTGGCGCGGTTGCGCATGGAGTAGTTCGACTTCAGGAGCGAGTCGTCGAGAATCAAAGGGCCTTCACCTCCAGCTCCGACAACGGAAATACGGTAACCCTCGAGAGGCGGTGCGAGGCTACTGTTGAAAGCTCGGGGAGCATGTTCATGACAAATGGAATGATAGCATAATAATGAAGGCTGAGCTTTTGTTAAATCGTTCTTGCGTTTCTACGACACTTGAATCTGTGATTGTGAGTGGGTGCAGGATAGGGACAGAAGAGGGAAAAGAAAGGAGGGAAAAAGGAAGCCACACCTTCTCCTCCCCTTGATATCCCGGTGCTCACAAATAATAGATTCGCCGCTTTTCCCCTCGCTTGAATCTCCTGACAGGCCTCGTCTATCGCGCAGAAGAGAAACGTCTTTCTTTATGAATGTTACTTCCACCCACAGATTAGACTCCCGCAATTCCTTTCATTATCTTCGATGCCTGCTCAGCATTGCGCCTGATAAGGTAGACATGAGGCAAGATCGTATACTTGTCGAGAGCCCGTGCCGTGGATTTACCAATGCCACTTGTTCCTCTGACTGTTCCGAGACGGTGGTAAGCCGGTTCGCCTCTCTACCAGCAGTGATCGTGGTATTTCCACTCTTTCAACATTCAAACATCAGTTTATACATACCGACGACGAGACCAGGTCCGGAGGCGCACAACACTCTGTTGTTTTGATGCACGGAGTGTATATCCGCCATGGCTCATGTCGTCTTTCTTTGCTCGGGAAGTACACAGAGAAAGAGCTAGATCGAAGGGTGGCAGTAGCCGTCGTTAAAGATTCAAGTGAAACAATTCTTTCCCATACCGATATACGCGCTATGGCCACCTGGAAAAGCGGATCTTGAGAGTTCTACAACCCGCCTGGAACCATGGGAGGCTAAGAGAAGCACAGTGGCGTTCGATGCGGACGCAAAGCTCGCGGTTCACCCTTCGCATTCGACTAAACTTGAGCTACTGTAAGTCTAGACCAATGTTTCATCCATGTCTGCGACATGTATTGGGAATTTGAAAGGGGTGACATCATCATCACGGCCGCATCTTCCGCGCACCTAATATGAGCAAAGACATCGCCACTAATGGACCCGAAGAAGAATGGTGGGGTACCATATCGCCGTTGGATTGAATCTCGTTGCTTCGCTTGACTCGCCGGGCACATATATCTTTCCCTCATGCGCTTGGATGGATTCTCTTACTCACCGGGTGTGTTGTCATTTTGATTCTGCACAGCTGTTGGGATCCCGATTTGATTATCTGCAAACATGGATTCTGACGTATCTTTTGATGAACCTGCAGAAGTTCTAGGACTTCCCAGCTTCTGTTTGATATGTGCGGCTCGGAGCTAAATGCTAGTGTTTCTCAACTTGTGCTTCGGATTCCTTCTTTGCGGTCTGACCGGGTGCGACTCCGCAGGATATATCCTCGACTCTTTGAGATGGGGCTTCAGAAGGGGTAAGAGTACTGACCCTGGCGAAGCTAACCTCCCGTCAAAGCTAGAAAGCCTCATTGTCATCTTAAGTCCTCGAGGCACAGGCGGCCCGAGAGCTGAACATAGTAGGCACTGTTCAAGACCTGGCCGTGCCTGTTCTCTATCCAATGATATTGTCAAAGCGGGCATATAATTCTTGAAGCGACCACCAAACCCCAAGATACTGAGAGTACTGTCATGTAAATGTCCTTCTTTGAGCATTGTGACCTAGGATTGTGCTACCGGAGAGAAGAGCCTTCTGTATACTGGCGATATTGATGAACACAGCGATTGGGACTGGGGTGCTGAAGGGGCGCCTGGCCCAGATGATCAGGGTACTTCAAACAATGACTTGTTTCCTTTGACTTTTGGTTACGAAGAAGGGGGTGGTAGTTAGCTGGCTGAATATATTCAATCATGGGCTACTCTTTGATTTGTTAAACTTAAAGAGAGTGTTCGTAGGAAGGGTGCCCTCAAGCTATTGTGAAAGCATATGCCATGTTTGCAAGGAATATATCTGTCATTCCAAACCTAAAGACATTCAACATACCAGCCTCGACCTTGATGACTTCTTTGATGGAGATCATGAGACGCCATCAGACTATAGAAAACCATGCAATAGTTTATTCATAGTCCTCAACCTCTTCGACAATGCGATCTTCTTGAATCTCAAATTCATCGTCACCATAGCTCTCATCATCCTCAGTCAAAGCCTCGACACTACTAGTGGCATTGGAATTGGTGAAGGTAGCCTGATAGACCAAATCACCCACTGATGCTCCATCAGGAACAAAGATAACCTCGCCACTGCTAAGGCGGTAGTAGCCACTGGTATCAACATCCTCTTCGCGCTTCGCTGGTCCAGCCTTGGTATACTCATTTCCGTCGTTCTTGCAGTTTGGCCTCTTCTTGCAGTAATTATACTTACTGAACCTTTTGAAGGAAAGGCTATATTTACAGGGAGCCTTCCCATTGCAGCCCTTGCCCTTGAACTGCCCATAAGAATAGTAGAAGCTCTGCAGGACCTGCCCTTGACCTGCGCTTTGTCAGTCTTAGTTTAATAATAAGAGGGGCTGACGTGACGAACGGCTGTTATAGTGACCCTTGACGCATCGGTTCACTTGATTGCCTTTATCTGCCTCCTTGACGGACTTGAACGGATACTCGTCGCACTGGTACCCTTTGCCATAGGGGGCTTTGCTGCATCGGTTGCCAGAGCCACAGCCGGCGAGACGGCTGCGCTTGCCTTTGGTAGGAGAATCTGGCAGATCCCAGGTGAATGTACTGCCCAGGTTTTTGCATTTTGCGCCTAAACATAGGAGGTTATGCTTTTGCATTTTTGAAGCAGACGGGGAGGCATACCGTAGCACATATTCATACACGTATCTGCACAAAGTTACTCTCAGTTCTCGATCCCCATAGATTGTGGGAGAAGTAGTTGAGTTGACATACCACCAACCTGTCCATCAGAACAATCAAAGGTTAGATGCTTTCTAGCCGCTGCAGCCACCTGTGCATCAGGAGCTGAAGTGTCGGGGACTGCCGACCCCAGCGAAAGGACAAAAAGTCCTAGACACAGCAGAAAGGGCTTCATGATGTTATCTAATCCGCTGTAACAACGTCTTTGGGAGATATGGAATTTATTGAATTCCTGTTGTTATCTATCACTATTTCTACTGGCAACAGGCGCCTATTTATGTCCCCTCGATTTGAATGATCTTTTTTCCAAGCCTAAAGAGCATCGGAGAAGACACTGTGCTTACACGTCCCAATCTGCACGTGGCTGACAAAAAAGGGGTCACAAAGATGTAGAACGATGGCTTTACATGAGTGCTAACTTGAACATTATAGAAATGGTGTAACATTAACGCTGCAGGGCGCCTGAGGCTATTGATGACATGCGTTGCATGTTGGGACGAAGAAGTCCTTCATTTGCTTTTGTCATTGCAATGGCGGCACTGCTGTTCCTTTCAGTGCCTGTTTCTACGTTCGAACGTCATCATCTCTCTCATATTTACCCCTTCATAGTTTATGATGCTTTGCCTGACCGAGTAAATCGCTGTTGTCTGCCATGCTCAATGAATGTAGTTTTATGACGCCCGAATACAAGGCCACATCTTCTATCCAGGTACTCCTGAATGCGCAGATGATAGGATGATCAATGCAGGGATATCCTTGGCTGTGCCAAGCGGCGGGAATCTCCTGATTACGCCCCCAATGCAACAGTGTGTGAGAATCTCCAGGCTGACTCGGGGATGATCACCCTACCATCTCAGTTACCAACGTGATATTGAATACCCATTGGCCCAGTCGGTGACGATGAGCGTTCGTATATGCAAACAACCAACCCAGAGAGAAAAGTTCAAAAAAGCAAAAAGAAGGCTGAGTGAGAGGGGGAGCAATAAAGAGGAAACCTGCGGTGCCAGGCTTGCATGCTTACGGGATAAAGCAGCCCAGAAGTGAGTACGTCTCATGAGCCAGTCAATATCCCTGTCCGACAGATTCTACTGTACAAACTATTGGCTTGAAGATAATCAATGGTTTCATCCCCAGCCTCACCGCCGAGACAAAGAGGGAAGAGTTAGGGCACGATCGGAAGAGCCGTTCCCGCTTCAGCCCTACTAGCTTACATCGCTGCCGCCTGACCTCAGCTCCTGATCATGTACATATCCCTTGTTCTATTCATTCTCCTTTTCCTGGCCACCTTTTACAACCCCCCAAGTACCAGGCCAGACTTCCAGCTGGTTGAAGTTAAAACTCGTAAATCTCAACAATCATCTAACTCACCTGAAGAGACGCCAAGCCAAGGCCATGACTCTAGACCTTTCCCTCCCCTCCACTTGCCCCGCTCTCTGCGTCTACGGCGACTACAGCTGGGACGCGGCCTCCTTCGCTCTATACACACTCATCGATCTTTCACCAGAAGACCTCGAGAGACTATTATCCATCCTAAACAAAGAATGGCTCGAAAATAATCCCACACCCATAGTCCGCACCCCCAAAACGCACAACTTAGCCGGCAAGAGGCTCAAGGACGCTGTCCAGGCTCAGGTCGACTTGGACAAGGAAATCACTCCCGTCTCCGGCGGCCAGGCAAAGGGGGTAATGGGCTGGTATCCGACCGCGTTCATCGTGGTGACGACACAGGACTGGGCTGACGAGGGTCTGCTCTTTGTGTTCATGGATGATACCGATGATGATGAGGGTAATAAGGAGGATCCGGAGGTCCGTCGGATGGATAAATTCTTCTTCGAGGTTGATGATGCTCCGCTGTTGTTGTCGAGTTTCAGTTTTGGGGACTTGGCTTTTGTAGATGCGAAGGAGCAGTATGGGGTTGAGTAGGGCCTTAGCCTCGTCCCTCTTCCGACGGCTTCTGTCGATCGCGTTTCGTCTCGGCACATGTTTACAACTTCTATGCTTTATCTAATTCGCTGTCAATTATTGTGAGATAGTACTAAGCTTTGTTTAGCGAATCGTCAGTAGTAGTAGGAGGGGAAGAATTAGTTTCCTGTCGGAATAGTATCAACCGCCTGCCTTTGATCTTTCTCTCTCCTTTAGCCTACGTATCCTGACCTAGTTGGCAGGTCTTCTACCCTGAATAGTACCGACCCTAGAGAAGTATTCGGTAAGATTTAAATAAATATAATAAAGAAGATTAAAATAGAAAGACCAATGGTATTAGCTATACTAATCAAAAAGAGGTACCCCAATAGCCAATCCGTGAAGAAGAACTACTCCCACACGCAAGAATTCTGAGATTATGAGGAGCTTGATGTTGTGTTTTGCAACCCTGGTGCTTGGGCCTCTTGCCCTTGCATCGGGTATCCCCGAGCTCCCAGCGCAGGATGCGTTCTACATATCAGAAGCCCACAACTGGGCCAAAGAGCATGCCGGTAAAATTCTAGATTCTCGCAAAGTTACCATCGAGCTGCCTATCCTACCGAGTGGAGATAGTGAATTTGAGGCCATCCAACTACCCTACGTACCCCTGGAAAGCATTCCCCACACAAGTGGATAGTGGAAATAGAACTAATTTGTATACTTGTATAAGGAGAGAAGAGATCGTCCACCCTGCATCAAGTGGTGGGGCTTAAAATCTAGCTGTAATCTCAGATTTAGGAAAAACCTAGTTAACATGGATGTCGTGGATGACTCAATCCATGCCTTGCCGATAAAGCACCGGCGATGTAACTGCGACCGTATCCCCTAGGGACAGCCTAAAGGAAAGCTCTATTAGCAAGGCTAGCAGTTGGGGTCGACCACTCGTTGGCTATATAATCATACATCGTGGACCGGTACGTTCTGTGAGCCTGTGAAAGTTTTGTCTTCACCTAAAACAAGACCATCGTCCCTCTCTTTAAGGGCCAACACTACTTCTATGCATATGACAAGTCATAGCTTCATACCTCTGGAGATATGATACACCCGCTTCCCAGTTGCAGAATAGAGGATGAGCATGACCTGAAATGTTTGTTATCACAATAGAAAATACAACTTAATGACGGAGGAGGTTTTAGTGTGATAAGCAGATTCAAATGGTAGATAGCTACCGCCTAGGTAGTGGATGAAATCAGATTAATGAGTAGACTACTTTTAGGTAAGCTCGAAAGTCCTCTTATGCTGGGGTTGGTGTGAATATAGAGGAAGGTAGCTAACAGTCGACGAGGGTATGTGGCCGTTGGTGGACAACCGTGGCTTAGTCCATGACGCTTCTCAGGTGGAAACTTTCGGGCTCGGCTCCGCAAGCCGCCTAAGTAACAGGCAACCCACTGATTTAGACCAAGCTATCTGGAGCTCAGATTTCAGGTCTCGCCATGGAACCAGCCATGCTCTTCTCTCTACTCTGGGATGTCAGCTGCTATGAAGGGTTCTTTATAAATTGGTCTCCCAACGCCACGTCGTCCAGGTAGCTAAGCGAACAAAAGGTTTTCCTTCCGGTTCCTTCTTGATATAAATCTAAATATCAAGACTTCTTCTCTAGCACAATGGCTGCTGCCATCGGTTGGAGCGTGAAAAATCTAGAAATTGAACTGCACAGTTCAGGTTCTACCCTCTACGCGAATGGCCGAATGGCCTGCATCAGGTTCATGTCGTCATCAATATTGAGGTTTTGAGGCCTGATAGAATGCCGCACGAAATTGGACATAAAGAGCTATTAAGCATCCGCCTGGTGGATTTTGACAGTAATGGCTCTGACCTACCGGAGGGGTGGACATATGTACATAGCCATTCCAAACGATTTCGCGGGGCCAAGCCAGTCACATTCCAACAGTGAGAGTAGGCCCCACACCGGTAAACAGAGGCTGGACTACTAGATCAGTACGGCTGTGGCCCGCACCATAAGAATTGCGGCCAGTAATGAGCAGCCAGACGGGTATGTCTTCGCTACTAGCAATACCAGTGAGGGTTAGAGGAATAGTATCCTCGTCACGGGCCAACCGAACATCATGTACACCACTGACAAAATTAGCAAGGATATAAAAAGGTGGTTTAACAGCGGAACTGTCAGAACTATTTTTCCTATATCCTGGGCACAGGGTAATTTTTATATCACAAGCAAAATTTCAATAATCTATTCATCAAATCCGAGATCTATAGTGTTAAGCGCTCCGCCCCCGGCCAGCCTAGATGGATCAATTGCCTTATGATACGTGACGGGAGTAAGAAGGTTAGCTCGACGAGGCATTGGCACATGTAGGATATAGATAGTATTGATACAAGAACTGTGGGTATATATAATAACTCAATTATTGGCTCCAAAACGGTCGATATGACAGTTAACAATCAGCCCAACGCACTTTATGTAGCCCTGATGGAGTTTCAGCCTAAGTCATTCAATCTAGAACCTGGTTAGCAGTTCAACGGGACCTGGTTTCAAGTCTGGGATATATACGGCAACTCAGGGAAGTTTACTGTGAAAACAACAGGCAACGACCTTTTGAATCTCGACGTTCATGACCATAACAATCTAACGCAGGAGAAGCTGCACGAAATTGACCCCGAGCCGGTCTCCGATACTACATATTTGCCAGATCCCAAAACTGTTATAGAAGGATTTGCAAAAGACCTAATGAAAGGCCTCTCTTTAGATATCTGAAGCGAAATTCTATAGACCAATGAAATTGAAATTCTAAAAAAATCATTGGAAAGATCATCCTATACTTCAATACCTTGAGGAAGACTCTAAAACTAGTTTGCCAATACTCGCGAGTCTCAGTCTTAGTATTAAGTATCTGTATAGCTGCAAATTAGGCTTCCCATCTCGAGTTGCTTTCTACCACTATTCTATAGGCAGAATGAAGGGAGATTGTATCCTGTGTATTTCTCTCTGGAGCATTCCGCAGAAGAGTATACCGGGTCTTATGTTCCCCTCATACCTTTTGCCTGTAGCTAGTGTATACTTTCAGTTAGTCTCCGTCAGGGAAAAAAGAACTCGTATATGACTTTAGGATTCGCATTATGCTGAAATGATAGTCGAAGTCTCTAGTCCACAGCGTGTCGAGACCTTTATTTGAAAATAGGATGCCAAGTATATTGTGAGAGGTCATACCGCTGGGTTTCTCTATTAAACCGCAGATCCTTCGGGTTACACCAGCTAGATAGTACTAAAGCGCGAAATTCCCTGCTCGGTTGTAGTTGTTGCTCCTGACTGTAACTGTAACCCTAAAACATAGCGGGTAGAACGAAAGAGCTGCACGGTCTATAGCTTGGGCAGTGGTGCCTTACCAGTTTAAGTTTCTCCACCATACGTCATAGAGGTCCTGTTAGATTAAGTATAGAAGATAAATAATAATAGGGATATTCTTTACTATACTGCTAATAGGCTTGGATTCACCGTCACTTGCGTAAAGCTCCCCGCCAACTGTATTATTAGGTGTCATCCTGTACTATGTAGTCCAATTGGCAGGTAATGACACCGACACAAACCGCAGCTTCTAGCTTATTATTCTGTATAGATATTCTACCCAATATATATACCAGTTAGTATTGTTTTACTTAACCCCGCCTTGTACACTTGTAGCAAAGATCCAGGAAGATATGGAACCTTATTCAATGCACAACCGTGCGGTTCTCCGGGTGAAAGGTCTCACACCCATCAAGTACATACACTCTTTTTTATTACCAAGTATACAACTCAATGTATTGAAATTCAAGAGGAATAATGGGATATCTCACTCTACAGTCAGAAATTATCCAACGCGAGACAATCCCGTTATTTCCGGTAACTCCCAATTACACAAAGGTTGATAGTGTTAATGGAGTCCACCACCCATAATAAGTAAGTCAATTAACAATTAGCTTTACACTTCCTCCATAGATATATCTATTATTACTATGACAGCGGAGAGCCATGAGTGAATGAAAATATTTGGAAATACTGGTAAATTCAAGCTTGAACCTGGGTATTGTCATTAACTTAGAATGTCTTCTGCAAGGTATGTCTCTGGCAGTTGATATTAAGTAACTGCTGCCTATGATTCATTCCAGCGCAACCTTGGTTAGTTGTATTCTTTTTCGGCCGGGGGCTCGTTGTTGTCCGCATGTGTCGATAAGCTTGCAAGGCAGCTCAATCCCTCAACAGTAGGGTAATTCTTTAGGGCAGGATTCTCCTACTTGATTTGTTATTCTTGTTACTCGTTATGCATCCCTGAGAACACTCACTCTCGGCTAGGATCTCGGCGTTTACATATGTCAATATGCTGGCAGTTAACGTTTGATAGCCATGTAGCGTACGGTTATAGAAGACAATCTATATAATGTAACTACATATTTATCTTGTGGAAAGTGATATATCTATGTAAATTCCTTTAAGTGAGATATCGCAATATTTAATAGGCACGACAGCTTGTATATATCTAGATAACCAATAACAGTCTCTATCTCTTCCCTATGAAATCTGTCTTACGTTACTCAAGCTCCTGTCACATGTATGGTATCCAGCTCAGATGAAGGATCCCCAGACAAAGAAATAATTATGCCCTAGCGATCCCCATAGATTCCAGTAGTACCTCAAGAAGGAAATTGTGACTCCGGCACCGAGTGTATATAATACGCCAATTCGCAAGCGACGCTATACCTACCTAAAGCTATGTACGGCTAAGGATACTCTAAGCGATCACTTTGTCACTACCAAGGAAGAGTACAGCTTCCACAGTACACAAGTTCTCATGTAAACGGAATACACCTATATATATATTAACCATCATCCAGAGACCACGGCCGCCTTTTACAGCAAATTAAGAAGATTTTTATCGAGCATTCGATTAGCCACTTATAGACCTACTCGCTCCTATCAGGACTGGAGATAACCCATATAAACCAGAGTAAGGTTACAACTAGCTTTGAATATGATATACTTAGCCGTCTCACAGCTGTCACTGCTTCACTGTCTCCATCATTATATCAGTCGACTCGTTCCCAATCGTACACCCGGGTAAAAGATGCGGTGGGATATTACCTGACATTGACGGGTATGAAAGGTATCCAGGCACAATACTTTACTGATAGTCTGTAAAGAGTTATGCGCATGGAGAAGCAAGATATTGCGCAGCCTAAGACCTTCCGTATAGTTCAGGAACGGATGTACAACAACTACAGCCAACGTATCCAGGCCGTGGAAGTTAACTGGCTACGAACAAATTGATAGCCCACACTATTAAAGACTTTCAGAGACGTGGAATACAACAATTGGGAACAGGTTTGTCGCGTGACCGAGAAAGATAGTTATACCGAGGATGATGGCGTGGGTATATGCACTGCCACGGATTTTATCACCTTAACCAAGATCGAGGGACTCGAGGGGGAAGGAAAATCAAAACAGTGCTAGATATATAGAGCACCGTCATAACTGAAACACTCCTTACCAAGGAGGACAGAGTATATAGCACGATCACTTACGAATATAATAGTCTCGGCTGCCAAGTGAAGAAAAAGGATCACCTCGGCCGGAAGACACAGTATAAGATGGATTTCTTCGACCGCATCACCAAGGCTACCTGGCCCAATAGCCGTGTTACTTACAACAAGTATTGAGCACAAAGCTCCTCAATCCTGCCAGTCTCTATCAAACCTAGAGATCATCAGCTAGGAGTGCAGTCATTTGATAGCCTCGATCGCATTACCAGTACAGCTATTGGCGGTCGGTCGAACGCTAACCAAACAAGTTCAAAGGTACCCATATCGAGCCGTACCAGATCACCTTGTCAAGCAGGCCAAGCAGGCATGAATCCAAAATAGATTACGAACCAGAGCTGAATTACGCGGTCACTAGAGTGACCGAAAGCGAAAACCGCAGGGAAAATGTGATTGAACCCAATAAGCAGACTCGAGCCCCAATTCTCTTGGAGAATGCCTATATTGCCTAGAAATTACAATACTATAGCACGGGTCTCGTATCCTGTGAATATTTAAGTTGCGTAACAACAACGCGAGATATAGTGCGGAATATATATATTCCTCGGTGGGAAAGCTCTAGTCATATACTGATATGCATTATCAGAAACAGGAGACTGGGTACAATAGCTTGGAAAAACCGGAGCGACTTACCCAGGGCCAGGTAGTGGTCGATTACATATATAACAAGGCTCAGCCTTTTTTCCACGAGCGAGACCTACAATATATCGGACAACCAGGAGCTGACCACCCAGCTAGTATATAATGGCTTTGGCTACGTGATTGAACGCATTGTTACCCGGGGCAGTACCGTACTGCGTAAATTAACTCAGACCTTTAGACCAACGGATGCAAAAGTATTCTGCAGGATAAGACATTTAAATATGACACTCAACCGATTCATCGAACACACATGCGGTGAAAGTAAGCCTCCAGTAAACGAATATAGCTATTCACTCAAATCCCAAAGTTTCACGTTCGATGAGTTTGACAATTTAGAGAAGGTTGTCAGCGGCTTCCAGAATAGCACCGAAAACACTGCCAGCTATAGCTTTGCGAAACACGATCTCATACAGCTAACTCACATCTTGAATACTCCCGCGGGCTTCCCAGTCGGTGTCAAGCTAAAGTATAACGATAATGGCTCTCTGACTCGCGATAAGAAGGGCCGCAAGCTCAGATACGACAGTTTAAATCGCCTCAGCGAGCTGCAGGGCCCGGACTGTAGGGTTCTCTGTCAGTATCGATATAACACCACCGGTAAGCTCGTCTGTCAGCGCATCCCAGGCCAGCCCGATACACATCTCTTCTATCAGGGCGATTCAATCGTGGCAATCGACAAGCGGAGGATAGTATAAGCATATAGCAAGTCTAGGCATCGGATAAACATCACACGGTCCTCACCTGGATAAGTAAGGACCAGATCCACTATAAACAGTATACCCCATACAGATTCAGTCCCTCAAAAATTAGTTGATGGACCAGAGAGCAGGATTGAGGACTCTTTTAGATTTCAAAGTACTATTTATAACTCTCACTGCATAGAATAAATACATACGACCATAGGGTGTGGAGAACAGGGCTTCACTTGACTCGCCGGGCACATATATCTTTCCCTCATGCGCTTGGATGGATTCTCTTACTCACCGGGAGATCCAACCACTAGTAATGGCGGCAAAGAGAGAGGTCCTTGATCAGGACAGGCATGTGTACCACACATTAAATCTATATAGGGCTCGGAAGGCCGCTTGATATTTCATTCCGTTTCGGAATATCACAAACTGTAACTCACTCCACACTAATTGACACCCCAGATATAGAGGATTAGATTACCACACTTTGCTGTGGGAAGGTTGCGATAAGTGACCGTTAGCCGCCCAAGCGGCCACGCGGGCGCTGAAGGCAATGCGGTATGTACGATTTCACCATTGCGCATTTTAGCATGTTACGAGCTATATAAGTTGCCCCTGTCACTTGGAGCCGTTGAAAAGTGGACAACTCCACTCACTGCTCAGAATGCGCTGGAAGAGTCGTATTTCGTTGTAAGTCAGGTCCACAAACTTACGCTGAACACAGCTAATCAACACTAGATTGATCGAGGATAACCCCACAATCTCTTCTGATGTCTCTGTGTCTAGGGAAGCACTCTCGCGACTAGGACTTCAAGGGCAAAGTGTCGTCTGGGTGCAAAACCACAGAATAAAACGTCCGATTCTAGTGCAGGTAAACGACTCTCTTAAGGAGGGACGTTATACAGATGGGCGACGTAACAATGGACAATCTCTGTGTTCGACCTGGTCAATACGTTGATCTATACCAGTGTGATACACCTGCGGTACATACACGGAGGAGCGAGATTGTGGAGACATATGCTAACTTCTGGAAGGCCAAACATATCACCTTGTACCCTGTCGGAAGCACTCAATCACTTGCAGGTCGCCTAACCTCCGACTATATGCAGCCAAATTTTGGCTCCTCGGATTCTCAATGGCCGTTGCATGTTGATGACACTCTTGTGCTGTATTCCAGCGACCTTTCTGCGGCAACATTTGAAGTTATGGACATTGTGCCCCATGACTATGGAATGGTAACTCCTGAAACAATCGTTTCTATCACCAACTTTGAGGAACACAGAACGGATTATCTCGCTATGGATGACTCACTCAGCTGTGCCCGGGAAATCCAAAAGTCGATCGATTTTTTTGATAACACGGATAGCACAAATTCCCTGGCGGCATTGGCTAGTGGGGTGAAAAGGCTCATCGAACTACTACAGCCTCCACCAGCCTACAGTGAGTGACCAAACTGGTCAAGATGATCAGTATCTTGATATATACAGAGCTTCGTTTCCATCTGTATCTCGTCTCTATCCCCTCATAAAGATTTTATCGCCATAGAAAGTTTCAGTTCTTTCTCAGAGTCACATATTTTTCAGAACGTCTCTTTTTGACCAACTTTATATCAAGATTATCTTCCGATTTTGTCTCTTATCTATGAGGCGTTAGACGTAATTAGTTCCCCATCAATTACCTTTCTATGGAGTGCACCAGACTAAGTATATCCTTATTCAGGCATTAAGAGGTACCTTACGGCCACAACCGGTTGAGGACTATAATACTTCGGCCGTAGATTTATTTCAGAAGTACCCACTGACTTAAACTTGCCATCTAAGTGTTTGTCTTGCCATGACATGAAACTGACGTGAGTTTACCTCAGGTTGATTTCATTAAGAAGGGGAAGGATTCAGGACTAAAAGCTATAAGAATATCTTCTATCGTCCGCGTTATCCTGACAAAAATAAATATTAGTGCCCTATTAACAGTGCTGGATATTCTACCCATTGTTCACCGTGTCGAACCGTCTCGAGAGAGAAGCCGAAGACCAGTACGAAGCACAGACCCCTCTCCAGTCTCTGGCAGGGGTCTCTGACAATTCCTACGCTCATGAGACCCGCTCAGGGCTGCGCAACTCCGTGGAGTACGTCGTGCGAGAGATCCAGGACATCCGGCGTCGAAGAACGACGGGATGGAGGCGACGATGGACGCCGGCTCTCGCTGGCCATCATCAAGGAGGCGTTCCTGGTACCCAGCAACCTGTACCGTTTTTACCTGACCGGCATGGCCCAGCTGATGTCCCAGTGGTCAGGCGCGGGCTCCATCACGCTCTACGCACCGGACCCCTTCAAACTCCTCGGGATCACAGGCTCCAACGAGTCACTCTTGGTGACGGCCGTCTTCGGCATTGTGAAGTTCGTCGCGGCGATCGTCTGCGCGCTCTTCCTCTTCGGTTGGCAGAACGGCCCGATTCTCCGAGGCCCTCAGATCACGTCCATTCTCTAATACATTGGCATCCCCCAAGTCTACCGCAAGAACTTTTTCCAACCTGCCAAGGCCAGCCAGCCAGCTTCCCCAAAGAGCTCTTTTTTGGCTGAACTATGGCCACCCAGTATCTAGGCCAGCGCTCCACAAGATACAAGACTCTACGAGACCTGACATATTTCCATTTCGATCTCCCATTTCGATCTTATTTTAAGAATCCTGACAAGCAGCAAGTATTCCAACGAAAAAGCTAGTTAATACCAGCTGATACATATCGCGAATAAATATTGACTTGAAGACTGCCGCTGAATCCTTACTATTTCTTAACGCGACTAACAGGAAGATCTATGGTAAAAAGCGGCAACCACTAGGAAACAAGCTGCCACTCTTCCCCGTTATTCCTCTCTCGCATGACTCTCACAGCGTTCTCATAGTTGATTGAGTAGAAATCATGTTTGAGATCGCCAAGGGTGAAGTCCGAACCTCTCGAACTCAGACACAAGTCACCTCCATTACTAATCGAAACTTCACGAGTTCTATCCCAGACAGGGGAGATCGAGATAGGGTCTGATCTTATGATCACATTATCTTCATGTCCTCTGTCTTTGTTGGAGATTTTGAACCTAGTACGTCTTTGCTGCGATGCGGAGATGTAGCCGTCGTCATCAATGTACCAAAATACCCTCGGGTCGCTCTTGGATCGAATGTAGAACCCATTCTTCAGTGAGCCATTCCTAGTTGCCGCCAGAAGGTGAAGTAAAACGGCGTACGATTTGCCGCTCCGATGGTCTACCACATGATCGTTGATAAATGTAAGCCATTCCCTTCCTCCGCTGTCACGGAGCAGGGTACAGATGACTTTGTTCAGGGGCTTCTTTATTCTCCTTGGTACTATCCATGAGCTTAAACTCTTTATCGTCATGGAGATAGAACTCAGGCGCCTCGCGGGTCAATGCCGCCTTTGGGTTCCTTTTCTGGACCGTTCGGTACCACTCGTCAAGCACTTCCATGCAGAGCGCAACGATGAGGTAGCGCCAGTGATCCTCATCTCTGGACTTCAACGTGTCAGTTCGACTCTTATTAGTCCATTTATAAGGTTATGAACATACTGTCTTAGCGTGGGCGAAGAAGGCCATGTTGTAGACTGTTGTTTTTACTGCTGCTTTCACCCTCCTCTGTAATGTAGAAAATCAATGTATGAGCTCTCGCGGACTCCTGAATAGAAACTAAAATCGTATTCAGCCCGTTAATTAGCAGAAGAAGAGAATACGGTGGACGAGATACTGGTGTCATTTATAGTTTCCAGAGGCTGCTTGACGTCAACTAAGGAAGGACATTGCAGCTGATGGCCGTCCAATGGGCTCTGATTTCGTCATTATCACATACGTAACATCAACATTTTCGAGTATAGATCTAGACGCGGCTGACAAACTTTGATTGTGTGCGTTCGCGGGATGCTGCATATAACATCGAATCGACGTTTTCGTCAACAAAACTACTCAGCATTACTACCCCAGTGATACGTGAGAATGAAACTCTAGCACTACAGGTTCTCTTCCCGGGCTAACTCCCCCTTGCGTTGACGTCCGTAAGTGTTCATTTGAACCTTATTCCAGCTGTGAGTTTTAAGTTCAATGAAATTGTTTTTGGTGCAATATGTCAATGTCGTCACGGCAAACATGTCGCCGTAGCCCGTTCTCCGTCCGCAGAACCCAGCATGCGGCATAGATCTCACCACAGGAAAGTGAAATGACATGGGAATAAATTTTTCCATCTAGTATTTCAGCTGGAAGCGTTGGTACCTCCAACTTTCGTCGACAGATTATCCATGAACCGGTCGATGTCAGAAGATTTTCTTGCTTCCTCTTTGAGTGATCTATCCGGTAGATATGGCTTCGTTTCTATCCAGGCTGTCTACTTTCTAACCACTCCAATGGCTTCAGCCGGCGATACTTCAAACCACTCTAAGTGTACTTTTAAGCAACCGTCACAATATATAATGCTGTTGCGATAACTCAAGTCGGCGTGGCATAACGTCCCGACACAGTGAGCATGTGGAACACGACGCGCTTCGGTAGCTCTAATTGGGAATAACAACACCGATTTCCGGCTGCAGCTAAAAAGACCACTCATCGTGGCGTTGTTGATAGAGCGAGTAGTGTACCCTATTTTTACGAAGGCCTTGTTGCCCTTGACTCCGTAGACGTACAAGAAGCCATCTTTTTAATCCTGGTCATGACGAGGATTCTCAAGGCAGTCGGTAGATGGACAGGGCAAGGCTAACTTTCGATCCTGGCCTTTTCATGAGTTTTCTTTGTCCTTCATTGACAGAAGCATGTCGAGATTTGGGATGAATTTGGTGTTGAAATCCGTTTCTCGGAGCCCCCGGTAGTGCTATTGTCTTGCAGGTCTGTCGGACCCAGGTCTGCCTCGTTTCGGATGCCCAAAATCTTCTCCTTCCAAGTTGACACGTTCTTGGACAGGCTCTGGTTTGTGTGATAATGACAACAAACATTCACTGCAAGGACCTGGAGATAGAGGTCCAGTTTGATATCACTCAAATAGACTTCGGCTTTACAGATTTGGCTGATCGTTTTGGTGCAATTCGCAACTTTTTGCCCTCCGATAGTTTTCTTGCAGCGGCTCCCCATCCACGAAGCGCTTTGGGGGCCCATGCTTGTGGTGGTAGTAATGCGCCAAATCTATCAACCTCTCCATACAACGTTGTAGTTGAGGTGATGATTCGTCTATATATATTTCGACTCTATGAAGGCTCGCTGCTGTTGGCATACAGCCCTGTTTGCCAGCACACCATAACTTTGGCCATATAGTATAATCCAATCCATGGCTGGGTATACAGGGTCCAGGAGATACCATTGGGTGTAACTTACGGGCGTTTAAAATTCAAAGATAAAAAAAATATCGTACGCTCTAAAACAAACGAGACTTGGTAATTTAATAATGATTGAAGAAGCCTGTTCCAGGTTAGGCTGGATGATTGATAACATCACGCAATCCGATTATCTCACGTTGAGGTAAGTTAATCGGCACCAAAACCGTCCGTATTATCAAAGCAGGGAGGGTATGAAGGACAGGAGTGAAAGTTAGCATCTAATCACAAAGCTGGAGGGTAGACAATGAACGCGCCGCACGGTATTAATGGACGAATAACCAAAAAAAAAAAGAGCTGGCGCATGTGATCGGAATTCTCAGAGGCCGACTCTGGTTCCTTGTTGACCTCCGGAGATGTTCAATGAAAGACATACATTTCTAAAATGACAAAGTCACTCCCCCTTCTCAGAGGCAATAGCATCTCCTTAGAAGGCGCCTTGATAGATGATGACAACATCCTCCATCGATTAGGTTATCCGCAGAAAAAGAAGGAGCTCTGGTCGCACTTACTCTCCCATAAGAGTGACATCGAAGAACTGGTGTCCTTTCATCTTCGCGCGAAACATTGCCAGATAGCTATTGAAACTGACTGGTTATTTGGAAGCTATAATCTGTGCATTCCAGTCTACATAAACCCCCCGTCCGAGAGACGCGTCCTTGTTCGGATACCCCTGCCCTTCAAAATTGGAGAGGCCAATAACCCCGGAAATCTGGATGAAAATCTGCGGTGCGAAGTAGCTACCTACATCTGGATTCATGAAAATTGCCCAACTGCTGGGTTCGTTGTCCTCCTCAAGCTTGCAGTACCTATGATGACCGGGCAGCGTATTAAATAATTCTCTACTGGATGGTTCGAGCGTGCGATCAGTATGGCAGAGTCGGGTTGATTCGAAAAGGTATACGACTTCAATCAAGATCAGTGTATACCTTATTAACTAGGAATGTACATGATGATCCAACATCATCAATCTTCCTTGCAAATGCAGTCGAATTGCAAGTTTGGTGTTAACATTATGATTCAACATCATCCGTGTGAAGCTACTACGTGGTATTCGAATGTGTTCAGATATTCTGCAGTTGCTGATTCAGGGGAGCCTTCTGAGTCTCTTCAATAGCACAATATATGCATCAATATACCTTATCTATCTTTCGTAAACGAACGCAGTGCTCCTGGCCAGACCATATTGAAATTGTGGCCGGGTTGAAGCTATCACTCATGCTATATTGATAGCCAATCTGCCCATTATTGACCAATATTCGTCATGTTTCGGGCGAACTTGTCCCACACGACTCTCCATGATAATCTTCGGGCGTAGCCGACGGCGAGACGATTAGGTAGATAGTGTGTTCAATGTCGTTTTGTCAGTATCGACTGTGGTGTGCTATCCCGGGATTGACATCCTGTAGCCAGCGTATTCCGGTCACATGTACCTAAGTCTCGATGATCGAGAAGAATCACCCCTGCAGGATGTCAGTCACGATTGTAACTATCAACAGCAGGAGAAAATTTACCTATTTAAACCCTATCTTCCGTTCCTCCGCCTTGATCCGTCTGCTCTCTCACTCTCATTGTCTCAGAGATCGTGGTGAGAATTCGTTCATTAGAAGCATCGGATCGTATCACGGATATGAGATGGGAAACGTCCTCCCAATTGTCATGGCGTATGAGATGCAAGAATCGTTCCAGAAGGGTTTTATAATATTGAAGCTCTCCGTTGGCGTCGTGTGGTCGATTGGCTGGGTTCGGTTGTCCGCTTCCGTCAGCCATCGCCCCGTAGAGACTAGTAGATGGATAGGTCAATGTTTCTGATAGTGAGAGCACTTAATGAGGGCAGGCAGTGATAGCTGGATGTCAACCGAAATCAGAATTTCATATACTCTGGGATGGCAGCAATCACTCAACAAGCATTGAGAGCGTGAATTCCGAATCCGTCTCCCTACCTTACCCTCTTTAAGTATCCAATCTCCGCATTCTTGACACCGTGTCAACAAACAGTTTCATAGACGATCAAAGAATCACACGGCGACAGGTTAACCGTGGAAAACACTTCTGCAATCGTTCTGGTTGACACTGAATAGGAGAGAAACACCCCGTCAGCTTGGAGTATAAAAAGGATGAGTCGTTCCAGTTGGCGTTTATGATATCGAAACTCTCTGTTTATGTCGTCCGGTTGATAGGTTGTGTCTGACAGTCCGCTCCCATCGGCGATTTAGCGTTGTCGGATCTCTAGTAGATCGATATGTCGATTCAACTGACTTTCTGGTGAAGGGTACGAGGGCGGAAAATAGTAGCTGACCACGAATGCAAAGCGAGTCTCACGACACAGTTGTGTGGGCCATTAGCCAGCGGGATCTGGAAAGCCAAGAAAAATAACACCAACCAACCCAATGCAATGGCAAATTCCGGCCTGCACAGCGCCCAGTACGGCGGACACACAACGGAAGATTGAGAGCTGGGAGAATGAAGCGGGATATAAATATGAATACTAGTATGGTGTACTCTGACAGGACTAGGATTTTGTCTTATTTGAGATAGGTAAGGGAATATTTGTCTTTCATAGTAGCAGAGTCGCATGAAGAGCGAGATCGAAATGTCCATGGTCGAATCACCGAGCATAACAATACCGGGAGGAAGAGAATGCGATTCCGTGGCGGTCTCTAAGCCAGTGTCAAGTTAGGCTTCCACCGGGATTCGTCTTTTCCAGAAAGCCTAACTACATCGCCCGATCCCTGGAGGACGGCATTTTCTCGGGTAGCGGACAAGACAATAGGTGCTCTGGAAGTTAGACGATCAGTCAGAAACCTGGCATCGGTTGCGTCGCGTAGCTTTCACCCCGGTGTATGTTACAATCCACAGCTGCTGATTTTGAAAATCAGAAGATCAACTTCCGAAGTGTACGGAAGGGACGCTGGTCGGACGGTCGGAATCCGCACGGTTGCGGATGGGAGGTTGAGCACTGATCCATGTTGCAAGGTACTCCTGGGGCGGGTTGCTCAAACGTCTTAGCCAGTATCCATCTGCGATACCTGCACAATTTAAGCCAGTGCTGCTATCGAGAGTCCGTATCCAATGGAATCTAATTGTTGTTCTTCCAAAGGGTATCGCGGGAGCAATGACAGCACCATGTCATTAAAGTCGACAAACTGCGACTGAGACGATAGAGCTGCCGTCTCGAAAGCAGGGGGATACGAGCCCGCATCTGCCCAGTCCACGAGCCATACAAGGCCAGTGCGGTCCAGAATGAGGTTTCGCGGACTGATGTCCTGATGGGTGAGAACAAACTGGGTGAACTTGAACGGGGGAAGGTCTTGTGGCGCGTGATTGTATTTTTTACAGATGTCCAATTTGTGGTTGAACCAGCCCTCGAATTCGGACACGCCCTTGAAAGGACCAGCACTATAGTGCGTAAAGAAACGACCGCGACATGGTCCCCCGCCGATCGGACCTGGCTCTAAGAGCTTTATGGACTGCATTTCGATGATCATCTGGGCAGTTTGTTTCGCGATGTCCAATTTTTGTTCATCACTGAGCTCGCCCCAGCAGCCATCAAGCGGTTCACCGTCGATATAATCCATCACGATGTACCCCATGGTGCCAAAGTATTTCGTGTCGTCCGTGAAGTGGAGTGACCGATGAACACGAGGAGCTCGAATGTTGGATCTTGATGCAACTAGTTGAAGTACCTTTGCCTCACAAGGCAGCACATTGCCGCCGCCTTTTAAGACGAGGTTCTTGGACAGTCGCACTACGGTCGTTTGGCCGAGATCGTAAAGGATTGGGGCTGAATTGAGGAGGTCAGCGAGCGATTCGTCAGAAAGAGAGTCGAGTTTTTTATCGTCCAGCGGGAATGGCCTGTCTGAGGCCTTACTGGCCGGCTGTGGAAATTGTCAGTACGTGATTCATAGGAAAATCAAGTACGGGCGTCAATACGTCGGTGAATGGGCGTAAAGGACCCTCCATATTTCTTAAACTTGAGGTATGATGAGGAAAGGTCAACGAGAAGGGAAGGGCGAGTCCGTATGCGGTACCCTCCCAAGAGCTAAAAAAAGAGCAAAAGAGAATTGACCCCTAAGAAAGTTGAAGGCGAGGACGATGCTAGGTAACTATTGTTAGTTAACGTATTTCCCGGGTCATCCGGCCACCCGGGCCACCCGGCCACCCAGCCGCCCTTCTAAAATTGAAGCCATACAAAACACCATATAATTGCATTGCTATAGAATAATGAGTAGTTCTATCGATTCGGGCAGTTTGTAATCTTATGACCCTGTACATTGCAACCAGAACACCTAGGTGGGGTGCGTCTAGGAGCTGATTCAGCTGGTAAAGCCCTATCTGCCTGTATAGCTTTATCTGTATATTTTCTGCTTTCTATAAGTGCCCTTGCTTTCTGAACTGATATACCTAACTCTATTTAAAGCTGCTTCTTAGAGCATTTTTGCTTTTTAAGCTGCTTTTTATAAGTAGCCTGGTATTACTTAATTTAATACTTTAAAATAGTTATCTTAGCTAGAGCCTGTTCAGTACCTTTTAAAATCTGATTTAAATTCAGTTTAACAGGTGAATCAGAACTTCTAGATTAATTTCTTAATAGCTTTTTTAACCTGGTTTCTGATTTATTTAGCTGGTTTATAGTATAAGATATTTTAGATACTAAGCTACCTTAACTGCTTGGTTTGCTATCTGGAGGTGTAGAGGTTTCAAGCTGCACAGTAATTTAAGCAAGAACCTGCTCAGGATTAAAAGAAACTAATCCAGTTACTTAAAAAGTACTGTAGATATTGCTGCTAGTAAAGACCTGTCTGCGGGTCTTAGAATAGACTAATAAAAAGTTATCTTTATTAATATAATTAATTCTATAGTATATTTTAGATTTAATTAATTTTCTGTACGCCTTTTTTAGAGGTGAAAAGCAGGTAATATTAAGCAATTAAAGCTTATAAGAAGTGTGAACAGACATATAGATTAGTATAATATTATTCTCTAAGCAGATCTGATTAAATTAAGATATAAGATAACTATTATAACTATCAAGAATAAGTAGGCAATATTGTTCTATAGATTAGTCTATAGTAGCAGGTATAAAATAATTCTATAGCTAGTATAGACTAATTTTATTGCTTATCTAATTATTAGGACTTATTTTAATTCTCTAATCTGATAAGATATCTTGATTCTTATACCAGGCCTCTATATACACTTTATCTTTAAAGATAATATAAGAAGATAGAGCCTATCTATTAAAACTTATATATTCTATAAAGATAATCTATTCCCAGTTTCCTAACTATATAAAAAAAGGTTTCTCTTATATATCAGATCTAGTAACTACCTTAGCAGTAGCTACTAGACCTATTGTAAATCCTGTTTTATTAAAATTATAGATATCACTTGATATAATACTATACTGCTGAATAACATTATTTACCTGCTGGAACTAGGCATACAGAACCTTAGGATCTTTAGCTTTAGCACGCTAATAGTTATATCTGTATATAAAGCACATTTTCAGCTCAGGCCTGCACCTAATAAAGGTTGAAACCCAGTTTTTGCCAATAGTAGTAGGAGTAACAGTAGGATTATGCTTAGTAAGCAGAAGATTAGCTATTTCTTATATATAAATAGGCCGAGAACTTGCTCTATATTAATCTAGAGATATAATCCACTATACAAGTAATTCTTCTTCAGAGATACTCAATTTATGATTCTCTGAGTGCACTTGAGGCTTAAAAGTGCTTTCTTTTAAGCAATCAGTCAATATAGAATGAGGCACATTATAAACTTCAGCAGCCTTCCATATACTGTCAAATTGTTGGTTTTTAATAGCGGATATAGCCAGCAGGATCCTTCCTTCTTGTTTCACTAAAGATTTTGATGATTTAGGCATTTTTGGTGGTATGACTGGTTCTTGAATTGCTTCAAAATTTGAGGCGCGTACAAAACGCGTAGGGTGGCCGGGTGGCCCGGGTGGCCGGATGACCCGGGAAATACGTTAGCTTGGTTTGGCTTAGTCATAGCCAAGAAACGCAGAACTCGGGACAGAGATTGATAGGAGGATCGATCACGCGCCTACTTAGCGCCCAAGCGGGTTTTGTCTGACCAGTCCAGTCTCCGCCCTAGCCGACTTCATATATAGAATGACACTCGGACCGGGCATATCGTTTTATATTTGGATATACATTCGGCATACAACGAGGCCATCTGACCTCATTGGCTCCCCCTACTTGCTGGGATCCCTCAACGGCGCATAATGGAAATATTGATCTCTATACCATTAATGATAGGCTCCTCTACGCGCTGATTCCAGCTTTCAACACCTAATTATAGCAATTCGTCTCTCTTAGACTTTCGTTCAGCGTGCACACAGCGAGTCTTGAACAGTCCAGCATGACGACGGCTACCTAGGCGCTTAGGCGACCTAGGACGTAATAATATTTAAATGCACTCACACCCTGCTCCAGCCCTTCCTTTGACTGACCTAGGAGAAACGAATCGTTCTCACCTCTCCTTATCCAGAATTTCTCATTCCGCCTGCTACAGTACTAGGTACGCGCTCATATGGTGACGTTGATATGGATTCGATAAGTTTTAACACGTACCAGGACTGTGCGACAAGATTTGAAGAATGGCAAGCTTTCAACCTCTCAATTTCATACCAAAGCACCGTCAGGCGCACATTCTGGAGTCGCCGGTGCAATCTATGATTGCCGTGCCGCACAGTAAAAAGGCGGGCACGAACCACTGGTGTCTCTACCTGTTGACTTCCTACCGAAGCTCTGTCAGAATCGATTGCCAGCCAAGTTACTCGGTTCCGAGCACCATTCTCCCCGGAGGCTCTAAGGCATATGTCAGAGCCTATGGGAGCCTAAGGCCGTAACCACGTGACCTGACCACAACACCAAGGAATCTCTGTAGAGTAGATTTAGACCTCAAGACAATCAATCCGATTACACGTGAGCTACACCAGCTCCATCAGCATATGTTGTCATCTCTGAGTTATCATACACCGTGTCCAGGGATGCTCAAGCGCAGTTCCTTCTCAGTGTGGCTCCTGGTTTGAAGGTCAGACATGTTTACGATCTGCTGGTCCAGAATGGACGCCATAAATACGAATTCGACTCAAACGGCGTCGGTTGCAGATTTTGGACGACGGACCAGATCAATCTGCTACACCAGCATAGGCTGATCATGAACGCGGCACAGGTTACAGCTGCAAAGAATGGAATCGTTAAACTGTGGCCGGATCAGACACCCCTAGGACTCGACCTGGGAGCCTACTACTAGTGGGGCTGCCAAAAGGAAGATTTCTCCGTTATTATTCCTCGGTTTACCACATTACATACCTGCGAGTACATTTGCAAGATGCAACCCATGTGCCTCGGCTGACTTGGGAGCGTCGAGTCTGGGTCCGCTGCTGTTTAAGCTCTAGCTACGGTTGGCGACTTCATTCGCGTGTCATGTCATTTTCAGTGCTTCAATTTTCCGCATTCTTGTTCTTTTTGTTAGTTTGTACCTACTGCCAGTAAGAAATACAATCCATATATAGCCCCTGCGTAAACCTGGATGTCTTCTAAGTGATTATACGTCCCATATCAAAAGGTCAGATTGATACACCGAAATGGTCGTTCGAAGGTCAACTCCCACCAGAATCTGTCTCGAAAGCAGACCATTACCGCAATCCAAGGAGCTTCCACCATGAGGGAATTGGTCCTTCTCATGAATGATAATCACGACAAGATGTTTGGCTGGAACTTTCTTTACGAAACACATCAAGCGAAAGCACCTGCGTCACATCTCTACACAGTCCGAGATAAGGTGCAATGTCTACGACGAGCTCTTTTCTTGCCAAATTCACCTCCAACGCCATGCAATTTATACGCATGCGACCGTGACATAGACTCACCTTCAACAACAATTCAGAACCCTGTGAACTAGAGGTTGACCATTTGCCGTACCCCCATGGTTCTCACCGAACTCAATTTAACCACTTCACTCTTAACCATGGATATATTTGTAACGCACAAATCCTTAGACACATTAATATCATCGTACCAACTAAACTGACATTAACAGTAGATAGGGTATTTAACCACCCTCAAAGTCCGAAATGTGTCGAACCGTCATCTCTAACATTTAAAGCCCCTTGAAATCCCGCAGTATACGGCAGAGGATCAGCCGCGACACGCCCAGGACCCCGCTGCCCCAAAATCTATTACTCTGTATGTGTGTGCCTTCCGTTGAAGAATGTGATCTAGTCTCTGCTTCCCGCATTTGCGTCGTATCCTTGTGTTCTGGCTCTGTCGGTGGCAGACACATAGTGTACCTGCATCTGCAGTTCCCCCCTTTCCCCCCGGTGCTCGACTCCCTCTTGCTCTCGAGCTTTCTGTCGTCGGGAATGGTCAACCGACTCTGCTTTCCCTCAAACTTGCGGCGCAGCTCGTGGTGTTCATCGCTTCGGTCGGGTATGACTGCCGTTACGGGGTCGATGAGCAGGTGGTTGTCCATGAGGATGGTCGTGTCCGCGGGCAGGAGCTCTTTGGCTTGCTTTAATATGGTGAGTTTACCTGTGCCTGGGAAGCCATTCAGCACGATTATCTTGCCGGTGGTGGGTTGTGCGTGGAGGCTGAGCGAAGAAGGAATGGTATTCAAATCATTACCGACTACTAAGTAGTCACTTTGCTGTGGAATTGCCACAATGGTTTTCTTGGACATCATACACGCGGAATATTGAAAGAGAATATGTTCGGCGTTCAAGCGACAGAAATTAGGCGCACCGCTGTATCGAAGACCCTTGACGTATAAATACCGAAGGCGAATCCGACGGAATTAGTTCAGGTAACTGGAGACCTTATCATATAATGGCTTTGGGTGCGCTAAACCTAATCGGATTGCTTCCTACGTTATGTCGACCAACAGCATTCGCTGCTCGAACCTCACCTAAAAAGGCAAACAGCAATCGGTGGGTTGCCCACTTGACCGCCTTTTCGTACGGGTCGCCTGTGGTAATTGGGTCAACACACATGCGAGTTGTAACGAAAAATCCGAAAAAAGTGCTGTATCTCTTACTTCAAGGAGCGGAAGTAACAATTGGGGGACGCATGGACGCAGGAACAAAGAACCAACTTGATTCTCTACAAGCAGGACTAAGGCATCAGGAAGGTCCTCATTTATGCAGGATCTGCCACTCGTTATCTATATACCTGTCCCAAATATCGGGCTCCTAAAAGAAATGATACTATTCTGCTCGCAATAACTGATGAAATCGCGCGATTTGTTGGGTACATGGCCATCAAAGAGGAGGATACGAACCAGGGGATGGAAGTCGAGTTTGCGATGCCGGTCGAAATATCGAAGGCATGAGAATGCACAGATCTATGGAATAAATACATATCCACCCCCCGTCTCCCCTCATTAGCCCCTTCCCCACTATAAATAATCGTGATAGGATTACCACTTATCTCCCCTTCCAGTTGATGAAAGAGTTCTTCAAAAAAAAAAAAAAAGGATAATCCCTCTACATCCATTCGCCCTCCGCTGAGCTCGCCGCTCAAATACAAAGAATCTCTTCGGTCTCCCCAGAAGGGATTAACACCGGACATGGCGAGAAGTTATGGGTCCATTGCGCCAAGAGTCTGGGGATGAATGTCACCCAATGCGAGCTCACTGGGGAGAGAAAACTGTATATTTTATGCAGACTCTTCAATGTGACTGACAATCCTTTGCATGTTTATCATGTTTATGTTGGTATGGTTAACCGTGGTTTAATCGCGTTTACGAAGTTGTTTTCCATGGCCACAGCGTACATCGGCCAATCCACGTGCTGTATCACGTAGTCTTTTGGCATTACTCGACAGCTTACGACACTCATTTTATATAGCAGTAAATGTCTCAGTAATCATTACTCTTCAAGTAGTCAGCCAACGCCCCACCTGCCATCTTAGCCATCTCCGGTTGCTTTCCTTCGGCGTAGTGGACGAGCACCACTGCTTGAACCGTTTTCCACGCGAAAATACCTTCATTGCCCTAGAAGCCATCGTTTTCAGCCAGTTGGCGATGTTCCAAGATTGATTGATCTTACCTGGTTGGCGTGGAAAAACTCTCCGCTGATTTCGGTCACGGTATAAGTAGGCCCGGGATCGAGGAGCTTAATCGAGTTTGTCTCGACGCTTTGAAAAGCCTTCGCCAGATCTTCCAACCCCCGTTGTGTAACCTATGAATTAATAAACAAATTGTTTAACTCATAGACTAAAAGGAAGTTATATGTAATGACTAATGACCTACATGCCAATCACTCTTTCCCCAAAGACTCCCGTCGAGTCCAACTATAGCGCCCTGGTCGACAACCCCAGACCCTATAAGATTTTCCCGGACCATACCTAGATAAACATGGGAAATTAGAGCGTAGGTAGAAGAGCTGTAATTACTGGAAACAACGTACGCGACCAATCAACATTGACCTCGTTCATTTTAGTGGGTGAGTCTCAAGAGGCTTGATGTTGATGAAAATGGGTAACGGTACCTCCCAGAGCAGAAAAGCACAAGGAAGAATCCCGCGGATAGAAGGATGGATTGCAGTTGCGTTGTTCAGCTTGATATTTCCTGGAGAGGGATTGCCTTGTAAATAAGTATTCGTATCTTCTGTTCTCCTCGAACTATGATTTCATCCTAGCGGTGCAGAAAGCTGAAGCGCTGTAGGTGCCCAATATGTGGGTAGGCTGATTCCAAGCACCGATCTTAACCCCAAATAGAGGATTTATGACTCATTGTGGGTGTCGATGCATATAATATGTTATGGTCCCCGAGCGTGGCAATTTGACTTCCAGGCCCTAACGACAACGTGGTTGGTTCGTGTTGATACGCCCGTGGACTGGAGATCGGCAGGATGATCGGGGACGACTGTGGGGACGGCTGTGACGATTGGAACGATTAAGAAGCCACTAATTCGTGCAGTGATAGAGGTCAAAGATGGCGCGTCCAGGACCCATGAGTTGGCGGTACCACGGCCAATTCGCGACCATTACCCGTCTTGCTGCTGATGCTAATTCCTCCTTCCCTCCCACTGTAGGCTATGATAGATGCGGACAGCTGAGCTCTCCCGCGTTCTCGATTTCCCCTGCTGTTTCTATTTTGGGAGTCAAAGGTTATCCGGTCACATGTCGGGTAATAATTCGACCGGGCCGAAACTATGCTCAGTACCTTCATGTCGCCGGGCCTACAAATCCATCCAGCTCAGGATGTTAAGTGCGACTTCATCTCATTACCACCCCCCTTTTTGTGAGGGTCAACAGATAGCCGAGAGAGATACAACGACGGTTAGTAGTAGAACGAATTGGTGAAATAGCAGAATTCCTGTGCTTAACATTTTCAACGAGCCCGCAGGCATTGGTGAGAAGGTGATGAATTGGACACCATCGTGTTGGTTGATTAGGATTGGCCAAACAACGAAGCGTCTCCACCTAGATGTTAGGTCCGCGCGTTTCCTAATACCCACATTATCCAGAGTCGTGCTGAAGTCAGTCACGGTGGATCGTTCCCCCAGGAATGAGAGCGGTTGTCCGAAATGCGACCGGAATCTTAATACTCCTTGCATAGTCTGAACAGCAGACCTATCAGGCTGCAATTCGGGGAAATTTGATGTAACTTCAACGTCATGCAAATTGTACTTGACAGGGTAATGCAGTATATTCAGTTATGACATTTGAGGCTACTTCGTGGATGTCACTCTCGCCGGGCTGACCTATCAGACACCAGCATTAGCCCGAAGCTCAAACCTAAGTACTGAGACGACCCGGACCGAACCCATCTGGTATCCATACCCCGACGCGCTACATTCGCCAGCTCCGGGATTCTCGGCTAGATATCCCTTCCGCTCAGACCCTTCCCCCCAGGTACCTGCCGATCTTGGCTAATTGTGGACGGATGACCTAGTCACGTCGGACGACGAGTATCAAGGGGTCTTCGTGCTATGGTGTCTGAGCACGAACCCTTGGAGGATGACGACTATTACGTTGTGGACGCAACAGAAAAGCAAAGGTCTCTCCGAGACGGAAATTCATATCTTTCTGGATGCTTCGTGGCTTGTAGCCGCCTTCTACTATTAAGCTGCCACCCCGTGGCCTGACCGCTCGACCGCCCGACCGGCAGAATCCCTCTGATTTTCGGATTATGGGATGTGGCAGATATCTCGGGCTACCAGGGTCGAGGGTTAAACGACTTGATGGGCTGCCTTCTAGACCCTACAACCCTGAAAAAAGCTTCCCCAGCTCAAACTCTATCCCCTTATAGGGGAGGGCGGGTATATCTCGCCTTCTCTCGCAATATCCGTTGGCAGATTCCGGCTTCGTAGGAGCCTCGGCCCACTTCTCACTCAAGCCAAAGGCAGCATAGCTCCTGTGCAGGAGGCCTTGGAATTCTTTTGGCACTTGATTCTCCGTCATCAATGTTTCGACCCTGGTCCAGGTGATATGCAGCCTTGCGTACGACAGAAGAATCTCAACCCCCGCCATCATCTTGGTCTCGATGGCTTCAATGTCGCTATTGACAGATGCTGCCGTTTCCTTGCTGAGAACACCTGACAGCCGCTTCCTCAATGCCTTCTCACTTTCCCAAAATGGGAAGCATTTGTCTCGCAATTTGATTACCTCCGCTTGATGCTGGGCATCAGCTGCCTCTTGTTTGGCCTTGGCAACAGCTTTCTCTTCTTCTTTCATTTTGAGGGCCTCGAGGGCATTCGCGGCTTCTCTTGCGGCCGTTTCAATGGTGTCAATAGCTTGAAGCTCTCTCAGAGTTTCCATCGGAGCGCTTGCTTCAACATCTGAGTACCGAATGGGATATGCCGGACTACCTCCAGGCTTATATTCCTTGAGAGAGAGCCGGTACGTGAATTCGACCTTAAGCCCGCGCCTCAAAGTGTTTCGCTCATTGAAGAGGCAGTAGGATTTGTTTTCTCCAGGGCGAGAAAGTTTCCACGTCACTTTATCGCTGGCCGGTTCGCGTCCCTTCTGATAGTCTTTCTCACCTTCCGGTACGAACTCTATGAAGACATTCGATGGCGTTTCTTTGCTGACGTAAAGTTCCTGGCTATCAGGCTTCTTCAGGATCCCATGTCTGACACCGTCTATGTCCACCCTGATGGGGAATTGAACGCCGAGCTTTATCTATTGTGGTGTCAGTGGTCCAAATACTATACTTTCCTGTCACTGAATGAACCTTATACCTTGATCTTTGTTTTCTCATCATCTTTATCGTAGAAGAGAGTGCTGGGTTCCGCAATAGGTATCTTGAATGATACATCAGAGACACGATATTCCGGTGATGGGGCACGAGCAAAATTGACAAAATTCTCGCTGGAAAACGAAAGACAGTCCTTTTCAGCAGCGGCAAGACACTCTATATTTCGAGTGAGACACGGGATATCGTTGTACGTGGGAAGCAACCCAATGTGGTCCACGAGTTTGACGAGCTTGGTTTTCTGTGGAAATGTTAGTCTTGGGGGGAGTAGATGACTGGGTCTGCTCTCACCTGCATCACACGCCAGTTGTAAAATGAAGCAACAGTAGGGCACCACGCGGGAGCGCTAGAACACAGATGTCAATTCCCGAAGGTAACAAGTGTCGTAGAACGTCGAGCGGACATACTTATTGCAAAGCGTGGTGTCGCCTCCGTCAGCACACCAGCTAATTGACTGGGTCATTGTGGCCGATTTGCTGTCCTCCTTTTTATTATTTGCTTCCTCATATTTGCCGCTGACTTTCGCCGAGAACCCTCCACCTGCAAAAGAGGCGCCGGCTGCAATCTTGAGATTGGTGATCTTTTGTCCGACTGTCGATCCTGCAACTCCGTCAAACTCCTCAGTAGAAAATAGTCGACCACCTAGATGGACTTCAGGCTCAAACAATTCCCCTACGGTAAGGTTAGCCAATCTGGCTTACTCATTGCAGTATATCGAGTTTTCCCGTACCAAACTGCTTGTAAAACTTGCCCAATTGATCCATTGTCGGATTTTCTCTCAGCTCTTTGAGAGCAGTCTGACATTCTGTGGTCAGTTCAAGCTGGCTTTCATCTAAATGAAATTGAACCCTGGGGTACTAGTTGTGACCACTATCAGCATTTCATTGTGACGCCTGCGCAAGCTTCACTTACATTGAAACTGATATGCATGTACTTTCTCTCGACAGAAAAAGCATCGGCGTTGATGTTATCGGTGCGAGAATTATAGCCGCCACTGAAGCCTCCTGATACAGGGCCTATCGTGCCACCTCTGCGTTTATTCATTAGTGATCTTGACCTCGAGACAGTCAATGTAAAGAAACACTGACACGCCGCCCTTCACCGAGTGCTGAGTAAATCCACTTTCAGCCAACGACTTCTCCAAGGAGTTGCGGGTCTCGAAGACTTCGACGCTTGTTTTGTCGGTGATCCGGAACCTCGGAATACGAAACAACTTCTACAATGCTGTCAGATATAGATCACAGCGTGCATATATCTTTTCCCATGAAGGTAATGCGGACCGTTTTGTCATCAGACACCTTCTCTTTGTCCTTGTCTTCAAATGTGATGTCATGGGGCGCTATAGCCCTCGGTTTGATAGCAAAGGCTGGGAGAAGTTAGTTGTGTAACGAACATATGATAAGTCATGGATGTAACATACCGGGACAGTAGGCTTTTCTGGCGGGAGTTGGCACGGTAATCGAAGGAATGGTGACAGTCTTTCCGGAGGGTAGTGTGATCTCCTTGGCGATTTCGCCCTGAGGGTGTAGCCCACACAGAACACCGTTGTTGCGCATGACAATGCCCCAATGCTTCTCATCCATATCTGCCGGGTTACTTTTTCAAAAGCATGTTAAAACGCCATAGCGAGAATTGAGATAGTAGTATCTTACATAACCGGCGCTTTTCCAGCGGTAGCCTTCCAGTCATCGGGCTTGAACTCGGGTTTGACTCGGGAGAGTTCATTCTTTGGAAGATCCCTGGGATCACTCTGCACGGGGTAAGTTTCGAAGACTTCGATCAGAATGAGGAGGGACATACGGGCTTATCAAGGCCGAGATCCAAGTCGCGACCTTCTCTAGCCTCGTCGGTAAGAGGACCACCTGGCTTCTTGAAACGACTCTGGATGTAAATTATGAAATCGCCCTAGAGATAAACGAGGGAAATTAGTGACTCAAAGTCGATTTGCTCCGCTGCTCCTGGCTACCAACATTTTCATCTGGCTTCGTTCCAACGTATTCTTCTAACTTCTTTTCATCGGGTACTTCGGCACCGCTTTTGGTGCAAAAACGCCGCCGAGAGCTTCAGAGAATGTCAATAGGTAAGCATCAAGCCAATTTAGACAAAGGCAGAAGAAGATCCACATTCCACGTACTAATTCTCATGAAGTTTGTTTTGTTTCACTATTTCATCCCGAAAACTCTTCAGGGTACCTTCAAGAAGTGCTCCCTTTGAAATTCGGAAAGCAGGTAGTTCGTCGGTGCTTTTATCGCCTTTGTGCACCTTAAAAATTTTGAAGGAAAGCATCTCTCCTTTGGTCGCTGGTAGCATTAGAGTCACTGCTCATCGTGCCCTGACGCCGGTGGTTGTAGTCCATCTCACCGTCTTGTCCATTTCCACCATCTTGTCCGTTTGAGGGGGTGGATGGACCCTGGACATCATTACTGTTTTCATTGCTGTCAGACATAGTTGAGGAAATGTTGTATCCGCAGTGGGTTGGTCGTTAGAACGTGGTAGAACGATGTTGCAAAGAGTGGAATAAATGAAAAGAACAAAGAGGAAGCTTTATATATCTAGGAACTCCGAGGTGAGCCACTCAACAGACTCGACATATCAAATAACCGTGTTTCTCGCTGCACCTGCCCCTTTTGGGTGGGACTTGTTCATAGGTGGTTTTTAGCCGATAATCTATCAACTCCTACCACTTAGATTCTAGAAATGATTCGTTGCATCCCACATGCTCGATGAACTGTTCGACTTAGTGGCCTAGCTGGATCTACATATCACGAACCGGGTGGCAGTGAATATGAGGGATTTTAGTTGGTCCCTGTAGGGTGAAGAAATGGTCCACTTGTCTGATCAGCCGCCCGTCAAGCAGGCCTGCGAACATCCCGAGCTGAATCTCAAACCTGTGCTAATACGGCGGGAAAAGCGGAGAAAAAATGGGGAACATCGTTTCCCACTAGCAATTTGCTTTTGTTGACATTCAGCTGACTGAATCTACACGATCAACACCTCTCCTGATCACCAAGGCGAAGTGGCGGGCCATTCAACTCCAGTAGCATGAAATTGAAGCAATAGAATGAATACACACCATCCTGTTGTTATAATCCCTTTACCAGGCTCGACCGGGAGCCGTCTTTATTGCCAATTGGGAATTGGTATTCCAGGTGTGCCATGCAAGGTGTTCAACGGGGTTGGCGATCATGTTGCACCGCGTCAGCTAATGGTATGGGGTGACCAGTCCGCTGAGAAAAGCTCCGTGCTGGAAGGAACTAAACGTAAATCCCCCTACGGACCGCCCACCCCGCGCGAACCTCCCACGCCGCGAAAAATCGCCCATGCACGCGTACCCTCCTTATTCAACCACCCACCATGCCTCCAAAACGAGCCCAATACTCGCGAGTCTCTTCCGAACGAGAGGGTAGGATCTTATTAGCTATTAAATCTATTCAAACTAAAGAGATCTCTTTTATTCTGGAAGAAGCGTGGAACTTTAATATGCCCTGGTCTACACTACGCGACCGCCTGAATGGGACAACTTCTCGTGTCGATATACGCGCAAACAATAATACCCTGACCCAATTAGAACATGATCCGCTAGCAGAATGGATTCTCTCTATGGATTCGCGTGGAGCAGCACCTCGGCCCTCTACTGTACGAGAAAGGCCAATATTCTTCTTGCTGCTCGTGGATCTATCTCTTCTCCCCTCGTCCGTTTGACGCAGCCCATATCTTCTAATTGTTCGGAACTTCCCGTTGTTCGATCAAACTTCGATCAAATATACGTTGCTCCAAATTATCTCCCGATTATTCTCCGTTTTCATTTTCAGTACATAATGTCTGCAACTGAGGTTTCCATCCATTTCGTCAATAACTCTGGAGAGAGACGAAAATATCTTCTCATCAGTCAACCACCTCACCTTTCTGGGACTAGTGAACGTGGTTGGTTGGCCTTATCATGTGTTGAGGACTGTGAAACCAATGATATAATTTTTCTCTTGTACTGGTGGAAACGGTGATTGACTAGTTTCTTAATACTACTTTGTCTTTTACTTCTATTGCGTTCAAGTTTGACCCAAATAGTGTGATTATGGGGAACAGAGAGAGGGTAATGTATAAGCCGTGATGTTTTATTCTAAATATGGGTACATGAATGAGGTAGAGATGTTGACGAATATTGCACTATATTGGTTGATGGTATGTGTGACTTGGGATGTTCTGGTGGACGTGGATCAGTTAGCTTGGCTTTTTGCAGATCCTCGGTGTAGAGCACGTGTCGGTGAACATGGTGTTTGTGACTGATCGAGAAGGAATTCTAAATAATGCCGTTCGATAAAATTCATTAACGGATGGGTTCCCTTGGCCATCCAACTTCATCTTGCATGTACCCCCAATACCCGTCGAAAGTCCGCAGACACACGTATCACCTTCCACGAAAGTCACCACTATGACCTCCAAAATCATTTTTTTCATGGCCTGGGGGCAGTGAACAACACTCATTTCAGTGTGACGGAGACACGTATCGTTTAGACGGAGCAGAACAAGCTGGTTTCGAATGGCGCTACTCGGCCTGCACTGGGGCATGGACAGATCGTCGATTTTCACCGTCTTTTTGCCAGTTCACTAGACCAGTCGATCTATGCTGTAACAGTGATATTGGGTGCTATCATGCCTCTTGTTTTCGTAGATCATGGGTCAGACTGGAGGATATCTTAATCTAATAATTTTTGGTAATGTATGTTGTAAAATTTGGGTGACCAGTGGTGAGTAAATACCCTGGGGAACTGAGGGATCACATCGCACAGGCTTGGCCTGGGCAATAGATTGGGACCGGCCGTTACATCAGGAGCATGTTAAAGGATGCAATCCTCATTAAACGGCTGTCTCCACCATATTTCGGTTGTCTGTGGCGAACAGCAGCCTCATAGGTAACCGATGGTGTAGGCCTCAACTAATAGGCACTAACAATAAGTTTGTCCTTCAAGCTGGCATAGAGTATAATCATGACGCCCAGTTCTCTCGTCATAGGATGATATGATACATTATACTGGAGGAAGAATTCTCGTTGATCTACGGAAGAGCTTACAGTAATACCATTGCTCGTCCTTCTGCTTAGTTACTCGATTGTTGCCTCGTTACGTCAATGGGATACCATACTCCTTTCTCCATTTTGGACTCGCACAGGACGAGCTGAATCTCCGCAGAAGTGGTTGCTACAGTTTCAGCAGCGTGAAAACACCAAGACCCGCCAGACTAGCAAGGATCCAAGATCATCTCTGTGACCTGGACTGTTTCCGATCCAACTCCCCAAACATCAATCATTCCACCAAAGCTTGCATGGGCGGGCTGATCAACAGAAGTCGAATTCTTGAATTGCGACAGCAGCAGACATCGTTTCCCCTGAACAGTCCCCTTTGTGTCGACAGTCCAAAATGGCAACAACCATGCACCGCTCACAAGCGGATCATCTGTCAAACTGACCGACCGGGAAGATACTATCCGCAACCCATCCGAGTCCTGGCGATAGTGGCGGAAATATGTAACATGATCTTCTGAAACGCGAAAGAGGCGCATCTTCTGGCGGTCAGGCGCTTTGAGGAGGAGCTTCTCTGAGGTGAAATCCGCATCTGAGAAATGGAGAGTTGGCTGCGTCGCGCCAGTCGAGTCCGGATCGACATGGTCCTCGACAAGGAAAAGATGAACGGGTAGCAAGGCACCGTCAACAATATCTGTCCACTGGAAAGGTCGTTTCGAATCCTGTCCCTTCTCTGGGAATGGCAGAAAAAGCATCATCCATTGATACTTGTCTACCAGGGCGGATAGAAATCTTCTCTTGATCTTTTCCATGGACAGATTTGCGGTGACTTCGATATTCTCCAGCTCCATTGCGCCAATCAATGCCCAGCAGGAGTCTTCAATCCAACCATATTCCCGGCTGTTCTTGCCAGCCAGGATGGTAAGGGGGCTGAATTCAAAGAAACCCACCAAGCCAGATTCAACCAGTCTTTTGATGGACCGGCGCAACCAAATCACCGATTCGGGTGATTTGGGCAGTCTATGCCCAAATTGACCAGCACCGGGTCTCGTAGGATCCGGATCATGCCCTTCGCTTTGGATGAAATAGGCCGAAGCAAGATTGTGACATAGGACGGAGATGGGAAGCGAAAGGTCACGAACGACGGCGTCCTGGCCATTGCAAAACCGGTTGTCCTGGATGACATGTCCCTCTCCATCAAGGAGACGAGTGTCGCCCAACAAAACCCCTTCCTGTAAGGTCCAGCCCGAGACCAACCAACGTTCGTCTTTTTGGGCAATCTTAACCCAGTTTTCAACCCTGCGTGTATATTTTTCCACTATATATGGGTCCACAAAGTGAGGTCGCGAAATTTCCAAGAGAAGTATCTCTTTGAGCGCTGGATCGCCTTTCCATGAAGTTGAATGAAGCCAGACAATGCTTTTTCTTGCCTTTCTATAGATGTGCCTGGAAAATGTCAGATTTTTTCTTTTCAACAAGGACATTCTGTCTCCCTCCACGTCAAGGGGGTCATGGCAATAAGGGCACAGCCGGGTGATCAAATTGCGAGCTCCCTCTCTTTTCGCCTTTTACTCACAGTTGTTTCCCAATCTCCTCCCCTTTGGCCTGGTACAGGAGAGGGTCATCGCCTTCTCGAACCTGAGGGACACACATCCAGTCCCACCAAATATAACGAGTCCCGATCTTCTGCATCATTTCCCGTGCCTTCGACAAAGGCCATTTCGACGTAGTGGGTACCTTCCAAACGACACCCTCGGGGAGGTCTGTCTCTGGTTTGTCCCATTGAGCAATGTACCCCCATGTGTATGAAACCACGCCATATCCTTCACTGTCAAGGATCTCCTTCGAAATCTCAGTATAAGGCTGGATCCTCCATTGGTGTAGATCGAGAAGCCATCTCGGGGCTCCTTTGTCATTAGGTGGTATCTGGATATTTGCCATGCCGCAGATGATGATTCCAGGGGTGGGTAGAAAGAGGGTACTTGAGAACCAGTTTCGATAAGGACCATGCTGAATTTCTCTTCTTATCAATCATCGTGGCAAATGTGGGTTTGAGTTACCCTACCCCCCAGCATTGCACCTTGAGATGTCTCGACCTCATCGAGCTGAGAATGTGCTCAATAGTGGAGCAGTGTGGAACCGCGACAACAAATCGTCGTCAAAGTAGATGGTTTTCAGGAGACTTGCAGCTCACAGACCTCGTCTGTGCATTTGTGCTAAGTACTAGATCGTCTGATTACGTGGCTGAGCTGAGATTCAATACCAACAAATTGCTTCTTCACCTAATCAGGTATCTAGACTGTACTATACATCGGTACAATTTGAGGAGTTCCGAGACAGCCTGTAGCGACTACGGGCCAGTTTCGAGACGCACTGTATTGGTCCAGAGAACCTGTATCAGGGAAGAAGCTGCTTCGATCAGAATTGAACGGTCGTACCGTGAGCGACGCGAGAAAACAAAATTGGCGGGACGAGCCGACCGCGACAAGCACGAAGATTCACCTCCACGATTGGCGAGGCCGAAACGCACTACAAGACCACCAAATAACATCCCCGAGCCATGTTCCCAGAACGGCCCCGATGAGATCCTTTTCTCTGCCCCTGGATATTGCCAATCAAGACTGACTTCATCGAAATTAAAGGCAGTCATGAATTTCGTGAGGGATTTGATAAATGCCGTCTGGTTTGCTTCAGAGGCTGCGAGGTCTGAGGATGTATGTTCGGTAGGGCCTTGGGAACTGTACGTCGAACCGCTAAGGGCAATATACACTTCCAGATCAGGATCACTTCTCTTAAGATCGGTGAGACTCGTGAAGAGATTAATGTCAGCCAGCAGGCTGGGCCTAATCTCGAAGGTGTCGGGATCAATCACAGCGTAAGCCACATTGATGTGTGTATAAACGCCTGGGGGAAATTCGCTCTGGCCAGGAAACGTTGCATCGGCGCCGGATAGACCAGCTTTTCATAATACCCAACATCACGCTGCAGGCTGGGTGAAGACTTGTTGCAGTGGCTCACCCAAATATGCCAAGGGTATATTGAGTATACTGCGAGACATGTATATTTGATTGCGTTTATAGGACCAAGGAGACAAGGTTTATGGAATTAGATACTAATTATGTTGACTCTTCTTCCTTGTATGCTTCACCTCCGGGCTGTTAATCTGAGCGATTGGAATTCTCCAATAGGTGTATTCACTCCCAGGAGAGGCACATCAAGCAAACGGATTTTTCTTTTCGCCGGAAACCTTGTCTTTAATAGTAAAGGTCGCAACCTCACCAAGCCTTTCAAGGGCGTCCTTAGCCATGCGCTTAATGTCAAGATTCAGATCATTAGGGATGGAGAATCTACCATTTGTTAGATTCCAGCCTAAATAAAGGATAAAAGACGGGTCATACTCCATGTTGCGCTCACGCAATGCGGAAGTGTCATGAGGGTTTGGGTACTCGGTCTGAAAGCCCTCGAGTTGCGCGCTGGCCAATCCTTCAAACCTAACAGCGGCTTTGTTTAGAAATAGATTTGTAGGGATGGATGGGTAATATATACCGCATTAGATAGTGTTCGGCCGATTGAACTTGCTCGCTTGACCTTGGATCGTCTTGATTGACGGATTTGGCTTCGACGTGCAGGACCTTTTGGGGTTAGTAATGGATATGGAATAAAGGAAGGTAAACTCACATAGACAGACATGATGGCGGTGGATGATGTGGAATGAGATGGTTGATCAAGATGGATTGTTGTTGTTGTTGTAGTTGGAATGAGTATGATGGGATGGCAACTTTATACCTTTGGGTGAAGAAATGAGAGGTAGTTATTATCATCCAATTACAGCACAGTGCGTGGATGCATCTTCGAAGGATAGATCAGCTGAGAGTTAGCCGAGAATTAGCTGAAGACGAGCTGAAATGGCGCCGATCACACACGCACACACCACTAGTGATTGTCGAGGCCCCTCATTATTATTATTATTATCATTATTATTTATTCCTCGGACTTTTCACGACCGACTGGAGTACTAGGCCCACAATTCCTTGATCGCGGCCTCTTAAATTGATTCGAATGTTCAAGAAAGAGGGCGGACCAGCGGTTTGAACCGCCATCTAGCTGAATGATCTGTGCAGATAGATAGCCACAACGGAGCCCAGACAATTTCGGAAGGCTACTGCTAACTACTTACGACGCCTCACAGGCGGCGGCGTTATCCCAGCGTGCGAGCAATGTGCGCGTTCCGACGAGCACAGCAAGTGGTTTCTGAAAGGCCCATACAATGTAGCCCAATAGTCTTCAGCTAGCTAAGTAAGTGATCCTCGGAGCATTCGAGATCTTGACCCAACATGACCCACGAGTCATAACGGAGTATAACTTCATTGGCGGTGGAGCGACTTTCCACCTCGTGATTTGGAACCGCAAGCGTAAAATGTGGGGCCAGGACTGTGCCTGTGGAACTGCGATCTTCCTCTACGGAGTAGACATGACTCGAGAGAATACCAGGTAAGTGGGTGTTTCGCAGCCTACTTTGGTCAGCTCACCGCTGACAGAGACACATATGCTACGGTAAGTCCTGACAGTCCCGCAAAAGCCTACGTTGGTAAAAAAATATCACGAGCCGTAGAAGCGAACAAGTACTATCATGTGTCATGCGTGGAGCAAATCTTCCCCGCTCTGAGCCCAGCTTGCAAATATCATAGTTTCACAACGCCATTGAAGATTGGCTCCGCTATAAGGGTCGTGACATTCGAAGTGGATATGTATGACCGATTCCAAAGTGAGTGAACATGCCAAGTGGAACCGGAAAGCCAGCAGCACAGTGGAGACCAACCATCGACACCGATCGAATATTGTTGTCGAGGCCCTCGTGCGGCTAAGTTATTTTCCAATAATCCACCTGATCTGAAGTAGCATTTTTGAGAATCTTCTCCTCGGTCAAAGTCTTCCTCCAGAAACCGTGCTTGTGCTACTGTAGCACATATCGTACTCCACCGTCAGATCTTGCCTGACTTGATATTGTCCTGACCTTGAACATGTCCAACCAGTAATAGGTTCCCAGGAACCCGGAAGCCAACTTTCCCATCGATCCTGATGACCTTGGCCCCGGTGTTGAGCAGATTGGTGGTAAGAAAGAACCCTAACCCCATTTCTCCAAACGTGAGTGTAGGAATATTTTTGCGTAATTCTTCCTTTGTCTGGCCTACCACTGCCCGGTCATGGCCTCATCCGCGAAGAACGACTTGGTCAGAAGATTCTGTGCTTTATCTGCGAGGTCGGCTGACAGTTCTTCTTCACTGAATTGCCAGCATTGTACCAGTTGCTCCGTGTCGGCCTCGAGAGTAATGTCGCAGTCGGTGGAGTTGATTCTCAGAGGAATGTCGTGGCTTATCATCCACTCAGATCGAAGGATTTGCCTGGCAGTAGGACGATTCTGCGGTCTGGATGAGAACATTGGCCGTAGTATGGGAAGATACCTCCTTCTCTTTTGCTTCAGGCGATGGCATTTGACTACAACGTCTGGGTTGTTGCACACTGTCCTCAAACTGGTCTTCCCAAGCTCAGAAAGAGTGACGGTTTATTGGCTTCCCATCCTGATAAGCTTATATCGGCGGGCTTCCCACCCATACCACCATCCATGTAGCAAGACTCTTAGTGTGTCGACATGCTCACAGGTCATGTCGTCCTCAGTGGCGAGAAATCCTCAACAATGGTACGAGAACCTCCCTTCTATCATGAATGTCATGACAGGCTGACTTTATTCTACCAGATGGGTAGCAATGCAGTCCGAATCGATCTACAGTTGCAGTCATGTACCACTTAGCTCTATAGAGACAGACTACCACCGATTGGCACTACATTGTTTTACTTCCGCGAACACTGAACATAGAGCCACCCATTATAGAACAAAGATATAATGATTATCCTTCAGAGACATTTTCCCAATCCCTCTTCTTGCCACGTGGTGCGGTGTAGCAGTGAACATCTTTCAGATGATACTCTAACTCGGGCAGACTGCCCAGTTCCAGAGCACAAGCGGGATGGCGGCAATGAAATTTACCGTCCAGTGCTTTGGGAGAGAGATGCGATCCCACGTGCGAAAACCACGCTGGTCGATCCAAGAACTGCGCCATCCTTTTCGGTGGTTTCAAAAAATTATCGCCGAGGCAGAAAGGGCAGTACGCAGCTTTTGCTGGAGCATTTCGAAAAATTATTAGATCGCACCGAAGCAGGTCCTCCGGCTTATCCAGATGACGCTGACAGTGATGAGACCATTCCTGGACACCTTGAATCCATAGGTCGCACTCGAAGCAATATTCCGCATGACAGCTTTCGCTCATTTGGGATAGCCGGTGCTTATAGCATTTATAAAGATGCGTCCACTGGCGATGCGGCCGAAGCCTAGTTCTATAAGCACTTGCTGTAACATAGTGGATGGTCACTTACCTTTTTATCGGCATTCCGCAGACGCATTTTCCGTCGACGGGCCTCATCCCACACCTGTATGCTACAGAATTTTCGCATGTGCAAAGGACTTCGAGAGCCTTAAGGGCCTCACGACCAGTATCACTCCGCAGCGTCCCACTTAGGGGAAGAATTTGGGCAAGCCTGTCCCGCTCCGGCATTACTCTTCTGACATAGTGAAAAAATGTCTGCTCGCGGATGGTACCCGGTTAGATTATGGACCGTCTCAGTTAAGCTTTTTGTATCTGACAAAGCTCTTCCAGGTATAGACTTTGTTTTTAATTATAGATACAGTGTTATTGTAGCTGAATCTGTTATCTCTGCTCAGGGCTCTGTAAACTTACTAGTTGTTTGCTGAGTTGCTGCATAGAGTTATTAAGAGAAACTATATTGCTCTACTCTTGGAACTTGAATTTGGCTTTAGCTAGCAAGGATTACTACAGTTGTGGATAGCAGTACATTTCTATACTTTGTTTATTTTGAATATGCTTATATTATATTGAAACTCTGAGATATATTGCTAGTCCATTAACTTTACTTAGTAAGTATATATATAATCTGCTAAACATATCTTGACAGGTATGGCCTATATACTTCATATATACAGCCACAGAATAGTTCTTATCTATACTAGCATTGTCAGTAGATATCAGTACTTACTAGATAGTATTTATTCTACCTGCTTCTATTAAAGCCTAGCAGTGATAAGTATAACCAGTAATATTATAAGTATATCTGCTTCTGTGGTCTAGTTCTGTAAACTTCTTTCTAAAAGTATCTATTTCCTGAGATCTTCCAGTGGAGAGCTTAATATTCTATTTATTATAAGGGCAAAAGACTAGAATATCCAAGATCTCTAGCTTAAATTTAATAGTTATAATTATCTTTTCTTCAGGCCTGCACTCTATAAATTCTACTGTATTAAGAATATTCTAAACTGACTTATAGTCACAAAAGGCTTTATTAGCAGAAGCTATAGAAATAAAAAATATAAGAAAGTTAAGAAAAAAAGAGAGCTTCTCTTAATAAATCTTATAAAATATATAGATCAGAAGTTTCTATCTTTTCTTCTTTCAGTATTCCTTTATATAAACTTAAAAGTATATTAGAATAAGTATTCTTACACTGTCTATTAATTTAATTATAAGGATAAAGTACTGTATAATCATTAGTATAATATATTTAACTAGTATTCTATAACTTATCTTATAGTATACTGCTATTATATATACTCTAATATTCTTATTCTTTTCTTTATATTTCTATTTCCTAGACAAGTCTCGCTAAGTAGTTAACTTATATACTTTATCTGACCGCGCTGATATAAAACAGTAGAGAAGAATTACTACACTTAGCTATACTCTTATTTAATCAGAATATATTTTTCTATACTCTTTAAAATCTTGATACTATAGTTATATTATAAGAATAGTAAGATTATTTAGTGAGAGGCTATCTTTTTCTATCTTCTTCTTATAAAGATCTACTTTTTCTTTTAGACCTTGCTTTATCTACTATAATACCAGTTACCTGTATTCAATAACTATAGATATTAAGGATATACTGACCTCTCAGACAGTCATAGAGATATTTTCTGGTATATTGAAACCTTGCCGTAGAAGTAGCCCAGTCTCAAAATCTCTACAAAACCTGTTAACAGTTTCTACAGTCAATATTTCCTTGCTCCTAAGTTATCTCTTCATATTTTTAGCCACAAATTCCAGAAATCCTTTGTAGGATCAAATATCAGGTGGAGATACAGCTATTAAATGCAGAGTAAGGAATCTGTGATCTATTAATTTCCAGTCCCTGGCTCTGGCAGAGTACCTATAACTGACTTGTTAAATCTGTGAAGAGCCTAATCATACTTCTCTTCAGTGTATGGAAGAACCGCTCGAGTTAACTCGGAGTTGCCATAATTATCCAGATTAATTGTCTGGTTAAACGTTGACATGCCTCATCCTGCCATATCATCCACATCGCAGTATGCAGTTATGGCTCAAGAGCGGTATTATTTCAAAGATAGTAAGACCGGCTATCTGGAGAACAAAATCTCTACGCTTACGGGGGAAGGGGTTGGTGCTACTCCTTGGTCGCATTTGCGCAAATGTGACTTCCTACTAGCTCGGGTGTATAGTATTCGGGTGGGTGAACAGGGGCCTGAATTGCCCTGAAGGAAGACTGAATAGGGCGGCAAGCCGCCCACGCAGCGCCTGGTGAGCACCACCATACTTATGCTGTTGTATGTTTTTTGATAGATCTTTTTAGTTGGCTTTTGCCGTCTGCTTACACGATACCTCAACTTGCTGCGAAAGATGGATCGCCTGCCAACGGAAGTCATCCAGGTCATCCTCCATGGAATTCCCAACATACGGGACAGACTGAATCTAGTCCAGATATCTCGGCGGTGGCGTGCCTCATGTTTGGCGATAGCTTTCTGCTCGACCCACCTCCAATGGTCACAGGTTCGGTGCCTGGTTGAGGCGGCATTGGCCAATCCAGTGATCAGATACTCCATCCGCGAGATATCCGTGGAAAAGGTCGCAAAGAAAGTTGCACCGGAAAGACTAAGCTCAGCAGTTCAGGATCTGATAGACCTTATCAGCGACTCTCCCGTGGAATGGGACGCATGGCGAAAACAACTATCAAAGAACCAGGATGAAGCGTGGATTGCTCTTTTACTGGCTGTTCTCCCTAATCTTGCCGCTCTTTCAGCCCACTATAATCACCCTGAAGGCTGGATCACCCGGATTGTTTCGAAAGCCGCGTGGAAGCAATCACCTTTCCATCCCAACAGTCTCTCAGCCTTGCAGCGCTTAGAGACACTCGATCTGACCTGGTCCGGTCTATCCACCGTTTTGAGCCACTACGAATACCTTCCCTTTTTCCACTTGCCTTCCCTTCGCACCTTGCGACTCGGACCTGTCCAGGAGCTCCACTCAGCCTACAGCCCTGCAGACCATCCAGCCTTCCTACCAGTCCCAGCCATGTCGCCGGTCGAAAGCCTAGTCCTAGACTTCTTTTGCAGCGGAAGACATGGGATGGCCGATTTCATTGCCTCTTGCGCCAACCTAAAGCGCTTTGTCTACCAACATACGAACGACATTATCTGGGTTTCGCGCCAAGACGAGGAAGACTCCGTAGGTATAGACGCTAGCTTTCGGCCTTGGTGCTTCCACGAGGCGCTTCAAACCCAGAAGCAGAGCCTAGAGGTTCTCCACCTGAATGACCTCGGGGATGGTTCCATGCCTCGACCAAACCCTCCTTACAGGGGAGATGTCGACCCCATCTCCCATGACCGATGGTTCGGGTCGCTGGTGGATTTCCCCAGGCTGAGGGATCTACGGATGCGCGCCAGCAACCTTCTCAATTTTCATCCCCAAGAGACAGAGGAAGTGGTCTTGCTAAGAGATATTCTGCCCAGAAGCTTGACATTCTTACATATAGCAGACTGTAACGAAGTCTACTGTGCCAGACTGGTCGCCAACCTCGAGGATCTTCTTGCTCAACACGACGAACGGCTTCCCAATCTACAGTCCTTACTCATCTCGCCTGAGCGGGAGACACCACACGGAACCAGCATTCGCGTCAAGGACTCTTTCAGAAAGCAATGGACGACCCTTCAGATGATGTGTGACAGGGTTGGAGTTCAGTTCTCTCTTGGGGGAGGGGAAAAGATGGAAACAAAGCTGAACCATTGGTCTCCGGGAAAGGTTGTAGACGAGACATTGTTTGGTTAATCTGTTAATTGCATTCTCCACTCTTAAAGCAAAAGGGACAGTGGTAATGTCATCAATAATCTAAACAACCTACAATTCTTCCCCGTCGTCTCGAACACCCGTCCACCATGCCCGGATTTCCTGACATAACGTCCAGCTCTCCAAAGCACCGGCCCCAGCAAGAATCCCAATGAGCACTGTTTTGCCCATCTGAGTTCTGAAGCTAAAATCATACTGCCAGTACCCTGGGTTCTCGCTGTTCTGTTGATTATTTGTAGAGGCATTATCCTTGCCGTGTAGAACGTTACACGTTGAAAAGGATGCTATGGCATGAGGTGCAAGAGCGGGGCGGTGGCTATGAATGAAGCCATTCAAAAGCTTGGCGCGTAAAGTAGAGGCCATGTTCTCAAGTCTATCAGTCTGTGGATTAGATGCGGTCGGTCAATATACGGAAGGGAATACGGGCGAGGTCCTGACTTGTTAGTGCCTTAGGTATTGTTGTGTATGGCAAGAGTTTTGTGACTGAACTGAAGAGTCCACCAGCTAGCTGGTTTGTGTGTAACGCCTTTGTCCTTAATTATTCGGTAATTCTTTCAAAACTGGTATAGCCTCTCGAGGCTGACGTTATAATTAGCCGCGTAAGCCTTTAGCTCAAGTAGCACGGGTTGAGAAGCTCGGCAATCTAGTATCTCCTGGAAGGAAGATATGATCGACGGTAGCCTTTTCCAGACCAGTGATCCAGATCCTTACGGCAATATATATATGTAGAATAAGTGGGTACGCAAACCAAGAAGCAACTAGGCCAAGATAGAGGGGCAGTGATCATGAACTGACTCATAGTCAGGTTCGTGATATCACGTGGAAAAATGGGAAGGTATCACGTGCCGTAGCTGGCAGAGACAAGGCTGCAACAGGCCATAGAACAGCCCCTCCATGTAACGATAATAGCAACTCCAGTTCTTGGGCCCAATGCCTTGCCATTCCCATCGTACGAATAATTCCCCCTCCCCCCAGATCAAATGCGACGAATTCTGCGGGGTGAATCTCAACAACAGCAAAGAGCATTTGAATTGACCAGTGACCCTAAAGAGTACATCCATCAGACCCAACCATGACCGAACGAACTCAAAGAGGAACTGGAATTCTTTGCCCTCCCAGATTTTCCTTCGAGCACGATCAACGGCAAAGTCCGTTGTTCTCACGTCTGCCGTCCGAAATCCGCGAGGAGGTATTTGCATTTGTCCTCTCCAGCTATGAAGACACGACTCGAGCATATGAGAAAGAAACCTATTGGACTCGACCGGGTCATTGTGGCCCGCAGCATGTCTCCACAGACCTCCTGAGGACATGCAAACGAGTCTACACCGAAGCATGGTTTATGCCGTTCATCTACGCAGAGCATACTGAGTACCTCACCGCGTCGGACAGAAGGCCGCGAACGGCCACGTGGAGCGACTGTCTCAGAATCATGGATGCTGATTATGAAAAGCTCCAACCACGATTCGTTCGCGTCTTCGCGCAAATGTGGGCACTCGAGCCGGGTGACCGATTTCAAGAGACTCTGGATATGCCGCATTTCTATCCCAAGAAGATCACGCTCACGATTCGATACACGGACTTCTGGTTTTGGGAGGACGATGAACCTCTCCGGATAGATTCAACGTGGGTGAATAAAGTTCGATTCCCCGAGAGTGTCTCGCGGTTTTGTATCGAGTTTGAGTCAATCGAGCGACGGAAGAACGAGGTCGACTATATCGCCCGCGTAGCCGCAGAGAAGTGGCACTTCCGTCGTAAAGACGGGCTCCTGCTCACTCCACGTGAATCCGAGAATTCGGTTTTCAAATGGACTGGTAGCTCGTGCTTGGGGGGTGAGCGCTGGATCCGTGATGAGGTTCGACCAGGGGAATTGGATTATCATATTAGGACCGTGACATGGAAGCTGTCGAGAGAGCGTGAAACGCGGCCCGGGTGTCCGAATCTCCAAGTTCCCGATACCATGGAACGGGAAGCGCCCCCATACCTTGCTGGTCCTCCAAGTCTGTATGCTGATGACCTTCGCACGGCTCAGATACCGAACAGTGTGCCCGCTGGTGAAGCAGTAGAAGCATTGGAGAAATACCGCGAAGTTCACAATGTAGACTACGACTCCTACGGAGATAGCGACGGTTATTAGGTTTGTTTGCGGGCGTTGAGCATCGCCCCCCTCTCGTATAAGAAGTGCAGGCGGTAAATTGTCCTCTATATAGGATTACTGCAATCCGATATTACTGCCCGCGATACACTTGCTTTCATTTGCGATATTCTCATTCAGCATTTATGAGATCAGCTTCTGTCCTTAATTCCGAAACAGCGGTAGGATTTACACTCAGGCCAACCCCTCAGCCTTCTCAATCTCTTCTCTAGTCAAACACCATTTTCTCTGTAGTTCCTTGTCAAGGGCCAAAGGATACACATCCTTCGGCCACCACTCCCCCCAACTCGTCAAAAAGATCTGCTCCGAATCAGACGGGAAATCATTCACAGCAAATGCCCGAAGAAGGTTTCGGGCCCCTGTTGAACAGCGTTATGGCTATATTCTCCCAACCAATAATAGAATGTGGGTAAACAAATCTTACCCTCGGGTATAGTTTTTGCATCGGGCATATCCATCGACAAACCCATATCAGTGGCCAATTTGGTGCTAGGGATAAGGCCTGGTGAGACGGCAATGACCGTGCAGGACGGAAGTTCGCGGCGCCAGTAAAATGCGCCGAGAAGTTGTACAAACTTTGAGGCACTGTACACAGTTCTGAGCCCCGCTTTGGAGTTGGCCCTAAGGTCTACGTCGAGTGTTGCTAATACAGACGGAGTCAATAAATATGTATGATATGATATGGATGGCAATGCAGTGTGTAGGGGAAGTAAGTTTACCTGGATCCTGGCCTCTCACATTGCGGATGGAGCCTGAGGAAACAACAACAACTCGCGATTGCGAGATAGAAAGGGTCTCACGCAGCAAATGGATCAAATAATGCTGGGCTAGACGGTCTCATTGTTAACCACTTCGGTCCAATGGCCTTCGGGTTCAACTCATCTCCCACATACCCAGATGATTGACTACATACCCCGAGCACCATGATGATCCATTGGGCCCCGGGCCATCTGCACTATCTAGCGTGCCAGCACAAAGGAACAGATAGTCGAGCTTTTGAGAGCCCAATTGAGAAAGGACATTTTGTGCGAATGACTGCACACTCGGAAGGGATAAGAGATCCAGCGGCAAAACGGTAACTGTGTGCTTGTTCGTGTCAAGCTTGAGGCTATCATACTCGCCCTGGGTTTTAGCTGCGTCCCGTGCCCCCAGAATGAAATTGTATGGCTCAGATTGCTGTAGCAGCTGTTTGATTGCTTCAAAGCCCTGGTTGTTGTTAGGCCTATGATTGGTGAGGGGCAGACAGATGCAAGGTTACCAAGCCTGACGAAGTACCTGTGGCGACAACAGTTTTTGCCATGGTTGCAAGGAGAGTCCAGTAGATAGGATCTATTGTGTGTTTTGATATCCGAATACGTCTTTACTTTTTCTCTTTAAAATATTGCCCCACGCTGACAAATGAATATCATGTGACGTCATCCATTCGTTTATTTGCGTTGCTTGCACAATAAAATAGGTTGCATTCAAGGGACCACATTTCTCCGCATCACAGTGGGGTCGAGGTGTTCTGATCGCATACAATTGGTGCTCATGGGAGAGATCACCCGGTGTATATCGCACTCCCCCTGCGGAGTCGCTCGCCTGGACGGAATTGGGTGGGTGACCTCTAGCAAATCCGGACTGATCTACTTTTTGCTCTTCTTTTTACATATAGTATAGGATAGGTTCATACAATCATATAGCCTCTATTGGGAGTAGAGGAAGTATCGTAGCTTCTAATGATATAAAACAACAGAAGACCAATAAAATCATACCAAGTCAATCGAGTAACGGAGTTATCTAGAACAAAATACCTTGAACAAGCTCTCCATGTCCGCTCTGCTTCAGTCAGCCCCGAACCACTAAACAGGGAGACCGTATATTGCGGGCGTCTATTACAATGCCAGATCGAGCATGCGGTATCCGAGCAATATTCAAACTCCGCCAGGGCCTGTCCCGCTGAGAGGTCGAACTCTGATATTGGTATATTGGCCTTTCGCTGCACTTACCTTAAACTCTTCAGTCAGTTCTTCTAGGGATTCATGTATTGGGGCACCTCAAGTGTCCGGGCATTTTGGTGGTCTGGTTTTGTATATTTTAGTCGATACTGTGGAATATATCGTATTGAAATCGTATCTAGCGATCAAAAGGCGATTGAGAAAACGATCAGATTGATGATCCTAGAAACTATCAAGAAAAAGACTAATAAAAACAATACCAACCCAATCACCAGATGATATTCCCTCCTTGCCTTTGCTCCCGGAACACAGGTTACAAACTCTTCAAAAAACCCTTAATTACCTGAGCCGTCCCCTCCGGATCCTCAAACACATGCCAGTGTCCCACATCCTTCAGGAGTTCCACGCGCGAGTTAGGAATCCGGCTCCGGTAGCTCTGCGCTAACTTGACAGGCGAGATCGCATCTTCATGCCCGGTAACGATCAGAGTCGGCATGCGCAGGTCCTCCACAGGGATCGTGGTATCCCTCGATTTCACCAGGGCGATGCACCCCTTGGCATATCCTTCCGGATGAGTAGACAGTAGCGATTGACGCACGGCGGAAAAGGCCAGGGGCCGCGATGACTTGGTCACGCTGGAGGTGGCGCTCGTGGCAACAGTGTTGGCCACCCCGGAGGCTTCCATGCCCTTTTCACGGACGATGGCCGCACGTTTGGTGAACACATCGACAGCAGGCTCAGGGAGGGGCGAGGGCCCTGGTCCGAGAAGAATCAGCGTTGAAACGCGAGAGGGGTGTGATTTGGCAAAGGACATAGCGATGAGTCCGCCGAGAGACCAGCCGACGAGGGTAGCAGACGTGATAGATTTTGCTGTGAAAAGTAGGTCGAGGTCTCTTGCGAAGGTCTGCACAGTAGCTGTTGACGAGGCGCGGGCGGGTGTTGCGCCGTGTCCTTCTAGGTCGTAGAGAATGATACGGTAGTCGCTCTCGAGTCCGGCGGACTGGATAAGAGGCCCGTAGTACTCCAGGTTGGCACCAAGGCCGTGGATGAAAACGATTGTTTCGGCGTTTGGGCTCTGCGATCCCAATTCCCGGACGTTTATGTAGTGGTCCGGTCCGACCTTCGTCAGGCCAACACCGCCCCAAGTCCGATCGAGATTGTAAACTGGGATACTGGATGGCTTCTGGAGGACGCGATCGATCGTAGGGTTCTTGCTACTAGGCTCCGCAATGCGGTTGGAGAGCTTCCCGAGACCAGATACGCTCACCTCGACTAAATTGATGTATTAACTTCGGAGATCAAAGGAATTCTGTCGAACAGAGATATGAGACTAAACTTACCCAAGTCACCTGGCTTGAGGAACTTTGGTGGGTGATGGCCAACCCCAACGCCGTGTGGAGTGCCTGTAGCGATCACGTCGCCTGGCTGGAGGGTGATGCCGCTGGACACGGTCTCAATCAGCTTGGGGATAGAGAAGATAAGGTCTGCTGTGGTGCCATCTTGACGTTTCTCGCCATTAACATGAGTCTGCACTCGAATATCTCCTGGCAACGCTGCCGCTGGGACAGCAACCGGGCCCTGATAAGGTTAGCAACGACTGACTAATTACGCGTAAACATGCATAAGAATCAACCTACCATAGGGCAAAAGGTGTCCGGTGACTTGCCAATAAAGAATTGACGGTGATCCCGCTGCCTCTCACGGGCAGATAAATCTGAATCGTACGCGTTAGTTCATGTCTTCTCACATCATCCCATCAACTTACCATTGATGATCGTATAGCCCCAGACATAGTCCATCGCATCCTTCTCAGAGATGGAGAAACCCGCCTTGCCAATGATGACACCTAACTCACCTTCATAATCCATCGTTTCGGTGAACCCAGGGTGGGGATAGATATCCGAGCCACTGGCAGTAATACTGGTGCTGCGCTTGGTGAACACAGTTGGCACTTCGGGTACTGCATACCATTAGTATTCTTCATTTGGATAGGTTTTCAAATCATGACCCAGCTTACACTCCGATGCTTTGATATCAGCAGCATAGCCACTCTCACGGTATTCCTTGATGTGTTTGCGGTAGTTCTCGCCAATACAGAGAACATCTCGATCAGCAAGCGGTGGCAACAGTTTTACTGAACTCAACGGGAATGGAGGTTCCGCAGCGCGAACAACCCCATCATCACCCAGTTCAATGACTTGGCCCAGGCTAGCAAGCGGCGAGCCGGACGCCATGGTCAACGGCTGGATGGTAGAGTCACCAAGGTCAAGGTGTCCGATGCGAGATCTCCCCAAGTCGTCCTCAAAGGTTACAAAATTGAAGTAGCTCTTCTTCTCTTGTAATGACGGTGGCACGGCATTCACATCGAGGAACTCCGAAGGTTGCGCCTTATGAATACGGCCGTTAATCATAATCACATCCAACTTTGAGTGATCCTGGAGCACCGCAATATCTTTCAGGGGATTACCATTAACCAGAATACAGTCGGCATAGTATCCAGGAAGAATCTTGCCCAGCTCCTCTTCCTGCATGAAGAGCTTCGCTACTCCAGCCGTAGCAGCGACAATCGATTCCATCGGGGTAAACTCGAAAAGCTTCACAAAGTGCTCGAGATCTCGAGCATAGGTTCCATGGGGACACCAGGCAAAGCCATAGTCACCTCCCGGGAGAACGGTAATACCCCTCTTGTGCATTTCCTTGATGGCCTTAGTAGCTATCTCCAGCTCCTTCCGGTACCCGACCTGCTCGGCCTTCTCCATCGAATACCCAAAGGGTTCCGCCTCATACACCGTGGCATAGATCCAATTGATAGCAGGGGCAACGACAACTCGATCCTTGACCTTTTCCAATAACTGCATACCCTCTTCATCCGTATATGAAGCATGATAAATAACATCAACGCCATGCCGGGCGCTTTGAATGACCGAGTCCCGAGCCCGAGCGTGAGAGCAGACTCTGATACCATTGCGATGAGCCTCATCCACGCAAGCGGCCGTTTCCTCATCGCTAAAGAAACATTCCTCTGCCGATTTACTCTCAATGATCGCTTCACCCGACATGCTCAGTTTAATTTGATCAACGCCGACCTTAACATGATGCCGGATCACTTCCCGCATTTCCAATGGACCATCAGCGAACGCGGTAATCTCAGCCGCGAGCTCGCCGTCACGCTTTGCGATCTCTTTTCCATTCGCCAGAAGCCTCGGCCCCGGCAACGTACCACGGTTAATGGCATCTCTGACAACGCAGTCTAAGCGGTCTTTGGCCGATGCAGCGCCATAGCACATGGTATACCCCGAGTCGAGATAGGTAAGCGCCGAGCGCGCCGTGATCAGGGTATGTTCCTCGACGCCGATGTCACCCAGTAAATCGAGGGCGATGTTATTCCAGGTCCAGTGGGCATGGGCGTCTCCGAGGCCGGACATCAACGTGCGACCGCGACCTTGGATAACGCGGACCTTCGGGTCTTTGCAAAGCGCTTCGATATCGGGCACCGTTCCCACCGAGACGATGCGCTCCCCGTGAATGAAGACATCGCCGCGGTACGGGTCATTCCCCGTCGAGTCTAAGATATTCACATCTAAAAGCAATATCTTCGAATCCGGTGCAGTACCGGCCATGCGATACGACTTGGGTTTCAGTTTGGGATCGAACCGGAGGCCTTCGTGGGGATATGGACGTCGGCGAGTAGGGAGTGTTGAGGAGGGTGTTGTACGATCATGGTAGCCGTTGGTCAAGACTCCTGGAGCCATTACGTATGATATTTCTCAAGTAGAGTGCGAGGTGATATGTGATTCAGGACATGGGGTTGTGAAGCGCGCTTGGGAAACTAGGGCGTACAGGTCTTGGTTTAAATGCATGCTACTGAAGGAACCCTGCCACCATACCTGAGGTATGCCCCTGTCCTCTTTCGGCATCTTGTACCGCAGTATCCGTTTCTTATCATCCTGTGACATCACAAGTAGGAGAATGAAGGTCAGGGCGTGGTTAAACCGCAGGTGCAGATATTGCGGGTGTTGCGGTAACTCCCGGCCTGCCGCACGAACCGGAATTAAACCATGGAAAGAAATCCATGAAATAGGCTAGAGGGGTGTGGATATCGGCCCGGCGTACATACAGAGCATTTTGTTCGTCAATCACTTCCTTCTCCGCACTTTGAGGACAAACTAACCCCGCCGGTGCTGATCAAGCGGGGCTTCAATGCATACGGGCTCTTTCCTGTACGCGGTTCTGACCAGTAGGCATAGAGATCGAAGACTCGGGTCGATCAGGACTACTTAGCAGTTCCCAAGGTGAGGGGCTTTTTCTAGCACAATAGACAGTACTGTCTGTGACCTAAACATAATGAGGATATTGTGTGTTGGTCACTACCAATGTTAAGCCAGAGGAATGGCTCGAAATTCAGTTGGCGTTACAAACGCTGGGTTGGAGGTTTAAGGTATTCGTAGAGATCAAGAAGTAACAATACAACTACATTAATAGGACAGACATACTCTGAACAGGGTCGATAAAGTAGTGAAATATGAGGCGAAGGAGAGAGAAAAAAAAAAGAAGAAAAAAAGAACTTCCGATGCGGGGAATCGAACCCCGAGCTGCTGTGTGAGAGACAGCGATGTTAGCCATTACACCACATCGGATACTGATTATTTATCCGTTTTTGTTTTCAATTTATGAGCTAAATATCCGTAATCGCACATCATCGTTTGAATAGACCCTATGCTACAGCGCATTTGCAGTGAACACCCCTTGTCAGCAGGCCTGAAATATGAATCAGCCCCATGAATCTTACTTAGTACACCTTCAAGTGATGTTTTATCGTTAAACGACGTAGAACTCTGTCAGTGGAGCGATAGGAATGCTAGAGCGGATTTGTGAATACATATTTCTACACTGAAGTTCCCCAGTATATACTTGCGTCCTGCCGCATATATAGCTAACGATAATATCGAGTTGCAGTTAACTACAAACTACAATAAAGTATTCTTGCCATATTAACCTAAGCTATAATAGGATATACTTTACTGTTGAGACATGCACAGTCAATACAGAAAGAAAGAGCGGAATGAGACCAGCTCAAAATCAGTTCGTCTCGTGGGGGAAAAGTTCCCAAGTTGCTCCTGCAACATAAACACCAACCCTCAGCTTGGATTTTGGACGATGCTTGCTGGGATGATCTCAACCAAACCATACCCGGAGATAGTATGCTCGTCCCGGGTGCCCGTCACCTCAACATATCCTTCGTATGTTCCAACCTTCTCTTCCATGCTGTAGATCTCTTGATCCTCGCGAACGCTGGAAACCTTCAACGAAGTCCCGTCCGCCAGGGACACAACCCATTCAAGAGAATAAGTAGCGTCGGAGACGGGAGAAGTCCACTGGTGGCTGGAGGGCGTGAACTGGGTGACCGCAACAACTTGATGAACTCCAGGTTCCTCCCTAACGGTCGCGAATTGAAAACGTCGCCCATCAAACGTGTCCCAGATCCAAATCGACAGTTTCAGCTCATCCACATGCAACTCAAACCAAGTCCAGCCCGACATGACTGGCCCGTCCGTCAGATCACTCGGCCATATCAGTTGTCGATCATACCAGGTCATTGAGCGAGCATTATCAATCTCTAAGATTTTTCTCTGCTTGACAAAATACCCATTAGTTATTCCAGCGGGCATCGACCATTCAAATGTGACTTCGTTTCCGAATGGGAATGTTCCAATGCCTCCATTCAAGATAATGGGCGCAGACAGTTCAAAGGTAATATTAAACTCGACTTGGTCGGAGATGCACCACGTACGCATAGGGCCTAGTAGATTTGCTGGATCATCAATTGCAAATCCGAAATATTTGGAATGGCCATTAAGAGGCCCTTCCTGGACATGTCCAGATCCACTAAATGAGTTGCTTTTCCAACTAACCTGTCGGTAGTATGTTGTGTCGTTGATATCTAGAATAGAGGCACGGAATATAACCGTGGAAGTAGTTGGACTTTGTGTCGAGGCGTGGGAAACAATCAAATAGTCATGGTCGTCTGACGCATGGAGGTAAGATGAGGACCACCATGAGTTGCCTGCCTTGGGATCGACCCCTTGTGAGGCTCCGAGCTCTTGTCTCAATTGAATGGGTTCAGTCTGAGAACGCGGGACAGTTAGCTGGAATAAATATCCTATGACAGCCACTGCTTACTAGGCGCTCATACTGTAGGCCACCAGTTTCAGGGCGGAAGCTGAAGGTGCCTCCAATGAGGGTGACAAAAATAGTCAGTACCGCTACTAGGGAAGGCATGCCGTGGAAGAAGAGGGACAGTCACACGGCGACGTGAATGGTACGGCGGAAGATTGGAGGGTTCCTTTGCTTACATTTCAATAGGTACTAATATTGGGCTGTACATGCCTTATATACGTGAGACTTCATGCTCACTTTTCTGTGAATAATTTCCACGAGGGCAACGAATGGTGACGGCACGGCTGTCTATTGTAGGCCAAGTTCGATTCACCCAGGAGTGGCTGGAATCCTAGTCGCTTTGAAGTCAGCAGCCCCTGGGAAAAAGGTCAGTACTAATAAAAGACGAGCTGGAGACGCTTGTGCAACCGTGAAACCATGGAAGACACACGTTCTGCCGGAGCAATAATCCTTCTCAGGCTGCGTTTGTGGAATGAGACTGGAACGAAAAGAAAGTCGCCGAAGCAATCAGCCCCTGGCTTTCATTCTAAAATGTGTGATGAATGCGTGACACAACATGCAGTCATCCAATATGGGTCTTCGCAACCTCTCGTTGGCTACCCATTGCACAATCATCACCCAGGACTGCTAATACCATGGAAGCTGCTACTAGGTGACTTGATATTTCCTCTGATCATTTTTGTGGAAACTATGCTTCTGATGCATTCAATGGTATACAGTAGTCGTGGTTGGTTTCATCTCTGCAAAAAGTGCTATAGGTACTGGAATTTTCCCCTCTGCTAAAGATTTTAGTATTTTCACCGCTCAGACATCGTTAAGCTGAGTTCGGTCCCATATCTACTGAAGTGGCATTACCCTAGGAGATGTCGTTCGTGATACTTTTGTCTATTTACTGTGGAACGGGCCATCAGACAAACCTAATTTATATAGACTTTGGGCCCTTCAAACCGACCAACAGGGAAGAATCGACGTAAATATTAGCAGCCACGGATATAGCTATGTCGGCCGAACCCGTAAGAGTCTGCGAATGCAAAAAAAAAAAAAAATGTCATGGGACAAAACCAAATGGCTTCAGATAACTCGCCTTGTACCGTGTATCATACCCTAATGTCTACTGATCCTTTGGGCCTAGAACTTCGATTGGTATCTGCGCGAGGTTACGGCTTTTTTAGGCCAATGAAGATCATATGAGATCTCTTTAGCATTACAGTAGAAGAGGAGAATAGTTCTAAATTTTGTTTGTTTCCCTCTTAGCTCTCCGTTGCCCTTTCTTCTTATCTCAATAATGAATAGGGTTATGTTAGAATGTGTTGCTGTCCGCTTGGCTCCATCATGCCCATGACCCTGCGCTTTTAGGTTCCACAAACTTCGCAACTGGGCACCATGATAATAAAAGCTAGTGCGGCCGGTGCAATGCCCTTTCACGATAGTGCTGGCCCTAAATGACTTGCTGGCTCCTCCCGTTCGCGCCCGTGATATCACCGGTAACTCCCAATGTAGGATAGAGGCCGGTATTCGGAGTGTCTTCTTTGATCCCGAAACGCTGCTGATATGATCTTCTTCACATGCGGCTTTAGGGTATTGTGATATACAGCGTCCTTTACCAAGCATTTCACGTGTATTTCAGAAGGAAAGATCGATGACACTGACGTGGCTCTGGCATACAGAGGTCAGCTTATGAGGGGTACGGCATCGGAGGAATTTTCGGCTCTAATCCTCCCATCTGCCTATACTCAATCGAACCGGAAAGACCGCACAAAAACTCTCAATATGGACGACGAAGCAACCCTGGCTTGGGAGGTAAAGAATTTAGCATTGGGCGACCGACCAGAATCCTTACCCTTCCGTCCTCCAGCAGATATTGGCATTAGATTTGATACCCCTCGATTCCTCTTTCGCATCGTAGCCCCTAAGACCCTTGGTGAGGCAGACGAAACATGGATGCACTCGTAATTGACAACCGAGGATAGTAACAGGCCTAAAGAAGATATCTTTACTGACCTGGATGACTAGAAACGGGAAGATAATTTCTTCTCGTCGAATAGCTCGTTGCTTTACACCCTGTAATATATTTACTACCGGCATTTGAGTGCTATGGATGGATGGAGCTTGGATGATATTAAGCTCTATGTAGTGGACATGACACTGTTTCAAGTAGGGACGCTTGCTCGTGATATGTATTTAATTAATGCTTTCCGCGATTCGACCGTGACCTAGAGGATTTTCAAGAACTACGAATAGGAGGGGCTATTGCCATAGTAAACATCTCTCACAGGGCTCCCTGTGGGTTGCAGGTAAATATCAAGTGGTCTCGGCCAAGTCAATCCTTGACGACAATCGGCTACGTCGTATACGACCCCGGCTCAAGGAGAAGGCCGATATTAGTCCGAGGACGGGGAGAGTAGAGTTGGCAAACGAAGTGCGTTGTCTTCGTGAGAATATCTGGATTAGGCCTCGCGTATCGAATGTCACGACGGAAGAAATAAGCGAGCGGGTCCAAGCCGTCTGTGAAATTGCTGATATATATGACGCCGGCTGGAGATTCTCCATGGCTGTGTACTTCGCAGCCCTAATTGGCGACCCTAAGGCCGTAGATCTCGAGCCAACCAGTATGTATACCGCCTTCTTCGTGCATTCCCAGTCGAAATTATCATCAGGCAGCTCCATGAGCTCTATTGTGGCGACATTCTGTTTGCGGCTATGGCTAATTTTGACTATTTCATCCCTCCAGGCCCTAAAGTCTGTACTATGATGCCAATGTTGAATACAAACTGTCTGAGTTGGCAAGGATTCAACAAATTATTTTAGACATGTGCCGGGGTTTCCGAATGAGTTTATAGGCTAGTGTCCCCACTTCTCACAAAATAACATATACAACTTGCTAATACTGGGAACAGAAATTATCGTCAATGCTAAGGAGCGGTTTCAGGCTTTATGCGAAAAGTGCGACATCCCGACAGGGAGAAGGGCTCACAAGTATATTGATTCAAATCGGACATTGACTTCAACTATCCCAGAATTACTAGCAAAGCTTAATGATTTTAACTTGCTATGCCACCGTATTGCAAGGGGCCAAGAGTCTCCTGCGCAAAATGGAAATTGAAACGAAAGAGAGCTTACCGTGTGCTTGGGATAGCTGGCTTGCAGATACCAAGTTGAGCGTTATGGAACAAGATTTAACCTTCTATTGCGAGCTTATAAGTTGAGAGAAAGTGTCGATTTATTGTTCATGCGTGTATTGATAATATGGTCTGCGGGATAGTTTTATTGCCTTTAACGTCTTGAAATGATTCTTTCGTAATTTACATCAAATGCAAGACGCTGATGGAAGGTTCCAAGGATACGTTCCCTAGTCAGATAGGCCGAGAATATCACGGGTTTCTGGAGATCAACAACATTAACGTTAAGAAAGACGAGATGCTAAATTATGCTCCAATTTTGTAAGTCAAGAACCAAGAGGGCGAGAAATGGAAAGAAAGAAAAGAGAAAAGACCAGTGAAGCTCACAAGCTGGTAAGGTACAGGAAGATCGTTCGATTCACACAAAATGTGGAGACCTTATAGAGCCTGCAAAGCAGGTTTCGAAGGCCTGTCAGATGGAGAGCCACTATACATATGGTTATATTTCGCAGACTATGGGAGCGAGTTCAAAAGCTGCCCGTACTTTTTTGTACTTGGTGATGATTACACCAGAGCCTAGACAAGGCAAGGCTGGTTCATATAACTGAGTTTACTATGGTCTGAGGATGTAACAGAACATGTTAAAATATGCAATCAGTGCGAATGCTGGCCAGTACAAGCAGTGGAATTCGTTATCTACCACGATATAAAGGGAAGGCTGGGAGAGCAGGTCATCCAACAGGGCAGTCGCAAAGGAATCTAGTATATACATTTTTCTACAGTGATCATTTCTCAGAATTGGGCAGCGCAAGAGAGGCCCTATACACTTGTAATAGTAGGCTGTGAATCCAATAGGATTGGTATATTAAACCAACGTACTTAAAAGCAGGTATCATATCTCAGCACAAGCCACTCTCATGTAAAGCGACCTGTTAGGGGCCATCTTGGGTTTGGCAGTGTACATCCACACTAGGAGCCCGGGTTCTATTATACGTGCGGCCTCAAGGGCTACATTTATTCGGCAGCTTGGATGGGAAGAGGGGAGCCCTGTGCTCTGATTGAGTATTGCTCAAGCCTCATGAAGGATGGTTCCTCACAGGCCCGCCACTGACGCCTCAGACGCTGCCAGCCCGATTCATCGCTCGCCAAGCTACAACGGAATTTGGGGAGCACGACCCTGTTCTATCTTCTTAACCGGTTCACTCTGCTCAGAGCTTGGGTGGCCCTAGTAGGGCAGACCCTCGGACAAAAGGGGAAAACTGAAATCTCATGTAATCGTTAGTATTCTGCCGGCAGATACATCCATAATACTTGCTTGGTTTCATCAGTTGATTACTTGTCCTTATAATTGAGAGGAAGAATAATTATTCCGTTTTCTCATCATAAACTGGAGGGTTTATATGCAGCATGCATATCAGGTTGATTGGAAATCAATCTGTTTCCATACGGAATTTATTCCGTAGATGAAGCTCTATGGTTTTACCTGGTCAAGCATCAATTCACAACAAAAAGATTATCCGACAAAAGGCAAGAGAACGCAATGCTGACTTACAAGGCAAATGTATACATTTTATCTCCGACATCCATACTATCTGGTTTATGTTGATAAGTCTGAATATAAAAAATGGATAGGCTTCAGAAGTAAGGGCTGATCTTCAAGCAATACAATACTAAATCAGGTGTCTAAACTCCATCGAGATCAGTGTTACCAGATACTTCCTGCTTACTCCCAGAATAAAATTAGGCTTTTTCGTGTATTCCGGGGCTCAACAGATGCGGCATACTTTGAAGATTTTATTGAAGAACTACGCCAGCACAGCGGATCTGTCAACTGTTGCCACAAGAAAAAGGACAAAAATGTCCCTAAAGTTTATATTACACTGGAATTCCATCTAGCAGCTATATTGCAAAGGTAGCCCACCAAAACAAAACCTAATAAGGATTCAAAGGAAATGATAAGGGAATGGCCATAAATATAAAAGGGAATGACCATAAATATAACATTAATATACTATAGTTCTGTATCGTTTTAAGCTCAATATCCCTAGAAAGACAATCATGGAACGATTTGTTCAGGAACTTAGTAATTGGAGTAGTTCCATGTTTCTCCCGCGCCATGAGCATGAGGGGTGCGCTCTCTTCTGATACATTATTCTAGGATACTATTATCTGACTCCCGCTCTGGACATTTTTCAGAGGATGTAACACCCTGATCAAAAAAATTGCCCAGTATTCTCCACGGATGTCTCTTTTGCTTTACACGCGTCATCATTTTCTTGGTTGTCTAAGCTCGTAGAAATATGGTCTGGGGATGTAAGTATACCGTTATAGGTCGAACTTGTCGAAACCACTATCATCCCTTGTACATTTTCATCTTCGAGCATAACTTTGTCTTTGGCAAGCATCGAATTACCTGAAACAATATGCCTTGAACCCCTAGTCAGTTTGTCACTCCTCCATGACTGTTTCTGATGATAATGAACTGATTGAACGTACTTTTTTGGAAAGCTTGATATTAGCGTGTCCAATAAGTTTGAATGACCCACTATAACATAGAGGCGTGGATCTTGCCTAGAGGCTTCTTTTGCTAATTTAGCTCGACATATACAAAACAAGTCGATCTGGCATATAGCCATCTTGCTGTAGAATAATCAAGTAGCTACTGGATTTTGACTTGTCGTAAGGCCCGATTGCTCGGCTCTGGTTTAGTATTTGTATCAATCCGGCATGATCCGCACACAGCTTACTGTGGTCTGCCAACACAGTGCTAGCACCGCAAGCAATCAGTAAGTGAAGCTGATGCAAGAGTATATGATCCGCTAACTGTCCAGTAATGGTGGAAGCGGTGCCGTATTTATAGACCAGTCATGGAGTCTCCATAAAAGTATATCGATCATTGATGGACCCGCTAATATACGCCACCAGTATTGATCCACGGGACTGCCACACCACAAAAGCTTGAATATTAAAGGCAAAGTTTTGGAACATTGCATACTATTATAGTTGCGCGCGTGATGGTCTGCTAAGCATTAATAGTTCTGTGACCCATTCCGTAACTATGGAGAACTATACTTTTGTGAATATAATTCCTGACATGATACCTACTTTATTCTGTCTACGGAGCAGGTCCGTAGTCTTGCGATGGTTCACGAAGCAGACTGGAAGCTTCCGGGTGTTAGAGCGATTTTGGATCCACGAACAGGATAGAATACCCTGTAAACTTCATTAAGATTAGTAATAACGGGCCTTGATGTAAGTATGCGATAAGAGAGACATGTGGCGTTCAGTTTTTCCTATAAAGGAACTCCTCAGTTTTCGTGTGACGGACCCAACCCAAAATGATCCAAAGTCGCACAGAAATACATATACAACGAGACTCAGAGGCATTTCAATATGTTCTAATCGACAGGCAGAAGAGATACCCCTTAAAGATGACAGTTTTAACCTATAAACCTCAGACCAAATCGACACATTATCACGAAGCCAAAACAACCATTTAAAGTATAGGAAACCAAGTCCTATCTCAACAGATCTCTTATGCGTCGGGAAGCAGGCTCTGGCCTCCATGACACAGTGTGCTTCCCTCACCTAATCATACCGGTCAAATACCTCCATGGGTGAGAACAGCCAGCCTTCTTTAAAGTACTATTGCAGGTCAGATTTATCCTTCAGATAATGTTTTGCTTATGTTAGCTCCCTCTGACCACTGTTCTTCTTCTGCGGCATGACTTAAGCGGCTATAGCCAGAGTCCATACATCTTTGTTGGGGCCCGTACATACAGTAATATGTCAAGCACCTCAATTTGTCGTACGCCTTCACGATTTTTCTTAACCAGATCACCGCATATCCTAGTTGTTACTTTGTCTTGATTTCTATCGGCCAGAAGGGCAGTGTGCAATTTCCGATATCAACTCTATTCATTTTCACATACGGGGAAAGCGTAGTTGGTTGAATGTCAGAAATGTCACGGTACTTGTGGACAAATCGGAATGCCTACCCTAAGTCCGACCAAGGAGTTAAAGGTTGGCATACAAGTCCGATACATGGCTTACGGCTGGGGAACTAACTGGGCTCCTGTCTGAGAGATGTTCAAGTTCCAAAGGTTGTGAATTACGGTTCAAATCGCTCCAGTCAAGGGGGCAGACGGGAGTGTGTATTTCGCTGAGAAACACCACTTGGATGTCCGTACTCTCGGGAGGGCAGATGCAGCTCATTTTTCCCCTCTCCCAGAGCTAATGAATAACTTGTTTCATGCTGTTGAGCTTCCCGTAGACCCGATTCTCCCAATTCCCAGCTCACCCTTGGTTGCCTTCTCTTCTGGATGTGAATCTCCACCGCAGCGTCACTCGCCCTGTGGTGTAGAGATGTAACCCTTTGAGCCTACCTTCTCCTTAGTGACGCGGCGGCCAACCGAGCTTCTGGAACAAAGATGTCCTCAGCAATTGGATTATCGTTCCCCGAAGGCAGCCCCTAGTGGCTCACTATTTGCATATTTTGTGCTGCAGATCTCTATCATGGTCGTGCAAAAGGAATATAGAGAGAAATTGATAAAAGTTAAGGTGTATGTTTACTACACGAGGCAGATTCCGTCAACTACCTATGGATGGACCGCGACAGAGAAATGGGATCTTCAAACATTCGGAAGATAGCAAGGCACTAATACAAAGGGGTAATACTGGCCTTCCCTCCTTGTTTGAGGTTTCTAACGCTATTGACCATTGGTTCACTATCCGAGATAGGACTACCCATGATACATTGTAGCCGGAATTTCTAGACCGGCGAAAGCAGATTCACCATGGGATAAATGCTGAGTGAAGTTTTCGAAGGAGCAGCGCTTGTAGCTAGTACGTGACGGATTCTTTCAGCCCACTCATGAGAAAAACAGGAAAAAGTATACGGCAGGTAGTCCTTTACAATATTTTTCATCATGGCCATAAACTATCTCCTAAAATATCTCAAATTCTCGCAGCCTTATTCTAAGCTCTCCCTAGTGGAAAATGGCCCAAACGGGGCCTGTCAAGCCAAGGCAATCAGTATACCATTAGTTGAAGAAAACCAATATCAAGCCACTTACCCTGTCCGTTCCAGGTGACAGTCTGGCAATCGTCACATGTAGCGACATTATGGTCCCAGCAACCCTTATCGGTAAAGATAGACATGGTGCCCGGGGTCGCGCCATGGGCCTGAAAGGTGAATTTTCCCTTGCCTTGTACTGGGCCGATACAGGTGTTGTCGTTGGCATCACCGGTGTCGGTGCATCCCTGAGGCCCACAAAGCTGGACATAGCCGGCCGACGCTGTGGCGACGAAAATAGAGAGGACAATGCTCTTGAACTGCATTTTGGACAGGGTTTAAATAGATTCTTTGAGGAATGAGATGGTGACAATCGTGATGGCTATGCCGTCTGATAACTACGCCCAGAGGGGGATACTTGCGGGTTTTTATATCTGGAAATATGGGGAGTTCAGTACTTTGGTTGGTTGCTTTCTGCCTTGAGCATTGGCATTTCCGAGCGTGTCTAGTGAGCTTTTACCGAGCTGGATGGAGACGGCACTGCATTTTCGAGTAAACAATGATGTCGAGGTTGGGGGCCGGAAGCACAGTGGGGTCCACTTGTCGCCAAAAGCCGACCCTACCTTACCTGATTTACTGTTGGAGTTTCCTTCCATGGAATGCTTTCACTGCTAGCTAAACAACGGTCAACAGTTGATTTGTCTGTTATGTTTCACTTGGCTGGGGCTGAGACTAAGGTGTGCAAGGAAAGAATGTGAAGAGTAGAAGCCGAAGAGACTCATAAAGTTTGGCTTCGCTGATCCACACATTGATGACCAAGTCAATAAAACCTAACTAAAAATGGTTAAAGATCTCCTATCATGAGCAATCTAAACTAGAATGGCTTAGAGCAGAGAAAGCCCAGCCATTAGATCCCATTGTGTTTCCTCTTTTGGTTGTTGCATAACTGCCAATTTTGTACTAGTTATGCAGATTCCTTCTAAGTTGGGTAAATGTACCGTTGGGCGTGTATATATGCGAATACTACGTCCGGCATGGTCACCCTCAGAGCATTCGATCAATGTGTTTGCTACTACATTGCTCCTGGATCCCACTTAAGCCAAAGAGCTTTTAGCAATGGTTTTCGGGTATGCTCTTTATGGCAATCCATGGCCGTTCTAACTAACCTGTCTGCTAAAGAAGTCCAAAAGATTAACCCTAAATTACCTGCTCTATGTCCACACTGAATACAGTATTTAATCTTGGCAAAAATAAAGGCAATATCGCACATCGAATACCTGCAGTAGATAAAACTAGCAGAGTCATACCCTGACTTCTCGCTTTTACGGCATCACATATAACATGATGTAATTTGATACACTCTACAAGCTTCACTTAATAACAGGCTATCAGTAAGAAACTGATAGGCAACTGGTGCAAAATTGCCTAGCTATTGTAATGAACCTTACAGGTAGAATAAAAGGCAAGGTGCATATAGAGAGGCCTGGTACGAGAATGACAAGGTTCCTTCTAATTGGAGAATCGAGGTCAGTCCTAATGGCTGGACAAGCAATAAGATTGGCCTACGTTGGCGGTAGAATCATTTTATACCTCTTACTGCCGGCCGATCTGTGGGAAAATACCGTTTACTTATTCTAGATGGCCACAATAGCCATCTAATGCCTTAGTTTGATTAGATCTGCGCAGAGAATGATATTATACCAATCTACATGCCTGCTCATGCTTCCCATAAGCTTCAATCGCTTGATATGACTGTTTTCATGCCTCTAAAACGTGTGTACGGGGGCCTAGTTGAATTGAAAATGCGCTGCAGGCTTAATCATATTGATAAGCTTGATTTCTTGGAGGCCTATCCTAAGGCCCATAGGCTGGCCTTTACTAGCAGCAATATATATAGTGCTTTTAGAGCTACCGGCCTAGTTCCTCTAAATTCTGAGTGTGTTCTATCTCAGCTGACAGTTTAGCTTAAGACTCCTACACCTCCGGGTAGTAGACCAAGCAGTCAAGGCAGCTCAGCGCCTAGAATGCCTCATACAGTCAAACAGTTGAAAAAGTCGGAACCTAGCTTTAAACTGCTACTTAAAAATAGGTATCACAGTCCTGATTTACCTATTAAAGCTGGTCTAAATCAAATGATTAAAGGCGCTGAACAAGCTATACATAATGCAACAATATTTAAGCATCAACTTGAGCAATATCAGGCTATACATGAAAAGCAGGCTAAAAAGCAACATCGTTCTACTAAACAGATTACTTTTGAAGAAGGCACATCAGTATCTAAAGCCCGAATCCTTATAGAGCGCCGAAATCAGGCAGATGAAGCTAAACAGGCAGAAAGGGCCTTACCTACTGAATCGGCTTCTAAACGCGCCCCATTCAAATGTTCTGGCTGTGGTGTACAGGGTCATAAAGTTAGCGCTGCCCGAATCGATAGAACTACTCGTCCTTATATAGAAGTCTGAATTCATGATGTTTTGACTATTTTTAATTTTGTGTATGGTGGTTGGGGTGCGGGTCGCTTACCGACTACGTTATACTCTACCCTATTATTAAGGAGTCTTGCTTAGCAGTGATCTTTAGATACTATCCAAAAATTTTAAAGTGGCCTTACAACACAAGTAATATTAATATGATATTGATAATTTGCCCTATCTAGACACTCTATTTTTCTGGGCACAGAAGAATAGTGATACAGGGAGTTACCAATCATCAGTTATACAGCGGTGCTTAAATAATAGAGTATTTTATATTATTAGTAAACTCAGCCATCTCCAAAGTTTCCAATACAGATTAGTCTTTCTCTAAAAGCTCCATTAGTAATGATATTACTAGTCATAAATTATATATATGAAGGTAAGGGACATATATTAGATATAATATAATTCAGGAATCATCCCTTCTTATTTCAGACAATTAAACAACAGGTTCTACAATCTAGTATCTGAAATTACGCTAAGAGCACAATGAAATGGTATATACAAATTACTATTTATTATATTGATCAAGATCTGCCCGATTGACCTGGAGACTATAGAAGTAATCTAGCTGTTTGTAATTGGCTTCCATTAATCAAGATAGGATAACATTATTAGCTTAACAGAGAAAACAGAATTATATAGTATATAGAAAATCTGATATCCCTAACTTAAAATCCACACACATGCATCAGGGCACCACGGGTAGCTCAGTACTGATATAGTAACTATAATGGGAGACCAAGTAGTCAGAACTAACTCCAAGATTATAGTCACTATTAGCATATCAATATATACTTTATATAACTGAGAGCACTCCTGGAGGCACTTAAGATAGTTAAACAGACCCTGGAGCCTTTACTAGCTCTGAAAATGATACTAGGCATAACTATATATGCTAATATATATTTACACTGTACACTATCAAAGTAGGCAAGCCCTATCTATAAATATTGATGACCTGCTCCAGAAAGCAAGGATTAAGCTTCAGTTTATTGACATCCTATAGATAGCGACAAGAAGAGTGCATAGCTAGCAAAGAATATAGCGGCATATATAACTAGAGAAGACCAGCTACTATATCTACCTAACAAGACTATCACTAATTTAAGATTCTCCACTTAGAGATAGAATTGAAGTCTCTCCAGCGTACCCGGACCCAGAAATCCCAAAGAATAGCTAGAGACAATTGTACTAAGAGAATCAACTCTATCCTACCAGGAAATCATATTCAACGACTAAATGGTTAATTTACAAGGCATCAAATGTCAATATTAGCGCAGCTCTGGACAAGCCATATCCTATTAAACATATTCCTAAACCGAGTCGGCAGGATAGATGACAATACATGCGAATGCATACAGGAACCAGAAATTATAGAGTATTTCCTCTTCTACTGTTACTGGAGAAAAGATAGGCGTGAGAAAATAAAACGACTGATAACCCAACAACACGGAAATCTATCCCATGCTCTGGGTGGCAAGCCAGACCAGGTGCCAGTAGACTCACGACAAGGGAACAGAAATAGGAGATGGGCTCCAAACATGGACGTGGTCAATGCTATACTTCGATTTGTTAAGAAAACCGGGAGACTTGGTAAAGATGATAGAATCACCATCAGAGAAAAGTGAAAGCCCCGTGTATATAACCGATTATATCAGGATAGATTAGCTCAACAAAACATCCAGAAGAAGCGTTGCTGAGACGGCCTCCTGAACCAGGATTAGGAGGAGGACGAAGATGGAAGAATATCATAAATTCATAATCGCCCATCCCTCAAAACATAACACACCTACAGCTCCTAGGATGCCTGCGATGAAATGGCCTAAACCGCTTCGGCGTCTTCTTAGCCCCTTCATCTTTTGAAAGCCACGAACGCTCGTTCTCATCCTGGCGCACCCTTAGCTTTCGAACAGCCTTATTAAACGCCTCCTCAACATTAACATTATTCCTTGCCGAAGTCTCGACATACTCGCCGTCCAATTTCCTAGCAAGTCTAGCACCCTCCGTTTGTTTAACCGCCCGCTCACGCTTTAGATCATTCTTATTCCCGACTACGATCAAGGGCGCATAATACGGGGGACCAGGATACATCGCGGGCTCCACCGTAGAGTCGTCACCTATGGCCTGTTTGATCTCCCGGACTTGATCGTAGTACTCTTTAATATGGGAAAAGGATTTCCGGGAAGCAACGTCGAAGACCAGGACGAATACCTGCGCCTGTCGGATCCATTGCTCGATCAAAGTTCCGTATTGCTGTCGGCCTGCCGTGTCGATGACGTCGAGGACGCATTCCTGGCCGTCGACAACGGTAGTCTTGAGGATGCTATCATCGGCTGTCGCCTCGTGTGTGCCGGGGAAGTGATCGAAGCAAAGCTGGGCTGGTTGGTAATTGTACTTAGTTCTCAGCGATAGGTGCTTACTCGTAAAATGAGAGCGGATTTGCCGACGCCTTCGTCACCCATGACTACTACTCTTACAATGTCTGGCATGGCCGGTTGGAATAGACGCACAGGGATTGTTAAAGTGGGAGAGAAGGCTAAGGAATTGGAATTATGTGGCCGTCGGTATAGCAGTAGTGACAATAGGTAGGTCCGGAAGCTCTTAACCTTGTACTAATTGTATTGATCCTTGGGGCTATCTCCATCTCTCTATCAAGCTTTATGTCATCATCAAATCAGCGGGGTCTGGGTCATTGCGCGCGTGCTGGCCGATTACCAAGGATATGGGAAATAATTTTGTAATCTCTTGCTTATTTTTAGAGGAATATCAGTGGGTTCAATAGGGCATGATTCAATTTTCTTGAGCTAGAGTGTTTGGCAATGATGTCAGGAGGGGTGGCAAGTGTACCCGTGGAAACGAAAGTTGTCTCCATAACACTGGACCCCACCCTGGATTCTCGTTGCGGATCGACCTCTTCTGGCGTTCAGAAGTGGCATCTCCAATACGCAAACCTGACATGACTGCTCCACTTCGCCCCCAGAGTGTGTTCGTTTTGTCGAAATTTGTTGGCAAGCCAGTGAGACCCAGTGAAGTGCAGATTCTCTGTAATGTTACGTTATATTCCTTATGCATCATGGACGATGGGTGGAGTAGCCTCGTGTTCATTTGTCCTTGTCCCAAGGGGTCAACCCTGGATGTCCCCTCGGCTTTCTCTCCTGGAAGTTATCCCACATTGGATATGTTACACAAACGACCATCTATGCTTCGTAATAGGTAGCTTATTCTTGTTCTATATCTGACTCTAATCAGGTACTAGGATGCTCTGAGTCTTCGAAAGTGAAGCGTGAGTAAGATACGGAATAATAATTGGCAGCATATTGATCGCCGCATAGCTATATTTAGAAGTTACGCACAATATACCATATTAGTCGAAGTCATCTAGTGAAGCATCCACCAAAAGCCTCGAGTTAAGCTTGATTGCCTGTCGACATCTTACCGCTGTCGTTGAACGCAATTGGGTCCGGCACAGAGTTTCCGTTCTTGACAGTTGTCTCGAGAAGCTCACCCGACCTCCTATACACAAGTCGCATCTGCTTCCTGGGTTTCTGGTGCAACTGAGCCAGTAGTATCGTGCGATCTGAAGGCTACTGTTTCGGGATTTAAGCTCCACATTGTTATTTGTCTATAGGTTGTTCTGTAGCTGTTAAGAAGTGGTACTTCAACATACTGGTATGGACAAGTGTTGTCGGAACGAACTCCAGTATCCTACCAAACAAAGGTGACACTGCGGTTAACAGATAGTGAGCGTAGGGCTCGATGGGTCCTCGGGCGCAAGAATGCGTGCCCCACCATTATCCAACTGTTCAGTTTTCAAAATTCATTATGTCTGCCTGTCTGGAACTTATCACCCACATTGCTACTGCAGTTTACCAGGATATTCTTCAAGCATATTTTGCAGCTACGGTGCCTCAACCGGTCGAGGCGTCTCGCCGGTAGGATTGCTCTCCATCTGTTGTGGGTATGTGTATTTTGTTGGTTTTCTGTATATATTATATATGGTCTGATCTCATCAATAGATCATACGTAGCGAGCATTCTATCATTTAGAAAGCTCAGTTGCACCGCATTTCTCCTGGGTCTGTACATTCGTGTTTTTGACATGATCCAGCGCACTTTTCACATATTGTTATAGTACTGCATCGCGCTTGTTTGTGGCCATAGCTCTGGCAGTTACGGCATCACATTGGTCGTCGTATATAGCGATACTCAGTTGTAAAACTTTTGATGGAGTAGCCGGGTCATATCACTGTCCCGAGAGAGGAAATCACCATTGACCCATAGACCTTTGGTCCGCTAAGCCAGTTGAATTTTCTTATTTCCGCGTTGTTTCCTTTTCAAACGTTCTGTAGAAGTCTTCCTTCACCTCGCCATTTTTATTGAATATATCTGTTTTTCGTACGCTGTCAATCTTGATAGGAAACCATGGTTCCCTGTTCCGTTTCGCTCCCTCTAGGGCTTCCAGCCATTCCTAATGCTCCCGCAGCTTATCCGCATCTTGTTGATTAGCTAGAAATATTCTAACATTTGATCCTGCAGTGATTTTAACTCCTTCAACTTGAACTTGTTCTGTCTCTTGGCTGGTTTTGAGCGCTTGTTGGATTGTGTTCTTAGCTATAGCTCCATCTGCTAACTTCTGCTTGGTATTATCACTAGCGTTTCTTACTTGGACAATTATATTAGGAAGTGTCAGTGCTGTGGTTGTTGCTTTAGTTACTGGTGAGATAACCAAGGAGGGAGTAAGCTGTGATGCCCAAGTTCTGCTATTACTAGGTGTTTGTGTTCCTATTGGTGTTGAAGTATTGGTTCTGGTTGATGTATTTTCATGGATTCCTTGGACAGTTTTCTTAAGTTCGTTAATCTGATAGGATTCTATCTGACTGTTGAGATTATTAATGTGGTCTCAAAGAGTAGCGATTTGTTTCCCTTGTTCCTCCAGTTTATCGTCTCTACACACACACACAATTTATTAACGCCCGGCGGCTAAGCCGAAAGGGCAACTATCACTAAGCTACTAATACATGTCCTAATATATAATATGCCTCCTTAAAGCCCATACATAGTTGCTTTTAGTATATGTCATCTCATCTGTCCGCATCGTGGCGGATTCTTGTGGATTAGTAAGTTTGTTAGTAGACTGGCTTAAAGGCGCTTCTCCAAGTATTTAATATCCTATCTTCAGCAGCTGAAGCGCGTCTACTGTCTCTGGCATAAGATGATTGGTATGAGTTCAGTCAGGAGGATTGGGTGATTAGATAATTATCTACATGGTTATATAGTGTCAAGTCGGCCTGTAATGATTATAAACTGTATGGAGGCCTGTACTGCTTCTAAGTTTGGGATCCAGTTTTAATCTTCTGATAGTGATTTTTCTTCTAGAAAAAAGAATATATTGTCTCTATGGATATTAGTACATTGTAGTATTTCTGCTTAATGTACTGTCCACTTTTAATATTAAAAGAGGAAGTGCTCTACAGTCTCTCTTGCCTGTCTATATATACACTGCTCTGTCTGCGCTGCATTGACTCAGTAGAGATATCTATTTAATCTTGCCATGCCAGTCCAGAGTAGAGCCAGCACACTCGCTTTATTCCACAATAATTGATTATACAGCTGTCGGGTGTATTTACCCGGGAGTGCTATATCCACTCTTTTAGTATATTTCCTAACTTTCTTTGGCAAGCCTTTACTAGTATCTATATGGACTTGTATAATATTGAGGGTGGTTAATTTCATTCTGAGAAGCTCTATATATAGAGTAGTGTTGTTTTGGATTACTGTCCTGGCCTGCTCTTTAGCTAGGCCTAACAGTTTGTTATCCTTGCTTGTAGGAACCTAACAGATATTAATCCTGTTTCTGTTTCTTTATAGTCTTCTAATTAACTTATATATTTGGCAAATATATTCCTGGCATAACTGTTATCGCAGACTTCTTAGTGTAAGTACAGCTATGTGTTTGCTATTGCAGCCAGCTTCCTGAAGTACAGGTTCTGCTCTGATCTTATGCCAAGTATAACAGAGAAGGACTTTGTCACAGTTAAACCTTAGGCTTAAGGCAGGATGACAAGTTGCGATACTATATATACCGCGCCTGGGAGATCAACTCCGATCGGAGTGGATCGTAGTGGATCTTTTTACCTTGTGGGAAGATCTAACGTATTGAATTACTAATCCCAGGAGTAATCCTTTACAGACTTCAGCTTCAGCTTTTCATACTTACGCGGCTACTTCTGGATAACTCTACCAAATCCTATTAATCTATTGTGTGCTGAGCTGCTTACTGTAGTCTGTGTTGATCTACCAGCTTCTATCTGGGTCTCAGGAATTTCCCCAATATTGGTCTGCACATGTTCCTTCTATAGTGATAATATAAATAGGTTAATAGTTCCCAGTGTTTCTATCTCTATATTTTTCAGTATATCTGCCACCTGATATAATGGCGAGCGGTGAAATCTTCTGAATTTCTTGATACACGCTGTATTCCTGCAGAATGGGTTAGTTTCTGGTAGAATATAGATATCTATCTATATCTTTACTGCCTGTTTCTAGAGCTGACTATATGTAGTAGTAATATATACCTCTGCTTCTGCTATACTTATTATAACAGTAAGAAATGTTCCTACAATTACTTAAGCTCCTACTCTTTATATCTGTCAAGGGTATTTACTATTCAGGGTAGAAGACCTGTCTGTCACGCGTAAGCCTTAGGCTTAAGGCCCTGATGGCAAGTTGCGATACTATATATACCGTGCCTGGGAGATCAACTCCAATCGGAGTTGATCATAGTGGATCTTTTTACCTAGTGGAAAGATCCTACGGATCGAATTGCTAATCCCAGGAGTAATCCTTTACACTCCTTACATATTAAAATGCAATAGACGCCTAGATACCAAATGAAACCCTGGGCAAAACAGCAAATCATAGAAAATAAGATCACATTGCCGTAAAATATAATAACTAATGAAGAACGTCTTGGCAAAGAGCACAGCCAATCAGAGCAAAGGCTGGCGCAGTGCGATCACAGCGTCATTTTGCGGGCAGCTCGCGGGCGGTAGTTAACCCTTTCTTTCACTCAGTTCCTTCGTTTCAGGGCAAAGTCAAGAATCATACAAGAATTATACAAGAATTATACAAGAATCATAGATGTCATCAGAATAATCAATATCTTCAAGAAGAGCCCAAAAAGGCTCTATACTTGGTCATTTTAAGACGTTTTATGAATTGTATCCTATCTCTTATTCGGGACCGACCGAATATCTGTCCGCAATCAGCCTTAGTCACTTTAAGAGAATCATTTTGTCTAGCGACTATTGGAACGAATGTCTAAAAGAAGCTGTACTCCATTTAGCGCCTACTTTTATCCATGGAATGACGGTCTTCATTTCAGCAACCATTCGCCATGGTCCAAATGCAAGGCTGTGGTATGAGGACCCAGTTCAAGGCGCGTCCATGTGTACCAATAACATAAATGTGCTGACAGGCGATCCCCGGACGACTCCTGTTGTGGCTGTTGCTCTTTTCATGGTCGCTGACGTCTTTTAAGCAGCCCGGTATCCCTCTTCCCCTCTTCTCCCATCATCCGACCTGTACTGACGGCTTGAACACTTCACTTTACCCTGACACTGAAACTGTAAATACGTATCCAACTTGTCTGAATGCTATGGAGGAGCCAGTGAGTGTGTCATTGCATGGTCGGAATAACATATACTGGGTGCTAATAATATAGGACTCAAATATCATTTGGGCTCTCGCAGCAGACCTGGACAGGCTGACCCCTCATGCTGAAGTGCATGAGATATCCAGAGTTGAGGTACGAAGTATGGAAAGTGTTGTTGCAGACTGATGCTCACTTCGACCAAATTCAGAAATCCTTCGAAACCCAAATCGAACGCGTCTACAAGTGCCAGCGAGCACTGAACGGTGTTCCAATTAGGGTCGGCAATCTTCACCATGCGAATGTCCTCGTCAAGACCACTGATGATCGATTGTACTTCATTGGGTTCACCGGCGAGAGATCTGGCCCCGGCTCCACCGGTACGTCGTCTCTTCTAGATAGATTACATAACACTAGACGCATCCCTCTACTAACAGAAATAAACGCACATAATAGAATTCTTCGAGGTCAAATCTGCGTCCGAGGCTCTTGACAACCGCTCACGATTTACCGAGCACAATCACACGAAAAGCGGCACGACTCGTCGGCATTGGCTGAAGGCGAAGACGGGGCAAGCTCCTGGATCCCCGACAACACTTGGAGACCTAGTTCGATTCTGCGAGACGATGGCTGCCGCCAAAGATTATCACGTTCTCAAACACAACTGCCAGCATGGCCAAGCGGCACTACTTCATTATATGGATCGGGCCTCGCCAAAGGCAAGCACTGCGGAAAGCTTCCAACTGAAGACAACCTTAACTCATACGGCCGACCCAGTGCAGCAGGCCGTCGAAGCCAGTCTCTTCAATCAGGCAAAGTCCCACCAACAGCTACCCTTCAACTTTGTTTCTACCATAGACATCCCCACCGCTCGGCAAAGCGATCTGCACTATATGCCCTTTGCACCCTCGAGACCCCAACTCAGAGACCATCAGCCTTCAGGATTCGCGCCTACTACAGAGCATCCAGCCAGCGGCAGCGATCAGCGTCCACCCCCCTATACAGGGAGACACACACCTAGACCCAACTATTCCAGTGGGTCTCTACCCGAGGAAGAGCCTCGCATTCGCGTCGAATCGAGGGAAGGTACTGGCAGATTTCTCACGGCAACCGTGGTTGGCGGAGCGGCGGGGATGGGCTATTCCGGTGCATCCGCCATGGTGTTTCACGGGGTTTCTCTGAGTATCAAATTGGGTGTAGGAATCAGTGCTGGTTCTCCGGCTGTGACGGTGGGTGTAGCTGCCACTGCACTGAATCCAGTCGGCGCTGCATGGATGGCCGGCGTTTTTGTAGTCTCGGCAGGAACACTGGTTTACGGTGCGTTGAAGTCACAAAGTAATGACTGAAAGTGAGGAATGGGATAAGAGTTGGGTCTGAAAAGGGGGTAAAAAAGAATATGGCTGTTGGGGTCAGTCCAAAGATTGAATCTGATCCTGACCTTATCTTTCTATGCTATTCAGTCAGGTGAAAGTCCTCGCTAACCTACCACAATCAAATTGCTGGGGTAAGATGGCGTATGGCAATTGGTGTAGGAATATTAGCGTGACGAAGTTAGGGTAAACGCAGGGCTACAGTTGTACTCCTAAGCAGTGACAACAGTTCTGCGACGTCCTCTGTGTGTCAGATCCGAATTAAGGAGTCTCCAAGGTTTTTCTGCATTCCTATGATCATCCCACAGGACCGAAAAAGCCCGGTAGTAGACCAAGTTACCATCGCCATTAAACCCCCTCACATCTCAGATCAAGATCTCAATCGATTGGCCCACAACATCCCGGAAGCCAACATACAGGTACCTTACGACCTCGACTGTCTTCGTATCATTTAGCTCGAAATAAAAGAATATTCGAGCGAGATGCAAGGCATAGACTAGCCATAATAGGACTACCAAAATTGATAATGTTTATTTAAGATTGTACATATACATAGCATTGCTGGTCTTGCATAATTTAGAATATCTATGATCAGATGTGGAAATCATAAAAGTTTAACCATGCCACCACGAAAGAGCATCGGACATTGAGGCTATCATTCCACATCCAGAATCGGCAACAAAGTCATCATATACATCAGTCCAACAGCCAAGCCTGTCCGAAACACTCAGAGCCTCAGAATGGAAACAGCTAATTTTGGCTCAAGTGATTTGTTATTCTTCTCCAATTTCGCAATCCTCACCACAACCTACAAAGCAATACACGGGCCCGAAATCACAACAAGCATTCTTTGCCCTAAGACCCTATCACAACTCTTTGAGCAGACAGAGAGCACCACCAATGGTCCTAGTCGTCTGTGGTATCATGCTGGCGGGCTTGTCTCCGGCCAGAATATTTTTGCACCCTTGTCCAACTCCTGGTATCTCAAGCTCTCCCCAGAGCACTCGCTATTGTTGTGCCTCCAAGTGTTGGGCTGCCATCATGGCGTGGCTAGCTGTAATTGGTTCACGGATAAGATGACTGCACCTCCACCAGAACCGTGAAATCACTGCGAAGCCTGAATTTGAGAATCTTGATAGTGGCTGTGTTGCACCTGCTGTTTTTAGTTTGGATGCCATATTGAAGATAAAGATATAAGTTTCTGGAATGTCCTGTGAAAACAACCCCCTCAGCACGGCCCCCTGCACAGCCCTCTTCTTTTTCCCTTTTCAGGACTGCTGCATGAGCTGAATGAGACCGAGCCCTGATCTGATTTGCTCAATGCACTCTCATCGATTTTAGGAAATAAAAAGAAAAAAGGCGCTCACGGTCACTCTGTTATCGGGGCTATGGTAAAGCCCTATAAGGAGTCCGTCGTATCCTCGAGTTCGCTTATTTCTCTTTCCTTCTTCATCCATTCCGTTTCCTTGATAGTTTAAGTGATTCTATTCGCTAGGTTGTTTCAAAACGAGAAGAGGAGGTTTACGAGATAGTCATACTTTCCTTGGTACGGTGCTGAAGATGGGGGATGTTCTCGGAGTAATAGGCCTTGTTCTGCCTCCAGTAATCAACCTTTTGAAAAAGGGGCATAGGAGTATCAAGGACATGGAGGAACTGCTGAAGGACGAAAGCGATACGGCGAAACTAGTTGATGGCTTGAAACAGCTCCTGGATGAGTTCAACGGAGCGACATTTACCACAAATATCCGTAAGATGGACAAAGAGCTTTATCTTCTACTCGAAAAGAGATGTCAGAAGTTGTACGACACGATAAGGGATGTACAAGACCAGTTTCGGGGTGGCTGGGCTTCTCGTGCTTTTGCCTGTACGAAGTCTCAAAAAGAATTGAAGAAACTGAGATCCGAATTCGACTCTGTTATCAAAATGATCAATAATTTTGAAAGCACCTCCAATTTCATGTTGGTTATCTAGATATTTCTTTTAATCCCTTGGTGTTCACTCTACTTTTGTTATTCTTTCCTGGGTGAGAAGGTGTGACTAAGTGGTTTAGGCAACGGTTGCGTGGAGAGGACCTCAATAATCATACCATTGATGAAGCGAGACTGAGCAAAACAATCATCACTGCTATTTCCCGCGAGTTGACGAAGAGAATCCCTCACCAGCCAAACGACTACAGAGGATATCAACGTGAGAAGGTATATCGAGTCCAAAAGGCGGGAGCTGGCCGATCTCAGAAAGGCCCCTATCAAGCTCGTACAAAAATAGAGAAATGTATCAAGGTTCGACAAGAGGAAGGCGAGTGTCGCAACTGCGGGACTACTGAACATCGGGAGAAGTACTGTGCCAATCGCTGCGTTAAATGTTCGTACCAGATAAACACAACTATATGAGACCTGATGCTGACATTACACTTCCAAGGCAATCAGGGAGATCACACCGTATCTGGCTGTTATAACGACGTTCGCTGCTACGATTGTAAGTTGACTTGGGAAGATCGAGAACGGAGCTAACCATGAGCTGATGTAGGTGGACGATGGGGACACATGCGCAATGACAATACCTGCCCACAGAGATACCGTCAGAGATCCAGGTGGAACTGAGCGGACGATCGCATAGAGTTTTGCAAGAATATACTATATTGCAAGTTTCCGTGTGTTTGTTGCTCTAGAGGGTTGATTTAGAAGTGCCTTAGAATGACTAGCATGGACGCACGAATCCTGAAGGCAGAGGTTGAAGTATGATTGTGTTTTGTTAGAATATGCCTAGAATGTTATTTGTTTTTAATTTGGACTTCAGTTTGCTTTGTAACTAGTAGAGCATATGATGTGGCTGAGTTCACGATGGCAGCGGTATGAATAGCTTCCCACGCTCTGTTAAGGATAGGTGAGCCAGAGGCCATTTCTGTGTGTTAATGGTCTGGTCCCTGGCGACTCGATGTTCTTGAACATGTTGTCTAAACCGTATGAATAGATTGACTTGACATCTATCTTTTTGGTTTTAAAAATTTATTAGATGGAGTATTGCTTATACCTATTTCTTTTATAATTCAATACCCTAGAGTATAAACTTGATTTATATCGGCATCTTAGGCTTTCTATATGGGGAGGCCAGCCATGCCGCTATTAAGGGCAGTAGTGCTGGCTGGGCCCTGTTGATGAAAAAAGGCATTATAAACTCAGAACCCACCATATGAAGAGACCTATTAAATATGTCGAGGAAGGAAGTAATTTGGAGACTCACAGTGATGTACCTGATGATGTCCGTGAGTAGCTCTATGCCGAGGACGCACAGCATGTTGAAAAGCACAAGAATAAACCCAAGGTATCCCGCAAACAGATTCATGTGTCCACCAATCAATATTACTGCCCCCCGGGGCACTCAGCGCAGACCCCAACAGACAGATCTGATTCGGCTGAACAGCCGAGCTTAAGTCATAACTTCATTAATTCTGTTGGTATTCCAGGGTTCCTACATAAGATAGCCTTTGGGGTAGGCTCATTTCGCTGGTTGCAGTATTAGTATCAGCTGTCGGATTTCTGCTTCTATCACCTGGTCATGGTAATTTATTCAAGTTTTGGCAGATGGACTAGCTTCAGGTCTACCTGTGTTGTGTTACCTGCCCAGTTTTCCCGTTCTCCCGATCTCAACCCAATCGCAGGATTCTTTGCGGAGCTGAAGTATTTGTAAGACGAAATTAGCAGATGTATATGGGTCAGAATTCAAAAGGTTTCCTTAAACGGAGCTTAGACGTTATGAGGTCTAGAAGAGAAAGCGCAAAAGGTCATTTTCGACATGCGAACATTGAGGAAGCGAGATATACGCATCATATATCGTGAAATATATACTACATTTATTCCCACTTCATTTAAATGTCTTGCTACTACTTAACAGAGGAGCGGAACAAGAGAAGTAGGCGCGGTAGAGCCAGTATCCTCTATTATATCTTCCCCATCGTGGAACCGCGACTCCAGAATAGATCTGCCATGGTTCCAGGTCTCTATCAGGTCATTTTCTGCCTGGATTTCCTGCATTTCAACTTCCTCTCTACTTGGTTGATTGTGTGCAGCCTTCGCTAACACCCGGCTATTGATGTGGATAAAGATCAACTTATCCCCATGCTCTATAGAGACTCGATTCCTGGTTTTGGTGATCTGGAGATTCTGTACCGCAAAGGCCTGTTCACAGGCAACTGAATTGGCAGTTGTGTTTACCAGTCGAATAGCCAGATCAGCGAGACAGCTTGATACTCCAGCGATAGATCGCTAGTAAATTATTAGTCAGACCCTTACTCCAGTCAGTATACTCACCTGCATCTTCCAGAATAGTTCTGGACTGTTTGTGTGTTCCCAACGCGGTGCGTCAAAGAAGGGACCGTCCTTGGCTCGGAATGCGCTGAATTACTCAAGTGCAGCAGCTGGGTTTGAGCAATATTGGATTATAATATTATTGACTTTACTTTGCAGGTTGGGAAGCATCCTGGTGCTGCAGAGTCGCGGATCCAAGTAGAATATTGCCCAATGAGCATCACTTACCTGCTTGTTCATTCGCTGCTGAAAAGTTGTTGGTGTTGAATTGAGAGATCCTTATCAAATGGCTTCAATTGCTGGCAATCCTTAAGATGCTTATTGATTGAGAACCAACGTGGCACAACCTTGGATAGGTCTGATTGAGTAGTCTCAGACATTTTGATAGCTTCATGCACATGTTTAAAGATCTGAACTAACTTGCCCAAGTGTCTCCAAAAGAGGTCATCCTGCAGAATTGCCCTGAGTGTATCACTCATGTCAATATCTAGTCGTAGCGATAATTCGGATAATGCTGTCTCAGATCGCTTGACACTTTGTAACATGGCATATTGGGAGCCCCATTGGGTAATAACCGCATTTAGAAGGGATCTTTCCTCTCTATACTCCTTAACTTGGATCTCTCGCAGGACAGCTAGCTGAAGAGGCAAGTGATTAAAATGTGTAATAGTAGTTTGGCACTTTTTAAACACGGTGCTAATTGACGGTAGAGCGAAAAGGTCTTTGGCTAATAGCTGCAAACCTTGTGAATCGCATCCAATCATTAAAAGATGAGAAAATTGAGGCCATCGTTGCAGCTCAACCCAGGTAGATCGCATTGTTGAACATGCATCAGTATTAAGGGCATTTAATCTCTCATATCGATGATTAACTAGGATTCCGGCCTATAATATGCAGGGTTAGGTAAACTTAGAGGTCAAGTCTGGTAAGTTATACCTGCTCAATAATCCAATCCACCAAGGCTGGAGCAGTCTTTTTAGTTCCAGGTATTTCTTTAGGACACCAGTAATACCGCTTTATGCCATCAGTGACAGGAAGGTTCATAATCCGATATTGGTAGACTCGTCAACTGAGATATTAATATAGCGAGATTTGGCAAGGACATTAAATCGTCCCTAAAGAATCCCTCCCGAATATGCCGGCCGCTATCTACAGACCCGGCCATGTCTACGGACGCAGATTCTTCTCCGATCGCGAGCGACATCATAACAGGGAAGGGCGGGAGCTCAGCTGGTACGAAGCTACCTCCTGTCCCATGCTTGGTCGTTATACCAGCCGGCCAATAACATTGATAGCGGCACATTGCCCCATGAGCAAGGCGCCGCCGACACTCTTCATTCCATCCCATGCAGCAATATCACCTGCTGCAAAATGGTAGCACGCATTTGGAATATCCGATGCAAATGAGAGCTTAAAAGTCAGAGGCGTATATTCCGCTCCTAGCAAGATATCAACTTACTCGTGCTTCACTTTTACATAACCTCGCCCATTCAGACAGTCTGCTGGTAAGAACTGCGTGTTTGGAGCAGGCTTCGTTCCGCAGAATATGACCTTTCCACCGTCTAACACTTCCCCCGTTCACCAGGTTAGTCTCTCCATTAGTATACCTGCATCGGACGAGAAGGTCTCGTGTCCGACGACTCCTTTTCCGAGATATATCCCGACATTGGCGCTCAGCAACTTCCGGACCCTCCGTTTGTATTCGCTTGGAAGAGGTTCGGCGACTCTCAGCGTCGACACGACCAAAAATGTCGCGCCCGATTATCTATCCCAGACGCGATTGGCCCTTCAGTTGCAGCGACTTCTCGATAATGACATGGCTCATGCATCCCGCAAGGGCCCAGTAAAACTTGACCTCGGCGTGCGCGATGTCCTTAACTGGCCCACCCACAATGGCTCCGACGCGGTAGGGATGACCGACCGAATCGGCACTCTGGCCCCTGGCAAGCGGGCCGATCTTATCTTTATCTCGTCGAAACGCTTTCTTAGTATGTCTGCGTTCCTTCTAGGTACTGCAATTCTGCACTCCACCCCAGCCGATATTGATACCGTTAGGATTGACCGGGGTGATACGAAAGCGTGACGGCCAGCTAGTTGGTTACGACCTTGACAGCATCCGCGCTGAAGCGAACGTCGGGTTGCGACAAGGCATGGCAAACTTACCGAATTTCCAGCCGTAGATGACCGAGAGGGAACTAGATGATTATCTTCTCAATGTTGAGCGCTTGACACGCTCGCAGGCAATAAGTGTTGGACGTCTAGCCTATCCAGACAACACTGAGCCAGGCTCATGGCTATACCTCACAATATTCCCCACTTCTTGTATTCTAGACCAGAGGAATAGATAGAGTGGGCTGACGGACTAGCAGGCCGGAACGTTTTAGATTCCGAAAGCAAGCTTTGCCGTGAGTAACGTAGTCTTGAAATAGATGACCGTCGCGATCAGAGAGCACGGCGAGAGGCACTATAGTCCACGGCGTATGTGGCTTGATGTATGGTGGCGGCCATTGTAGAGCTACAGGTGGCTGGAGTTATCCGTCTGTCAGATTAATGAAGATATTTTACTTTCTCTTTCAGCCTACCTTTGCCCTTGGAGGATATCAATATTTCTTAGCTCCTTAGGGTACTAGTTATGTAGCCATCTTCGCAACGATATTTGTATTCTTTGACAGTTTTGTATGCCTACCTAAAGGGTCTAGCAAATGCCAATATTGGCCTTTGTAACTTTTATATTCTAGGAACTAAGTATATACAACTATAAGATATAGAGAATAGGATTTCCGTTCACTCAGTCATATTGAAGTTATATCGGGCTGGCTGGTGGCTACATTGGTGATTCGAAGGCAATTAGAAGCGTTCCCATCGTGGGTAAATGTGGAGGATACAGAGAACTCTCTTTTATACTCTGCAGTTGCCCGCGACCACGGGGATCTAGTTCGGGTCCTCGTCCATGATCAGCTCGATGCTATCGCGCAAAAAAAAAAAAAAAAAAAAAAAAAAAAAAAAAAAAAAAAAAAAAAAAGGAAAAGAAAAAAAAAAAAGATGGCTGCAATGCTCTTATTGCAGGCATCAAGCAAGGGAATGTCATACTGAACCGTTTATCAGTAAGGCATGACAGAATCGGGCATGCTCTATCATCTGCGTTAATGGAGTGGTTAACACCGCGGGGTCTGCTCCATTTCTGGAGACAAGTATAAAATAGGGAGAGCAACAGGACGTTCTAGTTCAACGTTGTTAACAGCCCAACAATAGAACATCCTGGGATGAGGTTGGTGCGCCTGTCTGGCGATGAAGTAACTCGTTAAATCATACAGAGCAGCCCCATAGAAGCACAGAAACTATGGTATATTGATGAGTTTGATTTAGGGTTTGCGTTGTACATTCCTCTTCTGTATGTGGATCCCCCTTACATCCTCGGCTCGGAAAGGGGCGACCCGTAGATTTAGCAGTAATCGCCTATTTCGAAGGCTAAGAGTGTCAATGCATGTGTTTAAGGCAGCAAGTACTGCTTTCACGGCTTCCTGGGACAGTCCTTGGTATGCATGTCGGGCTGGCTACAGTCGCTTGATCCTGTAATTGAGGAAAAAATGGTGACGAATGGGACTATCAGGGTGCATTCTTTTGCAAACTGACCCGGAATGATCTGCTCTTTGGCTTCCCACTCCGGTAAGTTGTTGTGATTTAAACCTACTCAACCTTCCCCCGAACTTCCTGATCAGACTCTCGAGGACTGTCCTTCTTGCCCCACTTTCTCTCCTTAAAGTCGACAGACCCCTGCATCCTGGTAAAGTCCATGATCTCCCTGTCGTCCGAACTACTAAGCGCCAGCTTGTCTGAGAGCGCTATCCCAGAAGGGCCACTACTTTAGCGCTACCACCGCGTAGTATTGTTGTCTTCTGCTGAATTACTCCCAGATACATCTTATATTGAGGTATATTCTGATTCCCTTACGGTGGACTATCCTTCTTTTCTTTTTCTCCCCCCATATTTTTTCGTTAATTCGAGCCCCGCTAGCATTAGAGTAGAACAAAACTCAGCTATGATCAACAACCCAGCAATGCGACAGTCCGGGTTGAGATACTTATGCATAATATCAGGGTACATATATCGGATATCCCCCGAGATCTTGCGCTCAATAATACTATGTCCCTAATATACATCAGGCGGGCTGTGAAACAAAGAGAGAGGACCGCTATTATCTTATTCAACAGCGTATATCGAGGAATCCGGCACCGAGCAATCCTCGGAAACTCATATTCTACTACTGACACCCTAAACTCTTTCTGTTTTGCAGGTTGATGGTCTTCGATTTCCAGGGAAGAATGGATCGCTGTGTTGGGGCTGGCTGCGTTCTCCACAGTCTACGGCTGTTATGCATAATATTCGTACCAATCAGCGCAGTCGCGCTCTGCCGGTGCATTGCCTTACATACGCAGAGGAAATGGTTTGACCAACCACATATTTCCCTCAAAGATCACTTGATGAGCTGAAAGAAAGAGATGCATCTATAATGCTGACGCTGATCGACACGCCATTACCCCAGCTGAACCCCTAGACATATTCAAAAGCGAAGAATAGCCTACAGCTTTCTCTTCATTAGGCTTATAGTTCCGTCCACAGAGAGAGAAAGCTTCCGTTATGTTGCATTCGGGAATGAGACGAATTTAAAATAGGAATGTAGATATAGCTCGTCTCTGCTATCCCTGATGGGCTTTGGAATGCTGGTATTTCTTGGGCTGAGACATTCACCTCTTATAGGTGTAGATTACCACTCAACTAAAGCCATGGAATCCAGATTGCTGATGTTACGCTGCTTTACATACCATTGGTCTTTCGCACGTCCTGCAGTATATGCGGGCATGCCACTAGCCTGTCAGCCCACGACTCAGCTCTCAAGAATCTATCATCAAAGATGAGGGGTCACATCCCGAATAATTTATTGGATTGTTAACTATGCATGAGTGCTGTGCCTAAGACCCATGGTATTGGAGAATTTGGCCCCTCCCTTCTGGATTTCATTGTGAGTTCCAGCTCCAGGTGTATGGAGTATCCCTCCTCTCCATGATTTAAATAGAGGTACGTTCCCCAATAGCCGGTCCCCGAAGAAGAGCTATCTCCCACACTCTTGAATTAGGACGTTATGAGGAGCTTTATATCGTGTGTTGCGATCCTGGTGCTTGGACCTTTTGCCCTTGCATCAGAAGATGTCCCTGAACTGCCATCGCGAGATGCTTTCTATACACCAAGAGCCTCTAATTGGACCGAGGAGGAGGCAGGCACAATTCTCGATTCTCGCACCGTAACCATCGATCTGCCCATCTTACCGGGCGGGGTTATCGAATTCGAGGCCTTCCAACTGCTCTACGTAACCCAAGACCTAGAAAAAAAAAAGGCTACATCAGTCACGACGATCATCGTCCCGCAAGGGGCCAACACCAGCCGGATTCTGTCCTACCAGATTGCCTACGATGCACCGGACATCAACTGCTCTCCCTCCTACGGACTGCAGAAAGGTGCCAATAAGGCTGCGGTCCAGTGGACTCTGAACCAAATGCTTTTTGTGATCGAGGCTTTGGCCGACGCCGGATCTCCGGTTCTGAATATCCCCGATTATGAAGGATCGAACGCCGCGTTTACGGTGGGCCCTCAGAGTGCCTATCAGACCTTGGATTCGATCCGCGCTGCGACAAATTCCGGAAAGATCACGGGTATCGACGAGGACGCGGAAACCATCTTATTTGGCTATTCCGGCGGCGGGTTCGCATCGGAATGGGCTGTCGAGTTCCATCATGACTACGCGTCAGACGTCAAGGTCATAGGAGCTGCGATCGGTGGGCCTCCGCCGAATGTCATGAACACATACCGAAATGTTAATAGAGTCGTTTCGGGGTTGAACGTCTGGGCTATGCTCGGTGTGATGAATGCAATCCCCAGGGTCAACGACTCGATGCGGAAAGATCTGAAAGATGATCACCGGGAGCAATTCCTCGGCGGTCTTTTGCGCTGCAGTGAGCCCGATGTTGCGCCCCCGAAGATCCCCAGCTGGGCCAATATCAGCAGCTGGTTCGAACACGGGGACCAATTCTTGACTGAGTTCGAGCCGGAACTTACAGAGATCGGCGTCATGGGAAACCGCATCACAGAAGACACAGCACCAAAATTCCCTCTCTATATCTACCAGGGCTCAATGGACCTCATTACAGCTCCGTATAAGGACACAGAAGCACTGAAGAAAAAGTTTTGCGACGCAGGAACCCATGTATTCCTGGTTAAATATAATGGAATGGGCCATGCTACCACCCTTTTTGCTGGCACTACTTGGGCCATGAAGTGGATCAAAAAGGTCTTCAATGGCGAGGAAATTAAGAATGGCTGTGATGAAGACCATGAAGTGGATGCGGGTGCTGGAGGTCTAGCTGGATTGTTTGGAGGCGATTATGCCGACGGTGATGATTTCAGCCGCGGACGTCTTGGTTTGGCAGACGACGAGGATCCGCACTTTATTCAGAGTGGCGCACGCCCAGTGGATGCATTCGAAAGGGTAGAACTGTGACAAGTATGTCTAAAGTAGGTCGATTGGCGAGGCGCCTCGGACGCCAGCCAGGGGCTATTCGAGAGCGGTGATTCGCGGGTGGTTGTCGATGTAACAGTCTGTTGATGAGATCTTGATGATTGGGGATGTAGTCTGGGGAATACTATTGGGCTATCTATCGGCTTAGAGTAAGGGGTGTATTGTATTCAGCTATACTACAATATGTAACTGATGCTGCGCCTTAGTTGGCACCGGCTAGTACTCTGAAATGCTTGGGTGAGGAATCTGAGAACCAGACTTCGAATTCCTATTAAAGGTTACGTTTTGCGGGTACTTTAAAGCTCTATCACTATCGCTAGAACTTGATGGGATAGTTGCACTATCTACCAGCTTGAAACGATTTCTTTATAAATTAAATTATACAGCATATGTACACTGCCAGACGAATCGTAGTCTCAAGTCATCACTTATACCATAATTTGAGGTACCTAAAGATACCAACAACCGAAGACAACCACCAGGAAACCCAGTTCCTACCCAAACGCCACGTCCAAATGCCGACACCCCACACAAACACATCATACAGTACTACCGTTAATATGCGTGTACCCATTGTTCTCCCAGAACGGGCGTTCCTTTGTCTTATTCGAGTCAAACCAACCAAATGGATCACAAAACGTCACCAAGAACGGGCGCTGATCCTTCCAGCCAGGCCCCTTCAGTTCCGTCTCGCCGTCCTGCGCAAGATAGATGTTCGATTCTGCAGGCAGGTATCTCCTGGGATGCTGCCAGTTCCACAAGCAAGAATTCACGAGCATCAGACTAGCCTCAAACACATAAAAGAACCACTCGTGGCGCATAATCGGGCTGAAACCTTCGAGTTCTCCCGACGAAGAGGCGTGGATCCTGGATACGCCGAAGTGCTCGATGATGCGGTAAACGCACCGTATAAAGATTAGACCTGTGCTAATGTAGAGCGTGATAAGCGGTGCAGAGAGGGAGCGAGTACGGCTGCCTGATCTGTAGCAGCGTCGCTGGAAGGTAGCGGCCAAGAGACAGAATACGGCGATGACTATGATTTGGGCGACGAGCGAGATTTTCATTAGAATGTGACCGAGCTTCATGGTTGATTCTGGTAGCTCTGGGTTGGCGAGGTACGATACTCCTAACGCGTTCAAAACTTCGACCAGGCTAGAGAGGAGGCCAAATGTTGTCAAGACACGGCCGGGATGTATTGGAGAGTGATAGGGGACGTAGTAGAGGATACGACCGAGGACGTGATAGTTCGCTAGCTCTAGGAGAGGTCTTTTCGTGCGTTAGCTTGTGTGAATTTGGGGGCGTTTTAATGAGGGCAATTGATCTTACGGTGACATATAGATCAGCGCGGTGCTGGCAATGTAGGTATATAGGTCTGGTTTGTTGTATGAATGGTGGAAGGCTCCATATTCTCGCAACGCAAACCCTGCAGTAAACATCAAGCAGCATAGTAGGTGGAGTATCATGAGTTTAAAGCATTTGTAATGACTACATCGCGTTGATCAGTGTTCTTATACCCAATGTATGAGATATATTCGTGACTTACTAGCTCTGCCAGAGATGTAGAGTCCCTGAAGCCGCAAATGCTACGGCAAAGAAGATCGGTGCGATCTTGTTAGGTACGTAGATGTATATGTTCTCCTCCGCTAAGGAAGTATTAATGATACTGCCCTGGAACACGAACTATGATTTGCTTACCAGCCATTGTTCAGTTGTTTTAGTTGGTACTCTCAAGATAATGTCGCAGTGGTAAAGAGCTGTGGCGGTTAACGTTTGGCAAAGGGAGCGAAGGAAGGAGTTTATAGACATGGTGTCACGCAACGAGCCAGTCATGACGAAACCATATAAATTGTCAAGGCTCTCTAATAAGATTGTCAAAAACCAAGTACAAGGCTAAATGAAGTGTAGACCTTAGGGTAGAGTCTTGGATCTCGTATTGATAGCATACTTGCCCCTCAGACCAATCAGGCCGCGGGGATCAGCGATTGGCGCTAGACCGGAAAGAGCTCCATGGACCGCCAGCTGTGCCTGAGGTGGCCAGCACTGCCACAATTGACCCCTAAGGCACAATGGCGCTCCATCCCCCCAAATCGGGTTAAGGCCCAAACTAGACGTATAGGAGAGTTAGCCTTGGTCACAGCTCAACGAGCGAGTCAACAACATTGCAAGCCACAAGGAGCATATTCCCACCAATGATGAATGGCTACTTTCAATGGAAACACCTGAAAGAGTTTCATCTGGGACCCACGGCGTCGGAGAAATTGTATTGTGTGACGATCAAGGTTGAGCACAAGAAACAGAGCATGACTCTGCATAATGGGCTGACCGATAAGGACGCGCCTCTTGCATCTTTGGAGAGCGATGCATGGCTGCGCATGAGACCTGTCACGATTACCCTTTCCCCGCAGGCCGCGGATGCTAATGTAGAGCCAATCGAGGGAGTCGTTCCATACAAACGCATGGCCCCATCATTCTCAATCCCTGCTTGCGGAGACAATAGCAGTGTTGCCTGTGAGAGGTTTGAGTGGCGCTCCAGTCATGGGAAAGAGATTAAAGAGATCGGTGGCCATTCATCCGGTTGGAAGCTGGTGCGGCTGTCTCAAACGGCGGGCGAGGCGAGCGACAGCCGATCTCATCGAGCGATGGGGCGATCAAGCGATGGGAAGGAGATTATAGCAGTGATTGCTCACAACGCGTCGTTAAGTCTGTCAAAAGGGTTCAGGTTTGCATTTCTGGGAAGTGGGCTTACCGGCATCCTGGGAGAAAAGTGGGAAATTATGACAGTTATTTCTGCAATGCATCTTTGGCTTCTCGATTTCCAGACTATAACGCACATAGTTCCCGCTGCATAAGATTTCTTTTATAATTCCTCCCGGTAATGATTATCCCCCCTCCTTTCATACCACATGCATATGTGATGTGATATCTCTGGCGAACTTCAGACAATGAACAACTGCATTATCCCTAGCATGAAGCATTGTCGTTCATTCTAATTTGGACATCCACAGCACCCTATCCTGAGTCCTAGTATATCCACCCCTACACGAATATGAAAGTGATAGTGAATGTCTTCCGCGTCAACAGATATGGACAACCGAAATAGGGTGAATAGCCTCCAAGGAAAAGCAATGATTTTCCAAATTGTCAACCATGGCCGAAACGATTGCCTCAGAAAATAAAACAATGAAGTGAAAGAAAGAAACAAGGAACAAAAGGAACAAAAGGTTCTCATAGGCAAAGGCGCCTACCATTCAACATCTCTATGAATACTTGGACAAGCAACTTGATCCCGCTTCCAATCGTAAATCCCTCCTCTGGATACAAAGCTCTTTTCATCCCAGTACACACTATCCAATGCTCTCCGGACACCAACCTTCAAGATGGGGGCTGACGGCTGACGACCATCCCGATCCAGGAATCTCATGTACTCGTCAAGAATGAGGTACGACTTGGCCATGAGGGTATTAGATTCTGGCACAAATGACTTTTGCTGTCGGTGCACAACACAGAACAGGTTAAACTCTTCATCTGTGATGAGAAACTTGCGGGCATCTCTTTTCGTCTCGGTCGAATCATTCTCGCCCGAGACTAGCAGAACCTGAAAGCACTTCCAGCGAAAGGGTGCCAGATCTTCAATATACTTGTTCATATCTTCCTGAAAATTCAGTTTGCAAACGACTGTATTGATTTTGAACTTGATACCGTACTTCCTGCATAGATCTCGAATTTGATAAAGGCTTTTCACATGATCCCCGGAGCCACGGCCGATCTCTTTGTTTGTGGCTTCGTTGAAGGAGTCACAAGAGATGGCCAATATGTCGATGTTATGGCCGTGCTTGACGAGGAACGTTTCTTTTACGAGACTGCCGTTCGTGACGATCGACACCGATTCGAGGCATAGAACCTCCTTGCAAAAGTCCACCGCTTCTCCAAGAAACTTAGGGTAGAGGAACGGCTCACCACCAGCGAAGTTTAGCTTCCTCATGCCTGCCTCTTTGAGCAGAGAAAGCCCGTGCTTCGCATTTTCGATCGATTCAATATGAGAAGTGGAGGCGGTATGAAAACAGAACCCACAAGTCTTGTTGCATTGTCTAGTGAAGTGGTAATTGACGGATAGTGGGTGCTTTGAACGTCGGATACGAGCACACCGCGGCAGCAACAATGCCACTACTATAAATAGCAGAACCAGGGTTGTTATATACATGGCGTTCCGTGAATACCTAGCGAGCGGCTTCAATCCACGATCCCCAATCTACGTCTTTGGCAATAAAGGATCAGACGTAAAACGAATGCTTATTATGTGGACCTGTTTGGACAATGGGCGGTTTATATGTCCAGGGCGCGGTGAATACAAAGCTGCAGTGAATAAAGGCAAGGGAGCAGAGCAAGTATAAAAAGGACCGCCCAGTTTTCTGATCTGCGGCCTTGATCTGCTTAAACAAAAATAATAACCAATAGCTTGTTGTTTCGAACTGGTCGTTGGCAACGAGAGCGCAGCGTAAACTATATATACTCCCCGATTGTGATCGAGTGACTCTAACTTGGACTTGCTTCTGAAGTTACCCTCAGCATGAACATACCGCCCAATATTTACATCGTTGGGGCGCACTGCACCGGCAAGACGACCCTCCTTGAGGCTCTCAAAGACCACCTTTCCGGGAGTGTGGTCGCCGAGATCTTTGGGGGCGACACAGATCGTCCCATATTCATAGACGAAGTTGCCCGAGAGGTCATGGCGAAGGACCGCTTTAGGGTAGGTGACATTAAGAAGAAAACGGAGGGTTTCGAGCTACAGAAGTGCGTCCTGCTCAGCCAGTATCAGGCCGAGAAAGCCCTGGAAGATAGGTGGTTTGTTTCAGATCGGTCAGGGATCGATCCGATCATCTACACCGAATTCTTCCTCGGATGCCCTGCAGCGGAGAGGCTTGTGGAACACCCTGAATGGTCTGTCCTACGAGACGGTATGAGAAAGGGACTCGTAATTGTTTGTCTAACTCATAATGACTCCTGGGTTTCATCCGACCGTGTCAGAGTTAAGTGCAAGGATCAGTCTGAGTGGAAAGCCCTTGGCGATGCTTTTCTAAATGGGCTACAGCAGCATGGAATTGCATTTACAGCAATTCCCCAGGGCATGGATGATATAGGCGAGCGAGTGCATTTTGTTGAGAATATCCTTAGATCTACCTATCGCACGTAATTAATGACAGATCGCCTTACAAAGCCCACACAGTACACCAGCTTTAGTTCACTGGAACGTCTCAAAGTATGCAGTCAGCTTCCCCTTCGGCACACCTGCACAGAATGCCCAAGAATAGCGCTTCATGAAGGTAGTGATCCTTTCATCCATCTCCGCCATCTTCGCAGCCCTGTATCGCTCAGTCGCCAGACCGGGGCTACCCTCGCCTTCTACGCGACATTCGAGTTCCACTTCGCCAACCGTGTGTCCGAAGTCCGTGACATCCTGTACGACAGTAAAATCCTGGTCGGCTACCCAACTCTCCCTCAGGGTTGAGAAGGCAGCCATCTGCATCAACCCGAAATTATTCCTTTCGTTGTGTCTGATGCCGGTGAGCTCTGCCAAGTACTGGGATATATCCATGGGGTTTGACAGCTCCTCAAACTTCGAGTTGTGGTAGTCTCCACCTCGTTGGATTTTCGCCTGCCAATGACCGTCTCGTTGGCGGATCCAGACGCCTTTTGATGACAGCAGGTCTGCCTTGTCGTAATAGACATCGTGAAAGGTTTGTTTGCCACAGTATTTAAAACTCCGGAATGGTGGAAAACCCCCGTCTCTGACGAGCCTTTTGACCGCGAGACAGCGGAACTTTCGTTCGACTTCTAGAACCAGCATCTGGAGGATTGTATGAGGGCTGAAGTCCAAGTGCCGTTCGACTTGACAACGCAGACTATGAGGTTGCCTGTATCTTTCCTGTAAGGTTTGAAGAGTGGTTTGCTGTAGATCTAGTGTGCTGCGGATCATAAATAGACGGTTTGTGTCACAGAAAGGCTGCAGTTGTCGACAAGAGGGTTCTCTCACCCTCCATTATTTCTACAAACAAACGCGGGACCGGAATTTCACACACCCCGTTTTTCAGAACGTCTACATCTACAACGGAGAAGCAGCCTATTGATTGAATTTAAAGCAGACTAAAACTATTCATTTTTCTAACTATGTCACCTTTCGCAGCTCATCCTATCTTTCGAAGAACCAAGCACCGACTACTCGCTAAAGCTGCTCCTTTAACGAGAGTCCCTGCAGCAGTTTGGCATACGAGCTGTCAATATCGCCGCCCGTGTCTACCTAAGGAAAGTTCAGCACCGACATGACGAGCTGTTACTGTGAGCTTGGTACCTTAAGCAACAGGCCTCTACTGTCGTAATGATCGACAATCATGGCGTTCTGGGAAACGTAGTGTCGATACCGAGCGTCAAAAGTCGGCCCGTCATCGTTCCTCCCAGGAATCCTCCTGGTTAGGAACCTCTGTTTGGCGATCTCTCCGGGACAATCGAAGAAAAGCACCAAATCAGGTGGGCCGATCTACACCAGTGTTAGAGTAATGGTTTGAAACGTTGAACGCTGGTTTGCTACCGCCTCCTCGACTGGCCCTGCTTGATCGAGATTGCGCGGGACCCCGTCAACCAACAGCTTCTCTTTGCCAGCCCTCCTTAGGTCCTCCTTGGCGCTTGCCAGAATACGCGAGAGATCGTTTGTGTGAATGAGCACGTTTCTCTGAATGTTACTCATAGCCTCTTCATGCAATGAGCCGGACTTCGCGAGGTCCCTCAAAAGATCACCGACCGAGAGGTGATGCAGTCCGTAGTCGGTGGCCAGCTTGGCACATAAGGAGCCTTTGCCTGATCCAGGGGCCCCTGTAATGCAGTCAGCATGGAAGACAGCTGTTATAGCCCGCGAGTCACAAGCACCGATGACATAGATGAGAGAGAGGTTGGCAAACTCCATCATTCAGAGCTCACTATGGGAGAGCTGTTGGCTCTTTCGTTGTAGGAACAGTAAGGTAGGTGGAATTTCCAGGTCAAGGGGTCTCAATGGTCCCTCTATTGATGGGTATGCCACGATTTCTATATGTACCATACCCTCAGATATCCCGTGACGTATACCGAATGGCCAAAAGGCATTGTCAAAATTTGTAACTGGACGATGGAAGGTGAATGAAAATCTATCGTAGGGACAAGAACAAAGAAACGATGTGGGGCAGCTATGATACATTCACTCTGTGCGAATAGTCTTACGCGGCGCAGGACAATAGATTTCCCATTGCCAGGCTCTAACCATAGAGGTAAAACTCGAGAGACGCTGGTCGACACCGGGGAGATAATAAGGAGGGCGATATAGACCCCGGTGTATCCAAAACTATAGTTTGTTAGCCCGATTCTGTTATCTTTTTAGTGTCAATTCGTAGGGTTCGGGGAGGAGGGAGAACAACTTATATCTACGGATCCCCTTTTCTAACTAGACACTGACGTCTTGCTCTTTTCTATCAGCCTTTGATATGCAGGATGGAGAACGTGTCCAGGTCGAACCTCCCTTGGTGTATCGTCCAAAACTGAACATGATAATATACGAGTATAGATACACATATAATTGTAAAATAAAGGAGAAATGGTTACTTTCACGGCAGGGTCAATTCTCTGATCTTGGGTTATCGTTGCTTCATCAGTTCTTTATGCATAATTCACTAGACAGTCTGATTTGACCCGACCCGTGGGTCGCTTGTCCTCTCCATCTTCTACCGTAGAAAGCGTTTCATGGCATGTTATGGTCAGATTGATAGGGAATGTAGGGTAGTTTTCGAAGTATTAATATTCCTGCTCCCGGGCGGTGGTGGTTGATGTTTAACCTGAACCTCGGGAGGGATATAGGGCTTTACCCGAAGAGGCAATGGAGTGGCCAAGCCCTGAAGAAGCCATGGAACGCGATAAAACGTTGTAGACTAATTTCTTGGCAGCCCCAGCCTCGGTGTGACATCGTTAAGCATATTCCCGTACGTCTCGCACGGCACATCACTGCACTGTTTGTCCACACAAGACTACTAAACAGCCTAAAATGGAGACCCGAGTGCGACTGAATCCCACATTACACCAACGACATTGCTGGGAGTGCATGCGCCGTCGCATCGTTTGCGACTTTGAGCGACCCGCTTGTAGCAAATGCTGCGCGGCCGGGATTGCTTGCCCTGGATACGACGAGAAGAAACCACTCAAATGGCTAGCTCCCGGGAAGGTCTCATCTCGCTCACGGAAACGACTGACTCCTCCTGAGACAAACCGATCCTCTACTGGCAGCGAAGAGCCTGTAGTCTCGCAGGAAACGTCGCCGACTAGCGCGGACAATGAGACCGAATTGCTTGAATTGTTCATGATCACTCCAACGCGAGAACTAAAAAGTGAGACTTGCACTATTGTTGAATCTGTATGGTACTGTATGACATGCCATTCCCCTAGGCGTAATTATTATTCATAGTTCTATAGACAACTCTCATGTTTATCCCGATTATAGCGCAATTCACGAGCTAGCCCCAAACCCTTATCTCGGCCATTTCCCTCTAGAGGCACTGCACCAGGTCCCGATGTCAATGTGCCATACTCTAGTTTACCTTGTCCTCGCTCATCGTGTCTGTCGTGTATACCCCGCGGACAATCGGCGCCCGTTGACAACTTTACGACCGAGGCTCTACGAACGTAGGGGACTAGCGCTACGATCCTTGGTTGAGCTGATGGGAAACCTTCAAAACGAGATGGTTATCGACGCTACTATTGGAAGTATTCTGCTGTTCCTCTTTGTAGATGTAAGTCCGATTGATGCTCTTTATTTTTGATTAGCAAGGAGCTAAGACCAGTGATTCCTGGGAAGGCCAGACAACTGCCATCAAGTGATTGGCAGCACCATTTTGCTGCCGCCACAGAATTGATCAAGATTCGGGGTGGCTTCGCTAGCCTTTCGCGTTCTTCCGAGGTCCTGAAGCCGCTGATACTGCATCTCCTCCTGTAAGCGCTTTTCTGACCTTTGGAATCTCTTCGTTCCCTTCTTATTCCTTTCCTCGACAATCTGATTGATGCGTCCTTAGACTCGGAGTGATGGCCAACACGACCACTCCTCCGTCCCAGCATATCCCAACCACTTCGCAGCTTGAACTGATTGACCTCATGGCTGACTTGTACGGAGATGGCATGTACCCCATCCTGCTCTGTCCCCCATACCTTTTGATGGATATTATCAGGATCAATAATCTCCGTTTCGAAGCAACTGCCTCCCCGCTCACAGATTCTACACGGGCAACAGCACAAGCCGTTTTAGAGCATATCGAAGCCTTCTCCGCCGAAGACTGGAAAGGAAGCAACCCCGACGTGCAAGAAGATTGGCTGCTACTAGGACGCATGTATCGGTCTTCGATAGCACTATACTGCATCTCATCTCTTCAAAGCCTTTCGATTTTCCCCTCTACTAACTACTTCACCGCTATGAGAACCGTCCACGGGACCCGCCTGTACACCATTCTTGAACAAGTGATCCTCCGCCCCCGCATCAAGGTTTTCGCGATTTGGCCGCTAGTCGTAGCCGGGATGCAAGCGGTCGATGCAAGTCCCACTATCCGTCACATCGTAGATGCGCAGTTATCCGAAATGGCTGGAATGTTAGCCACACCGGCGCCGATGTTGGCAAGTGCCGTGTTCCGCCGATTTTGGACGTCGGGCCAAACGGGGTGGGACGAGTGTTTCGACAGGCCCTACGCGTTTGTGTCATAGTTTCCTTTCCAAGCTTCGGCATCTAAGGGTGCTTATGGACATGCCTATTGGCCGTTCGGCTCCCCCACTCCTATGAGATACGACGTGTACCGACTCTAAGGTGTTACTAAGATAGGAATAAACGAACCCTAGAGCTAGCCACCGACCTGGAGCAGGATTCTCAGGATATACTTAAGTAGTAGCTATAGTATCCACGTATACAAACCCCAACCTACACTCCTTCCATATAACGATCAGTGCGCCGTGGCCATATCTGGTCAAGGTATAGCTTTCAGGCTAGATGGTGGCGGCACCAATCACCGAACGCGGAAAATGGGTATCCGAGAATGAAACCGGCCGCAGATAGACAAAATCCGGTTTCTAATCCCGAAAATACCAGCACAGCGTCTTAAACTTGGGCCATGATGCTAAGATGACCACGACTTGCAACCCTCCTTCAAATAGCTGTGGTATTTCAAGTAGTGAGGACACCAGTCTGGCTTCAGGCCCCCCCCCCCCCCCCCCCCCCAAAACGTCGCTCTTATATGCTACTCACCTAGAGCGACTAGGCCTAGAATGCTCTCCTATTCATTAGAGATGGTTTGAACATCCCTTCTCGATCAGGATTCCAATAGATTCACATAGACACGTTGCCTCTATGGATTCCCCAAGGCTTTGGCTTGCCCTCATAGGGCTGGTAAGCTACGTCCTCACAAAGATCTTTTCTCGCCTGTACTTTCACCCCCTGAGCAAGATACCGGGTCCAAAGCTAGCAGCAGCTACCCATCTATACGAATGGTACTACGATATAATCCTGGTAGGAAAGTATCTCCTCGAGATTGAGAGAATGCACGAGAAATACGGTAACCGAACACCCAACCCAATCTCTAGCTATTCTGCATATCCCAAAGCTAAAGCAGCCCCCCAGGCCCAATCGTGCGCATCAACCCGCGCGAAGTCCACATCAGCGACCCAGATTTCTACGACGAGATCTACGCATCCAGCGCGCACAAGCGCAACAAGGACAAAGAGACAGTCGAGTTCGCAGGCGTGCCCCTCTCCACCCTCGCAACAGTGGACCACGACCACCACCGGTTCCGTCGCGGACTACTGAGCAACTTCTTCTCGAAGAGATCGATCCGCGAGCTGTCCCGCTTGGTCGAGGAGAAGGTGTTCAAGCTCCTCGGGCGGTTTGAAGAGTTCCACCAGCAGCAGAAAGTAGTTCGGGTCGATGATGGGTTTTCTGCGCTGACGTCCGATATCATTACGCATTACTGCTACGGGACGAGCTGGGGGTACCTCGATGACGAGGACATGCGCTCGGACGTGCGGCAGGTGGCTAATGATATCACCCGTCTGGTACATGTTAATCGAGCGTTTCCGAGTCTTGCGAACATGGCGCGGAAGCTGCCGCTTTGGGTCTTGTATTTGATTCAGCCTGGGAGGTCGGCGGTTTTGGATTTGCAGACGGTAATATATGAGCAGTCGAAGCAGACGCTGCATGGCGAAAAGTATGATATCGGACATAGTGATGCAAATGGCAAGCATACAACTATCTACGACCAGCTGAATGATCCGAGGATTCCGGCAGAGGAACGCACTCTCCAGCGTTTGCAGGATGAGGGGCTCCTGCTACTCGCTGCGGGCACGGAGACGACGGCGAGAGGATTGGCGGTCGCCTGCTTTCATATCGCATCGGATGACCGGGTGCGTGCTCGACTGCGCGACGAGCTGAGGGCCGTTCTGCCTAAACCTGATAGTCACGTTACCTGGGCGGAGTTGGAGAGGCTGCCCTACTTGGTGAGTACACGGTATCGCGTGTCCTAAAATAGACTAATAACCCTCCACAGACAGGAACCGTCAACGAAGCACTCCGCCTAGGCGCTTTCGTTACACTCAGATCGCCTCGCATAGCGCCAAATGAAACCTTAGTCTACAAAGACTACGCCATCCCCCCCGGCGTAAGCAATACCGCCTCTTCTATCTCTCGATGTGAACCAGAAACTAACAAGCTAACAGACGCCAGTAAGCTCCTCCAGCTACTTCGGGCACAAAAACCCAACCATCTTCCCCGAACCGGAGAAATTCTCCCCAGAACGATGGATCCTCCCCGAGCAAACCCACAAACACCTTTCCAAGTACCTCACCTCTTTCTCCCACGGCAGCAGGATGTGTCTAGGCCTGCAGTAAGTGCCATGCATATTACCCGGAATCCGATACAGGTGCTAATTTCTGCAGTCTCGCATACCTCGAACTATACCTGACTATTGCGTACTTTGTGCGGAGGTTTGATCTTGAGTTGATCGATACGACGGCGGAGGATATGAAGATTGTACAGGATATGGGGTTAGGGTATACGCGTCGGGGAGAGCTGAGTGTTTTCGCTAAGATTGTGAGGATTTATACAGACTAGAGAGGTGCAGGGGGTTCTTTTGAGGGTAAGTAGCGGGTTTTAGGTTCTGGGTTGAGAATGTGTCTTGACACGGCTGCGGATTATGTTGGGTACTGTCGGGTTAGGATAAAATGATTGTCACTATGAACTTACAATATATCGGATTGAAATATCTATTGGCTATTTATTAGGATGCGCATCTATACCATAATTGGAGGTTTCTACATTAAACATCAATGAATTACTGAGATCATGGTTTATATTAGAGTCAATGATAAGTAAACAGAGCTATATCGTCTTCTAACTCAGCATCGGGGTATTGGGGTATATCAGAAGCTGGGCGAGGGGAGAAGGACTAGAAGGGAAAGACATTATATCATCACGAGAATTAATCACTCAAGTCTTCATGCACAAACCACGTATATCATGCATCCATCAAATGTATTTCAGTACACTGCTTGGAAAGATGACGATCCCACATCATAACACCAGATATCAAACGCTACTGATATCTCGGCTGCGCTTGGGGCTGATGCTGGGGCTGGGGCGGATAAGCGCGATAAGGCTGTTGCACTGGCATCGCTCCGTTATACTTTGGTTGCTGTTGGATATGCTTAACGGGACCAGAGACGTTATCGGCCAGCTGGCGCGATGAAGCCACCAGGAGCGCGGCCAAGAAGGCCGAGGCGTAGAAGAAATAAGCCAGGAACAACTGGGCCTGCAACGACCGGTTGTACGCCGCAATGCCCTTCCGCACGTATTCCTCTTGCAGGTAACGGGTGATAATATGGTGGGCGAGATCGAGGATAGTCATTCCCAATGAAGACACGATCAATAGCGGGATTGCAGGGAGTAATATCTATACTCTGTCAGCGACCGGTGTGCGGCAGAGAATAGCACAGCAAAGAACATACCCCTTTCCTCAAATGATGGCCACGAGCGAGCGCGAAGAGCATATTCGCAGACGCCATGAGCATCCCAATCACCGAAAGGACGTGATAGGCGGTCGCTAGTCGCTTTTGATGCTCCGGTAGCTCTAGGTCACTGGAATTGAAACCACCCCGTCTCGTGGCGTCGATCACGCGGGTGTAAATGGACAGATCGCAGAGAAGGACTATCGCAAGCATAGCGACGTAGAGTGAATGGACGGTGGTAACCGCTTTTGCAATCTTTGGGCTGCCCTGAACCAGGCGCGTGCAAATCGGGATCATGATCAGGGCAATGAGCAAGAAGGTTGCCACCATGCTGAACCATTGTGCCGCAATGTTGACTTGGCTATACACGTTGATTGAGGAGATGTCGCATTGCAGCAAGACGTACGTCACTATAGATATGATTACTCCGCTGCATGCTGTTAGCTGGTGGCAGTCCCGCAGGGGAGCGAAGTGTCAAGACTGACAGGACCATGAAGACGATCGAGAAGCCAAACGGGAACCATCGTTGCAATGCTGTTTTTTTCTGCTTGCTGCGCAAAAACTTGAAGGTCGTGATGCAAAAGAGTGCGATGAAGACGAGGAAGAAGAGCCCATGGAACGCGATGATTATTTGAGCGTGTTGTGAAGAAAACGCACCACTCCGGCATGAGGAAGAGCTGGAAGAGCTGGATGAGCCGTAGCTCCAACTACTACCACCGCGTCTCGGCGCCATTTCCCAAAACCCGTTATGAAAAGTAAGGAATGGTGAATCGTCTGCTTAACGGACTGCGCTCTGGAGGGAAAACAGGGGCGGCCTGCTCTCGGGCTAGGGTATCGATTAAGTACGGTGCCAGGCTTGGGCACAAAGCCTTGCGATCTCAGATGTCTGTCGTGTTGAGAGTCTAATCCATCTTAGCAGAACCTTAAAAAGGGACGATCCGTGAAAGGGAGGAGTTGTGGTTGGCTGCAACGGGGTAATGATGAGGCTCAGCAGGCAGAATACGAGGTTATACTTAGGGTGCGAGTATCTTCACCCAAATTGAAGGATTCCAATTTCCCCACTTTGGGAGTGATTTACCGAGAGCCTGATTCAGACAAAGAAAAGCAATCCACTACTGGATTGCGCTCAGGGACGAGGCTTGACATCTCATCTTCATCCTTGCTTGGCTGTTCCCATGACAGAGCCCGAGATTAAGAGAAAACATAAGTCTACCAATGACATGTTTCGGGTATTATCGCCAAGGTCCATATGATCAAATATATTGCATCTAGCTATCGGCACGGCCTTAGGAATATAAAGCCAACTAAAGCAATTATTATGACTGAGCGAAATTACATAGAAAACAGGATTCACACAACCTGGCAATCACAACCCGCGAAAATCATTTTCAATTTCCAAAATCCCTTCGTACCATTCATGAAGCCCATCATTTTGTCCATCAACTGAGCGTCGCCTTACATAAGAAGGCCCAGAACCCAGGGGAGCATCCAGGTAGCCCATAGGCCACCTTGAGACAAGGTTGTGGACGCAGCCGAGTCAGTCTTAGAGGGCGAAGCCGATGCGGAGGTGGAGGAGGAACTTCCCGAGCTCCTGGTCTTGCTTGCACTAGTGGTTGTTGTCGCTTCGGTGGTCGTTGAAGTCGATGCGCCCGATGAGCTTGATCCCGATGCAGTGGTCGAAGCCGATCCGCTGGTGGCAGTGCCCGAGGAAGACGACGCCCCACTGCTAGAAGATCCGGTAGGAGTTCCTGATGTGCCGGTTGCGCTGCCCGACTCACTAGTTACGGTGTTTGTGAAATATGGCAGAGTGGCGGAGGGGATACCGGTCTCCGTCCCGGTAACAGTCACGGATGCTGAGCCGGTCTGAGTGGGAACGAGGTCGGTGGACTGCTCCTGTCGCTGCTGGAGGTTGTCACCGTGGGCGACGGAGGCGCCTAGGAGGGCAACGAGAACGGCCGTTGATTTAAGATTGATCTGCATTGTGGAGGATTGGTTTGATTTATAGGTAGAGGTCGTGAATGGTATCTGGGGACACCTGAAGCGAGGGTGCAATTCGCCGTACTTATACCCCAGCGTCCCTGCAGCTCAGGGACAACAACTTCAACAGCTTACGTCTGCGCCTACGTATGATGCCACCCATCTCCAGACACAAGCCAGGTGGGGGATACGCTAAGGGTCTTGGCCCAGTCGTTGTTTGGGAGGATGACCCGCTATGATTGGTAAGATGACCTGGCAGTCGGGAGGCAACACTAGATCATGCAGATCCGCGGACTGTCTTAACCTGTCAGAAGTCCCTTTCCTTCGGGGTGACCATCGTAGTCAACTCGCATAGGCCAGAACTGAATTTCAGCCTTGCATCGTTCTCCCGATGATACGAACCCACTTATATCTCCCAGTGAACCCGTTTGTTGGATTGTATAAAGTCATGATATTCGATACTGTAGAAGAAAGATTCAGCGACCATCCTGAAGGCTCGTTAATCGCGATATTGGCAGTGTTTATGCACACGCAGAATTTCCACCGTCGGGATTCCGTGACCTTCCGGCCGTCATCGCGTCTTAACGCAAGAGCTACGGCTTCAAACGCCATAGTCACCCCACATCGACTCTTCAGTCGCTAGGCAACGTTCAACGCTTCTGCAATTTGGTCTCCTGATGTCTGGGGTATGAAAATTGAGCTAAGCCCTAGTGCTTCTTATTGGAGTGATTTTGTCGATCAAGCCCAGCTGCAGTAGACAAGCTGCAACACTGTTTGCGGAATGAGATACTCGGGGTACCGGTACTTGCACGTTGTATCAATAAAGTCAGACACTGGATGTTTTATCTTGTGCGGTGCTTTCGTCGTTCTATTCGCTACTTTGTCTCGTACTGTTTCAGGGCAAAATCCAAGAGTTCCGGATACCATCTACGACCCACATCCTGATGGCTGATCACCCGATGAAGCAGAGTCCCTTCGCCCGTCCGGCCACTGAATATGCGATTAAACGTGGCCTCTGCATCCGATCGTACCTTTTCATCCTGTATCAGATCCCTGACATGCGACGGTATCTGCAGGGAAATCTTTTCGGCGGACAGATCTAGGCCCATCCCCAAGAACACAGGGACGGAGAACCGCGGGCCGAGCGATGCGCCCGTCTTATCGATAAAATTCCGGGGCTCCAGACTCACCCGATGGGTGGTCGCCGTGCACACCCCGCCCGTGATGGCCTCCAAGGCGCGGCCGATATTCACGACGAGCGAGTTCTCCACCGGTGTCGCGGAAACCCAGTCGCCCGATTTATTCTGCACTTCTAAGCCTGAGTGAGGAGTCGCCTGCAGGAGAAACGTAAGGAACTCTGAATCCTTATGAGGGCCTACACCTTGGGTTTGCGCGTCGGTCGAGGAAGTCGGCGGTGGTGGATACTTGATCAGCTTCAGCTTCAGCTGCTGGGGGTCGTCGAAATACGGATCCAATGCTGTCGGTGGCAGGTCGAGTGCCTCTGAAATCAATCGCCGAAATGCATCTGACAGTGGGTTGATTTCCGCCAAGTAAGCCTCGATGGCCTGGCGAAATCCCGGGATTGCATTTTCGTCGGGCCACTGGGATAAGGTAAGCCTGTGTTTTGAAAGGCGACCGATCAAACACTTCAACAATGACTAAAATTGATATTGCCTACCTGGTTGGGTCCTCGAATGTTCCAAAAGAGTGGCTTCTCAGGCCCCGGAGCAGGTAGCTCGGTTGCGAACTACGCATGACAGCGTTAGCATCCCGTAGCTCAATATGTGTATATATATATTTCTGCTGCGTACATCAAACTGCTCTCGATAATCCTGTTCACGCGCAGTAATCTCCGCTCCCAGTCGAGAGTAACCTAGAAAATGTTTACTGTTGGCCATTTCGATCTCAAGTTTCTTCTCGAGCGGCAGGTCGAAGATCTCCCTGCATTTTTGCACCACATCCCGCTGGGTCTGGGGTGCAACGGGCGCATTGATCAGATAGAAGAACCCCACATCGATGAGCGCATTCCGAAGGTCGGACAGGAATTGGGACTTTGTGGTCGAGGACGTTGAGAGGGAATAATCCAGAATTGGAATCTCTGTGAAGGATGGTGTCTCTGTCGCCATGGTTGGTGTCCCGTGTTTCCTCTGCGATTAACCCTAAGAAGGAAAGATGAAGGTATATTGAATGAAATCGCTGAATGTCCTCTTTGAATATATGCGCACAATTTCTTTGGACGGTATTAACCCCTTCCTACTTGAGTTTAGCGCCGTATCGCACCATTTGAATTGCTGATGATGTGACGGTAATGACATTACACTCTATCGAATGACCGATTGATTATATATATTTCTCATAAACACAAAGGATCCAGGCTCGCTCTCATATCCCAACGTTATAGATATTTCCAGAAAGAAGAAAGAAAGAAATAGGAAATAAATAAAAATATAAAGATTTTTAGCCAGTATTCGCCAAGTCATGCATCTAGGCCACATTGTGGGTTGACATGTGCCATCAAGAAACAGATTGCAGTCGGGGAATATTGAAGACAGTGAGTGAAATGGCAGTGCAAAAATGACGGGGATAAATCAAAGTAGTATAAAGAGTGTTACATGTACTTAAATTGTCATAAAAAACATAACGGCGAACGCGATGACGGCAGCCGTGCGGTTCAGCTGGTCCTTCGCCGCACCCGACGTTGTCATCAGCATCTCCGGCTCATAGTCCGCCGGTTTGGTGGTGTTCGTCTTGCCATCCCAGCAGTAGTTCTTAAAGCAGGTATTGCAGATATCGGGGAGCTTAGTATTCGTCCTCTCGGTGGACCGTTGGAGGATGGCACATCCCACACACGATGGCCAGTTCGCGTCCACACTGGAATTGCCCTGGGTCACGACGTTGTAGCCGTTCAGGATGATATTATCTCGCTCCTCGTTCTTATACGAGAGCTGGAAGGTCGAGGTGTTCGATTTAGCGGTGTAAGGGGCATTGGGCAAGTAGACGACCAACGGGGTCGGGGAGCTGGTGTTGGACGAATTGCATCCAAAGAAGGTCGGGCGCTTGTTCAGGCCGAGATTGAGGAAGGTGTTGATGTCGGGCACGGCGGGGAAGGAAGTCCCGTTGGCCTGACCCGTGGTGTTCAAGCTACGCTCATAGGTCTTGATCAGAGAGCTTCCATTGGGCCAGCTGTTACTCGTATCAGCCGACGAGTCCACGGCGAAGATGACATCCACATTGCGCGTGGGTTGGATCAGCGGGTGCAGAGGCACGTTCTGTCCGTCTTCACCTCCGTCAACCACGTCCAACTCTGGGGTGGACGAATACGCCGCCGTGGAATTCCGGTACCGATAGAAGGGGTTAGGCGAATAGATGGCGATATCGTCATCCTTCTCGCCGAGCTTCTCCAGGACGTCGGCAATTCCCTCCTTGAGGAAATCGGGGATATCGGTGCCATTGAGTCGCAAGATAAATTGGTTGAAGAGAGACGAGCTCGTGCCCATGACGAAGCCGGCATTGTCAAAGCCGCGCACACATTTTTCGTCTTTGGGCAGTTGGCCGTTCTCGAATCGAGATCCGAGATACTCCAAGGGGGCAAAGCCAAAGACGGACGGGTCGAAGGAGCCAAACTCCCATGGGTTGAACTCATATACCGTGGAATTGCTTCCAATCAGTACTTCGCCAGGATTCCGTCCATCGGCAACGAGAATAGGCATGGGCATGCGTCCATTCTTGAAGTCGTCGGTCTGGGCAATGGACGACCAGGTGTAACTGGGGCCACCGTCATCGGTGGTCGCATTAATAAACTGATAGGAGAGTGCGCGGCCCCAGTAGTCGGTTAGCGAGGTGTTATACCCGGCCTTTTTCTTACTCTTCACGGCATCGGCCAGGTCCTTCCAGTAGGCGGCCGTGTTGATCAGTTGAAAATGCTTCACATCGGGGCCTTCGAGAATGGAGTTCTTGAACTCCCAGACCTTGTCGCTCGCTTGCAGTTCGCCAATCGTGGTGAAGTTGTTGATGTACACTGAACCTACGAGCCACCCACCACCGCTCAGGCCCGACAGATATGTGGCTGACTGCAGCAGACCTCCAAGCTGTCCCCGGGCAGTGGAATTAGATGTACGGCTATCGAACGCCTTCAGGGCACCGGCGCCATTGGTCAACGCGCGGTAACCACCACCCGAAACGGCAATGGCAACGTTAGGAATGTTAGATGCATTGTTTTTATGGCGGTCAATGTAAGCCGGGCGTCAAAGGAGCTCAGATTGAGACGGCCTAGCAGATCCTTCATGGGCTGAAGGGTCTCATTCCGACGAACCTGCAACCACTCCTGTTCGGGGGTGGACAGTTTGGCGGCGCCACGGATACTGGGGCGGGTCGATGGACAGGAAACATTAGCGGGACTGTACCCATCGGGAGCGTTCGGGAAGGCGCGCGGAGTGACGGCGATCGAGGCGGCATTGGCCAAGCCCGCCGCTAAAGTGAGAAGGGGAACCTTCATCGTCGCGCAGGATGATGCTGAAGGAAAGAAAATAAGGAGATGGCGTCTGCAACGAAGCCATGAAAGAGGCGGCCCTGGAGGAATATAAACGGGGAGCGTTCAACGCTGGCAGGCCCATTATTTGGATTGGACCACACTTGGCGTGGGCCAACCGGAAGGCAGTGGAATCAACGTCTCCATTCCTGTGGAGCATCCTCTGCCAATCATCCTCTCCTTACGGAGTTCGGCAGTAGAATAGGGCTGATTAGGCAGCACTTTTCGATCATGATGTTGTTGGAATGTGACCCTTGACGCAGGGGAATCCACTGCTATGCCCCCTTCTGGCGCTCTGTCCCTATCGCACTGCCACTTGTTAATTTTAGGCAGCACCATAATCTCTGGTTCAATGCAGGATGTCCAATGTGGCTGAGGGGGAGCGGTTTCAAGAACAGTCTTGGGGAGTAATACGGAGTCCTCCGTACAAGGTACGGATGTTGTTTTGCTTCTTCTGGTGTTCTTTCTTTGTCCAATGTCCTTATTGCTGTCATGTGACATATTAGAGACACCATGACTAGTCTCTTTTCACATGACCTTTGCATAAAAAAAAAAAAAAAAACAAGACCCCGCACATCATTGAGCATAATTAGTATCCTATAGGGGTATTCCCAACATTCCTCCGTTTCCGTTTCCCTTTACTTTCATTTCTATTTTGCCGCTAATGATTATCTACTATTATGACTTCACCCCAGCCCCTTAGAACCAATGTCTGTGTCGTATAATCCCCGCCGTTATAGTCGAACCCACCAAACAGAGTTCGTTTCAAATGGAGCCAAGCCACAGCGACAAAAGACCGTCATTCATAGGGCTAATTAGTGGTTCAATAGCTTGTCCAAACTAAAACCCATCAGGCCTCCCGTTTGTTCAGGCCGTCAGAACTAAAAGATTGGGGCGAGGCCAAGGAAGAAGAAGAAAAAAAAATCTCACCTTGCTATTCCGGAGTCGACAGGCAGCGATTTTTCTCGATGCAGAATTCTGGATCTTTGCATATATCAAGTACGTAAAAAACTGCGGATCGAAATCGAATAGTCCTGCCTAACAATTTTCGAAGTTCTGAAGTTGCGAGTCCGTCTTTGATAGGCAACTCTCTCGCAGTCTGTTGTCAATGAGGCTCACGTTGAGTTCGTTTGGCATGATCCCTAGTCCCCCGTATGGGGGCAAAGTCGACAGGGCCAGATTGATTTCACTCGCAGATAGCAATTTTAAATCATGGCAGTGCAGGGCGAGCAATATGACTACTTGTTGTACGTCTCCGCGGCGATAAGCGAGCGAACAGTGGCTGGCGCAATGTAAGACAACATTTATTGCAGGATTCGGTTACAGTGTTCTTGACCGCTACTGCGTCTGAGTGAATATTCTTAGCCCGAATGAATACGGCCCTGCCGAGATGACAATGAATTGGTAGCGGGTGATACCCATACTCGTGTGGGACTTCATCCTGAGGAAAGATCACCATGCGTTGAGAATCTAATTAATATACTTGGCTGCTGGTCTGTCATACAACGGTGGTAATTGGCACCAGTATGCTAAGCGCTATATCGTAAAAAGTCAAGAGTTCCCTATAACCCACCAGGAATAAAAGAGCAAATCCCAACTAGAACTAAGTCTTCTGCAATGATCCGAATGTGTCCTCTGCTTAGTGTGTTCTGGTCAGCGCGCTGCTGCTCTTGCCAGAGAGCGAATTAGAGAGCTCTCATCCTATGTGGCACGATACAATGCCCCATGAAGAAATACCTCGCCCATTGCATGGCTGCTGAAAATTACCTGCGAAGGAAAATTAACGTTCCGAGTCCGCTGGAGATGAGAGCTTAGGCCAAGAGTACCAAGAGTATCAAATTTCCCTTATTGGTAATCTTGCTGCTGTCGGTGACGGATCTTAGCAGTCAGCTTGTCGGAAAAGTGCACGGCGTGGGGAAGGACTATGTTAGGGTTTCTGTAACGTCGACTTAATGCACCTGGTCTTGGAAGAATGCTGGTCCCATTTTATAATTAAATTCAATGGTATCGCCTCGTGATTTGCGTGTATGTATACATTCTGTGGGGCCAACTGGTTAATGGGATATGAGTGGACATTATAACAAAGACAACCTGACGTCCTATGACAACCTGTATAGTTCTCTAAGCGAATGCGAACAATCTACCCACATAGTGGGACCTATACTTTACTTCTATGTGACTTAGAAAGTGAAAGTAAGTATATCTTCGTGGGTTTAAGGGACTAGGTTGTCGCTTACAATTATGATGATTCGAATCTATCATCGTCCTCACTGCGTCGCGATATTGTTCCCTTCCTGCAAGCTGCTAGCACTGGGTTCAAGTAACAGGTAATATCACCTATGTAGGTTTATCAGTTGACGAGTTCCATGTGATGTTTGCACGATACCAGTCATATAAATGCATCCTCATTACTATATACGAAGAGTGTCCATGTCTAACTTCAATGCGCCCCTGCCACTAAAATAGAAGGTGGTCTACCAAGAAGGGAAGTAGCTCAGGTGCTCGTCGGTAATCCAGATCATATCACGGTTACCTTCGCAAAGTCCTCTCAGGGACCTGATCGCAGTGCTTTCATTCGACAGATGGAGGGAGAGATCTTCTCCTAGATATTTACATCATTATCCAATAATTCCTTTCCTTTAAGCCCTACAGTGTGTGTACTGCGGTCGAGTTATCCATTTTCACTTCATTTTACCTTCGAAATGAAACCCACAATCCGTGATCTGCCAACAGAGTTACATCAAATGATCATAAGCCACCTCGACTATCCCTCGAGAGTAGTGCTTGCGCAAACAAACCAATACTTCCGGGCTTTGGTACCGGCAAGACCGCCAACAACCTCGTTTATGATGCAGACATATCTTTGCGAGAAAGAAGTGTGGCCAATGTCAGTCCCTGTGAATCAAGCTAGTCGACGTTAATCTATTACTGTGAGGCTGACTGCTGCAGGTTCCGCCAATACTTCGCCTGTGGCAAGTGTCTCCAGCTTATCCATTACACCCATTTTACCGCAGGCCAGGTGACCGGGAAATACGCCAAGCTCGGTAGCCGAAGACATATTCGTGTTTGTTCCCCATGCTATCGGACCAGCCAGTTCACAAGATATCGTCGGAGCGTGTTTGGCTATACCGGATACAGTGTCATATCCTACCCTGCGACAAACCCACCATACCCGATGCTTTACCCTGTCTTTGTTCCCGTTTAACTGTGATATATGCCTGAAGGGGGTCAGTTGGCGACCTGGTGTTTGGGAGAGATCTATCCTCGCTCACCATACCGTTGAGAAGTATGACTATATTGAAGGAGATGGAAAGGGTTCAGCCATGGATGGTGCTAGGGGTAATGGTAATTGCGGGGGAAATATCGATATGCTATGCTTTACTACTATTATGATTGGATGTGTATTACTGCCAATGGCATGGTCACTTACTTCGTACCTTTTGTTCTTTTGACTACAATGAAAAAAATTTCAATTGGTCTTTTGATCTATGTATTTTTACAGTAGATCATGTTCACCGAACCTGTTCACCCTATATGTATAGAATTTCCATAGTATCATAGATGTAGATCCAGGACTTGGCCAAGTTGAGCAGACAAGAGATATCTCCCCAAAGTGCAACGTATCTAGACATCAGAATCAGACAGAACAACAATCGCATAGCCTCAGTCACCAAGGCCAACAACCCAACCCAATCGGGAAAACTCCAGATCCAGCCTAGCGCCGATCGACCCCTGACGTCACGGGGCCAGGCCCCGACCTATTTTTCTAACCACTTACCGCGCATCCAAATCTCATCCAAAACAACATAACTTTACACCTCAAAATGGACTCAAATGTAGCAGCAAGATTACCCCTTTTCGGAGGTCCCAGGTCAGTCTCGCGTGCCAGCATCTCCCCCTCCAACTCTAACTAACTCACTGGCACCACGAAGGGCCTGGAATCCCTCCGACTGGACCTCCACCGACGATCGTGTCCGCGGTGGATCCTCCCACTCCAAAATGACCTGTTCCCCGGCTTCGCTCGTCGCCAAATTCAGCGGATACCTCGACATCAGCACACTCGGCGGAGCGGGGTTCGCCTCGCAGCGGACAACAGGCGAAGACCGGACCTGGGATCTCTCGGCCTACGATGGCCTGGAGCTGGATATTACGTCTGGGAATGGGAAGTTGTTTACGATTACGCTGACAGATGAGGCTGTGCGCAAACGCCCGGATGGAAGACAGGAGAGTGCGATGAGCTGGGAATATGATTTCCGGGCAAGTGACGAGCCGGAGAAGGTTTTTGTTAGATGGGGGGATTTTAGGCCTACGTATCGGGGGAAGGAGGTGGAGGGTGCGAGGCCGTTGGATTTGGGTGGGGTGAAGAGGTTTGGGCTTATGGTGCGGAGGTGGGTATTTTCTTTGCCTGAGTTAAGGGGATACGTGTAGTGTTGACGACTTCTAGTTTCTTTGGGACACAGGAAGGGGAGTTCTATTTGAATATTGTATCGATCGCGGCGCTTCGATTTACGTACGAGAGTGACGATGGTGACCACCCGGAGGATGAAAAGGACTATGTGATTGTGGAGGAAAAGCCGATCAGGTCTTCGGATGCGTCGACAACGCGAGGCTGGATGAGCTGGGTTGGGAAGTGCTTGGGTTTGGTCTAACACACGGTCACAGCAATCACCTCTCGGTTTAGCCAAGCTATGACTCTCTGCACAGGCTATATTGCCTGTGCTGGTATATGACTTTACGAATATTTTCCGAAATTATATGTCGCACTTTCACGTCGGCAACACCTCTTAGGATGGTGCTACTGTTGAAACCCTGAACGAGATAAGATATGTCTATTAGACAATCCCTAAGATGAAATGATCATGAAAATTAAGAGTTTTGGAACTGAAGATACTAGGCTGTATATATATATACGGCGTATTTTGCTGTATATGGCTCTTCTTGATCAAGCATTCTAACATGACCCTTCTGGCCGGAGTCTCGACGAACTAGTCATCAAGCATATCTTCAGTAAACACAAGGTTTCTGGAAACCCTATTACGTCCGTGAGACAAAATATTCTTCGCATGCCGGACATTCTTACTATCCATTGTCAAACCTGGAAACAGGTGAGAAGTGGCGCTGGCGTAAGCACAGTAGAGAGGATGGGAGTGAATGCTATAATAATGGTTCCTAGTCTGAGGCTTTCTATCAAAGCCAAGGTTATATCTATGATGGAGTCTACGCTGCCTTCAAACATCAAGTAATATGCAAACCATCCGATTACACATTACAAGTCTGTACTTTTCGCCGTCAGCAATGACTATGAATGGTGTCATGTACTTATAATCTAGTCATTCTTGCGTACTGAGTATCTATTCTAATGGAGAGTACCAAGAGCGATACATTGTAAGCTAGTAGTAAAAAGATAAGTTTCAGTTTCAGCCGAGGCAAATCATCATCCGTGCTCATTTGCTGCTATGTCTATATACAGGGATACCACTTCTGATTCTTGAACAGGTACTATCTGACCGATATGCAGCACGTAGAAGAGCGAACGGAGACGTATACCCAGTAAACATCTAGGGAAGTAAGACTTGGAAATTTGCCCATAAAACAGACCTAACCGATGTATCACGGCGCATCATCTTTAGCTATTGAGCTATTGACCGAGTCAGAGAGCTGAGATGTGTCACGTCTCTTCGCTCCGACGATAAACAGACAAAAGGACACAATCTAACCCCGAGAACCAAGATATTGACCTCCATGTTAGTGTTCTCAACAAGGAAGTTAGAGCAATCAAAGATAGCATGCGGAATCACCTGAGAATTTCTGTCGATTTCCTGAAGAATAAGAGAACTGCTGACTTTGAGGGGAGGGGTAATCGAGTCGAGGTCATTCTTATGCCACATACATTAAAAATTTTCAAAGTTTTCAAAAATAAGTAGCATCTTTCTATGGCCTACATTAATCTGTAAACAAAATGGGCATAATATCAATATCAGTCAGTGGTCTTTACACTACATCCAAGTATTGTTTTCCTACGTCCAGTGCCCCATATCAGTCCGCGATGACTTCATAACAGAATTCGAACTGGACATTGGGGACATCACTATCCCTCCCATGGGCAATCTCCCCTCCGTTCTGGTCTTCAATCATGTCCGTAACCCAAGGGAACATACAAAGGTTCCGTTTTAGCGGCTGTCACCCTCACTAATAATGATACAACGTCCCTGTCCGGTAATACATCATCCATCCACGCTCGGTATGAAGTACACCACGTTCGACAGAGTTATCGAAATACAGTGCTCCACCAATGCGCCCGAAGCCGAGAACTCGAGCATCATCATAGCACACTGCAGCCCGTGCCTGGAAATGCTCGACTTGGACGTCAAATTTGCCGAAGCCAACTTCAATCTAGACACGATCAGGCCCCAACGGCCCGTTTCAGGAATGTAAATGGTCAATTAGACTCATGAGTCGCTGAACATGAGTTCCTTCTCTACTCTGTATGACGCAGGTATATACAGTGCTGGCAGAGATGGCAAGCGGCAAGGGTATATCGAAACATGGACGGTTTCTTTAACACCACTGTGAATAGTGGATGGTTTTGTCCGCGGAGGATCTATTTGGTGTTGAAAATGCGGACTACTCAACGTGAGCACTCGTTTGTACGACATCGCCATGGATCAAATACCGGACAAAATGTTCCGCGTCGACAGCAATTTCAGTATAAACCACTTACTAAACGCCACCCTGAACCAGAAGAGCATAGGCTCGTCCAGAGTGCAGTATCGACGCATATTCTTGCGGGGCTGCTGGGGCTGATGCTGGTTTGCGCCGTCGCCTCTAGTACACTGCTCTTGCCCAATGATCTGTGCAGAATTGCGGCCAAGGCTAGTTTGCTAGCGGAGCCCAAGCTTCTTTCGGAGTATGTCATTCTGACGGGATCGGAGTAGACGAGCGATAAGCTACTAAAGGAAAATGGGATCTTTGGGAAGAATCATTTCCGACTGAGGTGGTGGAGTGGGGATAGGTACGGCATTGATACTGAGACTTCGTCTGATGATGAACCGTGATATCGTGGCCTCTCTTGTTCTGTTTATATCTTAATTTTAGTTCCTTTTTTTCCTAATTAGTTTTGTTTTTTTTTTTCTCTAAGAGCGGATGATAGATTTCCCTTTTCGGAACAAATAGCCCTATACCTACATGACATCATCAAGCAAGATGATCACCGAAATCGATCCCGAGACATCATTAAACATCAGACATCCTGACCACAGTTCGTTCATTATCCTGTCCGTGAGGTTCCACATTACGCAACTAAATCAAGCTTCCGACGCAGCCCCGTAGAGCCACACCAATCCCCATCCAAGGGGGTGAGTATCACTTCCAAACCAATCACCACTAGGAACTTTGTCTCGCCAACGGACTCAATAATGATCCAATAATAGAAACAAGTCAACATTTACTGATCTACCCCGGTTGACATCATCGATTATCATTCCCTTCGCTTGAACCCGACATTGTTTACTTATAAATAAGGGGGATTCAGGTACTGTTCCAGATGCTTTGATTGTACATCATCATAATATTCTAAACTACTTCATTTCCATACCACAAGAGCATTCCTACCGCAAGATCCAGATTCAAGGAACACTCACCCACCAAACATATCACAATGGACAAACTCGCCTCGAAGCTTACTGGCCACAAGCACGGTGGTGGTACCAGCGGCAGTGCCAACAACGAGGACTATGTTGACAAGGGTACTTTTCCTCTTACTCTCTCCTCCATATCTTCCGACTATAATGAATATTAATAAATAACCCAGGCCTCGATTCTGTCGAAAAGAAGCACGGTCACGGCATGGTCAACCCTCAGGACCCTAAGATGCGGCAGACAAACGAAAAGTTCACGGATGCTGCGCGGAATAAGTTCGAGAGTGCTACTGGGTATGTCATCTTATCTCTGACTCTATACTAAGATTGTAGCTAACGATGTTCCCTGCAGCAAACATGTCCCTTCAAAGATCTCCAACTAGGTCGAATACATGATGACGTCATGATGGATTCTCTGAAATGTACTATATTACTGGCTATGGATGCATAATGGATATAACATAACCTATCGTGTATCGTGGAGTTTCTCCTTATAATCGCTTAAACGCAGACAGGAGTGATTCGTACCCTGCTGAAGATCTGTAGGGCGACATGATCCTCGTATTCATTCGACACAGCTGCAGCATCTCCTCCACACCATCTGGAACCGGTACACTCGCCTTTTTGCATGCGCCAACGAGTTGCTCGTAGTAGTTCTGTGCCTGTTGGTATTCACGCCTGGTCATGTACATATTGCCTAGTAAACTCAGGACTGTCAGTGGATCGGGACTGCTCAGAACATCCCTGCTCCGGGCCCAGTCCAGATATCGTCGGAACCAAGGCAAGGCTAGTTCGACGTTTTGTTGCGAGGCTGTGAAGCTATACGCTCCATCCTGCTTTGCATACATCAAACCCATGTAAATGACGATTTGGATGGTCTCGGGGTTGTCAGGGCCTAGGAATTCTTCAGCAGTGGCGAGTGCTCGTCTTAACGTCTCAGAAGGTTCCGTTATTCCGCTGCCCGCAAATACCTGAGACGCTCCGAGTAACCGGAGACTTCGGATCGAGAGCGGATTCCGAGGGCCCAATAAATTGTTCAACTCGCGGGAAGCCTCGAGGGTGACGTTCACTATTTCGTCTGTGCCCGCTTGAAAACGAGCTATAGCCAACTCGGTGGTATTGCTCGTGAGCTTAGCAATGACCAGTTCGATGGTGTCAAGCACGGAGGCATATGTCTTGATATGATTCTCGCCCAGCAATTTTTTGAGGCTCTCGGTGCGTCTTTTGGCTGTGGCGATACCTTCCTCCCGTCTGCCGACGGAGCTATATGCGTTCGCCAGCCGACGGCGCGTTTCCAGCGTGTCGAGGTCATCTTCCCCGATAGTCATCTGCTGTCGGGCGAGGACGTTGGCGCACACGGACTCGCCCTCTTGCTGCTTTCCCTGAGACACCAGGATCTCGCCCATCAGGCTTTCGGCTTTCATCGCAAGTGGGTGGCGCTTGTCAAACACGCGCTGGCTGTTGTTTGAAACCCATTGGCACCACTCGGCTGCCTTACCGATGTATCCTGATTCATGGTCGATTTCCGCTAGATTATATCCGACCTGTAATGTGCTATGATGATCCGCACCCAGGGTATGCAAATGTTCCTGGAAGATGGCGTACTCGATCTTCCTCGCCTCGTCCCACTTCCAGTTGTTCTTATGCTCGGCAGCTTGGACGGACCGTGGATCGTTATCAATCGGAGTGTAAAGAGACCCGACCACTCGCTGTGCCGTAGGCTGCGATGTTATACCTGGAGGCGGGTATGGAGCGCTACTATTAGTATGCCGCGGCGGCAACATTGGTGCGGGCCGCGGAGTTTGTGAAGGCTGTGGAATATAACCCTGTTCAGTGACAAGGAGCTGATCGGCGATCTGTTTGATGTTGCCTTTGATCAACTTGTACATCGCCCCTCGACTGCCGACTTTGCACATTTGGGAATGATCTGCGTCTAGCTTCAGGCGCGTTTCGCGGTTTCCGGGCAGACCAAGAACGGCGGACTCTTCGTCTACCACCAGCTGTAATCGTCAGCGCTGCGGCTACGATTTCTCGGGGAGGTATGGAGGGGGTAGATACTAACATGACTAACAGAAGCCGGACCAGTGCCACCGAATAGCACCTCTTTTCCTTCGATGAAACTGAGCACTCGGTAGTCCTCCAGTTGGTGGCAGAATCGACTACTCATCTGTCTGGTGAACAGGGAGTTGTGTTCCAGGCAATCGAGAAGGTCGTTACTGGCGTGGCCCTTGGACACAAACTTGGCAACCTTGGCTGCTATCTTGCCCAGCTCGACGCCTTTGGTGCCATGATGCGGGGTGCTGAAGAAAACGAGGCCATATGTCCCGGTGCGGATAGACGTGTACTTCGGGTCTTCCTGGGCATTAAGTAAAGCCTGTCGGTAAGATGTTAGTGCGGCGCCCGTCGTTAGTCAAATACCCTCCTTGATTCACAACTCTCCCACAAAATCATACCTGTTTAATCACCAACCCGCCCAAGCTATGTCCGATGAAGATGATCTTTGGAGGCCGCGCGTTCTGAACAAGGTCAGCTCTATGCAAAAGGGTCAGTGGAGCCAAAAAGATATACCACTTGTGGACTCCGTTCGAGATCCAACAGGTTCAGCAGTGTATTGGCATGGTCTTTCACGCTCGCATTTGACATTGACTGGGGGTTGGTGACGTTCGAGTTGTATCCGTAGATGAACACGCGGGCCTGTGGGATATCTTGAGGGAGATAATCCCGCGGCCAGAAAGTTCCATTCTCGTGTGTCCAGGTGTGGAAGGCATGGTCGACGCGACCTCGAGGATTGAGCCCGTGGACGAAAACGAAGCTGCGCAATCAATATGGGATTCGAAGACTTGAAGACACACCTAAAGAACACTTACTCGATCTTCGGTTGCTCTGCGGGGGTGTAGACTTCCTCTAGAAACGGAAATTCGTAGGCTGATGGATCCTTCTTCACTTAGCTACTATATCACGTATACAACAATATGCAATTTTAACCCACCATGGTCGAGGCTCATACATCACGAATGGAGGAAGAAACAAGATGAACGGAGCGGAAGCCCCGGATTTCTATAGGTACCACCAGGCTTCAGCCGCAAGACTAGAGCTTATCATTATACTAAAAACCTGTCACACCAGGGTTACATTTACAACCAAACTGAAGATGTGAGGCGGCATGGCTTCGCGTATTCCTGCCCGGTTGGGTGCTCACACGAGGGTTTGTGAAAGAGAGATGGCGTCGGCGTCTCCGTCGTATTGGCCGTTCGTATCCGATACTGCTTACTAGCCGCAATCCTACTCCTCCAAGTGCCCTACATGATTGGTAAACCCCTGGCACCATGTGATGAGCTGCATGACTGGCGTTGTTTTCTATAGACTATGAGAAAATGAAGAAATTGCTCTCGAAGACTTGATTGCTTACAGTCGGTCTAGATTGCCGCAATCGATCAGTCTTAGGTCTCTGTCAGAGCAAGGTTCTGGGATGCTTGAACTAGGCGGCTTCTGCTGTCGCTTCATCTTGACTATCTTCGATCTTTTCCTTCAAATTCTGCAGGCATGGTGCATAGAATAATACCCCATGCCATGCTCCGTGCGCGGTGCGGATGGCCACCACCAGCCACAACATGACCATTGCGCCGCTCAGAATCTGTCATAACTTAGCTATTTTTTTCTTAACCACGGACTATCTATCCCTGTGACTTACCGTGCCGCAAACCTTAAAAAACATTAAGTCCATTTCCTTCCCGAGCAGAATCGTATTGGCCGCATACACCCCAAGCGGAAAGGTAAACCCCCACCACCCCATATTGAAGGGGAACGGTGAACGGTCGTAGATCGTGGCCAACGCAAAGACAAGCCAAATCAGACCAAAAGACCACATCAATAGCGAAATCAAAAGACCCAGGACGTATGCCATGTGTCCAGCAATAGGGTCAATCGCGTTAGAGTCGCCTAGGAGGTGTCGAGCCACCTTCCCCAGGTATAAAATACTAGCTTAATGTCAGCACTATGATTACAAGCGTATAATGATGCGATTGGCACTAACCTGAACCCCCCAAAGCCAAGAGGCCCTAGTGGGAGAAAACAACTTACGATGGTCTCCCGCGATGGAAGCTTATGGACCGCCAAACGCTGGTAATAAATCACCAGGATCGTCATCGCCATTGGCGTTGACATGCCCCACAGCACATAGGATACAATGATTGTTCCCATAGCATGCCGCGTGTTAGGTAAAATATCCGCGATCTCGGCCCCGACCCCAGACGCGACGATTGTGGCAGCGATCGGCAGCAACTGGAGAGCCGTGATCCGCTCCAGCGAGGTGACGTAATTTTGCGATATCCTGCTAAATATTAATAGAACACCTTCACAATAGTGGGGGGCATACAGAATGAATGAGAGAGATACAGTAACTGCTATCGCAGCAACTGCGTCGACAATCCAGAGCGCCCAAGCTGCTGTCTTGGCCCAATCCCCCCATTGTGGTACACAGATGAATACCCACAACTCGATCAAGGTGGCGAAGCCCATAGGACACGTCGCGAGGAATAACGAATTGACTGGGTCTTGGATCATGACCTTCCAGATTTCGGGATACAAGGCGTATCGTAGAATCGATATGCTGAGCACGAGAACAAATAATAAGACATTGAGAACGAAAAAGGCTATGGCGATGTAATATAGCGCTGCGTGCTCGAACGGGATGAGATAAAGCAGAATGCCAGCCATGCCTGTCCCCATCGTTGTAGAAAACCATCTGTAAGATACACAGGTCAGCTATTATCTCAGATGTAGTAGCCAATGGGCTGTAACCCACGAGGGACTGAAGTTGCTGACGATTCTTCGCCAACCGGCTGTATACTTCACGAGGCTTTTGCCTCTGGGTCCTGTATCAGGACGTGATTCGCTGTCTTTCATCCTGTGATTTTGTTCCTGTGACTATGTAGCGCCTTGTATGTGACAAGAGTTAATTCAAGAGATAATAATTCACGATGTTGACGTTGGAAAGTTAGTACTCATAATTGATTCCAGGGTTCATGTTGCCTCGGCCGAGAAACTCGTGACTGCCCGTAACCCGAAGCTCGGAGGTGGCCGATACCGCAGCTTAGAACAATCACCCCGTTTGATAAACACTTTTTGGAGCTGTAGATACTACCTGACCTGATCGTGGCGCTAATCTGACAAATGGACGAACTATCTGTAGAACAGCCAGATTGAATCAGAATGGTGGGGTTCAAGGCTCTCTTAAAGTTACGGTGCATACACTGCGTACAGGATTGTCTCCTAATTAGTGAAATGCATACGATAGCAAAAATTCTTCAAGGCGCTCATTCAAAGCTTGATCATTCAGTATGTTCATCCTACCTCCTATTACTTGGACGCTTGTCCACATTCTCGTGGAGGTGAGCGAAAGTACTAAGTTCTTAGATCACAAAGGTATATATCTTTGTCGTTCCGTCCCATCGAAATCTAGAAGATGTAGGCAGCAATACATACAGCATGTAATCTAGCTCTAAGGTGATTTGGGAAGCGTGGGATCTCAGATATTGATGTAAGGTTTTGAGAATTCGGGACATTGTACTGGCAGGTTAGTATGTATAGAATCACCCAAGCCATGGATTAAACTCTTGAGTGAAGACATGCCAAGCCTATGAGTTTACCGAGGCACTGCTTTAGACCTTTGAAATTCCGCATCCGTTCAACTCATGTGAGAGTATATTGCATCGCTTATTCTATCTGAAACAGGTTTCATAGTGCTCCTGCCCCAGGCACCTACTCCTGAGTTGAGACACCCTGTAGGAAGCTGGCATCGCTCCCATTCAAGGGATGCTCGACCTCAATGCTCTTAACGAGCTGCGCCTGCTTGACGCTCTTGGGCTCAATCTTATAAGGAAAATCTACTATATACCTCTAGGTCGTTCAAAAACCACCATATGACACCGTTAAGGTGGCTCCTTTTGGGATGTGATAGTTGTAGTAGATAATCTTCTCAGAAGCTATATGCGGAAAGCCTGGTTCAGTGACAGAGGACCTCCTGTATGCCTTTTAACCACATTCTCGATATACGGCAGCTTATCCCTGTCCTCCAACTGGGGAAGCCGATCGGTGCCATAACCTTATCAATCTTCTTCTGGGCTTTGTGCTGCACCTCAGGGAACATAATCATAGCCAAGATGAAACTTCTCAAGGTAATCACCGTAGCCTCAGCACCGCCAGCCTACGTAGCCGCGGCAGCCCACTTGATGGCGTGCGCATCATCGCCATTTAGTCGATAATCTCGTTGCTACGTTGCTGAACGATCTTGGGGACGTACCGCGGCCGATGGCTATTCGTTGTCGTCTGCTGCAAAAAGAATGAATAGGGAACATTCACAACTGCCTGATTGATCTTATTCCATCGCCGCGCGATTTGCTTAAACCCCGTTCGGCATGTACTTAAGGGCAGGAACAAAATCGACTAGCCAAGCAAAGGGGACTGTGGCAGCGGAAAAGTTCTGCATCATGTGATCAATTATGTTAACTAGAGGGTTAGGCTTGTGTCTCTGGACGGAATAACTGTAAGTTATGTTTAATATGCAATACTTGCTATACGATAAAGAGTTGAAACATGAAATCAGAGTTACTCTAACAGTGCGGATGCGGCTTCTCTCCCTTTATGGGCACAGGTACAGTGATGCTTTTCGTATAGCAAGTAAGGGTAAATACATAGATACAATGTTAATCTAGTTGTTACTACCTAGTAGTTTTATAGTCGGATCAAGTAAACCTCATCAACACTGTATAATATGGACTAACATTACATGCAATTCAGTAGTAGAATACACAAGCGATTCCCATGGAATCCTTCCCCGCTAAACCTTTACTATTGGTTTCTCCTCAGCCTCATTTGCTTCCACATCCCTGATTCCCATTTAGTGGTAAGGGTTAGCAACCTCCGGAAGGTCGTTGCTCATCTTGCAGCACTGGCTGTTGATGTTCTGGCCTATAAAACGAAGTGAGTCAGTTATCCAATATCAACAGTCGCAGGTGAACATTACGGGATCGTACCATTGGAATCATAGAGGCAGTTATCAGCGCCGAAATAGACATCACCATAGCTAGAAGGCCAGTCGGCCTCCAGAGAGCACTTGGGCTTGGCCGTTGCACCGTCCTGGTTGCCCTTGAACATGGCGTAGATAGTCGGGGGCATGTCTGTTGTCGGACCCAGGCACAATAGCCACCGGTCCAGGATTGTCTAAGATTATCACTGTGGAGATACTATCTACCATCTTAGCCTCCAGTGTCAGTGCGTTGCCATCGTTGGGTATACGAACTTCTGTGACTGTCATTGGACCAGCATCGAAGTCAAATCGCTTTTCCAATCGAACCATCTACATGCCCTGAATCTCATCAGAGCTACTGCCTGGAGCCAATACCAGCAAGCGTATCTCGTCACTTTGAGAAAGAGGATGATATATGGTGCGACAACCCAGAGTGAGAATAGGGGAATTGCATTTTAATGAACATGGACGGTAAACTGTATTGTCCAAAACTCTATCGACAATTCCATTGTGCAACACAGGCTCGTAGACATACTCACCTACGGGGACAGCAGCTGTAACAGCCGCTTCGGCGATGATCAGGCATCCTACTACGAGTTTGGTCTTCACCCACTTTGGGCTGGCGGGCTGAGCTTCTGATGAGGCACGTCGTAAGGGCGACGAAACTAGATGGAAACATTTCCAGAATCTAGGACTTCCAATAGGTTGCCAGGTATTTGGGCGCAACATTTATAATTTTGAAACAAATATCAGAACAGCATAGAGTGGAGTGAACTTTCGCCCAGCTGACAACAACTTCGCTTCGTGTCCTGCCTACACGGCCCAACGGGATCACGGCTGTCCATTCTGACCTGTGAGCCTCAATATAGAGAGCAGATCGCCTCTTCTGTCTCGTGTCACTTACTGTGTTGTATTTAAAATTGAACGCACTTATTGGTTGTTCGAAAAATATTATTGGTAGCTTCAGCTCTGAAACTTGTAATACAAAGTTGATCATAGCTTTATACCTTCATTGAGTTAATCCCAAGTGAGTAACAGGCCCTGATGCTTAAAGAATATTCGCCAAATGTCCTCCGACAGAAGGTAACCGCCCCAATAGTTAGTGACCTATACATTAGGTTCAAGACCGACAGAAACTGCGGAGCTCAACACATCATCACACCGACTACCATCGCCCATCACCGCAGCCATAAGCGTATGTCTCCAGTTGCGCGGGATTCCAGAGGCGGGCCAGCTTAGGCTAATATTCATATATATCACACAAGATTATCGTATCGTTCCGTTTGTGTCCCGTGCGACAAGTAAGCTGGGACACAGTACGTTAGAGAATTGAAGATCTATGTCAATCAGGCGATTTAATGAGTGCAAAAATGCCTTCAGTTCTTGGCGACTTTTTTATATCGATTCAGTGCAATCTAGAAACAGTCAATATTTACAAGTGTATATCTCTACCAATTCTGTATTAGAACTATTTCTTACTTAATCTCTGAGATGAGTATATCAAGAAGACTATATATATTAAAGAAGACTTTTTTTTCTCTAAACTTTGATTTTTGCGTTCATAAACTGTATTAGATTTATTAGAACGTGAGCTATACTATATTCTTACATTGCTGATTTCGGATCTTTAATCAGGATTTGATTTTATTAGGAATTGGTTAAGTTAATGAGTATTTGAAATAAGTGGTTTTTTGATCTTTTTACATCGATTTGCGCTTTTTGATGGGAAAAAGCGCCAAGAACTGAAGGCATTTTTGCACACGCTAAATCAAACGGGCCGATCACTATAATATATTAAGACCTGCAAGCGGTTCCTTGACATTGATCATCGACAGGAGAATTGATAGACTGCGATTCGGTGTGTACAATCTACATGAAACTTTTCATATTTTGCTTCTGGAATGCTCTGGGAGATTAGGGTGGGTTGACTACTATTGTTTCTACTGATATATCCCGATTTTCCTTAATGGAAGTATGGAGTCCCCCAACCAATTACGGAACACTCCCACAGGGAAGCTCAACCAGCTACTTTTCACTATGGTCCAAATATATACTTGACAAGAGTTGACATATATACAGGGCACTTCACATCACAGAATTCAAATCATTTACCTTACACGGAAGGCCACCCACTCGAAAAGTCGAGGACATTCCACCCGAACAGTTTCTGAGAATCACCATAACCAATGGTCGTATCAACGTAGTGATAGTAGAGCACAGGACCCAGTTTCGGGTCAGTGTAGACACCCCTATATCAGTCAGCCATTATCAATCAAAAAAGAAAAGACTCAGAAGGGTCGCATACTGTCCACCAGGTCCATAAACATTATCATGGCTCTCGAGAACAACAGTTCCACCGCTCGCCGTACACGCGACGCCATTCGCATCAACCTAGACCATTAGCCCTACTCCTCTGAGCATGACAAATAAGGGGGAAAATTGCCAATACTCACAAAACCTCCCGTCGGCGTACTCGACCGACAAACCTTGATCCGATACTCCTCCCCCTCCGCAGGTTTATTCGTATCGTACCCACAGCACGATCCCCACGAGAAGAACAAATAATAATAACTGCCATATTTATACAGAAACGGTCCCTCCACGGGATGGGTTCCCTCCGGGTCAAAGGCAACATTAACCGGAGTAGACGTCGAAGACGTCGCGTCCGCATTGAGCGTGACCTGGAAGATGTCCTGCCAGAAAGATCCGTAGGTCAAGTAGTTCTTGTCACCGTCAATCAGGAGGTTCCCGTCGATGGCATTGTACTGGTCGCCTGTTTTGGATATGATGCCGGTGGAGCCCTTGTCAGTCCAGCTGCCTGCCGCCATTGTTTCGGAGATGGCGAGACCGATGACGGACTCTTGGCTACCGAATTTGGAGACGGCGTAGTAGACATAGTAGAGGTTTCCGACCTTCTGGACATCGGGGGCCTATGGGCTAGTTAGTGGGTGCCATGGTAAGGAAAGTGTTTTAGGGGTCAAGAAACGGGCTGTGCGATAACTGGGAATACGATGCCAATAGCATTCACGGGTAGACATCGGAGGATGGACAAGATGGTGAGAGGAGAGGAGAGGAGAGGAGAGCAGAACGAGGTAAAGATAATCTACATCGGAAAAGGAAAGTAGACTCGGAAAACATAGAAAAGCGTCAAATACCTACCCAAGGATCATACCTCCCCGGATTGTCAATCGATGAGCCATCAGGTAAGACGGATCCTAGAGCAATCCAGGGCCCCTCAATCGACGATGCAGAAGCGAAGGAGATATTGTTCCCCGTCGAGAAGCGGAAATAAGTTCCATCGCCGTTCTGGGTCAAAGCAGGGTCATGGACATTGCAGGCACCGGAGCAAATTCCTGGGTTAGCGTAGCCATAGGCTACAGCAGCACGTAGCAGGGCTAATACAAGGGAGGATTGAATATACATGGTTAGCGGAACTAAGGAGTGTATGGGTTGGAGAATCCCTCTTACTGCAAGATACCACGCTGGTATTTATACTGCGTACTTTGTCGATTGTAGCCATTTCCGTGTCTCTGTGCGCGCAGTCTACATCGAAAATGTGCTTTCCTCCGCCGGAGAACGGTAGTTTCACCCATTCGAGGAACGGAATTCTCCGAGGTATTGACACCATGTACCTTCAGCAAAGCCTGACTTGATTGTAATTGCTAAGTCTTAGCGATCTATAATACATGCATTGTGCATGGTACAGATCACCGGTCGTGACGTGGAAACCCCTATTGAAGATATATCATTACCTCGTGCGCAGTCTACCATTCTTATCACACAATAAAGATAACAGCTGATAAAATTCAATATAAATATCATTTACAAAAGAAGTAGACCGCATCATCCTGCATGATGCAATACCTCACCCCTCTCTCGGATCTAAGCGAGTACTGCTCGTACAAAATTCTCCGAGAACCGCTGTAGGAGTATCATCAAGGTACGAATTTCTCAACTACCGACGGAGAAATTACACTAGTGCAGTATTGGTCGGGGGAGGAATAGAATCTCGACAGCTATTGGTTCGTACTTCCACTCATCTAGGAGTTTTGCTCAATATGGTAGTCAAGATTTCTTGTCACGGGGATTGGTGATCGTCTTGGCTTGGAGATTCATCCGAGTGGATTCTTCACGGCGGATGTGTCGGGGTATCAATGTTTTAGCTTTCGGCTATTGTGGTCTCGGGCATGGAACTAGTTCCACCAATAGCAGGGATGCAGAGACACCTCCAGGATCAAGAGGCTTGGTGTCTGAAACCCTTGCACAAGTGTATGGACATATTCTATAGACTATCGGGGAACTAAATTCCCAGACTGCCACCCTCATCTATAACAGGCCAGCCATCACTCGGGTTAGCGCCTCGTTCTCTGCGTGAAACGCATCGACCCCTTCTCCCCCTGCACTAGCGCCCTGGGACTCCAGCGTCTCCTCCTGTAGACTCGCCTTCGGATCAAAGTAGAGCCCTCCAGCCATCTCAAAGAAACTGGTCAAATCCTCACAACTGTCATGATTGCCGCCATGGTTGATAGGCGCCGTAGCGGGTGAGGAGGACACAGGCCAAAGGGGCGCAGAGGGTTGTGGGGTGGGAATGCCAGATGGGTTGTGCTGGTGCGACAGGGGAAACGGAGAGTGCGACGGACACGAGTCATGGTGCCCGTGGCTGAAACGAGATAGGACCTTGCCAAGGCTCTCCGGCGGTTGTCCGGGTCTATAAGGCGACTTTCCACCCACATTGAGCTTAATCAACTTCAAACTGCGAATGATTTTCTGCAATCGTCTCGATGTGCGAGCCCGTGTAGATGACTTCCTCACCATGCTGACGGCTGTGTAAAATTCCGCCCGACAGACATGGCTGAAGCGACTCGGAGCATGAAACACGGCGAGAAATAGCGCAGCCAAAGCTGAGATCAGGAAGTAATTGAACGGTTCCGGACGCTGAAAGTAGACATCCGAGACTCCGGTGAAGTAGTGTAGCATATGAATGGTGCTCTTGGCTGTTTCCACGGCAGTCGAGGCACCGGGCACATTCCCCTCGATGCTCTCGCTACTGAGCAAATTTTGGCGGTATACTAAAATACGGAGTTGATTCGCCTGTAGAGCTAGTAGGACTTGCAACATCATCACATTATCGTTCTGAACCGAGTCTGTGGATAGGCGTTGCGAGGGGTCAAATCGTAGTTCCTGCGGAATCGATTGGATCCACTGCTGGACTTGAAAATCGAGGTAGGAACAGTAATCTGACGTCGCAGAGCGCGATCGACTGCCCCAGCCAACTACAAGCCCCCATATCTTAGTGCTCAGTCTTGCGTACGAGATCATACAGGTAAGGTACGGTGTTGCGGTTCCCGGTTCAGGCAAGTTGGTGTCCATGTCTGTGTCCTGAATGGCGAATGGAAGGCCGGTCCCGAAAGACCATTTCCTGTCCAGCACATAGATGCACCAGAATAGGCGACTAGCCCATGTCCACTGCAATTCCCCAGGAAACACGCCTCCAGTTTTATACCAAGTCTCTTGGCAGTGGAGGCCGAGTTGCATGGAGCCCCGGCAAGCCATTCCAATAAGTCGCCACGAGATGACCTCGTCATCGCGATAGGAATGGAAGATCGACTTCGAGAAAGACCAGTGTTAGCCAGGGGAGAAAAGGGAAGAGACAGTGAGGCTACAAACCAGCAATGTTAATATAAGAAGTTCTTTCATGTCGACCTCGGGGATATTCACCCGAGTCGCAAAGCGGTCCTCAACACTATCCGCCAACAACGCTGCCCGCTCACTCCGGCCATGAGATTCCGTTAGCAAAGCGATCGCTAAGATGATCTTCAGCACCTCTGCATCACGCGCAAAGAACCAATCCTGTTGCTCCGAGCCCAGTGCCAGACGAGAGTCATCGCGATAGAAATCAACGATATATGCGCGCACACTGTCCAGATCGACACAAGGGTACATCAAACCAACGGTGTTTTCGTACACCGTTACCAGTCGAAGAGCCTCCGTCAGCCCCAAGTTCCCAAGTGGATCATCTACCGCGATATCAGCACCCGGTGTTGCAGCGGGGCTGGGAGCCGCTGTGGACTCAAAGTCGTCGTCTTCGTCTGACGGTTTCCGGCGTGCGTCGAGGCCGAACTCTGCACTCGTGGGCCCAACGTAGGATGGCGACATGGGCCGATTCATAATACGATGTAAGCCAGTAGTAGCCGCCTGAGATGACACAATGGAAACTTGTCCCGGTGTACGATTGTTGGCATTGCTAGTGCCGGGGGACGACGATGACTCGAGCTGACGCAAGCGAGCGGCCATCGCCCGCATCTCACGCTGGAGGGTTTCGATTTGGCGATCCACCGATTGGAACCTTGAAGCTACTCTGCGCTTATCAACCTGACGCACTTAACTAGATTTAAATAAGGCCTTACCTATCGTCCTTTGCTTCCTCTAAGTAGGTCCCAGCGTTACTCGACGCATACGCATTGGGCGCATAAATGCACGCCGCGCCATCACGGGCGCATCGTGAGCATATCGCATCGCCGCTGCATTTCAGCTTTCGACGCTTGCATTCGTTACTAATCAAGGTAAGTCAGTATAAGTCTCGTCTCAATCGCACCAGTGAGGGTAGGCAACGCACCAAGCAACCTGGGTGTACTTGGCTCTTCTTTTCCGAGGGGGTTCCGAAGTTATGCTGGTGTGGGTGGGAGATTCCGACTCCATGGATCAAGTCTCGTGGTGATTTTATAGGGAATGGTGGGTGCTCTAGAAAAGTATCTAGCAGGCCACTAGGTTGGTTCCGAGAGTTGATCAGGCAATAATGGTGCGGAATGAGGGAGTCATGAAGAGTGCTGGTGAAGCGCGAAAGTTGCCTTCCATTCCGAGCCATCCCGAGGCCATGAGCCTTTATGCCTGAGGCATCTACGATCACGGACCGAGCTTATTTTACTTTATCGTATCCTTATCTATTGTTATCTCCAATATATATTTTCTTCCCTAAACTGATTGGAGGCTTTACTAGACACAATATATATATATATATATGGAACGCCATAACGCCATTTATTACAGCAGAACAACTGGAAGAAAACCTGGCAGGACAGTGTTTATTCAATGAACACCGTAACAATTCAGGCCGGAGAATTTCATATATGAGACGCCCATACATGAGATAAACATCATAGCCACCCGCGGATACCAAAATACTATTTGGGTAAAGTAGAAGGATTCCAATTTCATAAAGTCATTTCCCGCCAATTCGGTTTGACGGCTAAATGGTCGTCTCTGAAGATTAACATTAGGCAGTTGCGGTTTAACGGAAATATAGAAGGCCCACATTAGCACGTTGCTACAGGAAGAATACATTCATTCAGAATGGTAGGATTTGTAATAAAATCTTCTCTCTGTATGAAGTCCTTTGCTGCGGACACGTCACGCTCGATGATATTGCTTGGATGGCCGGTAATGGGCTTTGTATCCTTGTATGTTCGCGCCATGAACGACATGAGGCTCTGGAGAACTTCTATTTGCTTCTCATCTGATGCACCACGCGTGACCCTTAGTCCTTCCGCGAATATCGCGGGCATATAATAGAGGATTACTGCATCTTCGCCGTCACACCCGTCCACGTTCAATCCGTGGATAAGTTCTTGTTTCGTCGGGGCAGGGAGGCTTCTGAATGCATGGTCAAATAGCTCAGCTAGATGCCTATGCGCTACTCTACCCATCGCACAAAGGCGGAGGAAAGCCCGATCGCTTGGGTTGTCTGTTGATAATGGCGGAAAGCCATCGTTGGCCAAGAGTTCGCCTCGGTATTGCAGCACTTTATTATAAGCGTCTCGGACAGACAGCTTCTCTGTAATGACGTCTGTCAGTACCGGGAAGGCGAGTAGAAATGATTGACAGACAGGCTCGATCATGCGAATGGCACCCCGTGCGTCGAGATGGGCCCCTGCCCCGGATACGTCAAGCATGATTTCGAGATACTTCAAATTAAATGCCTGTCGATGTCCTCGCAGTTTATGAATACTCCTTAGACTGCCCGGGACGTTCTCACCTTGTACCAATTGTGGAATGTTGAGCTTCGCGCCTACTTTGACCCCACGGACCACGTCCCTCTGTCTCCTGAGTGGGAGCAACCCCAGCGCCTTACGGAAGTAATCCAGCTCAATTGCCCTGGCGAGGACTTCATCGTGATTTGTCTTTTTCCCATCAATTTTGTCAATCTCTTTCACTAAATCGGGGTCCTTTCCTACATCCCCAAGCACCAAAGACACAACCAACGCCAATATATCATCTGGCTGTTCCAAGATTTCTTGAGCTAACTGGCGGAACCGATTGAAAGTTTCCTGGGATAGCTTCACAGCCTTGGGTTGGTACGCTGTAAAGGCCTCGTGTCTCCCTTCGAGGAGCCATTTCAAAGCCAAAAAGTTTATTACGGTTCGATTTATTTCCGCATAATCCTCATCGAACAGGAAGCACGACGGCGTGAAGTCTTTTCCATCTAAATTTCCCTTGGGAGGTTCCCCGTCGCCCTGTTCAATGTTGACAGGGACGTTCTTTAACCGTTCAAATATATCCCCGAACTGCTTGTGTAGAAGCCTCACGGCTTCTTCGTCGGACAGGGACTTGAGCTCGTCACGACGGATGATGGCTGCTAATTCGCTTTCATCAAGACTTTTGACTCGTTTCAACCAGTTGACAATGCGCGCGATCATCGGATGTCGGTCGAGGTATTTTTTCGTCATGGCGTTTCTTGCCGTCAGCTGTGGCGCAGAAGGAGGTTTGGGCCGTAAGAAAAGTCGGGGGAGGAGGGGTTTATGTAGGGAAAACAACAAAAAAGCCCTACACTGTTACTCCGCCTCAGCCGCTAAGAACACATCTAGCCTCTCCTCGGCCTCCTAGGCGCCGGCCTGTTCTCCTCAGCGACTGAATTGGCAAGTCTGTGGAACCTCGTTTCTTATTTGCGTCTTATTTGCTTTTCACCCTCTTTATCCTAGGACCGTCATTTTCGTAATCTTTGTCAAATAATGCACAGTCAGGAGGCATAGTGGAGCGCTTGTACGGCCGAATCCTCTCGCCGGCCAATGATCATGAGACATCTCAACCCTGCCTTGATGATCTGGCAGATGACGGCCCAAGAAAGGTAAAATAAAGCAAATGAAATCATGAGCAATACTTCCCAGAAAGCTATGTGACTCTCCTTACTTGGATTCACGAACGCAATATCGCGTGGGATATCTATACCCTTACCCTGGCGAGCATAGCCTCGCTGTGCAATATATCGTGGCTTGGCGCTAATAAGCTACCGTGCGGGCCCACCGTGGTCGACTATCCGACCTAGATAGGGACAATAGTGATCGATTCGTGCATAAGCACACCTGAGCTAGTCAATGGGTGGATTCTTCGCCCAATTCTTGCTCTTTGCTGTCTACTGTGTTGGGTCTAGCCGCCCCATTTTGGATACCAAGCACCCGGTTCTGACTCTAGTAACCGCTGCTGACTGGCTTGATCGGCCTGAGCCATTAGTTCGTTCTTTCTTTCCACTGCCGGCCATTCCCAGTTCCCTTTCTCAGCATTCTCGTGCGCTTCCTTCAATCATTGATCCCCCAAAACCCGTAATCAGTGCTATATTCGCTCTCCTGACCCAGGCGATCCCCTTTGTATGTCGTATGGCATACCATAATGCTCGTGTCATTGTCGTGGGCTGAGGTGCGACCGGCGCATCTGCATCCAACGGCTGATTCCTTTCCATATCCCAGATATCCTTGGGTTCAAACGCCCACGCCAAACCCCAGGTGAGAAATTTAAGAGTAAAATACGCCGCACCGACGGCAATCTGCATCTTCCCGCTGCTATTGCTGAGCTTAATCACAGACGCCATCAGGAGGAGTGTACTAGCCGCCAAAAAGAACTGCCGCGACTTCCCCTGCCAGTAATACCCACAGGAGTCAGATACCGGTGTACAGCTCTCGGATTACATCTTGCTTGCCATACACCGCAATCAGGGCTCCCCCGCGCGTATGAATAACAACATTCCCATCCAGGACTTCCGCCGTGTCTTTCCGTTCCGATAACTTCGGAGACCAGTAAGCCGAGAGACGTGCCGTGCAAGGAGATAACGCTATACTAGAGACCCGGACCAGCACGACACCGTCGTGAATCACCCCAGCCATCACCAAGAGACCGATGGTCATGAGGATGGAGAGTATAGTGATTGCGTTCAGAGTAAAAGCGGACTTCATACGGACGCATCGCTCGCGCGCAACCCTTTTACGCTTGATATCCCCGATTGTATTGAATATGGTAACGGCGGAACTCATAGAGCTGCACGTCCTCGAACTTGGGCAGTATATTCACGAAGTAATTCAGCTCGGTGAGAACCGTGCCGGAAAGGACGCCGACGATGTTGACGTATTTGACGGATGGTAATCGGTGCATTCGGCCTGTGTCTAGGAGGGCTTCGGGCGCCGCTAGGAGACGGAGGGGGAAAGGCCGAGTGCGGATGCAGTGATGCCGAAAATATGCCTTTATATGACGGAGCTTCCAAATAATGGCCAGAAGAATGAAGATATCGAAATGCTATTTCACCTCCTCAGAGTCTTATTTCGTCGAGAACCAGACAATTTCGGTAGACTTCTGACCCCAAGCGGGGGATGAACTTGACCTCGTAAGAATTCGATGTGCTGCGCAAGGACTGATACGTGAAGCCATGTCTTGCAGACCTATATAAACCATTCTCAAGGCTTCATTCCCGGTCGTTAGTGACTGTGAGCCAGCCTCGGTATTGGTTTGCTAAAATGCCCTTGGTTGCTTCAGTGGAGAACACGCCATATCATGAATGCAGCTTCGGGGGAGCTCGATGCACCATCGCTGGCGCTGATCGCTGTCGATTTCAATTCCATGTTGTCTGTGTTTGGAGACCCGGCTTCTACAGGTGCTGTTGCTCTAGTCCATCCCCGTCAGACCTTCGGCAACCCCCATGCTACCGTCAGACATATTATGTGGTCTACGTATCGAATCTTGTGTAGCCACATCGGAATGACAGGCTTTGCAACATACACGCAATGGAAGATGAAGTGTGGAAATTGGCGCTAGGATTTGAAATCTTCGTAGAGGCACTTTGTCGGCTTTGCTGTAAGCGGGACAGGCCCGCTAAGGAAATCGGTATTTCAGAAACCTGCACAACTTTCACGGCTACACGGTGTATACTGGGGCTTCACGATACAGATTAACCCTCTAGCGTGGCTGATGTCTATCTACATGTTCAAGTACACTTGCATTGTTTTTCTACATATTTTCTGTACATCTCGGGCACCTGCTTGTCAACAATCAGTTTCCATGAGATATGTACAACCACAGGTGCCATTCGCTAAGCATCATATACAATTTGACTACTTACTCTTTTGTAGAGCAGCCGGGAGATCGTCGGCCTGCTCGACCCTAATTCAAGTGGATACACCCTTGGCTAGATATGTCACGATCTTCGCACCTTCCACGACGAGCTACTGGATAACGAGAAACATGACCAAAGGAGTGAATCCGTCATATGTATTCATATTTAACATGACTCGAGGGGCTCAGCGGAAGATCATATAGACGTGTGTTGTCCACCTCAAATCTGTTGAACTAGGCTGGCAGCTGAAAGGGATTCTCGGGATCTACAAAACAACCCAGTATTGCTCAGCTCTGACGTATCAGAAGAAAGGAACGGACATGGAACTATTGGATGTGTAAATTTATACCGTAATTCAGGCTGTGGAGGGTGCGTTTTGCTTGTATGAACTATTTTATTGGCCGTGGCAATTAGGGAGCCTCGGTTGGCGAGAAAGTTTTTATTATCGATAACCACATTGAATACTGCCCATGAACACCACCTCAGAATTATACATATCCCATGCAAAATCCAAAGTCTATTGAATGTCGGCTGATAGCATTCCATATTTTCTTTGGACCATGTCTCCGGGGATTTCCAAGCTCTCTTATCACGACCAAACGGTTGTACGCCCTATTTGATATGTCCGGACCCGTCAGCTGTGGCAGTGTAAACGCAACCATCCAGTAACACAATCATGCCTTGTATGAGCCACAATATTCATATGCGAGCCCAAGATACAATGGGGGTATGGCCTAACCCCGCGGCAATTCTGTACATAAGGCTGAGGAAAACCTAATAAGTAGTATGGAACGGAGTACGCTCCAGTGCAACCCATGTCGTACAAAATGATCATAAAACTCATGCTACGAATCCCATCTTAGCATTTGTATTTATCATCTTTTTCTGGGATATAACCCATACGAAGTCGAAGTCATGCTCTTGGTTCATGTGTTCGGTCAATCATGGGCGTGACCTGTCAAGGGCGATTTCAATGGCAAAAAATATCCCGAAGTATGATATTTTGCCATGGTCATGGGGACATGATCAGGTTAAATACTGTGCCTTTTTAGCAGCGAGATCAGAGGATCTTCTTCTTGCTGCCACTAGAGGCAATTAAGTATTGGTGTGTGAGAGGTGAAGGAAGCTCAGAATTGACCAACTCGCTTTTGGTTTCTCTTGAGGCTACTATCAGAATGCCTATATTTTTAAGAAATGCAACCTTCAGGCTCCTTCAGCATAATTTGTATAGTATCGGGAACAAGCCATAGATTGTGATTTTGCCGCATCTAGTAGAAAGAGAAGAGGGCAAGCATTCTTATCGCATTGGCAAAGATCGACCAAAATCTTGAGACTTAATTATCTCCAGGATCGGCTACTATAGATGCTGACCTGAAGGGTAGCCAGGGATAAAACCCGCACAACAGATATTGGGAATTTTTGGGCATTAACTAAGTTTACAGTTCCAATTTCGTACTTGATATCCTTGCTAGAATATCAATAAGGCATAAAGTGGCGTACAGACACGAGTGGATGACAACACACTACCTCTCCATAGTGCGACTATGAGATTTCGCAAACTTCGTAAAGCGAATTGCATACACTTCCAGCAGAACAAGGGGAATTTAGGAAATTTATCGAATAAGGATCACCAATCAATCCAGTAGATCAATGTGACAATCCTTTCATTATCTTAACGACCCAAAAAGAATCGATAAAACTTAAGATTATAAGAGACATAGAACAGGATGGCTGGTAAAGAGGAGGTGAGACACTTGTTTCAACTACAGCTATTATGCAATGCCAAGTAAGAAAGATTGAGACAAGTCTTGGCCACATTACAGCTTTAGACCTAAACGTATATATGTATGGTGGGTGGAGAAGCAGATGACGAATAGTGGAGGCTGCATTGCTTGAGCAACAGTTAAGGCCAAAGTCTATCCTTGCGATTAGTATGTTATCCGTGACAGATCCAGTAGAGAGGTATTAAAATTACTTTTAAGCCTAAATTTATAAGGCAGCCGGGCAAATCTCGGAGAATAACTCCGCGATGTTTGAAAAAAGTCAATCTGGGCAAGTGGATCCCAGATCCATATTCAATGTAACTGATCGACCATCTGTCTGGAATAGGCAATGCAGTCGATAAGAATTCGGCTAGCGTAGTCCCTTACCGTGGGCCAGTATAAAGGGATGAATCCCCCTGAACAGCCTGATATCACTCAACTGCTGCAACTGCTGCACTTCCTATCAACATGGCCAAAAGCCTCACCTTCTCGGGCTATCCGGCCAACATCTCCCAGATCTCCTCCGCATTCGAGGTTCACGACAGCAGATTTCTCAACCTTATCGGCTCCACCCCCAAGCTAGAGGTCCTACTTAAGGACGAAGATGTCCCCTTTGCGCACGAAGCGAGTGTCTTCATCCCGTCTACCGACGAGCTATTCCTAACCAGTAACATCTTGACCGACCCCGTCACAAATCACTCTACCATCCAAATCACCAAGGTCAAGGTCAATTTTCACCTTGTCACAAGCGAAGTCATAAACCCCGCAATCCCAATGGCAAACGGTGCGGTCAATCACGGCGACGGGATCCTCTTCTGTGGCCAGGGAAACCAGACCGAAACCAGCGGTTTATATCAGATGTCGATCGACCCTCCATACAACACTGAGCTACTTGTCAGTGGCTTCTACGGCCGTGAATTCAACTCTCCTAATGACGTCGTCGTGCACAGTGATGGATCGATCTGGTTCACCGACCCAATCTACGGCTCCAAGCAAGGATTCCGTCCAAAGCCCCAATTGCCGAATCAGGTCTATCGCTTTGATCCCGTCACGAAGAATGTGCGTGTCGTAGCGAATGGGTTTGGTCGGCCGAACGGTATTGCTTTCTCGCCCGATGAGAAGACCGTATATATCACAGATACCGCATCTATACTCGGTGACGGTACGACTGATCCTACAGGACCGTCCACTATGTATGTGAACCCTTGCATTTATCCTATCTCGTTTTAGCTTTTCTAATGTGTGTTAATAGTTATGCCTACGACGTATCAACCATCCAAGGAGAACAGTCCCTCATCAATCGCCGGGTTTTCGCCTTGGCTGACACTGGGGTCCCGGACGGAATCAAGCTTGACATGGAAGGTAACGTGTATGCTGGCTGTGGCGATGGCATCAACGTCTGGTCTCCAGGCGGGGTTCTTCTCGGGAAGATTCTGATCAAGGATGGAGCGGCGAACTTTTCCTTCGGTCACAATGGTCAAATGTTTATTCTCAACGAGAATACACTCTGGTCTGCGCAGCTGAATCGTTCGGTCAAAGGGGCACTATTGAAGATTTGAGGGACTCAGACAACAATATTGTGCTAATATGAATAATAGATATGTAAAGATAATTGTCGATACCCCTGCTCTAGCGTTCGATCGCTCTCTAAAACAAATTTTATATCAAACCAAAAATCTCTTCAGCGCCCAGTGTCTTCCCATTGTTACAGTCTGTAACTGCTTCGCCTTCCATTTTACCATGAACGTAGACTTCGCCTATTATTGCGAAGCAATTGCCTTCTGGCGTTCTGAAGGACTGTCGTCAGATAAACGGTACGCTGCAACCATACAAGATACAAATGTAATCTCCTCGCTCAGTTCCTGGTGGACAAAGCCCAAGGAGATCATCTTCAGCCCAGGATTTTAGATTTTGGTCGTCTACCTTTCTTGCATATCCTCCTTCGGGCTCTGAAGAGTCAAAATCTATGTAGTGTAGATTTTCTACATATTCCATGTCTTTCTTCTCCTCTGAGCCGTGCGAGGCACTTCGTTGGGACGTCTTCATGGTGACCCTAAAAAACTTTCTATTCCAGGTAATATTTCGTACCCGGGTGAGGTACCCGCGCAGCATGTCCGAAGGGCCTTGCAGAAGCTGCCCGATATTAGATCACCGTTGTTGAATGTATCTGCTATCTCCAAGCATCTCAGACATGCTCTTTGGTACCAGGTAGGCGGGATCTGTCCCTCAAAATCTCTATCAGCTATCAGCGTCCGTCAGATGCGATCTGGGACGCTATCGGGGCTGTTATTGATACCAGGCCAACCACCTATATCTCGCAGCGAGGTTCGTGAGATAAGACCTGGCCCGTTTGTCAACGACACGTCGACAACCCTAGCCAATTTGAATCCCTTAGCCTAGATTGTGAATTTCTGAGTATCACACAAGTGAGACTGCACAGCCTCCCTTTGCACCTCCGGTGGTAGGCCGTTACGCTGAGAACCGCCTTGGTATTCGTTCCTGAGTGTTACTCGCTCGAAGAGTTTGCGACTAGATACATTATAGCGAAGATGACCAACGGGTCCCACCAAAATTTCTCTATTCTTCCGGCCATCGTAGACCTCCTCTGGTTCGCCGAACTCGGCATGTCGGAGTAGGCGAATCCAAGAGGGCAATGGTCTCCTTGTGTTTTTGAGCGGCATTGCCCAGGGGCGACAAATAATATCCAGCGACCCAGAAGAGTCGATACAATACCAAATAAAACTTCTATAAACCTCAATGTCAGGCAGCTCATAATCAATGATAATTTTGGTGGAGGTGGCCTGCTGGCCTTGTTCACTTTTGCCTGAATAAGCTGAATAGTTCTGCGTATCGCTGGCGATAGATAGAAGGCTATATATGAGGTCGGTGGATCACCAGCGTCAAAGGTCTTTAAGGAGGTGACCAGATACTCAATCCCCTTGACAGTTTGGAGAGTCTCACCATTTTCTGTTCTCAGAAACAACCTGCTAGTTGCTTCGAGTAAGGTATTCGCTCCAAATGTTTGGACCTCTCCCAATGTCTGAGGCCCCTCCTTCCAAGTCTCAAAGTCGAATAACTTCCTGATTTTATCCTGAGCTGCTACAAGAATAGAGGCTGCATCCGCGAATTCCTCCCATTGAACGGTCTTCGTACCACAGTGGATTGATGCTGACCTGGCCGGCGATATTTCCTGAACGACCCAACGGCAAGAGAACCAACGATCCCTCATAAGCTCACCCAGTGCATACCAATTCTGCGCCTATCTTTTGTCGCTTGTAAATCTTTCTAGGATCTCGATGTCCATGACTTTGGTCACAAAGTCCATTGCACTGTCACTCCTTCCTTCACTGTCAACTTCCCCTAGCCACACGCACACATGGTCCGCCATGCGATAAATTGTGGCTATTTGCCAGATCTGTTCTGTCTTCTCCTTTTCATCCTCCTGGTTGATACGTACTGCATCGGTCCCCAGGGAAATTGGCACATCCTTTCTGGGCAAGCGAATTAATGCGTGGAAGAGATTTTTCCGAATGCGAATCTCCCTGGACTTATCTTCAATGAATCTCCAGTCCGGTGTGTTTGATTTGGGGACTCTGCAATTTGATGGAATAACCAACAGTCGGCGATGGTCTGAATCTAGACCCCAGCAATATGAAAGCGCAGCATACGTCGGCTTCTTACTCTTATAGAGAGGCGTTGCAGGGAGTACACAAACAAGAGGGCACCACTCATTCTCTGCAGGATAGAGAACAAGCGTTCTATTGCCTGGCCCGAGCTTGGTATATTCGAATGGTGGCTGTTTCCCATGGCGACCAGATCCTGCAGTGGGTGATGAATCCTTCCACTTGGTCCTCAGGGGGTCAGTGTTCTCATAATACAATTCCCCCGAAAGGAGGGTATATGCAGCCTTTAACCCTCCCTTTCTTTTTGCAGGCGTCGTGCTCTCAGCTGTAAACTTTCACACCTCGCGCCTAACGCCGGTTTCTTATACTCCTCAAACATATCCCCTCTGATCTTCTCGTAACCTTCAGGGCGCTACGCCACTCTGTTCTAAGATTCTTTGCATTTTTGGTCAACCGTTCTAGCTCTTTGCCAAGCCCTACATGTCTATTTTCCAGTGCATTGCCATCAGGGCTCCTGAATGCAAGATTACCCGGCTTCAGTCTTGTCTTCTATGGTAGGTGCGGTAAGGCAAGATTGCGGGCCTGCGATGCAGCCGCAGGAAGGCTTTCTTCACCAAATGGCTCAGATAAACAATCCGAATCCGTGGAATCAACAATACTAGAGATCTCAGAAGAGGAATAGTCGTAGGGGACGCTGCGTGACCGCATCTTTCTCTCAGTCTTCACCAATTTGGCTCAGAGTAATGTGAAGAAGCTAGTAGAGATAAAAACAAAAGTGGATAGTAATCCTTCATATGGGTATGATAGCAAGACTTTCAAGAGGGATAGAGGCCAGCATATTTAGCGTGGGCATAAAGTGCCTTCAGTTCTTGGCACTTTTTTACACCGACTCTGCGAGAATTGAAGCCATTCCTGCATAAGCTACGTTTATAACCCCGCCTGTGTATGGATATATGGCAGCTGTTCTTGATACTCGTTTGGTAGTGATTCCCTTTTACATACTCCATATTCCAGTCGTCTATCCTACATAGCACATGCTGGTCGCAAACCAGCGACTTAGTGACTACCTCGTATTATTTGGATTGGGTAGCTATGCATCTCCCCGCATAGAGGGGCATTCGATCGTTGTGGAGAGATAACCCATATGTCAAAAGGTAACATACTTTGAATAAGCGTATTGATATGGGTTATGTGGGAATTCATTGGTGAAATATTCTACCGCTTGAAATTCGCAAAATCGGCCTATATACGGAAGCAGTCCGGCTGAACAACGACTGCCAAGTTCACTGCTCTAATAACCTAAATACTATACAAATCGTCATAAATCATCGTCTGCGACAAAAGTTCCGGTCTGATATCCTAGATATGCGAGTTCCGGCAGCACTCAGACTGGACGACACGAGAGGCTGCATTCTTGCCCGACGGCACATCCAACGCCGGGTTCTCAGTGAAGAAGTCCGAGGGCCTGATCATGAGTTGGAAGATCTCAACTGGCCTGTACAAACATTAGTCACTGCAATAGTAGATAGCGAAAGGAAGGCCAACTTACATAACAGGCCAATCCTCTACACGAGGATTATGAGTAATACCGAACGTGCTCCAGACCACAACATCCGTGTTCTCGACGGAATCGCCGCGCTTAACGGCATCAGCAACACCTTCCACCTCCACCTGGCTCTGGAGCGTGTAACGACCGCCAGCGTACAGTTCAGTGTCGCGATACTTGGTAACCCAGACATGGTGTTGAGCGAACTGGGCGCGCTTAGCCTGGATGGAGTTCGGATCCGCCAAAAGCGTCTGCGTAGCCAACGGAGTGAATTTGTACGCCACAGGTTTCTGACTAATCGGATTCTTCTTGTTCGGGTTGACCATCTTGACCACTCTGTTCAGCTGTGGGGCGGCATCAAGGTAGGTGGCTCGCTCGATCGTCTGGTTTGTAACCCTGTAGAAGTTACCGTTGGGGTTTGTGGCTTCGTTCATCGGTACAGGGTGCGATTCCTCGATAACGACGGAGTTATTCGTGCCGTCGACGGCAGGGTCCATGCGAACACAGAAAATGTGCTGGTGGTTCTGGGCCAGAACACCTCCGCTGACCACGTTTCCGTAGTCGCTGGTCTTGCCGGGGTCAATGTTGACGACGTTCAGGATACCGGTGGCGCGGGACTCGACCGTGATGCCGCCCGCTTGGTCGAACTTGTAGGCGAAGATGTACTCGTAGTTCGCCAGGGTGATGATGAACTGCACAACTAACTCACGGTGGCGAGTGACCACCGCGCGGCCAGTCCGCCAGTTGGAGTGCTTCCAGCCAATGCCGTTATCTTGTTCGTGTAAGCAGATCGCATTCGGCAACTTCTGGGCCTTGCCGTCTGCACCGGTAATGACGGCGTCGAAATACTTGATGACACCCAAGCAGTCACAACCAATCGACAAGTTGTTGGCCATGTTACCGCCGCCACCATCGCCAAAGTCGAAAGCCTGCTTACGATGGTATGGGGGGCGGGGGTCGGCATATGGCACCGTCTGTCACTGTCAGCGTCTGCACTCAGGTAATCCGAGAGGCGTTTGACCAAACTCACCATCTCACTAATCGCCAACCGGTACATGACACTGCGGCCATCGTACCAAACATCGTGGATGGTCGCACCCTCACGAGGATTGAAGGCAACACGGAACCGCCACTTCTGCCACTCAACGAGCGACTCATTGGTAATCTTAAACGAAGGGCCCTCTGGCTGAACAACATTCAACGGCTTCAGGTCCTTCCGCGTTCCATTCGGAAGCAGTTCCGGTACATAATCCGAGTCCTTGCAGTGGCCGATGATGTCTCGTGTGCAGGTCTTCTCTTGCAAGCCCTCGCCCTTACCTCCCGTCGCGGGCCGGTCAATGCGGACGATTTCCGATGTCAGCGCATCCATCACCGGGATGATAGGCAGAGGGTAGGAGTAGAAGTTGGCATCGGCGTTATTCTTGCGGGTGTCTGTGGCGAAGCACAGGGCCTGGAAGAAGCGACGGTTGGGGTCGGTGAGATCCCGTCCACCATACGGCCAAGGCTCAATAACGACCTCGAAGCCCTCGGGCAGATCGAATTCGGCCATGGCTTCCTTGAACAATGGAGAAGCTAAACAGCGCTCGACTAGTACGTCAAATTCGGCACTGCAGGTCCATATTAGTTACCATTCATCAAGTCAAGGGTACAAATTCGACATACAGAGTTAAAGCGGCATGATGCTCCTTTCCGATAATCCTATGTTGCGCAAACTTGCGGGCTCCCACATCGACCAACGCCTCCTGATACACCGGGACACGGTCAGCGCCAATCACATCGTATTGACACAGAGCCAGTCGCGGCGGGCGAGGTGTTGTTGGACTAAGGCGACCAGCATGTTCAAGTGCAAGGAACTGCTGCAACTGTTCCTTCTCCGGTTCCGATAGATAAATCTCGTGAAAATGGAGGATTGTGTCCGGGTGTTCAGCAACGACCACTTCGCGAGCGATGTTGGTCTCTTCCTCAGAGAGGATGGCAAGGGGGTGCGGCGCCATGTTTAGAAGATTTGTTTTTGTATTGGTCTGGGGAAGGAAGAAACATGGGAGGAAGAAGCGAGCTTATTATGCAGGATGTTGGCGTAACATTTTCCCGATTGAGAATGTTACATTATCTCAGCTCGGAACTCGGAATGGTGTCCGATCGTCCTGTCGGGGTACGCGGAATCCTTCCATTCTGGTTCCGCCGATTGGTCGGAATGGCCGAATTGGCCCTTGACTGCTTTTCCTATTACTCTTAGAGCCTCGTTCAGGGTAGGATAGTTTATCTTATTACATACTCTGTTGTGGAAGTGGAGAGTAGGGATTCGCTATCTGTCTATCAATATTTATAATAAGTTGTAGATCACTTGCCGATACATCTGTTAAGCGGGAAATATATATCTCCGGCTAAAGGATCGATTGCTATGATGACATATTTCACAATTTCAGATGCAAGCTATGAAATACTATATAGAAGACGTAAAAGGAATGAAGCTGATTACATTGGTTAATCGCTATATAGGCAGCTACATAGTGAACATAAGCAGGAACCTCGAAAGAAAGAGCTCCTACGATGAAAGACCAAGGTAGTTGGAGGTTCGGTTGATGAACGTGGTCATATTGATGGTCTGGGGTCAGATATATCATACAGGTGTGAGGGCCGCGTTGACCAATCGTCCAATGGCCCAACTAAAGCTCATCAACACAGGGACTTGTTTATCTTACCTAGACCTTAATCCACCTGGCAAGAAAACTATGTCTTAGGCTTCGTATGTTGTGGGTCATGACGAGACGAGATAAAATATTTGTTGATTGCCCCCGACGAGCGCCGCAACACATTCCTCATCAAGTTTAAGTATTCGACGTGTAACCATGACAGAGCAAGATGTAATCTTTTGCTAGCGAGGTTCCCTTGCTCAGGTCGGGATTCGCAGGGGATAGAATCCCACCAGACGAGCAACTGTTAATTGATGAAGGCCAGTTGCTCCAGTAGCTAGGGTATGTTTCCTTGCTTACCTGGCGTCATTTAGATATACTAGGCTATTACCGAGAGTTGCATATGCCAGTAGTGAATCTGTGGAGCAGGGTCCTTGGATAGGTTTGGGGGGAGGGGGGCATTGGTATGGCAAGAGTAGTTGTGGAACGTTGAGAGGGCCAGAAATCGCAGGGGGCTGACCCCCTCTAAGGGACATGAAAGCATCCAACAAGTATACAACCTCCTAAAGCCGGGAGCGTGCTGAATCTCTTCACCGGAGACCCTCGGCTCTGCTGAGACAAGCCGATGCAAGCCTAGAGCTTGGGCAATGCGGATTGAAATACCCCAAGCTATCCACACCATACCAAATCGGTCACTGTACTCGAGGTAGAGAGTGTGTAACAAGAAGAGCTGCACTATGTCGATTCGAGGGTTTACTAAGGCCGTGCTTATTTGGGACCATAAATACTTCTGTAACGTGCGTGCATATTGCCAAATCATTGTCTAGGGACTCGGCAATGGAAGGACTAATGGGCAAGCCCATGATGACAACTAGACACAGCCACCAGAATGCAATCGAGTCTACTCGATTCTTATATAGCTGATACCAGCCGTTCAACAAAGTCATGGCCACGATCGGATATTGGAGATAGACTTGGTCAAATAGGCCCCGCCGCGCGTCGCTAAATCGGCCGTAGGTAGGGTGGCCACCGATGGTGATCAAACAGTAGAGGAGATCAAGGGAAACTAAAAAACCGGTTCTCATCGGTAAATCTCTCTCCCCGAAGTTTAAGCTGAACTCGATTTTAATCTTACAAACAGATGCACAAAGTATATACTTGTATTTCTATCTCATAATATTGCTAGAGGTATCACATTTAAAATATCATTAGAGGCATGAGAATCCAAAAATGTACAGACATCCGATACAAAATCATGATATACAAAATGCCCTAGAAGATCCGCGTCAGACTCGGCTTCATCCACAACGGCTTCTCACATTTGTGAGATGCGTGCCAATTGCGGATCTTCTCCACATCCCACCCGGCCGAAAGCCGGACTTCCTTTGTGGCCGGCGTATTATGGCCAAGTCGGATCGTCGGGACAAAGATGCAATGACCAGAGTGGTCATACGTGTACGATAGACACTGCGGATGATCGTGACATGCAGCCCGGCAGGCGTCCATCGATGCGTGCGCCGGCGAGTCGTCAGGCTCTCTAAAACCACCCCAGTCTCCGTTGTCCCAGTCGGCTTTGCTTTCAAAGGTCCCCAGTCGCGCATATTCAAACATATCCGCGTAGAGTAGAGGTTTCTATGGTATGATGGTTAGCCGTGCGGACATGACCTTGGGAAGAAAAGAAGTACGTACCGTGCGATCACGTTGATTTTCCCACTTGATCAGCCCCTTCATGTCCGAAAATAAAGTCTTGTGCATGCTAATCACCGGCTGACACCAATAGGCATTGTCGTACGGAATGCCATGAAACGGATGCGGGTTAAACATGGGCCACAGCCCCGACAACTTGATACCCTTTTCGTACAACACCCACCCTAAGACAGAATCTCCGCAACAATCGCTTTTGATCAATTCCTCGTATTGTAAACTCAGTGACGGCTGGACATATTGACCGTGAGAACCGTGATGCCGAGAAAACAGCTTCTTTACCGCAGCGCTGGAAAGGACAAATCCCGCCCCACCGTAAGCGAAATAGGTCTTCTTGCTGTCACTAATTTTCCTCCCCGGTGCGGGTGAACCGAAATATAACTGTTCCGAGGGGTCGTACTGATCAAGAAGACGGAAGAGATTATCCCACACGTAGTAGGTATCGGATTCGAGGAAGATGTACCAATGGGCGGTCGGGTTCGTTTCGTAGGCGCGTTCAACCATGGGCAGGAACTTGAAGCGATCCAGTCGCCAACCCTGGGCTCTCTCCACCGCCTTCTCATCACCTCGCTGCAGTGCATCATAGGCCTCGAAATCGGAGACGTTGGCGCGGAACGACTCGGGGAGTGTGGCCAGGATGTCGTGAACGCGGTGACCGTTGAGCTCGCCTTCTCGATCGGAGACGATAAGGAGGTTCGGAATACAGCGGGTAACGGTCGAGATTTGAGCGTCTACGCGATCGGCGGGCTCGGAGGCACCGATTTTCAGGGTGACCTGAATGCGCGACATCAAATACGTGGGGAAGGATTCGCAGAGACGGCCTTCGTCGGCCTCAGCGAAAGGAATGGCAGGGCTGGCGGCGGGCCTATTCTTCAGGGGCACGAAGCGTGTGGTCGTCTCCCATTCCCAGTGGTCCGGCTCGTTCTTATCCTGGCCGGTGGCATGATGGTAGAGGATGGCCGGATCGAGGGAGGCATCGGGCAGACTGATCTTGAGCACCGAGGCGATGATGATCACCAGGAGGATAAACACCAGGATATTCGTGGTTTTGCGCGACAGCATCATCCGCGCCATTGGCCGAAAGAGAAACAAAAAAAACAGGAGGGGGTATCAAGCGATTAATATATACTAAATACAAGAATTCAAACGACTAAAGAGCCATCGACATAGTCACCATCTATGCGATTCCTATCAACCCAAGAGAGAGACCAAAAAGGAACGAACAGAGCCTCCACGCATTGGGAGAGAGTGAGAGAAGGTGTCAGTAATATACAAAAAGGGGAATGAACCAGGAACGATGGCGCGGGCGCGAAATTGAGAGAAAGTGGATCTATTTATTGGAGTTCAGACGAGGAAAGCCAGAGACAGCAATATAGAGAGAGACAGGAGAAAATGCAGAGTCCAGACACCGAAATCTTTGCCAGTGTCCTCTGTTAGTCCCTGGGGCTAAAATTTTCATTTCAATTCCTTGACTGGTGGCCACTCGTGGGGGCCCTTTTTTTTTTATAGCAATATCCGAACCATGGAACTAGTCCACGGCTTGCTTTCCAGAAGAAAGGACTATTGTTCTTCCCGTGATATAAAGGAAAAAGCTTTTTCTGTAACCTTGCTGTACCATGGACAATGCCATCTTGGTAACACCACATCTCTCCTCACGTCCCCTGAAAGTATTTGCATGGTAATATTGAAAATACTGTATCATGGGCCAGCACGAGCACATCATGATAGGCCCTCTTGGACCCCACTGTGGAGCCAAACGTTGGCGGCCGTCCAACCAATCCAAACCATCGACGCAGGGACTGTCACGTGTTGCTAAAGCCCTAGGCCGCGTCGGGCGGAGACGCGCAAACCACTGGTCACTTGACCTCTTGCCGAAGGTAAATACACTAGGTGCCTCAGGCAGACACAATCCTACTATTGGGTCTAATGCAGGTACAGTATCTTACGACAAAGGACAGAGGGCTGGGTGGAGCTGAGATATATATATGCATAGTAGAACAATACATAATGGGAGGTGACAACGTAGGATCAATTCGTAGGAACGGTCAAATTCCAAAGCGACCATATTGAGCTATAGAAATGCGTCAGGTTAAAACTATCTCTGAGCTTTCATCTGCAGCTTGACGGGGTGCTGCCTACTGAATGAGGCTGTGAGAATAACAAAATGTGAACGTCGTCCACTGCTCCGACTGAATTCTCTGATACAGAATCCTCCGACTAATAGATAGAGTGAACAGGAACATGTCGCGCGTGCACTATGCCGAGAAACGCTTGGCTAGAACACGGTCATATCAAAACATCTAGCAAGCCATTAAAGACCCAAACAGCGTGCACGTGCTGTTTATATGTAACACCACAATACTCCCTTTTGCTCGAATCAAAAGATTCCTCAAACTATATCGGCAAATTCCGAGCCACGTGGGAGAGGGCGGTCAGTGAGTGGCCAGAAATGCAGGGATGCAGATGTCAAAAAAAAAATAAGTTCAATACCACCCCGCAACTTATAGGAAGAGCAACCCAACCATAAATAACACGATGCGCCCAATGGTGTGTCATGATGCCCTCAATTTACGAAGGACTGGTAGACATGATTTCCCTCCTTCTTACCCTCCTCTCCGGTACGCCATCTCTCGCGTCGCGGGCGACCTTCTACCCGCCCCTTAACCACACCACCTTCATCACCAATACCTCTCTTGGCCCGTATGGCGGCATTTACAGCGCCCCGGCCGACCAGGCCAGCCCTATAGGCGATGTATACAACTACTGCACCATGCCCCACCCGCACCTAGATACATACTCCCTGCCACCTCCCATGGCCAATCACTCCGTCACTGCTCGGCTTGTGTACCTTGAGTATCTCCAGCGCCATCAACGTCGCACCCCATATAATATCCTTCCCGGGGGAGAAGTATGCCATCGTGATTTGTTGGCTCCTAAGGAATACCACTGACCGCCGTAGAATCAAGACTACAACTGCGACAACATTCACCCCCATCTCTACGCAGCACCAGCTACTCCAGGGACCCATCCGGCGACAGTCTACGGACAAGCCTACTCGGACCCATCCAACCCGTTCTTGACCACTTATGTCAATGGATCATGTCAGTATCCTCAACTCACGATCGGAGGTCTCGTAGACGGCTATCAACACGGTCGGGACCTCCGTGCCGTCTATGGCGACCAGCTAGGTTTGATCCCCGATACCCCGGATGCAACGGTGTGGTTCCGCTCTAGCTCCTCCGCCCTAACCCAAGGCTCCGCGGGCGGTGTCCTCCGCGGTGTCTTCCGGGAGCACAGCGGACCAATCCCGCTCCACCAGCAGGCCTCCGGCATCGACAGCGTGGACCGCGGGTTTCCTTGTTCCGCTCGGGACACACTCCTCTCCGCCATCCAATCCACCGCAGAATGGAACGAACATCTTTCCGTCACCGAGCCATTGCGCACCCGATTATCCACCATGTTCAACGCCACCTCATCGTGGACCGCCACCTTCGACCATTTCGCCGACAATTTCCAGGCCCGCCTATGCAACGGCTACGACCTCCCCTGTCGCATCCAGGACGAATCCGACTGCGTGACAACCGACCAAGCGAACGAGGTCTTCCGCGCCGGCGACTGGGAATGGAACTATTGGTGGCGGACCAACGCGAACGCCACGCGGTACATTCAACTCGTCGAAGGGCTTTTTATCGGCGAGATCGTGCGGAAATTCGAGGCTGTGCAGGAGGGTAAATCCGATCTCGTGTACAGCCATAACTTCGTACATGACGGCGATATCGGACCTATTCTGGGAGCGTTGGGAATTAAATCTCTCCGCTGGCCCGGCATGGCATCAAACATCGCTTTTGAGATTTGGTAAGTCTCCCCCCTGTTTATGCTGCACGATTAGTGCTAACTGATTGACTCAAACAGGGAGACATCGGATTCAGATCTCTACGCAAGAGTCCTATACAGCGGAGCTGCAATTGAAACTATTCACGGAACGCTCGAGTGGATTCCGTTGTCCGCATTAATCGACATTTTAAAACCGTTCATCCCGGATGATATCATATCCATGTGTAACTTAAGCTAATCCTTTATCTTCTAATAGCCAATATGATATTACTTCTGCTTGAATCTCCTGTAAGCTAATCCTCACAGCAATAACAATACATTCCGTCCGAGCAGCACTGCGGAAACCGTCCATGACAGCATACTGCATGCGAACAAGGTGATGAACACGTGTAACAACCTACGACCCATCAGTTAATCTATATCTGATTATAATAAAGAGAATGAAAGGAAAATGTAACATACGATCCGCACCAACTCCAAGTGCAAGACCACTTTGCTTCGTGTCCAGCGCAGGGATCTTATGGCCTCCTTTTGAGGTCGTTCGTAGTGCTTCTTTTGTTAGCTTATCTTATGATCTGCACTCGGCATAGAGAAGGAAGATGGATGCGTACAGGTGTATTGGTGGTGTACCGCACCTGCCATAGCGGCGGAGAGAAGGAACGCGGTAATGGATTCGAGTTTCATGGTGGTGGATTGTGGCCCGATCGGATTGACGATATGGTTGGAGAAATAACAAAAATTAGGCTATTTCTAAAAGACAGTACAAGGGTACCTTTATATGTATCACTTCTACGGTTGAAGTCAGGTGTGATTGTCATCTGGTGAGGGTTGGGATGTCATATGCCCTAGTCTATCAGATGATCACCTTGCATACCAAGACCTATAATTGTGCTTGGCTTGGAAACCATTTGGGATATTCACTATTTTATTTAAAAGAATTTTGAATATTTAAGAAAACATATAATAGAAGCGAGAGCGAAAAGCAGAGATTATACTCTGTTCATCTTAGACAAGGATGCCGAGTTCTATCACGGGTATTCAATCAACGACATGCAACAAGAAAATCTACCACGCTATGCTTCTATCCTGGGTCTATCGGCGAGATATAAAAGGGGGATAGCGAAAAAAAAAAAAAGAATACAAAGCGATTACCAGGAAATCAGCCAGAAGAAAAAAAGGTTCTCGACTCATTGTAACCGACGCCTCAGCCGTCGTTCCCAACTATGCTCTGCCGATATGGGAGCGTTTGAAATCCGATGATACATCCGCTTGAGGCCAAATAAGCGAGTCATCTCCAAAGTGGTTCTTCCTTGAGCATCAGTGAATCTGCGATCAGGAAAATAACCTAGGATCATGTCGCAAGCTTGGCAAGCAATATCCTCAATCTCCTTCTCCTCTTTTGTTAAGCCACGTCCTTGCCTGCGACTACATAAGCTACCGTCGGGGTCGTAGGTCTCGATATAATTAACATTTCGCCACGTATATGCGAAGGTGCAAAGCAAAAGGGTGTGCAATGGTGTGCCCTGTCCGGAGCCGGCGGATGTGTCGACGTGGATATGCTGGAGAAGGATTCTCAGAACGTCCAGCGCCACGGGCCTTTGTCGTAGGGCATAATGGAGAGCCGTCTCTCCAGACCCAACTTCATGGCCCACATCGATGCCACGGTCGATGTATCTTTGCACGACTGCGGCTTTCCGGGATCGTACAGCCGGGAATAACGCGGTCTGCATATATCTATCGGGTTGGAACAGTCGGTGGGGACACTCTCGGGCCAATAATTGTATGAGAGCTAATGTATCAGGGTGATCAGGGGCAACATGCCATGGACCCTCATTGTTGGTTTCATGTGAGGCTCCGCTGAGCCTGATGCCTGCATCAGCAGCACGCGCGATGAGAGGAACCCGAAAACAACGGATCATTTGGTATATGGCGTGCCCATTCATGATCGGTGTTAGGACCGCGGGATTATTCTGGTTGTATTCATCTCTGTGGTCGAGAAGTCGTTCAAAAGCGTATTCGTTTGCTCGTGTCCCGGCGAGAGTCAAAAGAAAAGGGGGACTCTCTCTTAACAGCCCAGGACGAAGTCTTGGGACGTCTACATTGGGTAGCGAATTGCAAAGCAGATCAAAGCATCCGTGCTCCTCATAGAGAAGTGCTACCGCAAGAGGGCTCCAACTAGTCTTAGTCCAGCTGTGGGCTGGCAGGCCACAACGTAACATGAAGTTTATTCGATCCAACCGGCTCAATGAGATAGCGTGTGTTACGGGGTCGTCCTTCGGTGAAACGTTCGGTAGAAGGTGATCATTACCACCCGCCACAAGCAACCGGTCAAACTCCATCTGTCGCCAGTCCCGCCATTCGGTATCTGTGTTGAAGACGTAGAAATTGTTCGCGAGGAAGAGCCGCTCTAGCTGTTTCAGGCTGTAAAACTTAATGGCACTTTCCACATGGGGGTCCGTAAAGAAGTCGGTTAGCATCCATAGGGTCTGCAAATCGTAGCAGTTACGGATGATCTCACATATCAACTCGGCAGGGAGGATAGAAGTAAGATAGTTCCGTCCCAATTGTTCATCCGCGCTTGCGGGTACTCTAGGGGTGTCGCTAGACATTATGAGACAGGTTAAACGGAGTCAGTACGAATATGTCACCAGCATCACCTCCACTAATTGATACGGAGACCAATATAGGAACTACGTCCATTTTGAAACGGGATTTGGCTCTTTAAATCCTTATAGTCTTTCTTATCAGAGCGTTTGAACTGGGTTGAACTATCTACAAAGGGCTAGAAGACGTTCCTAAGGTAGACAATGCAGTCACGGATGCGAATAAAGAAACGTTTCATCAGATAGAACAACCTCGAAAAGATCAAACAACAAAGCATTATGCCTTCGAGTATATCCTCTATCTAGACAACAAGGTCTCCCGCACTGGGAAGGTAGCACATTAAGCTTACAATATTGGCCCTTTGTGCTTAGAACTATGTGCATAGCTATTGATTTTATGTATAACTTTGTTGTAATATTTTTCTTATTGTCTAATCTAATCTATGCCTGGTAGGAAAGGAAAGATAGTATTTCCTATTATAAAACCCGTGTAGCCTACAAACGCACAACTCACGCACACTAACAAAGACAAAGACTAAAGATGATAGAAGGAGAAGTTCAAAAGATTTCCGCAAAAGAAAGAAGAGAAGGAAAAAGAAACAGTGAAAGAAAGAAATAAATGGAGAAAACAATGAAAAGGCAAAATGCACACTCAATATAGAATGTCATTCATTCTTCCAAGGACCTCTACAGGTTGGACATGTCGGTGTGGGCGCTTGTTGATCAGACTGTCAGCCACTGGTCCATACATCTCTGCTGAAAGTTCGATCCACATCTACACTTGCACCAGACCAGGTCCTATAATCTGTTACATTTGTTTCTCGTTGCCTTTCCTCTCATTTCTGTGCAACCCTAATACCTCTCCCCGACGGATGCTTTCCCATTCAATGATTATTCTGGCTCCCGCGGCGTTAGTAAGCAAACGGAACACTCCCTTTCCACATAACAATGGCTTATGAGAGAGGAGGCAGAGAAGTGCGACTCGGTTCCATCTGAGGTAAGATATGCTGCTACATTGAGACCTGGGTGGCTTTTAGTTTCGGCCCTCGCAGATGACCTAACTGAGTGGGAATCAATATGCATTGAGTTTGGTACGCTGCATTCCGCCCTCGTTGATGTAGTACTGGTAGTTCTACTGGTGGCTCTAGCAGTGGTTCTCGTTGTATTTGCTATTATACCCATCGGTTGAACGCCACCTCTCCGTGGCGATTGTGGGTCGGTGATAACAAGTCTCGGTAAAGAATCCCCAAGAGAGTCCAGAGCCTCCCGTGCTCGTGTTCGTCGCGTGAGCTCAGTCAGGCCCGCGGCGTATTCCGCATCTAAGGATGCTTGGACTTGCGACTTCAGACGTGCTATTTTCGTAACCCGGATAAGTCTCCCCCAGGTGACAAGTAGGAAATGGGCTTGGTTTTAATGGTTCGGTATGCATAAGACGAAGGGTGTTAAATCCCGAAGAAGCTCATCTATGGAGGATCCGGCTTGGAATCCCTCCCTCGCCTGGTCAAGGAGATTGTACGCGGTGTTACGATCAGAGACTTCGATTCATCGGAAGCACGGGCGGCTATGAAAGGTGTCATACCCGCTCCACCAACGCACTTCGGGATGGACGTGCATAGTGTCCGCGAAATGACACCTACTTGGATGAGACGCCAGTGAGCGGGACATGGTGGAATTTGTTTTTATTAACGGTGTACAGAAGTAATCGACTGTTAATGAGGGCCAGCAGTACATGTTATCCCTCCCAAAATTACTCATTTCCTTTTCAGTAAACAGACGAGGTTCCCTCAAAACACCATACATTGACTATCAGGGGCTCAATCACAATGCCTTGCCACAGCAAAGTCGGACTTGGCACCGTTAGCCACGTTAAGGGATGGGGACGACAGAAAGTGATCATAATGAATGGTGGATGACATGAGTATGAGGAGACATCTCAGGTGCGTTCAGAGGCTATGATAAGCCCGTACCGTACGTTGTCAATCGTTGGCGGATGACCTGGACCATGAAGCTCTCAGTCCTCTCCTATGGGCTTATATAATAAAGGAATGCAACCTCTGCGTCGAAGGGTACATACATGCATCTATGGTAGATTGCCGCAGCGGCTTCACGATAGTCGTTTACATACAATATTCTAGCGGATCTAACATTTGGGGTGGTCGGTCCCCACCACTAATAGCAAGTTTCGGATTTTATGTGAAGGGGTGTTCAGGGAGAATGTAACTGTGTCGTCGGTTAGGGCTACAGCGGAGATGGCAATAACATCTAGTTACCAACCTAGTATAGTATATACTCCAGGCTCATAGTGAGCAAGCATCGAAAACAGATTAATAGAATTATCGAACATAAGGATGAGAGGCATAGCAGATACATGGTGAACGGGCTAGCCCTAGACAACAAAACTTTGCAACAATAGATTCAAAATAGGATAGAAATGGCACCATGGTAGGATAATTTGGAAAAGGGCTTTCTCATAAACAATATACTCGAGGAATGATACACGAGCTTAGTCGTCGCAATCCTCGCCAGCATCAGCACCAGCGCCAACTCCACCACCAACACCAACACCAACTTCTCCGCCAAGACCAAGGTTCCCGCCGACATTAGCACCAAGTCCGGCATCAGCATCTCCACCAACACCAGCATCAGTGCCGACAGCTGCGTTTCCACTAGCGTTGCCTCCCAAGTTTTCGCCAACGTTAGCACCAACACCAGCACCAACATCTCCGCCGACACCGGCATCGGATCCAACGCCTGCGTTTCCACCAACATCAGCACCGACATTGTCTCCGACGTCTCCACCGACGTTAGCGCCAACGTCACCACCAGCATTGGTACCTCCGCCAACATTGGCTCCTCCGCCGACGTCTCCGCTTCCACTGGCACCAACATTGGCGCCTCTGCTAACATCACCGCCAGCACCAGCATTAGCACTACCGCTAACATCTCCGCTGACGTTGGCTCCTCCACTGGCATATCCGCCTCCGGTAGCATCGACGCCAGCGCCGGTATCACCGCTAGCACCGACGGAAGCACCTTCGCTAGCATTGTCGCCGGCATTAGCACCTCCGCTGATATCTTCGCTTCCACTGGCACCAACATCTGCACCACCGTTTGCACCACCATCCCCGCTTCCAGAAGCACTAACACCAGCGCCAGCACCACCGCTAGCACCAGCATCTGCACCTCCATCGACGTCCGTGCCAACATTAGCATCACCGCCAACATTCGCACTGCCACCAATGATGCTACTACCAATATTGGCTCCAGCAGAAGCACTGGGGTTGGTTCCAAGGCTGACACTGATGCCAACACCTTGGCCGTTTTCACATTTTTCGCAGACGCTGGTATTTACGCTAACCGGGCTGCTGCTGGTAGCGCTGCCTGATGCTTCGCATGCTCCACAGTTGGTAGTGGCCGTGCCGGAGCTGTGGCCAAGGTGGCTGAGCGCGGCGATGGGGGGGAAGTTGGTCGGAGTGCCGATCCGGCCGGGAACATTTGGTGGGGTTTCGTTCTTGTTGTTGGGTGTCACAGACACCGGGACCGCCAGTGTCATGGTTGCGCCGACAAGGGCAAGGGTATAAAGAGCGTAGCGCATGTTGAAAAGGGAGAAGGAATGTTAAGAGATGAACGAATGAAGTATGTATGAGGATTAGTTTATTGAGGAAAGAGGCGAGCGATGAGGGGGAAGTGTTGATACTAGCTAGATGACAAGCCGATAAGAGGAGGGTTACAGCTTCTTATATAGACGCGAGTTCACCCTTTGAACCTTCCTCGTGAGATCCAGATGTCGCTACGTAGTTTTGGACGGAACCAAGGTTCTATTCTGAGCTACTGATGAAACGATTCTAGCTACGGCATGGGCAAAATTAGCGGTAGACCTGGGTTTCAAGGAAAGACAGCATTTGTGGATTCAAATTTGTCGAAACGCGCTTGACTAAAAGCGAATAGTAGGCCGGACTTTTGGGGTGTACTTCTAGAGCGGTATCGTCGCTTGTATTTAGGTGAATAACATCAATGAATGCTGATATTTGAGTACTATACTGGGTACTAATTGCCCCTTTTACTGGTGACTGTGTCTGTCGTACTTTGCACGAGACTTTGAGAATCGGTCACTGACCATAACGGCTATTGCTGTAGTCTCACTCGTCCGACCAGACAGCACCAGTGAGTCACTCAACCGTAATACTCTGTCTCCATTTCAGCCTACAAAGCAGGATCTGTCCAGGCACCTAGGTCTTGGAGTCGGCGCAGGTTGACCCATACCGCTAACCGATAAATCGTATAATCGAATATCAGTTTAGAGTATACTTAGAAACTTAACTTTGCACGAGTCATGGAAAACTCCTGATTAGAGTTCTTGGTGTGGGGAGACCTGGTGCTCTAAAGGCGATAGAACGAATCCATCTTCAACCTGAAACGTGCTAGGGAAATCTTTGCTTCTCTTGTACCTAAGTCAACCACGGATATCTAGTTAACCAACCCTTATTCGAAAGCTTTAACCTTGTGGGTTAGATCAGGGGCGAGCACTACGAAATATATGCATGTAGTTGCCCTAACGAGATGGCCCCAACGTCAAACACAATTATGAGGTTATCGTTCCGATATCGCTGGCTGAACACAAATCTTCCTTCAATCTTTAGTTTGAATTTCCCCATAACACTAACCTGATCTGCCTCCTATGATTTACAATAACTATCGAGGTAAATCATGAACCCCCGGCAATCAATGAAGAAGGTACGTGACGCTGTAAAAGCATAATCTGACTAATGATCGCAATTCGGCAGTAAGGACAATTCTATTTCACCACCTAAGAATCTAACAAAAATTGATCGAGCAATGATCCTCGTCACACCACGTTTTGCAGTGAACAACCGGTATGACTGAGAGAGGCTAGACTACACTGCGTCCAATTAATGGATCCTTGGCCACTCAATCTAGGAGCATCCCTCCTTTCTTCCTTCAATCCTGGTAAAGACTGAAAAGTTGGCACAACTCTAAAAGGCCCACTATAGAAGCCAAGGCCAGGAACGGGCCTATCGCCCGATCAGAAAGAAGTTTGTTGACCATCGGGAAGTGGATTACCCACAAAATACCTGGTCTATGCCGAGCCCCGATATACCTGAACCCCAGGAGCTTCTCACCCATTACCCGCAAACACGGCAAGGATCTCCTGGTCTGGAATACTGTGGGCTTCGTTCTTCCCATTTATAGGATACAAGCTTTATTTATGCGACAATGGAGCAAGTATGGTTGAGGTTGTAATCTGAGCAAAGGAGCCGTATATATTAAGCTAATTTCTCCAAAACCATGCCATCTATAGCGATCTTGGACAGTTTTGGCGCGCTAGTATTCAAGAGGGATTTATCCAAGCGTGTCTCTGTGGAACTGAGTGAACGGAAGGACATCGAATAAGGATTTTGGCAGCAGTGCCGAATCCGACTAGATTCTGCTCTGGGGCTTTCCTCCAAACAGTGACCTAGGATGACTACGTAGTCTGGTTGCGGAGTAGACCAGCTCGTGTGGCCTTTTTGTTGGGCATTGGTTAATGGCATATCAAGTTAAACAGTTTTTATGCTCTAACATCGGAATCACATTCGTAAAGATCTTTCCTCCCCTTAAAGCCTTCTCTATTCGATGAGCGACTCGATGTCGGCTCATATAGTATCTACCGACAAGTAAAATACCGAGTAGTCTCCATCATACACAATCCATGGAGATAGATTCTTAATTCGTCTTCCATCAAGTTGCATATAAGAAAACAGTCGACCTGATTATCCCCTACGGGTCTGCTTGCTTGTGACATGCGGAGCTATGAGAAAACGTAGATAATATATATTTATTTCCCAGTTCGGCAAATATAGCAGATCATTGCTTCGTAAATTGATAGTCTATACTAAGGTGGGTTCATGCAAGGCCTTTATTCATGCAAGCAGCTTTTCTACTTTTGGCCAAACTAATAGTGTTATTGTCTTTTTTTATAGCTGTTTTCTGGCTTTTTAGGTAAAGAGGCGAACACTGAGGCAACAAGAAAAGAATGAAGCGAAAGGATAATGAGAGAGCGATATATATATCGCACTACCCCCTATGATTATGCACCGGAATTATATGTAGAATATCTGGTAAGATTATCGTACGATACGATGTCAAAAGGATCTCAGATTTATGATCCCATAAAACTACCAAGAAGGCCTATCTATGACGACTCAGGCCAACATAGATAAACTGATCTAATTGGGTAGCTCTAATACAAGAGAATCGCTTGAAGGAGAGAATATCCCACAAGTGAAGCTCTGGGATATCACCTATCTTGAATACAAACAGATCAAACAGGTAACACATCAGACGTCACCTCCCACTCCCGTGGCCTGTATAAAGACCGTGCCTTCACACTATCTAGGTTGGAATCATGAGTGCTTTGAGCTGATCACTAAAGAGTAAGCAGGGGAGTGAGTAGCCTAACGTAATCTTAATAAAACGCACCACACTGGAGTTATACTACGATCTATTTTATCTACTTGAAATCTATCTAAACGTCGCTATTAGATGGTTAAAATATATAAAGTATAATATGTAGCTTACTTCGTTTAAAAGAATAACCTGCTTATTATTAATTTATATATCTATGTAGAAGAAGATCCCTAATCTCTCTTTATCCTAGCAATTGTGTCTTTGTCTATACTTAAAATCTAATATCAATGTGCCGGAGATATACTACGTACAGTAGATAAACAAGTAACTCGGTATGGATACTATGATGCAACGGTGAGGAACGGTAATGGATTGAACAGAGACTGATCCTTGCCTTCCTGTGGCCAAGAATCAGAGGACTAATTTATAGCTATGGACTCAACTGAATCATGTGATTTCATCGTTAAGAAATGGCCCGTAGTACTCAGGCCATGCCTAGAATCGGGGCCCGAAGCTCATATACATAGAGGGAGGATGTTCCTGTACGGGGCCCAGGGTATCTGTTCGATTGCCTTGCCAGAACTATACCTGATATGTCACGCTGACTTATGGGTTGTGTTATCTATGTGCGGTGCATCGGCCATCGCTCAGTGACGAATTACACTGAGTATTTCCGCTTACGGACAAGTCTGAGAGACTAAGCTTCAAAATATACTGTGAGGGTCTTTTGCGTAAAGAAAACACAATTTTGGAAAGTGGGATTTTAGTGTCGCGTACCGAGGCGAGAAAATTGCGAGGGAAAAAGGGTTCAGAGCAACTTCGTGATTCGGGTTAGCATTGATTGCAAAAGAGGACACATTCTGTTACCTACTTTCTCTGGAAACTTACGACTAGACGAGCTCTTAAGCCAGATTAACTTGTTGCAGGGTGATCTGCAGGGCTATGTTACATTGCTGAGGCAAAGACTCGTCGAGCGAGCCTAATCGGGTGTGTACTCGGATCGTGCCGGTGCTTCGGCAGCCTGCCGAACCGCATCGGCTGTATCATGATATACTCCATGCACTAGCTTCCCCACAGCCTGGAAATGGACTATGTAGATAATCTTCACAAATGGCTGAGGGGCTAAGGTTAGAGCATGCCAGGGCTAGTCATGCCATCTGTAGCCGGATATGTTTTGCAGATTTGGCTTTATTTCGCTCAATCCTTCTATATGGTCCCTGCTACTTATCCTATATCGATTAGCTAATGATAATCAAATGAAGGCAGTTACCATAGCATGTGTTTAGATTTTCTAAGATAGTGTAGATGCGCAGGATTTATGCGCGCACGCTTATAGTATACTTTATCGTGAGGACTATGAACACCCTGTGAGGGATAAGTAAATGCCCCTTCAGAACTTAGCTGCTTATATATTCATACCATAATCCCAATACGAACAGTGGCACCAAACGTGGTGTTCCTCCAATATATGGGGTGGAAGCGCTTGCTTTATTTTCGCTAAATAATTGAAGATCACTTCACGTTGCTGCATATGTACGTCCTTTGAGGGGCACGACCTTGAAACACAGCCCCGTCGAAGGAGTGTGCAGCAACTCCTCAGTCGGCCGTAAAGCCATTCCGTTAGGAGAAGAGGACAGAGAATGGCCCCCAAATCGTATGCTGAGCCAAGAACCGATGCAGAAATCGCTTGAGGCCTCGGCGTTTAGTATCGATCTATTCCTTCTGTATGGAGAAGGGAAGGGGGCTTCCATAAAGATGATGACTATAAGTATCTGGCTATCGTGTCTGCAACTCTCCATCACGACAGCCATTCTTTACTAAGTCTAGTCGTTCTCTTACTTACTTACTTTCTTTCTTTCTTTCTTTCTTTCTCATTTTTAATTTTAAGTCACTTCAGTCATCTGTTAAACTCTCTTTACCGAACTGGCGTTAATCCTGGTTGGGTTGAGTCAACATGCTTCCTAAACTATGCTACCTTTTGTTCTTTTTGTTTCTGGGCCTCGTCGCGGCCAACCCTATGAGCCTTGAGGAAAGAGGTCTAAAAAAGCCTCCAACCGAAGGCGCAAAGGGCAAAGAGCCCGAGAAAACCAAAACCGTCGGGATCCAAAAATTCGAGATTAAAAACCCAAACGATAGCAAATCCAAGGCCAAATTCCTTGTCTTTGGCTCCCGCATCACCTTCACAGACACAAAAGAAGCAAAATCGATTACCGATGGCCATATCGTAGGACTGGCGCAAGCCGCCTTCAAAGAGATGACGTCCACAAAGATCCCCAGTAAGGTCAAGATGCCAACTGTGATGAGTGCACTGCAGGTTGGAAACGAGGTGTTCCTTGCGTCCAGCATGACGGGTGGTTGGGGCACATACATCTACACGGCGTTTGAAGGCCAGCGTCCGGTCCCCCCTACTGGTCAAAATACTGGGGCGGAGGCTTACGGAGAATTTACCAACGTTCTAACGGAGAATGCACCAGATGTCAGAGATGCCTTGCAAGCCTGCAGTATCAAAGCCGTGGATCAGCACGGCAGGAGGGATTGGGAATTAACAAACACGACGGAAGCTTCGATCACCGGTCAGGGGTTGATGAATACTAAGCAAAGTGGAGAGAGCCTTCTCCCACGGGGCCCCGACGAAAACATAATCCAGCATAGGTTTAATGCCAACTGCGGAGAGATCATGGCCTCTCTTGCGTATCGGATGACCCATAACAAAAAGACGGATAAGCTGAGACACTTGACGCCGAAGCCCAAGATTGTTGCATGGGAAAAGACCAAGGTGGGGGAAAATATCAAACCCCCTTGTGAGCACAAAGATGGCAACAAAGAGGAGGATAAATGCGGCGAGGGTTGGGGTTGTGGGGCGTTCACGGGGAAGGCCGGCATGGATTTTGAAGTGATTAAACCTGAGGTGAAGCCGATTGACGTGAACGACGCAGCGTTCCCTAAGTTCAAAGTTCACGCTGTGGATTTCCCCAAGCTCAAGAAGTCTGAAAAGAAGACTCCCAAGCCTTCTGGCCACCAGAAATCCTGAGGTCTAGTCTGAGCCATCATGCAACTAGATAGAGTGCAAGAGGCAAAGATATATTACGGGAATGCAGAAACTAGGTGAGGAGGTAACCGTGGCGGAGAACATGCCTAATATTTGTGTACTTGTACCTAGATAAATAATACACACTAGCTGAATTTAGGGTTCTTGGCGGACTGTGGAAATTTCTGTAGATAGACGTTGTCGGTTTCAATCTAAGAAGCACACGAGCACTATAGTATCACCCATTCCTTTCTGATACATAAATGCAGTCCCGTCTCCTGTACGTCCGGCGCCATTTTCCGCGCCGAGAAGCTGCAGCTCCACTTTCCCCCCTCATCGGCTCTCCCGTTTCGTCGTTAAGCCGCCCTTATAACCCGCAAGCTACGTCGAATCCCCTTTTCAGTCATTCAGCCCAAAAGCCGCTCTCATACCGTCAACCATACAAAATGGATGCAAATAGGTCGATATCGCAACAGGATGGGTAAGGTCGTTACCTCGTGTTCTCCTACAATGCTAATCGACTGTACTAAGGCCATTCTCCAAGCTTCCCAAAGACTGTCTGGTGGATATTTTAGACCAGCTCTCTCTGAACGACAGCTTAGCGGTGTCCAGCACATGCAAAGACCTTAGCGCATCTTCTAAATCATTTATTTATCGCGAGATCTCTCTAGATTGGACCACTCGGCCTCTGCGACGCCTTCTGCAGTTGCTCCGACTTATCTTTAAGAGCCCTGAGGTCGCGTCCTATATTCAGCATGTTAGCTTACTATCCCTCGACCCTGAACCATGGCGAGATACCCAGCCAGAGATGGATTGGGAAGCAGAATCAAAGTCTTTTCAAGATGTGATTGACCAGTCGATTGAGATTGTGCGCAATGCTCAGTTTCCCAACCCCGACAGCTGGTATCTCCCCATCCACGGCGGAAATATTTACTGTTTTGCTGCTATTTTTCTCTCTCAGCTCCCTAATTTAAGGTCGCTTCGTCTGGATTATTCGTTGGTATGGTGGGATGGATTCACGGGAGTTATGCTTAAACAGGCCCTTCTCTCCCCTAATGGGGTACTTTCAACATTCCAGTATCTCGAGACTGTGGATTATGGGGCGAATGTGCCGATTGCCGAAAATGAGGATATGTATAGTAACGAATACCCCGACAGTTATCCTCCGTACAATCCCGACCAGTTTATGGCTTGGTTCTGCTTACCGTCTTTGCGTCATCTAAGTATATGGCTTCGAGATATTGCAGAGCTGCAGGAGACCAAGCCAGATCTGGATCTAAATAAACTAGAGACCTTAGTGCTCGCTCGCACTACTGTTTCTGAAAGGGATGTAAATTTTCTTCTTTCCCGAACAGCAAACCTGAAGAATCTACATCTTGGAATGGCTTATAAATATGGAACCGAGCTGGTGCTAAACGACCCCTCGACGCTAGCGCAAGCCCTGGTATCTGTGAGCCAGACTGTGGAGCAACTTTCCTTAGGGGTAGAATATTATCCTTCAAACCGGGGGGATCGTTATTGGTATGAGGCCGACGATCACATCCGCGAACCATTCCTTAATATTCTGAATACCTTTCCAAATCTGCAATCAGCCGAGATGCCGCTCTGCGTTCTTATGGGCTGGTATGTCGAAGACGCGACGGAACTCGGACTGTTGTTGCCCAAGTCGCTCCGCGAGCTAGTACTACGAGACGATATGAGGAGCTTATATGACTTTGATTGGGAGGAGGATGATACGATCGACCTGCTATATCGCTTCCTACCAGATGTGCGCACCTATACCCCTGCTCTGGAAGTGATAAAGCTGCGCCTATGGGACCAGAATCACACCGGGTATTATGATGAGCAGGAGGAGGAGTTGCGCCATGGATGCGAAAAAGTGGGCCTGAAGCTGGAAGTGATTGTGGATGATCTGGGATCTGGTTTGTGGAGCAAAGATGTTGAACCAGATACGGAAGAGCTCAACCCAGTCGGGTCTATGGATTGAAGATTATGGTGCCTACTTCTTTCCGCTGAACATTGTGAGTACAAGTGACGGTGACACCTGTTTTAGAAAGAAGAGAAAAAGACATGAAATATCTCATGGTCTTCCACGATATCTTCCACTCCAGTAATCATATTGTCTGCCGCTAGATATAATATATAATATACTACAAAGAAATCAATCTTGAGAAATGCTTTCTAAACTCCTGGCCTAGCGTAGAGCATGAAAGTATCAGACTTGAGATTGGACAATCACCCCTTCACACCATATAAATTCAGAAAAGCCTAGCCTTCCTGAAGCTTGCAGTGATTTCAATGCTCGGCAATTTAACTTCGACTCTTCAGTCAGAAGTGATATATGGACTATAAAGAGTCTCTATTATCCTTTCAAAAAAAGAAAGTGCATAGGATAACTTTATAACTTTATAAAATTCTAACCCCTAATAATTTAATTGCCATCGCTCTCGGTATTTACGCTTCGTTTTAGAGGTTTGCCGCTTAAGGCTGAATTAATCCCCATCAAGTTTCTACCTGCGTCATCTTGTATGAGCGTTGGTACGGACTAGGGCAAACCTGAGGGCTGTTCATCACACTTTTGAACTACCCGCACCAAATAAAGGGTAGGTGAGCAGTTCGATAGATTCCGTGCCCGGCTCACTGAGAAAGCCCCCAAGTGCCCTGGTTAATGTCCAAATAGGAAAGCTACGATACCCTAGACAATCCAGTACATATAAGTACATGTGTACTCATACCAAGCCTTTCTATGTACAATAATACTCCATGGAGACCTGGTGCAAAGGGTACTGTAGTGTTCGGTAGTGTGAAGATGTAATTGCGATAGTATGAGTCTCAATGCTTTATATTTTAAATTCCCTTTGCGATTCTCTAGACTTATTGTGCTTGTTCTCTTCACTGCTTGAGACTTGCTCTGTGATAAAACTAGTCTATATTCAACCAAGCAGCGTTCGCTGCGATGCAATTATATGCGCTACTCCGCACATGTTGCAAGTTCTAAACTTTTATATACACATCCCATCTATATACCCAGTCTAGACTATTTAACAATAATTGTCGGACCATATTTACCTCCAACATAACCACGAAGCTTAGCTTTCGAATAAGTCGTAAAGAAGAAGCCAACTCTCACCCAGCAGCATACGTACTCATACCTCTCAACTTTTCCCCATAAACCCACAAAAAGACAGGAGCCGGCACCCCAATTCCAATCGAAACAAAGGCCAAAAGACTATTCCCCCACCCATAGTGCAACGCTTGATACATATACGGCGCAAAAAGCGGAAACCCAAATCCCGCCAATGATCGAAGACAAGCCGCCGCAGCCAGCGCACTAGCCGCGTACCTCGTGTACGCGTCAACCAGGTAAGTCTGCATGCATTGATACGCGATAATTGTGCCCAGCGAGAATATACAGCCTCCGATATCGGGCCCGATCCAGTGCGTGTGCGCCTGGGCGGTCCAGCCGTATATGAACAGCCCGATGGGGGTCAGTGCGGCTGCGACAGCGAGAAGGGGTGTTCGGAATTCGGGTTTGCCGACGCCGTGACGCGCTTTGAGGCGTCGGTAGATGCGGTCGTTTAGGGCAGCGCAGAATTGGGAGCCGAGCCAGTAGCCTGCGCCCAGGGCGATGTAATTTAGGGAGCCGATGCCGATGGTCTCATTGTAGGAGGTTGTCCAGAGGGTTGGGAAGGTGGATAGGACGAGGTACATTAGGCCGTAGATGTAGGCCATGTAGAAAGCGATGAATTGGACGATGGGTTGTGTAGCGAGAAGCTTGAAGGGGCGGATGAGAGAGGTACGGAGTGCCTGAAGAAGTGTTTGGTTGTTGCTTCGCTCAGCCTCGGTCTGGTAGTTGGGATCTCCGGTTTCTTTGCGGAGTCGTTTTGCCTTCCGTTTGAGGAGCACAGGGGTGTACGTTTCGCGTAGAAAGATTAGGCCGAAAGCCTGGATTATGCCGTCGGCAATCGAGGTGGCATAGAAGATCCATCTCCATGAGGTGTTCTCCGTTACGAATCCTCCTGCTATTGGTGCGACGGCTGGACCGAGAAGGGGTGCAAGACTGTATATAGCAATGGACTTGCCACGTTGGTCTGGAGTGAAAAGATCGCTCAATACACCGCCTCCTATCTAGAGATGAATATGAGTGTCACAATTGGAAGCCTTCGAGTACTAGGGCTCAACACCTACAGCTAAAGGAGCACTACCACCTAGCCCTGAAAGAAACCGGAAGGCGATCATCTGCCCCTTAGATTGCGATACACCACATGCGATGTTGAAAATAAGGTATAGTAAGTTGGATAGTTGCAGCACAGGCACCCTTCCATACATCTCTGAGAGGGGACCTAGAAAAAGCGGTCCAACAGCATATGCAAGAACGAAGACTGATAGCATGAGTTGAGACTCGATCTCGTTCTCAACATTAAAATCTTTGGATATGGTACCGAGAGCGGGTGCAACCATGGAGGATGATGCTGGCGACATAAATGTAAAGCAGGACACGGTAATTACCGCCATCCATTTCTTAGTTGTTTTCCAATTCTTTGGGTTTTCCGTGTCATGGGGCCCATTCCAAGTAACCTATATGTGTAAGGATATCGACATGGGAAAGCTCAGGATTTTGTAGCCTACAAGCTTAGAATGTGGTTCTGGGCTTCCCTTTTCAGGGGCAGGCTGTGTTCGCTCAACATCTCGGTCTTCGTTTTCCATAGAAGTGCCGTGATGAGAGTGCTCACTCATTGTATAAATATATGAAAATGGCCCTATAAGAATTACTGGACGATATATGATTAGTTAAGCCGTGACAAGCCCCAACGTCATATAGTGATATATATTCGAAGCATGAGGATGTAACATGCGGACTGACCTAGAACGACAAAAGAGGACAAGGATAAGAGAGGATATCTCTGGCTTTGGTTTCATTTTGCTTGGAATGTTATTCGGTAAGTCCCTGACTTTAAGTACACTGACATTGTTGAAGTCCAGAGATCCGAATGGCCGGCCGGAGGATGTGGGAGACATACGTCGTGGTCCCAATTAGGTAATTTTACTCCGGAACCAGCTGCCGAGGTTCTGATTGGCGGAAGCCCGACTCCGTTCGGTCTTGGACTTCCTCCCAGCGACAACCACTACCCTAAAGAGTACTTCGTCTGAACTCTTCCCTCATGTCTTCCTGTAGGAACGCCAAGCGCAAATCCCCTTACTTCTTATTATACATTTATATCTTAACGACCTGTTCCACTGTACATGGACTCTCTATCCTCAGACCTAGTCCGTCGGAATGGAAGCAAACGCTCATGCGAAGCATGTCGGAAGTCGAAGACCAAGTGCGACCACACGTTGCCCATATGCGGTCGATGCGCCCGGAAAAGTATTCTATGCTTCTATGATCCGGCGCCGATGACAAGAAAATTTCGACCCATGTCCATAATAAAGAGTAGGACGCAAAGAAAAACAAGGAACTCCGGATCACCGGGCGCCTCGTGGGTTATTCCGCCCCACTTTTCCATTTCTTGAAATCCACGACTCAATTAACGCTTCCATAGTCGGGACGTACACCAACCAGGGTCGTCGGAGCTATTGTCACCAAATGCCCAGGCAGTCGTTGTGAGTACTCCGCCTCTGGAGAGTGCTGGTTTCCTCGGTCCTACCAGCTACCGTTCCTTAATGACGGGGGCGGTTAACGATGGTGACCCTGGCCCATCGGACAATGACCGTACAATATATACTATTGACCCGAAGCAACTAGATTTGGGACTCCGGATCTTGGACTTCCTTGCCGCTAATGCGCTTCTCTTGAGGGCGCTCGTGAGACAAGTGTATGAACTTGGCCTAATGCCCATTATCCCAGAGGTGCTTATGCTTCCCGCTCTCGATATATTATGGGATGTCTTCGGAAACTATATTGTTCAAGATGAATCATTAAGATTGCGTACTGTCGTCGACATTTTTGAAAACTCATATCAACCGATACCTATTACCCTCGCTATGAATGCTGGTGAACTCTGTTCTTTGATCAGCGGTAAAAATGTTAGGTGGGAGATGATCGGCAGTGTGATCACAGTCGCGACTGTACGTCTGATCCATACACCTGAGCGAGATGTTATTCATATCGATCCTCAACAACGAAGGAAGGATAAGCTCCTCACGCAAATGCTAGAAATCACCGATCAACTCTTACCCCTCAGCAACGCTCTACCTGTTGTCAACGAATTGATGGTCTGTCTCAAGTATTCTCAGATGATGCTTGCTTCCCAGAGATTTGGTGACTCTAGTATGGATTCCTTACCGTGACTGCCACATCAGAGTGAAATGCTTACTTGAGTTTCTATGTGCAGGTCGCTGGCTATACTCTTCTCTTGGGGAATTAGCGTCCTGTATTTACGCCACAGGGATCCACCAGTATAATGACCACATGGCGCAGTACCCGGGCTTCATGAACTTGTGGCGGAGAAGGTGTTTCGCCTCTGTGTATTCCACGGATAAAACCATTGCAACAACACTCGGCCGACCACCCTCGCTGACTCGACATTATTGCGTGCTTAAGCCACCATTGGACATTGATGATGACATAGATGCCCCAACCTATGAGCAGAGCCTCCGAATGATAGATAACAATGGATGGAATAGCGATGGAAAACGACGCCACTCTACCTTCATTCGCCTTCGGTTCCTTCTTTCCACAATTCGAGAGGAGATCCTCGAGCTTCACTTGGGAGTCAGTAGCGCTGACATGGAAAGGAAAGCACAGTATGATATCTCCTATAAAGATTCGCACGGTCCCACCGCCTAATATGTGTCTAGCGACGTATTGCAGAAGCTGCAATCACTCTGGGATAGCTGTCCTAGCTATATGAAATATTCTCCGGATATGTGGAATAGCCAACTCCCTGCTTTGGAAATCCTGGTCCTTCTATATCTATTCGTGGATTATCTTTACTCTATGTTCCTACTTTATCGATTGAAATCCCAGGAATCTCAGAAAGGTAAACCCAAGGAGCTTCTCCACGTGGCGAAGACTATTCTTTCTACAGTTGTCGTGATTAATGAACACCGTGAAAGGGCGAGAGAAGTCCGGAGCGATTTTTCTAGCATTGTAGGTTGCTCCATCCAGTGAACAATAAAGCGTGTTGTCTATCTGTTTAATGCTGAATCTGTTATAGTTTCTGCCGTTCGGCCTTCCCAGTGCCGAACTTTTGGCTATGGAGTTACTTCAGCCTTCCCTACAGGGTCCTCCACACTCTAGCTTGCCCAGAGCGGAGATAATACGAGAGCTAACCCTATACACCTCCTGTCTTAGCTGGATCGCTAGACCTGGAAGTGTTAATGTCGCATTTTGCAACAAAGTCAAGGCGAGACTGACCCGCATCTTGGACCAAATTCTCGACCCATCATATGCCGCGCCGGGTTCAAGTAACAGTCAAAGTGGAGCTGGGCGTGAGGCTAACTGGGCTTGTCTGGAATTGGCAGACTCGGATTTTACAATCCACAACTTGCTCTGCTCGGATGATGGAAGTAACTGGGATTCTGGGTTTGATTTATTTTGTGGGCCTGTATTCTAGAGACTCTTATAGGAATAATACTACCGAATTTATAAATAGTATACTAGAGAAAATAATACATAAAACTATAATAATATTGTAAAATAGAGTCACAAGAGGTATTCATTATTAGTCCCGGCTTTCACCCACTGGGTACACTCATCATTATATGCGCTGCTGGCAGGTTGGCAGATAGCATTATTTCCCAACAGGTCGTCGAACGCGGTACCCAAATCTCCACTCAATCTCAAAACAGTGTCATCAAAGCCCATGCCGAAGTCTGCAAATTCATTGGAAGCAGGTGTTTACTGCTTCACGGATTGGTCAGCGGCCATATTCGTGTTCGAGTTTGCTAATTGGAAGTTGTAGCCTGCCGCACGATGTTTTGACTGGGTATGGAGGCCAGGTCGGGGCTGTTCAGGGCTTCCCTGGAAGTGTGGCTTTGGGAGATTGCCGAATGAATCTGTGAGGAGCTCATCGATTGAAGTAGGCTGAAGGCTATTCGGTATAGATAAGTTGTCTGCAGATGTCGTCCCGGAGTTGGGAGGTTGGTAAAATCCAATTCGGAGGCAGTAATATTGGGGTTATTCAGGACATTATTCATTCCTGTTTGTATATTTGCATCAAATGGGGATTGGGCTGCCATACCCAGGCAAACGTGTCGAAAGTGATCGTTTTTATGGTAGGTATAGGCCGCGTAGGGTATGGACTTCCTCCATTCTGATGGTGCGACTTCAACTGAGAAAGATAGTGAGTTACAAATCGGAATGGAATGATCATTGCAACCAAAACCTATATTTGAGATGTCAAACAATGTTGTCTCACTGCGGTTCGTCACTCATAAGCTCCTCTTGGTTTATTTGCTCCAGAAGCCTTGCACAACATTTCGCGAATCAGGCCCGCTAGATTTGCACCGGAGAATGACTACATGAATCGCAAGACACCCGAGTTTCACCTACCCGAGTTCCTAGACAATTGCATGTTATTAAAATGATGCTGTAATTCCATGAAGTCAATGGGTGCTACTGAAGTAGAAGTTGTTCAGGGATGTGAAGGAAGACGCCCATCGGCATTGGAAGTTGCCACTCAAATAAACCGAGTCAGCGGTGGGTCTGTTCGAAGCCTTTTAAAGGCAGCAGAGCTATATCTCCAACACTGTTACGCCAGACATACCACCTTGCGCAAAATAAAAAAGAAAAGAAAAGAACAGAAGACGGAAGGATAGTTTGTGACGACTGGTGCTTTCACAACGCGACCTTCCAAGAAAAGATATCTATTTACTTAAAGTCTCCGAATCTGATCCACTCCTTCCTACGTTTTCACTTACTGCCTGAACCGAAACTGTATATTTTGTAAGGACTACATAAATTCATGCCAAATTGCACTCCGAAAGCGCATTCTTGAATGGTTCTCTATTGACGTGGGCAGGAAACTTTCCGAAGACCAAGAAAGCCTCGATTACGGAAAAGCTGGACCCATTTTGCATTAAACAGCTCTCTTGTTTACGAGTCGCTGTAACATCTCTTCCAATGCACTTTTTGCACTTGGCCTACCGGAGGACTGGCTTTGTTGTCGACCTAGATATGGAATGCGTCTCGGTTGCAGTCACCGTGCCTCTAGTGATCATCGCTCTATACGCGGAAGAAGTCAAAGGCCTACTTTGGAAGTTCTGGAGCGCTTTCCCCAGTCATGCAAACATGAAGGAGGATGACAAGAAAAAAGAAAAGCAACAGGGTAGTACAGACAGCTATCAGGTCGAAAATGCCGGTAAGCTTTGGAAAAAGGGTCTCGATAAGCACATCCAGTTGGGGAACGGAAGATTCCAGGATGCCCTTAAGTCAAAGAGGCTCAATACCATCAAATGGCCTGGGAGTATGCAATACGACCCTTGAACCCTCTTAACTGGTCGATCTTCGAAGAAAGGTATAGCAATATCAAGATCGAACAGTACGGATAAACTCGAAGGGAACACCACGTCTGTATCCGATTAGAGTAAACTAGGGAAAGGAGAGTTAGTAGAGTGTAATAGCTCCAAGTACAAATACATATAACGATCTTGATAATGGCATGGTGGTAAGTATAGAAGCTCATCTGGTTCATTGATTTATCGTCCGAAATGTAGGATATAAAACACGATGCACTTGAACCACAGAACAAAATATATCTACAGAAACCCTCAGAATAACGCAGTAGTTGGAATCTCAAAATGTATTATGTTGACCACACTACTAAGAGAATATGTGTAGAGGCCAATCGATTTGCTCTTGACACCAATGGTAAGTTATATGGATTGACAGTCGCGAAAGTGAACCGTGCATGGATTCTTTGGAACGCGCTCTAACCCTCTTGAGATAATTGCGTTGATGCATTGCCATGGGTCGTTACAAGCAAGGACGAGATTCTATGGCCCATAAAGACGTCTTCTTCATACAATACTGGATTCATGGATAGCGTCCATGTCAACAGTCTGAAGCCTTACATCTTTACTACGACGACCAATGCCAACCATAAGGTTTCTAGAGTGATTACAACTTCGAAACGCGTCGTGTTTATCAAACCCAATGTGCCAGTCACGTAGACACAGACATATACCTTGCGTATAACCAACAAAAGCTAAATTAAGGCTTAAAGGTTTGTTGATTACGTTTTGTGCATTTTGCGGTGCTCCTTATATCTTAGTTTTGGTTTCTTTTTCTTACTTCTATGGCTTCTATTGTTTGTAGAAATAGCCCTAGTAGGCTCTTGGCAGAAAGCCTGTTTGTGGTTCCCTTGAAAGATATATATATATATCTTGATATTTAGATGTATAACTAGCTTGATTTCGTGTAAAACGGAATTAACGTGTGCCCCCCACAAAAAAGTACTTCATATATTGTTTGTACCAGCATCATCAGCAGCCAACACAAGAAAGGAAAGTGTACAAAGCTAGGAAATGCGTTGGTTCCAACTAGGCGCAATAGTGAGAAGCCTAAAAGGTAACTATGAACGACTCAGTGAAAGATTGACACGGTCAAATCACCGCAGAATAGCGATCAGAGGCTATATCGTGTTAAATTGGGTCCAGCGCGAGATTAAGGCCACCAAGATTTCCGGTACAGCCACTGAAAGGGTCGATTAGGCTTCCACTATAAATTCATGATTGACCCCACTCTGTGCATCACCGTGGGACGATTAGAGTTACCTGGAGATGATATGCGGTTCTACCTCCACTCAACGTCTATTCTCACCCCGTCTTGCTGAGAGCGGCCGAGGCTTCACAGTGTGTCGCAAGTGGGGTGGTATATGTGACATCGGGGGCGGAGCATAGATAGCTCTGGCGACCACGATCAGTTCATAGATTGGCTAGTAGCTCTTACACCATGAGTCAACAATACCGCAACCCGTTACGCAATCCCGTGCATTATACGACACCACAGTTGCGGGTAGGGCCACCCGCTACATATTCGGCGGCTCAGCGCATGCTTAAAGGATATGACTACGGTAAGCGGAGGATGATCTCGGATTTTGGCAAAGTCTAAATTGAACAAAGTCATCGTCAGGGCTGGTGCGGCTGGCTCTGTGCTCGCCAGCAAGCTGTCCGAGGACCCGAAGGAAACGGTTCTCCTGCTAGAAGCTGGCGGCGACAATGTGAACATTGATGAGATCAAGGTACCGTTGAAGTTCTGAACTATTCCACACCGAGCACGACTGGGATTACTATACAGTTGAACAGCCGGGCCTTGCCTTTCGACGGTCGTATTGGCCTCCGCGGTCGCATGATCGGTGGCTGTTCGTCGATGAACTCGATGAATCATTGCTCAAAGACATATTTCGATGAATGGGCATCGGTCCATGGGTGCCACGGGTGGAGCTATGACGACCTGGAGCCCTACTTCTGGCGCATGGAGCGCTTCACTCCCAGTGCGAGCCGGCTCCAATCGACCTATTACACCGGGGAAAAGCGGGTGACTGGCAAACAGGTTATTCGTGGTTGACAGAGAGCGTCGAGAAGGGGTTTCTGCATGCCTGTGAGAATGTTGGAATTCCACAAGTTCCAGATATCAATACACCCAGTGGGACACCAGGCGTGACTCCACTGCAGACTTTTATCGACCCCAAGGGACAGCGCTCTCGTCTTTAGCCACAGCATACTTGCCGCCGGAAGTTCGGAAACGACCAAATCTGTTCGTCGCCTGCCATGTGCATGTAACAAAGCTTCTGATTGACTGTTTGAGTAATGACGACCCGACCGTGTTTGGTGTGGAATTCCAGACCCATCGGGGTGGAGAGCACCCTGAAGTCCACGCTTGAAGAGGGACTTTCCAGTGTGGTGGAGCGATTAACACGCCGCGGTTACTTCTTTTGAGTGGTATTGGCCCTGAAGAAGAGCTAAGTAAGCATAGAATTCCTATCGTCCGTGCTAACGACGCCGTTGGAAAGAACCTCAAAGACCATTTGGCGACAACAACCATAATGTGCAAGGCAAAGCCAGGGGCTCGTCTCGATTATCTAGATAGCACCCTCAAAGCAATGCCATCAATCGCACGATACAAGCTTTTCGGGGGTGGCCCTCTGAGCAGTAATGCGGGCGAAGCAGCGACGTTCTTCCGATCGTAGGAGCACAACCCCTTCCCCGAGTCATCATTGCAGCGAGGCCCCCCTAAGGATCATACCCCGGGTAGTATTGGCCCGGATGTAGAGAGTATTGGCAGTCCGCTGGCATATATCCACCATGGTGAGGAGGCTGCTCCAGAGGGAGTCGGCATGTTTAGCCTCGTTCTGATCAGTCTACGCCCGCAACGCAAGGGCATCATCACCCTGAATAGTAGGGATGCTTTTGATCATCGTGAGTGATTGTTCCCATCTCCTTCTCCCGCATTTTACCTCTACATGAGTGTGGCAACACGCTGACAACGTGCCCATATTCTAGCAACGATTGATCCGAAATATTTCAGTGATGCAGAGGACAATGATCGAACGTTTCTCTTAGTGGCTTTGCGCGTTTCTCTCCGAATCATGCGGAGCTCAGCCCTTCAGCAGTATCTCAAGCCCGTGCCAGTTAATGACGACCCATGGTCGTACTGGTGGCCGTACTCCGGCAGTGACATTGATCGCATTCCAGATGAACGGCTTCTTCGCTGGATGGAGGCAAAGGCTCTTACCCTGTACCATCCGGTTGGTACTGCGCGTATGGATCCGTCACCCGACACCAGTGTGGTGGATTTGCAATGCCCGCGTTCATGGTGTTAAGGGGCTGCAGGTGATAGATGCTAGTGTGTTTCTGGAGTAGATAAGTGTAAGACCAGTATATTTGTTTAATTTGACACCCCAACCACTGCATACAAAGCTACCTTTCCATACCCAATACCATTTATCCCACAAACCCTATGGGCAATATGACGTTGGTATTTTCCAATAATTCACCTGAAAATAATTGCCACATATTTAACTTTATGCAGCCAGGAGACGGAGGAGAGAGCCGCGCTCTAGAACGAAAAGCGAGACGACACAGAGGTTAAAGGCAGTGGCATAATCGTAAAGAGGGGGAAGAGAGAAGCGATACTGGATCAACTAGAAGCTCACCCGGAAGTGGCACTTGAAGCACTAAGGTATTGTTTGCTGCGTGGGAGTGTTTAAGGTTGCCTAAACTATTCTGGTTTTGAGTACCATGGGAAAGTCTTAGGGTGGTCGACAACTATAGAGCTCTGTTTCCCTGTAAGCGTACTGCGACTAGAAAAGACAATTGATGGATGGGCAAAGTGTTAGGCATCACACCCACCGACACACTCGCCCAGGAGTGAAACTGTGTATATAACTGGCCGGTCATCGACGAATACTTGATCCAAGACTGGCAGGTAGAACCGTTTAAGGAACGCAAATAGTGTAGATTTACTGGAGCCTGACGGCCCTCCTACTGAAAGTGCATCTTTGACGCAGTAAGGTCGTTCACACAGGTCAAGACAGGTATTTACAGGCCACTAATACCCCTTACATTATTAGATAGACATATGGCAGTAAGGGCAAAATGTAGAATTAACACTGGTATGCAGCCAATCCCAGAAAGGTGAGATCTTCAGGGCAGTTTTTTCTATCCCTTGAACTCACTGCTTCAACTCTTCTTTGTACTGCGAAATAACAACTCCCACATTGCACTGGATTCCCCCTTGCATCGGCCATGGTGCAAGTTCTGTGGCTTACCGAATGTAAAGATAATATTCAGCTCTTAGCAACATGGCCCCTCCGCTTTTAGTTTGCAGCACTGTCTGGTCATTCGGGAGTGTATTATTACTGTGGAAATTATACTAACCAGTGGAGATGCAATAAAACAAAAGCAACTCCCATGAATCAGGTCTCCTACTAGGATGGATAGACAGGAACTCTAAAGAATCACCCGAGCCTCCTCCTATATCAAAATGCGCTTCCAGCCAATCGCACTTCCCCTGCTACTGAGTGCAGTAGCACAAGCCACCCAAATCTTTAGCAATTCCGGTACTGCCTCAGGATGGGACTGGATGAACATAGAACACTACGGCACGGTAGAGCAAGTGACCGACATAGTCTACAAAGGGACAACCGCACTGAAGATGACCCAAGTGTACGACCAAGCCTACACGGATCACTACCGCGACGAGGAAGACCAGAGTGACAACTTGGTCAAACCAGGCCGCTACCACGCAGAAGCTGTCAAGAACGAGGTGTATAAACTAGACGACGAGGGCTTTTACGGTTTCGCCTTCCGACTGAATGATGCCTGGCAATTTTCGCCCGTTCAGTCGTACAACATCGCCCAGTTCATGGGCGAGTTCCCTAACACGGATTGCGAATACTTTCATTGGATTCCCTCTAACATGATTTATCTCTTTGGAGATCAGTTGTATGTCCGTCATCGAACAGGCAGTGTTTGTGCGCCCAAGACTACCATCTTTAGTAATGTCGCTACCGTGAACGCGGGTGAGTGGCATAAGGTTGTAATTCAGGCAAAGTGGAGGGCCGATGGTACTGGCTACTACAGGCTGTGGTTTGATGGGGTGAGCGTGCTGGAGGAGAAAGACGTTGATACTACGATCGACGATGATCGTGCATTTCAGTTCCGCGTCGGGATTTATGCCAATGGCTGGCATGATGATGGTGGTATGAAGGGAACCCAGGGAACGCGCCAGGTGTGGTATGATGAGATTGCTGTTGGTACTACGTTTGCTGATGCCGAACCTGATCGGTGGTAAATGTCCTCTTCTATTACGTGCGAGGGCAATCAATAGTGTTCAAATGTATACTGCACATATGCGCCGTTTAAGATATCAAACCCCGGGGCCAACATACTGAGCTGGCAAAGATGTATGGTTGATATCGCAAGAGCCACATTCACAAAAGCGCAGAAATGAAGTATCATGGCACTCGTTTTAATCCAGACACGGAAGATTACATGCAATTCGTCACGGGATAGGATCTGCGTTAGACGACAATTATAGATGATGGATAGCGTAGGAGAAAAATGAATTCAATGTGTTACTCAAACTTGGGGTTAGCGTGACTGCAACCAAACTTCAAAATGGCTCAGTCTTCAGCATTGTCCTCATCGGAACTATTCTCTTCAGGGCTATTCTCCTCAGAAATGTCCTCCCAGGAGTTATCACTATCGTCGTCGAGCCATAATTACTCGGAGTCTTCGCAAAACCGGATTCAAACCTCATTATCGTAATCATTCACATAAAAAGAATCATCATCCTCACCCTCGGAGGAACCAATTTCACTGTCACTATGATATTTCATAATACTAATCGCTTGCTCAAAATTCACATTAGATAAAGCGACCTTCGCATCCCGGTCACGCGACAACCTTTCATAGCATTGGTCACACCTTTGCTTGCAAGGCTCGCTTTGGCCAGGGATTCTACACCCTCACAAGGAACTTTGCGCCATGAGAGTCATTAGGGGCGTCGTAGGGGATCCCTTCAATGCATTCGAATTGGCACCTGATGAGACAAGGAATTATAGACAGGGCAAACTATGTGTGTTTAGGTACGTGATGGTCCCTTCTATAGCATCAGGGAAATAGGGTCAAAACATGTACTATTTACTCTCATTCTTGTCTCTAGGAAGGCAAACCCAGTATATGACGCTAAGGACAGGCTATTCCAAGAAGACTTCTTCACGACAAAGACTTGTATCTTTCTTTCTTTTCTTGTTTTATTCTCTGTTTACTTCGCTCTTTGGCCTTTAGATATACTTCGAAGAATCGCTCAAGGAGAAGAGTAGTCCCAGAAGTAGACACTCAAGTTGACATGCTACAGCTCTTTCCAAGTTATTCCTTATCAACCCATCAAACAACCAGTAATTGCCTTGGGGCTTTTTCTCGGCTGAAGGAACAGCGTAGATCGTAGATGCTTAATGGACCTGGGGGTATTGGTACACCATAAGACAACCTCTAGTGCGCAGGTCTAATGAAATACTCAAGCCAAGTCCCTTGTCTCACATTTCTTGAGATGGTATGCGAAAGCATAGGGGGATAGCATAAGTATGAAGCTCAACGGGGCAAGATGTGGATGGGCATACCAAGCTTCTGCCACAAAACCAACACCGTCTCTTCCGATCCGTATGTGGTCAAAGTCAAGAACTAAAAAGATAATTCTAAAGGCTACTATCACACGAGTTGTAACCAACACCTCCAATCATTAGTTAATCCATCTAGAGCTTCTGTAAGTACAAATGCCTGACCATGAGTTGCGAGCAATATGAATATAGCACGTATCCACTGCCGCCATAACCGTGATAATCATTGCCTGATTTCAATCCATTGCTCCCAATCATCTCGTCCTGCGACCACCTGATTCACAGCGGATGTGGGGTCACCATATCCCACCGCCAATCCACAAAGAATTTCCATGTCGTCAGAAATATTGAGTTCCTTCTTAATAATCTGGTGGTATCCAGCCACGCTGACCTCAATACAGGTATCCAACCCCAGCGAAGTCAGCTCTAGAACCAAAGTTTGGAGCCACATTCCCACGCTGAGCAGATCCACATCATACATAGTCTTATCAATATAGATAATGCCGGCCATGGGGGCACCGAAGAATTCAAAGTTGCGTAACACGGCCGCTTTCCGTGCTGGTAAATCATCCCTCGCGATACCCATAGCTTGACCATAGAGCTTACGGCCGAGACTTGACCTATAATGACGGAAAGCCTCCGGTAGCTGTAGGATGCGCGAGGGGTCGCTATCAGCGGCCTCGATCAATGCCGTTTTCAAAGACGTGAGAGCATTCCCCGACAGAAATATCGCTCTCCATGGCTGAGTGTTTGAGCCTGAGGGCGCATTTTGGGCCATAATGAGGGATCTCTTGAGGTCGTCAATAGAAACGGACTTGGGGAGGAAGTTGCGGGTAGAATGGCGGGTGGATATCAAGTGGCCCAGGGAGTCATAGATGGCAGGTCTAATGGTGTTATCCATGATGAAGTAGAGAGACGCAAATGACTAGAAAATCTTCTGTTGGATATTTTTCTGACTATATCAGCAAGGCAGGAATGCTCTGCAGGTCTAGAGCCTCTTTATACCTTGTGACATAAATGGTAAGGTGCCGATTATCCGGTACGATTCTGCACGCCGCGTACTTCTACATACACCAGTCCTTTTTCACCTGAATGTTGATACTGGCGGGTTTCGGTACCAACATTCAAGTCAAAAGGGTATAGTACATATGTAGGAGGTACAGGGATGTTTTGGAGAGAGAGGGGGGCAACGGCGCGATCACTGCCGCTGTTCTGTTACTCGCGAGCAATGGGGCTCTTCGAAACGGCCGAACATAACTGATGCTAAAGTTCTAGTTTATAATCGTCGGTGCTAATTTTCACGCGAGCCGAGCCGAATAGCCGGCAAAAGCCAATGACCTTATTGTGACTGCTACGTAAGTTAAGGTCTAGTGCGAAGTCCTACGTAAACTGACCATTTACATACAATCGTGGCTTCAAGTTGCGCCCGCCCCGCAATGCGAATAAGCGCTGTTGTCTTGGCACTCTAGGCAAAGCAATAGCCTATTGCTATATCGTAGGCCACTGTGTCGGAAGAAATATACCGCATAGCCTACTCGGCGTATCGAGGATATCTTGCCTCGGAGTGGGGTCGGAGCAGGGGGGCTCCTTTTGCCCCAAGCGAGATAGACACAGGTCCAGATTTGCCAAAGTATGTACTTATTGATGTTTTTCAGAGCTATAATGGTGTCAAAAGCAAGCCAGTGAGGCTACTTTCACTGTAGATATTTCTGATTATCGAGTAACGTGTCTGTATGGTGTTGAATGAAGTCTACTGAAAATCAGCACACGACAGGAGACTTGATAATATTATTTTTAAAGGCATCACTAGCAATCTGAGACCGGTGTATCTGGACTATGCAGTAAGCCCTAAGCAGCCCTTGGTCAGGATAGAGGATAGAGTCAATACATACAATGCATTCCGACGTCTAACTACCGCAATACTCCAAGGAACATCGTTACATTGATGGAGCAATATTGAGCGCTTTTTTAATGGTGTCAAAGATTGAACCTAACTATCCATCTCCATACTTGAGTGAATTATATTACGCATATCATTCACAGCCAACGGGGCATGGAATACATTCATACCGGGAATTCAGATATTCAAAACTATCGCAGATCTAACTCCACTCCCACCAGCCGACCAGAGTACACTCCCCAAACAACACCCAACCACTCACCCCATACAACCTAGACAGAAACATATAACCCACCATAAAGCCGTCAAAGACGCATGCATGCCATGAATACAATCGCTCCGCCCTATGCCACCCTTATCATACTTTTCCGCACTCGATCCAGCGAACCGCATCACAGATTGGCAGACAGTTTGCCGGACTTCTTCCCCGTATATGTCGCAATAGCATCCATCAATGGGGGCGACAAAGCGTCGTATGTCTTCAAGCCGACCGACTCGAGCCGAGATCGGACCTCATCCATTTTGCTGGGATCGAACCCTTGTTCGATAATGGAAGAGACAAAGCCCGCAAACTGAGGTTCCTGCCAACCCTTCTTATCCGAAAGCTCAACGTGAACGAAGTCGAGTCCCTTGAAGGGGTGATCCTTCTCAATGCGCCCGAACAAATGTGTGCCACATTGCTTGCAGGCGTAACGCTGGATGGCGGCTCCCTTGTCGACGATCTCAAGCTTATCACCGTTCGCAGCCACAGAAAGGTTATCTTTAGGGATCACACCGACGACCGAGAAAAGTGCGCCGGAGGGCTTCCAGCACTTGGAGCATCCACAAGCGTGGTTGTGGGCGACATTACCCTTTAGGGTGACTGTGACTTTGTTCTGAGGGCAGAAGCAGTATAGGTTTCCGCCGGGGAAGTTGTTGTCGCCTTTGGTTATGCCGTTATCGACAAGGGGATGGAGAGAATGAGCCATGATGTTCGTTTTAGCTTTTTGGGGGGGGAGTAAGGTATAATACGTAGATTAGGGTTGAGGTTTCTTAGTGTTTTGGTACGATCCGCGCTTCCAAGTTCGGCCTGGGATACATATATATCTAGGAGGAATTCCGCTACATGTTTGCCATTTATAAAGGTATCGGGTCATTATCGCGCAATTGCACGTACTACCAAACCCCTCATGCGGAGATATAACCCCAAGTAATATTCCTAATGAATTGTGCTCTAGGTCTACGGTTGGGTATCCGTGGACGGACCGTGTGCCGTGACGGGCCGGGGGTTTATATACCCAAAACGGTTGTCCTTTCCGCTCGCCATGCCGGACCTTCTTCCGACCTCTCAGTTCTTTTTAAACACACTATTCACCATTAACCCTAGAAACATTTAGGAGCTATTACCGAGTAGAACATTCCTTGAGTCTCTTAGTATTTACTGCTTCAACGTATTGTGTAGAATTGCAATAAGAAGGATTCTAGCCGACATCAAGCATACATAGCTCTAGACAGTCTTAATGCCTGATAGTATGCGCAACTGGTATGGTCGTAGCAGCTAGGTTCATTATATTTCGTTATTCTGAGACATGCGATATATCTACAATTCCTGACTTCATAATCCTCTTTGATACCTAAGGCCTACGAGACCGCAGTATCGACAACGCATCGGATGCAATCCCCTTGCTTCATGTGTTCAAAGGCCGCATTGATATTGGTCAATGCCTCGCGATGGGTAATGAATTCGTCGATTTTCAAGTCCCCGCGTAGATAGTCATCCACCAGTGCAGGAAGCTGACTGCGACCCTTGACACCTCCAAACGCGCATCCCCTCCACACGCGACCAGTCACTAGCTGGAACGCTGCTTGTCGGTCAGCAATGATCTCCGACATGGAGATTAACTGTACAGGAAATAACTTACGCCGAGTTTTTATTTCTTGACCAGCAGCAGCAACACCAATAACAATACTCTCACCCCAGCCCTTATGGCAGGCTTCAAGCGCCGCCCGCATGACACTCACATTGCCGGTGCAGTCGAACGTATAATCGCACCCGCCGTCAGTCATCTCAATGAGCTGATCCTGAACAGGCTGGTGCAATCTTGCTGGGTTAAGAAAATGCGTCGCTCCAAACTTATATGCCCACTCCTCCTTCCCATCATTAATGTCAACCACCATAATCTTCCCAGCCTTATTCTTCAGCGCGCCCTGAACAATAGATAATCCAACACACCCAGCCCCGAAAATCGCAACATTCGACCCTTCCTCAATCTTCGCCGCAACTGTCGCAGCTCCATACCCGGTCGTAATACCGCAACCAAGAAGACACGAACGGTCCGTTGGACACTTCGACGTAACAGCAACAACCGAAATATCAGCCACAACAGTATATTCGGAAAAGGTTGAAGTCCCCATAAAATGCAGCAGGTCTTTCCCGCGGGCCTTGAACCGGGTCGTCCCATCGGGCATTACGCCACGGCCCTGCGTGCCCCGGATCTTACCGCACAGATTCGTCTTCCCGGACCGGCAAAATTTGCATTCTCCACATTCCGGTGTACTGGTTTCTTCGTTAGATAGTCCCTTTTTTTGGGGGGAGGGAAATTGAGAAAAATAACGTACTAGAGAGCGATAACGTAGTCGCCGACTTTAACATTGGTGACTCCTGTTCCAATTGACTCGACAATTCCAGCGCCTTCGTGGCCGAGAATTACTGGGAATGCGCCCTCGGGGTCTTTTCCGGAGAGGGTGTATGCGTCTAGGGGATTACTTCTGTTAACGACCGAACCAATGGGTATGGAAATAGTATCCGATTAACGTACCGGTGTGACAAACACCTGTGTGGAGGATCTTAATACGAACTTCATGGGCTTTTGGGGGCGCAACCTCGACGTTCTCGACGGAGAGGGGTTCTCCTGCTGCCCAGGCGATGGCGGCCTTGTTGGTATTTAGCAATTATCTTCTGCGGAAGAAAAGTTCTGTCCTTTCGTACCTTGCAAGTGATTGTCTGTTGGTTGTTAGCTGCCATCAATATTGTTTTGAAGCAGAAGGCCGGAAACATACCTTTCCGACAGTGCTCGCCATTGTGCAAAGTGTGTATCTCTAGTCACTTAACAGTATAGATTGAGAAAGGAACGGGGCGAAAACAGTTCAAGGAGGAAAGAGGAAAGAAAGAAAATAGAAGCTAATGAAAAAAGAAGTGGCATTGCATCCGAACAGTACTATGAGGCAAGGGGCATGCAATGAGAGAAGCGGAGACCGAAAATGAAATAATGCCTTGGTGAGGGGTGCGGGGAAAACAGTGCATGAGGGGATAGCTCACGATACTAGATGTGGGGTTCTACTTTACTTTTCTCTACAGCTTGTCTAAGTCAAGATCTGGTAAAATTATGGGGATGCTATTCTCGGAAGACCTTCCGACTGTTTGGCGGTGGAGGTCGGGAGGAGCTGCATTGAACATCCGTTTAGGGTTATCAATCCCAGGCGGCAGCAATCTTCTCGTCCGCAATCTACGCACAAAAGCCTTTGGACAACATTACACTATATTAGAGATAATGCTACTTGGTGAATAAATGGAAGATATAGTTCCGAATAAAACATATTATGCTTAATGGACAGAAAAGTACTCCCCTGGCATTGACAGCCAAGGAATTCTTTTCCTATCACACTAGTCCGCGGATATGCCTAGCGCGAACAACATCTCCAACAACGCCAAAAGGGCTTTGGCGACCAGAAAGTAAGAAGCTAGTGAATGAGTTTCTGCATGTATAACTTGGTGTACCCAGGAACCGTATGCCGTTACAGTGTTGTAGTAGCTTTTATATTCTCTGCTCCCTAAAACCTCTGAATAAAAATTTTGTCACGCCGTTTTTCGGGGGGCATGCCTTAGACCTAGAGACTACTGTCATATCTAGGCAGGATATCAAGCTACTCAGCGAGCCTTGACCTAGTTCTGATCTTCAATAACTTGACATGCCGCGCGCCGACGATAATGAACGTGATGTTAAATTTGGTAACGGAGCGTTACTTAGCAGTTCCTACTTTGATTGTCGTATGGGTCTTGCTCCCCTGTTCATCGAGTTAGGCGCCTACTAGTAGTGGGCGTTATCAAGCAGCTGTGAGTGATGGTAAAACATGTACTATTTTAAGCTAAACAACATACGATATGCCACATGTAATAGCAAACAAGATCAAGGAAGAATCACATTGAAACTTACTCCGTAGACAACAAAGGTACCCACACACACTCATCAAGACCATTGAATATTGCTCCACATAGGAGTAATGACATGTTGGTGTTAGTGTCCATGTTGTAAAGTACTCAACTCAGCTAGAAATGCCAGAAAGCATAGAAATGATAGATTTGCCTATGTCCAAGGCGGTCACCTTCTCTTCTCGACTGGCGTAGGGTTGTAGAGGCAAGACCTTTTCAGCCGCCGAAGACAGATGGCTTACATTCTCCTCCACCCTTGGGAATGAACACGTGATAGGTAGTATGGGAGAAGAAAGTGCTTCAGAGGATTCGAAGCAATCGGTTCCAGTGGTAGATTCTGTAGCCAGCGATTCACTGCTGGTAGTCTTTGTGGTGTTCTCCGCGAGTTCAGGAGCAGGAGTTGAAGGGATCATGTTACGTCTCAGCTCTTCCTGGATCCAATCCTGCCATCGTTCATCGTCATGTGAGAATCCTGTAAAGGGCGATTTGTATTCCGGCTTGACATGTCCATTCTCAAGATAGGCATTATCCACAAACTTTGCCCATCCTTTCACAATGCGACAAATATCACTAAGGCTTTTTTCAAACCACTCGCCATGGCTAACTGGTTTTGATTTGCAATTTTCACACTGATGTTTTTGGCGTCGTTGATCCAACTCAGCATGCACCAGTTTCTCGACCTTTTTGGCATCTGTGCATGTAGTAAAGCCCTTGACGATTAGATCTGGGTAACATTTCGCCCACACTTCAAGTCGATCCTCCATCTTTGTCGTGTGCCCAACTTTGAATTTGTTTGGTATCTTCACATGCGAAAAAATGTATACTACGTGCCATTCTGTGTCAGTCTTCTTCGGCATGTTGAGTAGTTCAATTATCTTTGCGTCAACTTTCTCGCGTGAGTCATGTTGAGTATTCGCTTCGAAACTGTCCGGAGACAAACTGGATCTCCTTCGATCGTCCTTTGTCTTCTGTGGCGTAAGTGGGGCGTTGCTGTCTGGAAGAGCCTTGCTGGGGAGGCAATCTGTATCGCTGATCTCTCGGGTCCACTGTTCCACAGCATCCAAAATGCAGTCCACTGTTCTATGATTATGGCAGGAACATAATTCAGCAAGTTTAGAAAGAGGAAGCCCGCTTGGAGAAGTACCATGGTGGTCTTCGTAGAAAGCCACAATGGCTTTAAAACGGTCCTTACCGATCGGTTTCTTACAGCGCCTGATAGACCCTTTCTCAGAGACTTGGGCAACGCACTTTCTACTCACTTCGAGCGCCTTAAGGGCCGTGAGATCGAAATGGACGAATTGTTGTACGGATATTTTGCAGAAGAGGGGAGTCAAAAGAACGGAATAGTGAGACCGGTCGTACCATATCTTTGGATCGCGCTCGGGGCTATTCTCTGTTATAAAAGGATGAGGGGACTTGGATGTCTGAGCCACGCGAGGCAACGAACCTATGTTCCCAGCCTCCAACAGCCAGACACCGGAGATTTCGGGATAGTGGAAGATGTTCCTGCATGACGAGATGTACATCCTTGCTAGGGGCTGAAGGTATGTGACGTGATTGGCAGCGGTCCATCTTCTTACGCGCCGATCCGGAGGCTTGCCATGGGTGTTTATGGGTTACGGCTACAATTCGGTGATCTTTTACTGAAATAGAAAGCAATCCAACCCTCAAGGCTGTTCATAACAACAGTAGCCTGCGCGTGACCACAGAGATATTGGAGCGATGTAACGCTACCCTCAGTGCCATTCAACATCTCGGGCTTATGAGGGTCTAGCAGCGACAAGGGTACGAAGTAAAGATAGTGATCATCCCTGAATATCTCTGTTGCGAGTCGTTTGAACCTCGCGCTTTGATTCCTGACCGGCCACTCCTGTGTCCAATGGTTAAGTGGGTGGCTTCCAGATTTGTAACCTCTACTAGGGATACAAAGACAATTAATTAATCTTCTAGCATACGCTATTACAAAAGGTATTGAGAGGATTGAACACCCAGTATATCATTTGTCTTAATGTTCGTACGACTCAGGCCCTTCAGGCCGATGGGTTCGGTAAGCACTTGCGAACGTAGTAAACCATATAGTAGTGCCTTGCATTTTTATTGTAAAAAAAAGGGGAAAAGCTGACATAAGGTTGCATATACTCTCTCACTCATCTCCCTGGGTATCATCTTTGGCGAAATAATTTACTCCATTTCTTAGCTTACTATATTTGATACGTGGACCCGGTATATGAACCCGTCTGTGAACTTAAGAATTTAGACGCAAGCTATATATTTCCACTGCCTTGGGGAAGCAAAACTCCTATTCTCTCATAGTTGGCGAGTTGCAATTCATATAAACGGCTCGAGCATTTACGAACAGCACAGCAGTCAAAGCAGCTGAAAATAATACAGCACAAAGATCAAACATTACATGAAGCCCAGACTACAGTCTGCCATTGCAACAGCAAAACATATAATAATCGGCGTAACACCTCTTCGTCCTGGCGCCAAGGTGATGGCTAGATCATGCCCAAATACATTGCCATTCGTACAGTTCACATGTATGGGTTTCCCCCTCTTGGCCCACGTTGAAATACTCCCAGACCATGATTCCTCCTATGTTGTGGTGCTTTGCTCGGAGGGCCGCTTGTGCCCTTCCGATGGTTTCTAGTGATAAATGGCCCTTGCTACCATTCGCCGGGTTGGCCAGCACACCAGCAACAACGCGTTTTGGCCCGAATCCAGCCATGTCGATCTTATCGTAACCATTAGTGGGTTCTATGCAGCCGAAGCCATTATAGAACTGGCCATTATAGAAGCTGATATTCTTGCCCTGCTTTTGTTCCAACTCTTGAAAGTCGACGTAATTAGCCTATGGCTGCCTGTGTAACTAACTCGCAACTGGAGTCATACAGATTTCGAATGATGGCGGGAAGTCTTTCCGGGGCCGTTCAATAAGACGATTAATGCCCTTCTGAGATATCGGTTCTTTGACATTGAGGTCAATACCATAAAATTTATAGAGACGAAGCATTCAAGACAGGTTCCCATAACATTCCTCAAATGTTTCATCATTATCATGCACCGGAAAACTGCCTGGGTTACCGCCGTCAAGCATTGCCATCACCTCAAGGCCCAAAGCCTGCAGTTTGGCGACGGAGCTCCACGTCTCATAGTACTTCGGACTATGTGGTGGATCTTTATTCAGATTAAGATAGTCGTTGGTACACAGGTGAAAGCAACTGATTCTCAAGTGGATCAGGGTCATTGTTCCAAAACGCTTTTGGAAACGGTAGGGCAAGTAGATCGTTCCCAGTCATCCATCTATCGTCTAATAGAAGCCCACAACCATTGGAGCCCCTGATTCGCGCTTGAAATCGATCCAAGTGGCCTCCTGATATTTAGCCCGATTTGAGGTCTTCGTTAGGCCATCTACGCATGTCAGGCTAAATGTGGGTTTGTCAATTGCGCCATGAACTGATGCAGAAAGATCACTATGGGGATCAACTGAAATGGCATAGCTTGTCAGTTCGCCTTCCTGCCATGTTTTGCCATGGCTAGTCTCGCGAATCACTATTGAGCTAATGTCATTGGGCTCGGTGTAGAACTAATGCAGCTGTAGGCTAGTTAGATGGTTCCTTAGCCTGGAAGGCGTAGAATCGGTATATCTTATCATCAAATACAATCCCGCTTAGAGGGTTACTGATATTCTTAGAAACTCGGACAATTGTCCCGTTGTCGTAAACTATGCCAGTGGCATCGAATTGATCGCTACGTTCCACAGCTCTATGCACGTAGAGACGTCCGTTGGCATTGTAGAAAAACATGAAGGTGCCATCAAGGAACCATTCTGTAGCGATATTTCCGTGCTCATCGGACGCCAAGTGACCCTGAGCTGCACTAGTAAACTAAGGGTGGGAAGATAGGGTAGAAGTGTCTGATCTAACATCTTGCGATTCGTGCAGGCTGTAGGTAACTCTTGTGAGAAGAATCAATGGGCCTTGGCAAACTGCTCATCGGCTATCTGTGATGATAAGCACGTTATAGAGACGACTGATATTGGGTATTAGGTTATGTCTTCGCAATTTGGATCCATTCGGAAACCATACGTGGATACATCATATACTAAAGCTTATGATGCCATCACCTCCGGTGTATATTACAACGGTCCACTTACGGAGGTTGCAACAAGGGTGACATTCTACTTCAGATACCGCATTCAGCAGTTTGTGAGTCTAGAACAGTGGAGTATGAATCATCCAGCGAGGTGGCTATGGTACATTGACGACAGGTACTGTGTGAAGTGACTTCAACCCAATACCCACTTTGCTAGGAGAAACGTATAAAATGTGTCCTAGGATAGATGTTAATCCATCATCGGCCTCAGAACCGGCTATAGCCCACCCACCCCCCTGTGCAAGGAATACCATTAACACCCTAATGGCCACCTACCTTCCAGATTGAAGCAATGACATACTACGCAAGCAGCCCCAAGTGTTTTGGCTACCGCCACTTTCTGGGCGGCATAATCTAAATTTCCTGTAGCATATCCTTAGTAACGAACCAGCTACGAATCTGCAGAATCTGCATTACATCATTTCTTTGCATCCGGGCGGTTTGAGCGCAATGTCGAAGGTGTTTCCAAAGCATGCTATGTAGCCAGCCCCGCACAGGTTCGTCTGGGAAAGGTTGTCAAACCAAAAGCATCACACTAGCAGGTGAGAAGTACACCGACTCGGATTGCCAATTCCGTCCTTCATAGAAGGGGCCCAATGCACTGCCAAACATCAGAGTTGAATATCGTGCCCCATATAACCATGATGGCCATCTAACACCTTGCTTCTGTTCCGCTTACCTTATAGTTTACTGGTTAGAGAGCAAGCTTGTTTTCAACCGATACTAACAGAATGGCACTCCGGGCATGCACAGTCCTACGTGCATGATAACATTCCTCGTCTATGTTACACACTCTGTATGAAAGGGTGCTAGGGATGTATGCAGACAGCCACGAACAACTAGAACCACTCTCCGGGCGGATTCTTCCGCGCACTATCTCTTGTATGTAACGATGGCTGCCTTTTGCCAAAAGACTACGTGTGTGTCTACGCCTACTCCGGTATGATATCACTTCTGACAATATGGAGAGCACGTAAACCGAACCTGGAAACTGTGAGCTCATACATATGGTAAAATGTGATGTAATACGTTAAGTAAAGCTCTTAGGTTCTACTTTCGGTACATACTTTGATAGGTGAAGAATGCCATGCAATAGCCCTACTCTCTACCATAGACCAGTCTTTACCGTGGAATATAGATACACTCTCCTTCCCAACAGGATCCCTGGAATCCTTACATTACCGGCAATTGCTGGGATCCTGGGATCACTTTTTTCGAAGGAATACGCGATCTTGGTGTAAGGAAAACGTATCATCTCCCCCGTGGTGCCCTCTCCTTTTTGTTCCTTTCCCTATCACTCACATCTAGTAGGCTGCGTATCACCCAATAGAGCGGTTCATTCTCTGAATCGCGGCGTTGAGTTACTTCTTTGATGTACTGATAGAAAGTTCTCATTCAACATTCCCCCTCCGGTACAGGGTTATAAATCCTCCATGTAATACTAATATTTAGTAAATAGTCAGCTAAGCCGAAGAGTATGGCATATCAACGACCGAACCTAACTTTCACTGGGCCATTGAATGTACTCCGTATATCTTCGGGATAATGTCCGGGGCGCAGGGTTAGCGCGACTATAAATAAATGCGGCTTAGATTTGACTAGTGAATAGGCAGAGAACTTGGCATTTGGCATCCGCTGAATATCCATCATCTGCTCGCCCGCACACAGCCGCACATACTAAACTGAGTGTAGCTTTTAGCTCTATTACAATCCTAAAGGTATCTAACAGAATGCTTGTTTCTCTTTTAGACCTACCGAGTGAGCTCCTAGACCGAATCGTCGAGCTTGTGTCGCGCTACGAAAGCCCGGGTCCCCGACGGTTCCCTGCCCGCATGGCAAAACTATGTGCCTGATATGCGCGCAGACGAGGATATCCTTTCAGGGGGCTACGGCGTTTTCCATGTCAAGTACTGGAGGGACCAGGAACAATACCATGACGCTTGGACATCGAATCCTTTATCACTTCTCCTTGTCAATCATCAGATCTCCGAAGTAACCAAGAGAAGACTGGATAGTTCATTTACGCTTTCCTCGTTCCAGCTCGATGTTATCCTGAACAACGAGGGGGAACTACATCCAAGATGGTGTTTCTTACGTATCCCTGTCGCCATGTCGATGATCGAACGGCGACTTTTAGGGTGATAGGCACCAGTCAAACGCCAGGTTGGCGCAAATACCACCTTCTACCAGACGAGGACTCCCCGCCTCGAATTCTCTGGGCCTTCTACTATCTGTTAGAACGCTTCCTAGAAGTTGGCCCCTTGGCGGAGCACAGAGTGACCAGGCCTGGACCCCGTACAGAGGATATGCCCTTTACGATCAACCGGTTAACCTTAGATTTTGTCTCGCCGGCTAATAAGGAAATGTTAGCACCTACGGATCTGAGCTTTTGGTCCTGGCTAAACGGGGACACCGATGAAGACTAGCCAGAATCATCTACATCACCTTGTAGCGGTGCTTTCAACTTGCTTATGCGACCGCAATGGTGGGCCGATCTTATCAGTGAATATGTTGGGTATCTTCTCGGCATGAGTATCTCTATGGCACCTTACGGAAAGGTGCTGTATGAGTATGTGGGAAGTATCAGGACCTGCGTCGACGGGAAATTGATGAAGAGCTATCGAATCGACTACAGGTTAAAGGATCTGAATTATGAAGGTCTGGAAGAAGATTATAGAAGGTATTGGGATTTTCGACGGTGGAAAGAGAAGGTTTATCAGATGCGTCAAGAGGCTGGGCTCCCTGTTATTTTGTGACCAATATTGGTCTGGACTCTTCGATCATCGGTCTAGATTGTCTGTTATATCTTTTCTATTCCCATATTAAGTGGCGTATAGCGTTTGTTCGCCTTAACTCTGCGTTGAGATTCTCTAGCATCACTTTGAGAGGTGGGGATAAAGAGGTTTGGCCAGAGAATCTCCAACTCTATTGTGGTTTTAGTTTAGCACACTATGGCTAATATCCGCTGTATTGTCCCTAGAGAGGCCCTCCTAGCTCACTACATTAGTAGGGATGGCTTCCAGCATGATTTTTGACAGGCACGGACTAAATATAGGAAGAAAGTATGACCGATAAAAGAGATATTATGTTCGGATTTCCCTCATTCCTATCTTCCTGAAAAGAAATACAACATTTCAAAGCCTGATAGTCAGGTATTGCTTAGTGATACTAGCAAATATTACCTACTAGACCGATTGCCAAGGAGCTAGACACCGCAGACTTTTAGCTATGTATCGCCAATTGCCACAGCACTTGGTAGGCTTTACCCTAGATTTTCACGGTTCCGAAACCATATACGCCCATATCTGTGTCTTTGACTTGGATATTATGCTAATCTCTTTATATAAAAGCATCGAGGTTATTGGCGATATGCCAACCAGGCGCTTTTAAGAGGTTTTTCGGCATTATGAGTGAAGAAAGCGTACGGAACTAGCCGAGGGATATTTTGGGCGGCCATAAGTACCCCTGCTGGCGTAGTCAGGCTGATCAGCGGCACTATATATGAAGAAATAGAGTCCGGTATCTTTCTATCAAGAAACATTCAGTAAACTTGCACGTAATCCTCTGGCGTCTTAATCTAGCCTACGTAGTCTATCGTATCACCAAGGCGCTTTAATTTGCTCAATGGGTCGACTGCGGCTGGGTCTGGTTTACTTCCTGACTCGTCTGTTCTAGACACTAGGGGCCTATGCGGTTATGTAGTAATCGATGCTAGGTCTTGGTGGTATGGGCAGGCGCATAATCATCAGGAAGGTGTCGGACTGTGGAGAGATATTAAGGCTCTTCTCCGGAAAGGTATACATACAGATGAGTAATAATCGAGTAATCCTTCTAAGTTAAGTAGAAAAAATTTACTTATTATACCTCGCGTAGTTTAACCGTTCAATAGCGGTGTTTAGATATGTTACAAGCAGATACCCACTGACTGCGATGGTGAACATAAGCAGTGAAATTTTGGGGGAAAAAAAGAAGGAAGACGTATACTGTCTAAGTTGCCTTACGGGTGGAACACAAGGAATGAGGATCACAATTCCCCCTTTCATTGATGATCCCATCTCTTCGCTGAGTAGGCAAAAAGCTGATGATGATCAAAAGCGCTACGAGGGAAGACAGGCCTTTAGTGCAACTCTAGCAAGGTGCGTTTTTATTGAGTTTACCTTACTCGGGCTACTCACTCCTCTGCTCATCCCCTTAGTGATCAGCTCAGGGCGTGCTCAGATCTACTCATTGAGCAAAAAGCGAGGGATGAGCAATAAAACGGAAAGGGAAAGCCTTCGAGCTGTCTAGAAAATCCGGTGTACATATAGCTATTAACATGATTATCTAAGATGATATGCACATAGAACACGTTATGATATTCCATCGCATGAGAACCGATGCCCAGCATCATGTACATGATTCGTCAAGATAGAAACAGACCACATCACGCAAGCTTCATCACTTTCTTCAAGGCTTTTAGAGAGATAGGTTTAACCATGTAGTCATCCACCCCAGCGGCGTGCGCCTGTTCCAGTGTCTCCGCTGAGCCTAAACCGGTGATGGCCATGATACGCGATGGGGGAAGATTCATTTCCTTTTCGAATCGTCTGATTTGACTTGTCGATTGAAGACCATCCATTACAGGCATTGATATATCTATTGTGTTATTCGTTGTCAGCCGGGCCCAGGAGAAGCATAAGAATAGCAACATACCCATAAGGACGATATCATATCGTCGGCGGGAGTCTTTATATTTATTCAAGGCAATCAGACCGTCCGGAGCTGTATCGTAGCTACAGCCTAATTTGCGGATAAAGGTAGACAAAATCTGGTCAGATGGCCGTTAGCCTAGGGGGTATTGATCGCTAGAGGTATGCCAAACATGGAGGGGTGATGCAAGACGGATGGTTACTTGCCTTTAGGTTTATCTCGTTGTCATCAACGAGCAGACAATGTATTTTGTTCGTGTGCTGGGGTGGCTGCGTAGGAGCGCTAGGAGGTAGGGTCACTCCCACATCCGCAGGATTTTCGGGACTTGCTGGCAAAACGAGCTCTAAGGCAGGCTGTTTTGGTGGAACTGGGTTCGTTTCCGGAGCCAGATGAAAGTCGTGATCTTTCAATAACTTCAGATGAAGTTCTTGTATCCTTCGGATCGCGTCGTGGATGTTGGCTGGTCCAAACGGCTGGGAAACACGGATAACATTCGGCGGCAGGTCTTGTAAGAGAGGCTTGGAGCTACTCAGAAGGATGAAGCAATTTATTCCAGTTTTCGTGCGAAGCTCTAGCGGTAACTGACCGTCGGTGGCCACCTTAGTGAATTCTGACTCTTCGACAATTGCAACGTCACCGCAACTGTGCGCGAGAGACTCGGCGGTGGAGACATTCCACCCATGTTGTGCCATCAACACCGGTGCCAATGAACTTCGAATGGCTAGTTTCCGTTTTGCTTCAACTGGCAAGATTCCTGTGGGACTTTCTCTGATGTCAGGGTAGCCTTCAAATCCGACCAGACAGGCCTTCATTGGGATGCTCGGGATGACAATTGATGAGGGATTATCATTAGCCAACAAACGGACTGGAATGTAAATATCAACCTGCGTGCCAACCCCAACCTCACTCCTCACATTGATATGTCCGTCCATTGAGGTAACCAATTGACGCACGATGCTGAAACCTAGCCCCAGACCTTCCGACAAGGAATCCTCCTGCGCGAATGGGGAGAAGAGCTTGTTTTTGAGAAACATTGGATCGATCCCTTTGCCTGTGTCCGTGACAGAAAGATGAGCGAAAACCTTTTCGGGGTCAGACTGTCTCATAACCTTGGAAAGACAGATCTCCACGAAGCCAGAACTAGTAAACTTCAGTGAATTTCCAAGAAGGTTCATGACAACCCGTTTCCACACCCCCGGCAAGGACTCAACCCTCCATGCATTCTGTTCCTCAATGCGAACCACGACAGTCAGTTCACTAGGGAAGTTGTCATTCTTCGGAGTCAGCAAGGGATCCACGAACGGTAAGGCTGCTTTCGGTACTTGTTGGCCAATGTATTGTACCCTTGCCACCTCCTCAATAAGATTGGCTAAGTCAAAGGTCGTGATGAGTCTACCGTCGACGGCTTCTGTCTGATCCTCACATGATGTATCCTGAGTAGTCAAATTGTTGATCTTGGTAAAGTCTAGTCTACAGAGGGATGAGTGATTTGATGTAGGAATAAAAGGGGCATTACTCACAGATGGTTCAATGTATCAAACAAGGCTAAGCCACAGGCCTTGAGCGTGTTCATCCAATGCAGCTGGGTCGGTTGGAGAGGGGTCCCTTCGAGTACCTCCGCGCTGGCCAAGATACCATGCAGCGGCGACCGGAGTTCATGACTGACTGATGAGATGAAGTCGGATTTTGACTGCTGAGTGGTGGACCAATCAATGCGCGCGAGCTCCGAAATGATCGAGTCGCCCAACACCCTCAAATACGGTAAGTCGTACTCTCCTAAGGCACGGTCGCTAGCACGAGACCAGACCAAAGTGCCGGCGACCCATCGCGATTCCCTCCAACTCCATAAAGGCGACCAGAGAACACTATAGGCATCAGGGAGGCGTTCACGAAGCTGTCCCAAGATGTCACGCAGGATGTTCGAACTTGCATCCCGACTGTTGTCCTGCGTCAACAGCCCATCGGAGTCGCGTTGGTCTTCTTCAATGAATTCATGGAGATTGAAAAACTGCCCCTGTGGAAAAGAAACGATTAACTGACTTAGCAACTTTTCCGTGATCGTGACGGTGGCGGAACCCGCATGTGACGGCGTGTTCGACGCCCGACCCAGCACCTCACAGGGCTTCTCTCCGGACTTGGATAAGGATCCGACCCCTGGTAAATCAAACGGGCTGGGTACCGGGTCGGCAAGGAATTCTGGGTTGGCCATTGTAGGAAGCGGTTCCCAGCTACGAGAATAATCGTCGGACAAAACCCTACCACTTTAAGTCAGTACGAGAAATCATCGAGTTACAAGAGCATTATACTAACACGCCGGAGTTACATCGACTAGCATCGAGGTACAGCACCTCATCCAAGTCGAGGGAGTCCCGCAGGGAGACGCTCGCCCGAGCGAAGACCTGAGTAATCCGGCGCGAACTCTCGGTGCAACGTCTCACAGACACTGTAGGCAGTTCGTTCTGTTCGCAGGTAACTTCCCGAGAACTCAGAACCCTCTCCGCTAGGGATGTTGCGGCCGGCTGCGATGGGTTATAGAAAGAAGACGACGTCTTCGTTTCGTCTGTGCATGTTATTCCAGAGAACAAGGATGATAACTCGACTACTGATGAATCTGACCCGTTTATATTCGGGCTTTCTGCGGTGCGTTCGCCAATCGGACCTGTCGTCAGGGAACCCGGTGGAGGCTGATCACAATAAGCTGGCAGCGGCGATTGTCGACTGATCGGACGACGCACCTCGGCCGGGTCGAACTCTCCATGATCCTTAACGAAATTGGTGAGACCTTTAATGAGTTTCTCGGCCCGGGAATGATCAATCGAAATGCGGACCTTGTCGAGATGCAAGGCTACTGCATCCGCGATTTCTTTCAAGGCCATCACATCTTCTTCCGCAAAGTGACCTCGTGGTTTGCTATCCACGACACAAAGTGACCCCAGCACGACGCCGGAGGGGCTATACAGAGGCACCTCGGCGTAAAAGCGAATGTACGGCCAACCTACAACATACGGGCGGTCTTTGAAAAGGTCCTCCTGAGAGAAATCATGGACGACAAACCGGGAGCTGTTCGCGATCATATTGGGCGTCTCAACCGCTTTGGACATGTCCTGGCCGGTGAAAAAAAATATGGTCTGCGGACAAACCCCCCACGCCAGATCGATCGATCGGACTCCCAGGTAAATGGCATCGTCTGGGAGGTGATGGTCCTTGTTCCGCAGAGAGATGGAGCCGGTAGCCTCGGCGATAATGTGCTGGTTCCCATTATCGATGATGGAGATGAAGGCTCGATTGCACCCGAAACGCAACACGGCCAATTGGCTCAAAGCGGTGAGTGTGATGTCGGAGGACAAGCGAGGTGACTGAGTGTTCGCGTCTTCGTTTGCTGTCGTTGTCTTTGGCCTGTTTTCGAACTGGGAAAGAGAAGGGAGGCGATCAAGGGTGCAGTAATACCTGTTGCCGACGGTGGAAATGATCAGCGGATCAATGGTGCCTTGTGTCGCCTCCGAGCGTACCAACGGAGTCAACCGTCATATCGTTACTAACCTGGATAGTTCTCTAATCCTTTCCCGTTCGGCCTCTGGATGGGAAGACCGCGGAAAGGTAGCTGCCATCCTCACATATCTATCTTCCACGATATAGGGGACTGTTATCGTGGAGGGAAGAAAAAGAGGAGAGAGAAAAGGAAACTTGAAACTGGTTTAGTTACTAGCACCTGTGTCCACTTCCTCGCCCTTTCATTGGTGAGCCGGTCCGGTCTAGACTACTCCGAGCGACCACGTGCCGGCCTGCAATTCCACCCAACCAGAGGGCGTAGAGTCCCACGGACGTTGATATCATCCGTTTTCTAGAACCCTAATTCCCCACAGCCGTTGGAACAATTTTAATAGTATCCATTAGAGGGAAAGATTGCGACACATCCAATTGTAATTATGTTTCTTTCATTTCATACTTTGTTTCTAGAGGAAGCTTATAGGTGGACAAAACATGGAGGTATAGAGACATTTCAGGTACTAGGCTCAATTATACAATGAGGTCGAGGTTGCTCATCCTTCAGTAGAGAGTGAAGAAGTCAACCTGAGTTCTTTCGCGTAGTTGTTAGTAGATCCCACCTATCAACCTTATTTGACCTGTATGTAGTATATATTAAATAATGAGATCCTCAGCGGGGTCATCCTTTCGGCTTGGGCCAAGGAGCGAAATTCCTTGGAAGGTCTCAAAAAGTAGAAAATAATGATCATGATAATAGTGATATTTCTAATTACAAAGGAAGAGTTGGAGTTTTATTTTTGTTTCGGAGTTTGGAAGAGAATGAAGTGAGTTAGGCGTTCCCATAGACTACTTAGATAGTACAGCGCTGTTTGTTGGTAGAAAGACGAGTAAAGCTTGTCTGTCCTACGGGACTAAATTGGTGGATGGGACGCCACCGATCATACTACGGCGCGGGAGTGGAGCAACTACAGCGGATATGAACGCCACACGACACTGATCGAGACTGTTCGCGACGAGGGTTTGCTTGTGGCTTTCGGTGCGTATACATACCGTGTGGGGCGTGCCAATGTCGATCCTGGCCAGCGAGCAGAAAGATGACAAAAACCAGGTTGGCGGTACCCCTGTCGCCCTTCGTGCTCGCGGAGACGTACATTGTTCCTGGTATTCAGCAGATCTCGACGCCAGACGTGCTCGCGTACGATATCGCCAAGCGAAAACGGTACACATAGAAGACCAACGGTGACATTCCGCGGTGGCGTATGTCGGGCTGTACTGCCCTGTCCGCGGCCCCCGATCAATCCTCGTTCTCAATGTATGCGGCCCCAGCACAGATAGTAACTTAAAAAGATGCAATATTTGATACCTGTAGCTACATTTTCAGTTGAGTGGCCCCCACGACTGAGAGTTCTGACGGCAATGTCAAATTACTCTCCATTCCCTCGTTCCGATGGATCAAGGGGTACGACGACGGCACGGTGCGCATCAGGCACCAGTTCATCCTCGTCCACGACGATACTATGATGGTGGTTGGCGGTCTCACACCTGTAACAGATCAGGGATTCATCCCTCTGAGCCGCAACGGTGACTCGGCAAAGTTCGCCAACGGGATCGGCCTCTTCGATTTACGTACTCTTCGTGGCAGACAAATTATGTCAGAGCCTATGGGAGCCTAAGGCAACAACCACGTGACCTGACCACAACACCAAGGAATCTCTGTATGATAGATTTAGACCTTAAGACAATCAATCCCATTACACGTGAGCGACACCAGCTCCATCAAATTATAATACCAGCGATAATATCTCGCATACAATTTTGTCGAATGTGTACGATATCATGGGCAGAAGATACATTGGTAGACATGCTCCCATGGTCGTTCATACTATATAGAGAGAGAAATATTGGGATCAGGTGCGGTCTTCGACAATGAGTCCGGCGGCGCTACCTTCAACAAGCCCGAGTAGGGCTTCAATAGCACCGATATGGCCTCTTTTATTCCATAGACACTCAGCCCCCCAGATATCCATGCCAGCACAGCCCACGGGGCCCGGCTCTACATCCGCGTCCACACCGATAAGGTCACTATCCAGCGCGGACATCGCTGGGGCTGCCGTCGGGGCCGTGGCCGGCCCAATGTTAGTGGCAGCGCTACTATGTCGGCTTTCATCGGCCGCGCACGAGAAAGGGAACCCGTGCAGCACCTAGCAGTGATTTGGCCACAGACGCAGGCAGATCAGCCGGCCGGACATACCTGGGAACCAGCCAATCTACGTGCTGGTTGACTACTGCATCCACACAGCGGAGAGATGCCAACGGAAATCCCGCGCCAAGAGATGCCAACCCATTGGAGTTGACCCGAGTCTTCTCTGTCGCACAGGCGGTAGTCTAAATTTCAAAGTAAGGAAGAAGAGAAGGTATTGTATGGGTAATAAGAATGTACATCCATTGGGATTTATTTTATCGTATTTCAAAATACATGCTGATTACGAGAGTGATTATATTATTAGGACACATGAGGGAGCGTGTGTACTCAGGAAGTAGCCATGGTCAGCCCTGCCCTTGTGATCTACTATGTTGCATCTACCTTCTTCATATCCATGGCTTCCGTGACTGCAAGAGTGTCGATGAGCGTATTGACCGCGACATTTGCCATGGTAGGAATGACCCGATGGCCTAAGGCGTGGCAATAATCTCAGTGATCTTCGAAGGCTCTATGGTCTTGGTAGCACTAAGTGATCTAGATGGCCCTCAATATGGGGACTACATCAACGACTACCAATATCAACGATGCAATGGCCTCAGGGTTGCATTGCTGGAATTGATCTCAATGGCATAGGTGTGACCACACCGCTACGGCTATGGATTACTCGACAAAGAGAGTAGAAGCAACAGATTCGCTGAGTTCAACGATGTCAATTACGAAGGGTTCCATCCGTGAAGTACCAAATCTCCTGTAGTGGATGCCTTGCATCATGACCTCCGTGTTCGGCGATATCAAGGTGCTAATCTGCACAGTATGGTCGATGGCTCTTCTGATCTGCAGTATGAATAAAAACTCTTTACATGTACGGCATTCCTTCCTTGCCTCTGTAACGTTGGCTGTTTACTAAGATACCTTTTGGGTCCTACTTGCTTCTTTGCTTTACCATTCCTGATTGTCTTAAGAATGACATCGTAGATTGAGACAAGGATATCTCAAGTTGAATATTCAGACAATATATGCATCGAGGCTACTCGTGGAGATCGTTTTCCAGAGGCTCTCGGCTTTCCTTTCGTGCAACACTCTGTTATCCGTAGCATTCTGTATCATGATGGCTTTGCGAAAGAGCTCATTGGCTCCCTACCTGTCTTCACGCGTGCACTGAGCGCACGAAGCATAATGAGCAACAAGATCCCGCAAATCAGCCAACCAGAGGAGATCCTTTACTGCATCTGGCGCCCAGAAGTAGCCACAGAAGCTACATATTGTCAGATGGCTCGCTGCTATCCACAAATAAAATATTATGTTGGACGAGCCTGCGACGTTGCTGGGTATTTTAATCTATACGAGGAGCTGAATCTGCTATCTGAAGTTCATATTGCCCACGAGGCGCGAGACAACGGCCATTCGGATATTTACAAGGACATCATGGCAAACCCTGTCAAGTACGAAGTTCATGAACGACTATTTCCGCACGATCAACACGGATCAACCAAAGGTGGCCCATCTGAACGGCGACACTGCCGCCCGTGCTTACCTTGAGATTAATCAGAAGTTTCGGGAATCCGGTGAACCATTTAATGCTAAGGGCACGGCATCAAAGGGTCATTACTTTGACATCGCCGCAGTCAATGGGGTGGATGAGTTCAACACAGAGAACCTGCCCTCTGACAAAGCAGCTGTGACTTAGTATCGATACTAACACCACTTCCCCAAGGCTTTCTGCTCATTAACAAGGACATTCTTATACATACTGCTGCGTACTACTATAACATTGATTGCAATGCCGGACTGCGCCGTCCAATGACACTACTAACCGAGATACGCTGTATTGTTCAAGGGATTTATCACAACACAATGTTCGCCAAATAGTAGTCTTGCCAACCCGATATTAGTGGTTAACGAATCCAACGCGCATCCATGCTCGATTTATTATAGACAATAATCTCTCCCGTATTGCTCCTGAAACAAACTGATAACGAGCTCCCTTATATAATATAGTACCCGGCCATTGCAAGCTGGCGGGTTTATAAAGATCTCGCACGACAAAGGCCTTCCATTAAAGCAGCTGTAGCTCGAGTATGTATTGTAGCCGATTACAAGGGGTATACGATGATCTGAATGTAGATCCAGGCATGGATCTCCTTGCAGAGGCGTAAGTTTGTCTGGGTCCATACTATTTGGGGATCTCAGAGAAGAGGCAGGAAGGCAAGGCGGTGCTCAGAATGAATAGCCCAAGTGGAACCTATGTTACACAAGGGGTTATCTTTTCGAATATATAACTACTTGACTGCCGGATGATGTATCGAATTCTATCGCGGACACGGAGTCGGGTGTACTCTATAACGGTGTTCATGCTGATATGAGTCATGTGGCTCTTCATGTGTGTCTTGAAGGGACATGAGATACATGATGTGGACCAGAGCGAAGGATATTAACTTGAGCTATTATTTGAATGTAAGATACTATGCCTTCGGTAGAAAGCGCTCTGTACCAAATGGTGTTTTTTAACGCATCCTATCCCAATAAGTTCGCCACAGATGGCACACCACAGTACAGTGATCTATTAGCTAGAGTAACCTAGCCTATGTATACGTTTGAGGTGTTAACGACACCCCTAGTGTCCAGCCAGTTTTGATGGTTTACTCGTATATTTTGGTCAATACGAGGCTTATGTGGGTCAAAAGCTTTATCACAGCGAATCGGCCCTGATTTCCCTACGACTAGTACATGATCGGTTCTACAGTTGGAGGAATCATATCATAACGACCCAACTCTCCCGAGTGGCCCGGAATAACTGCGGGGTCATCGATCGCTCGAAAGGTCCTGAATGTGAATTGACTATGGATCTCTAGGTCTTTCCGATGTTGCAGTATGCGAATACTGAGCGAATAAATACAAGTTGCTCGCCATTTCCGAGAGCGAATATACCCGTGTGGATATAGCTTGCTACCTCTAGTGGAAGCTCACCGGCTAGAGATCATGCGCAGTGAGATCTGGAGTAGACTCTACGGCGCTTCTTATCTTATTGCAAAATCTGATGGTATCATCCCCGCACACTGCGGGCTAAACGTAATTGAATCAGTGTGGTGGATAAATGCCTTCTATGCGGACGACCCCACATCGACAAGGATTAATTAGTGGGAGGGAGAAGAGTTACTGTATAAATATTGGGATACCTGGCCGGTGGTAGGGATGTCGAGAGCTCATCCTAGACATCAAGGAAATGTATCTGCCCGTAATTTTTTGTGTCTTGCTAACCTTCCTCGTTCCTGGGAAGGATGCCGCGCTGCTAGATATATCCAGACCGATAGTCGATTTAGACTACGCCCAATACCAAGGAGTGAGGCTTCCGGCTGGTGTAGATCAATATTTCGGTATCAGGTTTGCTGCACCACCGCTAGGAGATCTTCGTTTCCGAGCCCCCAGGGACCCTATTCGGACCTCTTCGGTGCAAGATGCATCAGCGGTAAAACGGGTGCTGACTCGCGCCAGACAGACTTTGCACTGACTTTATTGACAGTTTGGTCCAATATGTGTTGGTGGCGGACAAAATGCCACTGAAAACATTGCCGAGGATTGCCTCTTCATCAACGTTTTTACCCCTTCCAACGCCACACCACTGTCTAACCTCCCCGTGTGGGTGTATATTCAAGGGGGTGCATATGCGCATAACTCAGATGCAAACTACAATGGCACACAGGTCATACAGGAATCCGGCCATGGTATCATAGTGGTCAACTTCAACTACCGCGTGGGGGCTTTGGGGTTCCTCGCTGGCGAGAAGGTACAGCGCGATGGCGATCTTAATGTTGGCTTGCTTGATCAGAGAAAGGCACTGCAGTGGGTGAAACAGTACATTCGCGAGGTAAGCGGAACTCGAGGGAATAATGATATCAGACATACCTGACACGTTCTAGTTTGGCGGAAACCCAGATCATATCGTTATCCATGGTGCATCAGCTGGGGCGGGATCGGTCGCCTACCATCTTGCAGCATATGGGGGTCGCGATGAAGGCCTCTTTGTAGGAGCTGTGGCGGAAAGCCCATTTTGGCCAGCCCAACGGACCATGGATGAGTCCGAGTCACTGTCTAGCCGCTTTATGGAAGCTGTGGGATGTTCGACGATATCATGTCTGAGATATGCCAACATCACTGCCATTCAGAGAGCCCAGGCTGCCTCGCCGGATCCCACCGAACCTACTCGTACATCTCCTGCCCTTTGGGAGTTTGTCCCCGTTATTGATGGTAACCTCATCCAAGATCGCCTATACACTCTCTTTGGAGAAGGGAAGTTCATCCGGGTCCCTTTAATGGTCGGCGGAGACACGAATGAAGGCTCCTACTTCGCCTATAATGCAACGACTCTGGCCGAGGTTTCCGAGTTCTTGCAAAGTCTCTACCCTAGGCTAAGCGCAAGCCAATTGCACAAGATCAATAGTGCCTATATTCATTTGAAACCAGCTCCACTTCATGCAAAATACTTCCCTACTGCGTCAGCCGCTTTTGGAGATGCTGCCTTCACCTGCCCTGGCATTTACATGTCCAGCTCCATGACCAGGTATGGCTCTCCGGCGACCGGAAATGTTTGGAACTATCGATATAATGTCCAGGATCCGGCAATGCTTCGCCAAGGTCTAGGTGTCCCACACACCTTCGAGACAGAGGCTATCTTCGGTCCGAACTTTGGAGGTGAGCCTAGTAGTAGCATCACGAACATTAATGCTGGGATTGTTCCGGTTGTGATGAACTACTATATTAGCTTTGTGAAGAAGTTAGACCCGAATACATTCAAGGCTGACAGCGCGCCGTTTTGGGCGCCATGGGGTTCTGGCGAAAGACTTAAAATACAGACCAATGAGTCGGCTATGGAGACCATTTCGGAGATAGAACAAGAACGATGTGCATTGTGGGAGCAGTTGGCAGGCGTAATGAATGTTTAGTGATGCTATCGGAAGAAGTATCGCGTTATCCCACTTCTTCTAGATTATACTCTTGTGCACAATCAACAGTTGCCGCTTCCCCATTTGCAATATTGAAGTGAATTCATACGTTTGATACTGAGGTTTGAAACTTCCTTAGTGTTGAAGGTATCTAGTATAGGTCTTCATGAAGGGGTGTGCACGGAGCTTCGTCTATAGATACCGCTATACATGCCAAGAGAATTCAGCCTTACATATCCAATTATCGACCCAGGAAACGGACTATTTCTTGAACCTCACAACGTTGACTGACGTCTCTCGAACGATAATGACGGACTGCAGCTTTTGTCAATTGATGAACCGCGACATATCTTGCCTTAACCCGACGAGTAATTCTAGCTTATTCGCATTGCGACAGGTGCTCCGCACAGCCTCGGGGCAATTTGTGCTCCCTTTATCGACATCTGAGACTTTCACGCTGGGCACTATGTGTGAAAGCCCGGTGGTGAGAATTATATCTAGGAACAGGCAGAGAGTTGGATGACAGGAGAGCGGACTGTCATATCTGTGGACTGATCAGCAATGCATTCCGTACATACCCTCACTTTGGTCGCCGGGATGGGAAACCAATTCGATCAGGTTGAGATTATTGTCAAACCGGACGGCACTTCCCATTAATTGCTTCTTGTCATATCACTCTTGACTAGTTAAGGCTCTTGCCACAATATAGACCACGCCACGTGCATTGAATATAGGGACGACGCATTTGGCACATTGGATGCAGACAAGGTCTTCCGCCCACAAGATCGTAAGCTGGCTTCAGCTTTCAACCGCCCCAGGTCGTATCCTAGTTTACGCCCAGATAGCATCGTTCTATCCTTTCCAATCTAAGAATGGTGACTCGAGGCGTGGCGAGATGGTCTGTGGATCCTGTTCAACGACAGGGGATTTGTAGGTGAGGTCGGCGTGTCAAAATATCATCCAATAGGGGTCATGATGGACCAAGGGAATCCATATTGCTATCCCTTGGCGATAGACCCGGTTGGGAATTAAACACGAATGGCTCATAGAGAAGGACCCAGAGACAGGTGTTGCGCGTCGGCTCGGTATAGGTTATATATCTCTTGAGAGATGGATGGGCGCAAGTCGCATACACAAGGCTGTAATTTGTGAATAGCTCTTACTAGTGCATAGATCCGTGACATGCGGCCCGACTGTACATTCCTTGTCTAAATATGGACATATTCAAGCATTATCCTATTCCGTAGGACCATTGTCCGAGATGCACATACGTATTCCATTCACCGTCAGCTGTTCTGTTGAGGCCTCAATACTCGCCAATAGCTATGGTACTATGATCCGACCTAGTAGCGCCGTTGTGGCAAACTAGGGTCCACTCTCAGTTCGATGTCTCGGCTTCCGCGGGGCCCGGAGCAAGCAACACTAAAAGACGGACATACTGTTGCATCTCCAAAGATGAGCCGCGGATCCTCGGGCCCGCACTACCGCAAGGGAGTGTTTCAATCATGCGGGGTATCCGGAGATGAGATTGACACAAGGTCGAAGCTCTTGGTTTGGTCCAGTTCGTACATACATACCCGTAGAAGAGGCGGTTATATATAGTTTCCCAGCTTCCCAGAAAGATGAAGGCCATACAACCTCCATACCAGCAAGGTTATAGTACCAAGAATAATTTACACAATCAATATGACCTTTTTCAAAACCGCTAAGCCGATCGTCTTCATCGGCGCCGCCGGTGAGATGTGCCGTGTGGCCATTGAGCGCTTCGCGGCCGCAAGCGACGCTCCACTCATCCTTGCCGATATCAACACCTCCGTGCTAGAGACCTTGACCGCCAAGCTCCCCGCTGGGCGGGCGTCGACGAAGAAACTCGATCTATTCGACCGCGCTGCGCTAATCGATACGATCCAGGGCGCCGCGCTCGTGGTGCTAGGAGCAGGTCCATACATGCGCACATCCGCACCTGTCCTCAGCGCATGTCTCGATGCCAAGGTACCGTACCTTGACTTTGATGACGATGTCCAGAGTACCCAGGATGCCCTGGGGCTCCACGAGCGTGCTAAAAAGGAGGGTGTCCCTTGTTACATTGGATGCGGTGCGTCGCCCGGAATGACTAACGTGATGGTAATGGACGCGGTCCGGGAACTGGACACGGTCGAAACCATTGACGTTTGCTGGCTGGTTGGGGACGAGCGAGGCTCGACAGGAAAGGCTGTCTTAGAGCATTTGATGCATATTGCCTCTGGTCCCTGCCTCACCTGGGCCGATGGGAAGCCCACAATGAACGAGTCCTGGGTCGAGACCACTTATGCCCCCATGCTGGCTGGGGAGGGCGAGACACTTCTTCACGAGACAGCACACCCTGAACCTGTCACATTGCCTCGACTGTTCCCTAACGCAACTCGCATTCGCTGTGCTGGAGCCTTGGGCCCCGCTCCACTCAACGGCATCGCCCGCGGCCTTGGCCAGGCGGTTCGGCGGAATGCGATCTCAATGGAAGAGGCGGTGAACTTCCTCTTGAAGCTGACTAGCGAGGACCCTTCGGCTGGGTGGGGAGAGGCGTTCGGTGAGCTATCAGCAACATTCAGGGGTGGAGACATTACGGTCAAGGAGCTCATCCAACTGGCGGGACAACTGAGCCACTCACTCAGCCCTTGGCGATATGCGATATATGGACTGATTGAAACGATTTGGAGCGGGGAGTGCACGACAGGCGAAGTCCTGTCCTTTTTGGTGAGTTCGGCCCGCGGAAAGAGGGTGGAAAATAAGGGCGGCCTGTTGGTCCGTGCTGTGGGCCTTCGCAACGGGCATCCTGCTACAGTGACCAAGCGCACAGCGAAGTGTGGAGAGACCACTTTCTTGTCGCGAACGATGGGCACAGTTACAGGCACCTCAACGGCTGCCTTTGTTTTGCTGGCTCTAGAGGATGGTACTACGCGCAGTGGTGTCTATGCACCGGAAGACTGGGCTGAACCCAGCAGATTCTACAGTGCACTGGAACGTCTCGGTACCCCTAAGGATGAGCTTGTTGAAAAGATTTAGAACAATAAGCCGGCAGACCCATGAGAATTTACCAGCTTCTACGTCTTTGGGTAAAATAGTAACTTTCAATTAGTTGCTTCATATTCTCAACTCAGTATTTGCAAAGGCACAAAGTAGTAGTAATATCTTCTATAGGAAAGAGGTCGCCATCTATTTTTTCTAACAGACCATAGAATTTAGTGCATGATTCCTGTTCACCGGCTGCAATGAGTCGCTGTCTGTCAAGTTAGTGAGTAACATGATAATCTCATCTAATCCCCTCGTTACGTTCTATGAAGAATACAAGATTCCGTATTACCCTAGTAATGTACTGTTAAATCACGAAACTTGCAATCATGACATGAAGAGGTCTAACTTCATACATAAACCAGTAGAAAATTGAGTCATTCAACCATACGATATCATGGCGTTGTGGCCTGATCGTAGCCTGATATCATGATCAAGGCACTATTCTAAGTTGAGTAGGGTGGAGGACGACAGCGAAGGAGCTGAACAAAACAGCTGGCCCACCCACTTTTCTCCTATCATGCCGTCCCTCTTCCTCAGTTTCTCAACTTTGGTTACTCAGCCGAACGTTCACAATCAACTATGCCTGTTGCTGTCAACCCCATAGCAAGAGCAGTGGTGCCATTTGATACAAGCCGCCCACGGCAAGGCGATGGCATGGCACTTACTCTGTCTGAAGGCGACATTCAAATGGTTTCTACTTGCCCCTCTGACGCCGTCAGACAGTCGCAGCGAGTCGCGGAGCGATATTTCCGCCTAAGTCGAGTCTAAAAGTTGGCTTTAGTCAGAGACTGAGAAGATACCAACCGACGACGGCAAACGATGATGAAGAGATATCTTTTATCTTTACACAGCTTCTCTGAATATCCTCCCGCAGACGGAAAATCATACTTCGCCGACAAGGCCATTGGTTGTGAGACAGAATTAAAGCTGTTCCAGCTGGTAAAGAGCCGGGATAAAAGCCCTGGGAGGACAAAACGTCGAAATTACGCTATCACCTCGAATAGCTATAGAATATTCTATCGAATACTTGTTGTCAAATGGATTCTGGCCCGGCAAGCAGAAATGCACGGAAGAGACTCCGAGACGATTGTCTACTCAGAGCGGGGAACCGCTGTATACTCACCGGCGCATACGGCGAATCTGGCGGGTGGATTAATTACTTCAGTCCCTTGAGCGAAATACCTGGATGATACAGAGACTAGACATGCACAATACTGGCCTTGCTGGATACAAACGAAGGGCGAGCCACGCCGTTCCCAACTTATGCCGGATTGGGCTAGGTATCCTGGTAAGTGAGCTTCGTGCATTTGCCTCTAGGGTAAAGATGAGGCGATGGGAAGCTCTGAAAACTTTGAAACGAGTCATCCCTGAGACCAAGCGAAATGCAACGTACGGTGTGTGCCGGGACATTTCTGCCCGAGGCATTATCATCACAATGAGCATAGTTAGGGACCGGCCACTCTCCCAATCGTGGGACAGGCTTTCAGGGGCGACTAGATATGTTTTTTGTGCGACAATATACAAAGCAATCAAAGTGCCGCGGATGTGATTCAAACTGACCGCGGCCCCCATGATGTTCTTCACGGTTTGCAAACACAGCCGGCCGTTCTGCTACACTTTGGACGGATATGGGCCTGTAAGAATAGTTCTATGAACCCTGTCTTTCCGGAAATATACACAATCTTTCTATATGAACCCTTGCCTGTGATACGTTAATTAATGTTGGATTTGGCGGGCGTTTTGGGACATTTTATATGGAGTTTGGCGGGTATTCACTCCCCATGGTACCACTCAAATTATTTCTAATCCGGACTGGCTGGGAATAATGTATGGAATGAAGTATCCTTGCTCAAATGATTACCCTTTCTTTCCAGCACTTCTTACATTCATTCTTCGCCGGCCTCCTCTTCTCAAGAAGGTGAACGGAAGGAAACGATTGTTAGACTCCAGAGAAAGACCGTGTCGCGGCAGTTCCTCCAAGAGTGGATAACATTCAAGGATGGTGTTCTCGAAGCATGCCGCTCATTAGATCTGTCACAAGCGGCTCCCTTCACCGATGATGCTACCGAGAATTTTTGTTATTGGCAGTGAACGGGGTTTGACTGGGAGGTTTGTGAAGCACTTCTGCGATCCCGTCATTAAAGTCCTCGCCACAACTCAGCTCTCAAATCTTACTTTCGGCGACTATCATGCTGCAGACCCTTCAGATGCCTCGAGAAATGTGCCAGACGTAGTCATGCTCATGCTGCCGGAATCAGAGGCTATGGCAGTCGGGAAACTGAAGACCTTCTGGACCGTACGGCTTGAGCGGCACCCAATCAGTGATGGCTATATGGCTTTATTCCCTCTAGAAGCCCATCTAGGTACGCCATTCCCTAGCAATCTTTCCTTGTACGGTGCAACACGACTGATATATTTGGACGGGGCAGGTAATTTCTTATATGCGATCACGTGAGCTTAAGTTCGAATTCCTTCAATGTACAAGTCTACGGTATTTATTAGACGGATAGACGCATTGAAGTTTGACATTTCAAAGCCTATTGATGCTCACGCCCAAAGCCCCACTATTCGCCAGTGTTTTCTGACTCTCGGTGTATTCGCATATGAAGAACACGGATTGTTGAGCCGTCCACTTTTCACGAGAGTCAGGTCCGTTACTCTTTCTACCGATAGATTAGATAGCAGTGAAAAAAACTAGACTGTCTGTTATAGTTGAAGAAACCTTCCCAGCCGCACGCACAAGCGTCTACTCGCCCTTCGCCTCTCCACCACCAAACATGAGGTACACCCGATTACACTTTAGAATCGCAGGTCATTCTTTTTGGTGAGGATGATGGTGTAGCAAGAGGTTTCGTGATTTCACGACGAGTCATATGGGAGAGACCAGATAAAGCAATGTATGGGGTCGTGTGGTATGGGAAGCGCGCAGTTGTCAAGTGCTGGTCCGACGCTCTTTATGAAAGGTTTGATCCTCCGCAAGCATCTTGAAACGCTATTGTTAGTAGCTGATCTATGTGTATTGTAGTTATCTCGATGAAATGACGACCTATGAAAACATACAAGCCATAAGAACGGATATGAGTTCTTTCCGTTCATGTATAACCATGGACGGATATGCTGTTCCTCGTTGTTCCCCAACGGCCACATGATAGTGTTGAACATGGTCATGGGGAAAACGCTGGCCGGACACTGGGATACTCTTTCAGGGGCAGTTAAGGAGGTTGTTCGTGCTACAGTGCACAAGGCAACCAAGGTGCTCGGGGCAGTACGTGTGATTCAGATAGACTGCGGGCCACACAATGTCCTGTACGATCCGCAGACCCAAGTCGGCCGTTTTACTGGACTTTGAATTAATGCAGGCCTGTGAGCCTGATCCTATGAGCCCTGTCCTGCCAGAGATGTACACGACCTCTATCGATGATCCCTTGCCTGTAAGGGGCCGCTATAACGGTGGCTAGATATTTGAGTGCTTGCTGCTCTTTACCGAGATGGAGAAGTTGGTTTTGCAGTCACAAAGGATAGCCGTATTAAACTCTTACCAATCCCAATACAGTCGCTAGCGCTTATGGCACACACTACATACTGTCGTTAGGCTCGTAGCCCCTTGCTTCCCTGTTAAGAAGTATACTGAACGTGAGCTCCAAATCCGAAGGTCCGGAGGGAGCCGCGGAACCGCGGGATTGAAGATTAAACTTTCGTCTTCAAGCCCCTGCACGTACTAATTTACCCCAGCTTTCGGATGAGAATTCTTAAATGGCCGCACCCCTATCCTATTCATGTCTAAGAAACAATTGTGGTCGATGCAATGGCACCGCAATTTGACGTCGCGGTGATTGGAGCCGGCATGGCCGGACTCGTCGCAGCGCGGGACCTCACAAAATTTGGATATTCCGTCGTGCTACTAGAGGCTCGCGATCGAGTGGGCGGACGAACCTATCGGGGCGAGGCCTTTGGGACCGAGTTGGAACTCGGTGGAGGCTATGTACACTGGACACAGCCGAACATCTGGTACGAGATGCAGCGCTACGGACTGACGGTACAGGCACCCATGGAAGAAGGTAGAGCGATCTGGTTAGCGGATGGCAAGGTGCACACAGGCTCCCAAGAAGACTTCTTCGCCGTTGTGGGTCCTCTGCTCGCCCGGTTGTTCGCTGACGCCCGCTCTCGCTTCCCTATTCCCCTACACCTGGCGGCAGTTGACAACTCGGACATCGAGAAGACCTCCATCGAGGACCGCATCAACTCGCTAAACCTGTCACCTTACGAGCGGGATGTACTGAAGGCTGCACTGGCCGGTGTCATCCATTCCTACGAGGAGCAGGGGATCGCTCAGCTACTACAGGCCGTTGCAGCCTTCTTCGGCGAGTATCACGCTTTCTTCGAGACAGCTGGCACGTGGGGTATTGACGGTGGCACGAAGCAATTGGCCAAAGCCATACTAGCAGATTCTACCGCTACCCTCCGACTCTCCACGCCTGTCACCACCATAACTGACCATGGTTCTGGGGTGACTATCACTACGCGCACTGGAGAAAGGATTCAAACCCGCTCCGCTATTCTGGCGATCCCCCTGAATACCCTAGGTGATGTGAAGATCACACCGGAACTTCCCAAAGCTGCACGCTCGCTCATCGACCGGAAGAACCCAGTGCGGGCGCACAAGATCTGGATCCGCGTCAAGGGCGAGGTTGAACCGTTCAGCATCCTGGCCCCAGTCGGCGAATCGCCTATCAATGCGGCAAGAACGGAGAAACGTTACGACGGGGACACTTTGATCTTATGCATGTGTGCAGATGCGAACTCCATTGATCCGAAGGACCGCAGCTCTGTGCAAAAGGAGCTCCGCAGGTTCATTCCCGACATCGAGGTGGTCGATACAGCTTGTCACGACTGGGTGGAAGACGAGTTCTCCAAGGGAGCCTGGATGATGCACCGGCCGGGCACGTTCACAAATGCTGGCCCTGAGATTCGAAAGCCACACGGGAATATCCGCTTTGCTGGCAGTGACCTTTCGGCAATTCAGCCGGGGTCCATTGAAGGCGCGCTGGCCAGTGGTGCCGTCGCTGCCCGTGATTTGTCCATTGCATTGTCGAGAGCACGCCTTTAGGCAAAACATATAGGAAGTCTAGAACTAATGGCGAATATGTGTACTGTTACAATTTACGACCGTAGGGGGAAGCCTAGCTTGCCGCATATAGTTTTTAATTTAAATAAGTCATTGGATTTGCCCACGGCAAAGACACGCACACCTATACAATCTAACAAATAAGAAATAAGAAATTGCCACCGTATCAGAGGCTACGCTCTCTCCTACATCCTACTCAACTAGAAGTGGTGTTTGAAGAGGCCACCCTAAACCGTAACACCTCCATTCTGTAGACATATCGTGAAAGATCCGAACCTCAGTCATTCTTGGCCAGAGCGATTTCACTCGCGGCTCCGCGCCCTTAAAACGAGATCCGGTGGCGGAACCGAGATCTGTCGGAGCCGCGGGTGGTTGATCCCCAGGATCCACCTTGAGCTACCGAGAACCGTATCGGTGGTGGATCCTCGGAGTGATCCAAGCTCGACTATAGAATCGAAAGCATAGTTTCTGTTGACATATGATCAGTATCTTCCCCACGGGGTGTTCCGCGGAGTCCGGGGGAAAAATCCCTATACCGGATGGATTTTGCTGAAATATCAACCTAGCCAAAGCAATAAGCAAGGATATGTAAGATGCTCAGTCCTCTCCAGAGAAACAGTACATTAACAGCAGAATACTATAGTTAAGCAAGCATGACTAAGCCTAAAACCACGCCCATCGATTACGATGTCATCATCGTCGGGGCAGGCATTTCCGGGATCAGCTTTGCATACCGACTTCAAGAACAGAACCCCAATCTATCATATTGCATCTTAGAAGCCCGCCACGAAATTGGTGGGACATGGAGTCTCTTCCAGTATCCGGGTATGCCGCCGCAGCCATAACAATTAAATACATGCCACAGTTAAATAGCAGCCACTGATGCAGATGAATGATAGGAATCCGGTCAGACTCTGATCTACACACCTTTGGCTTTCCCTGGCGGCCATGGATCGACAAGGACGCCATCGCTCATGGCTCAAAGATCTCACGGTATCTAAAAGATTCGGCGGCCCAGGAGGGTATTGACCACTACATTAAATATAATCACCGCGTGAGCCACATTTCTTGGTCCACTGCCGCCAAAGAATGGACACTTCAAGTGTCCCTAAAGGATCCAGGCGCAACCAAGGAGCTGCGCGCGCGGTTCATCATGTTAGGCACCGGATACTACGATTACGACCAGCCGATGCATGCGGAGATCCCCGGACTTGAACGATTTGAAGGTCCAGTTATCCATCCACAATTCTGGCCCAAGGATCTGGACTACGCGGGCAAGTCGGTTGTCATCATTGGCTCCGGCGCGACGGCCATCACCCTCTTGCCCGCCATGGCCGAGAAGGCCTCTCATGTCACTATGCTGCAGCGGTCTCCAACCTACGTTGTCTCGATACCAAGGGAAGATAAGTTTGAAATGGCAATCCGCTTCTTTTTCCCCACGCTGCTGGCATCCAAGTTGGTCCGCTTTAAATGGATGCTCACATCCTTTGTGATGGTAACATTTTGCCAATGGTTCCCCAATCTAGCTCGGTGGTTGTTCCGTCGAACAATTAAGAAGGAGCTCCCCGAAGGAATGTCGCTAGACCCTGATTTCAATCCCTCCTATGCTCCCTGGCAACAGAGGCTGTGCGTGTGTCCAGACGGCGACTTCTACGCGTGCCTGCGGAACGGCACTGGCAGCGTTAAGACAGGAGTGATTAATACCATCACACCTAATAGCATCCAGTTGGGGTCTGGTGACGAGCTGAATCCCGACATCATCGTCACGGCGACAGGGCTGAGGCTGCGCTTAGCCGGCGGAATGGATATCGAGGTAGACGGTCAGCCCTTCCATATTCCCGACCATTTTTTGTGGAAGGGCGCGATGCTTGAAGGTCTCCCTAATTTGACGCTCGCCTTTGGCTATGTCGATGCTAGTTGGACACTAGGGGCGGACGCAACCGCCCAGTTGGTGTGCCGGTTGCTTCATAGGATGAGGCAGGAGGGAGTTTCTATGATTGTTCCTCGGCTTTCTGAGTCAGAGAAACAGGGCATGCGGGAGACCCCGTTCCTCTATCTGAACTCAACATATGTCCAGAAGGGGCAGTCCGTTTTTCCCAAGGTGGGTGACCGTCACCAGTGGCGTCGCCGTTCGTATTACTGGAAGGATATTTTGGGGGCTTGGTGGGGTGATATTCGGACGGGCATGGAGTGGTTCCGCATATAAAATGACAGTTGCGTTGCATAACTACCAATTTCCTTTTTGGTTGGAAAACAAAATACTTCTTGGGTTACGGAACAGATCGTCCACTTCGTACATATCTAATGTATTTATATCACAAAATCCTTTCCATCGCCGCGTCGCAACCCCGTTACCTGTACAAGAAATTGATCGTACCTCATATTTGGAGTCAGATTAGGAGCCTCCGGAGGGAGACCCGTGCGGAAGAGTCATAGGTTATCCTCATAAGTCATATTGGATTATGCGATTATCTTGCTGTCTACTGAGGTGACACACAATTCCGTATAGAAGTAGGGCATTGTGACTTTCCCTTCTGTCACATTGCAATGGATACCCTAATAGCTTATTTCACTGCCCCATGGCGATTGAATAAAGCAGGGACCTCACCAAACACATATTGCTCTTCGTGGAAAAAGTTACATATCGACTTTAAAGAAAAATCCCATCTATGTAATCTTGCCTCATCCAGACTGTCATCTGATTGTTGCCTATCGTGGCTAAAGTTTGGTTTTCTCCAGCACGCCTTCGCTTTCTTTCGCTTCTCTATTGAAACAAGCCCCCGTCCCTGGTCCGAGTCCGGGGAGTTACTAACGTTATTGAATCCTCTAAGCTACAGCTATTTACTCTGTACCTCATTCTCACAATCAACTCTGATAATGTCTGCCGAGCACCACTCGTCCCAACCCGCGAGTAAGTCTGATAATGAATCTGGACATGAATCAGCGAATGACGGATATGAATCGGACGGTAGAATGCAAGGCGTCCTCTTTGTCGCGCCCGATCACATAGGCCTTCTCGGATGGTCATGTATTCTCATCAATTACGACGTTCCAGAAGAGATAGCCCGGCAACTAGAGGATCTGTGGGGCCCTGATGCGAAGTACGAGGAGATCCCGGAGCATCCCAAAGCATACGAGGGTGAGTTGACTGACGACGAGGAGGTAGAGGGACGAGAACAAGCACAACCGGCGGAGGAACATGCCAAGAAGGAAAGGCCCGCACAGTGAACTGGAAGGATATTGCAGGGAGACTGATCGTTGACTACTTACGAAGGGCGTCTAATCTTTTCGGCTCTCAGAGGAATGTTGGTTTTGGCTGTGGTAATGCTTTAGTATCAAGGTTAATGGTGATTATCTAACCTACTTACTTTGAAGCTTTTATGAGGGTGTTAAGAGATTGCGATGAATAAAGCCTCTTGGCAATAGAACGCTCGATGATTGATGCCTAGCAAGCTGGGCAGTGGGTTTGCCCAAGGTAAACTACTAGATGGGTACTGCAGTGATCTTCTGACGAGGGACTGTATGAAAACTATTATAGTGTCCTATTTCGGTGTCACCAGCTCTGAGACGGCCTGCTACGGATAGCTTGAGTCGTAATGAGATGTCTCCCACTCAGCCAGCGTTTCCAACGGCACTGTAACCAGCCGCTGACTCTGTGCACCATCCTCGAAGTAAATAGTCTCCTGCCGGATTTTGTATCCACGATGCTTAGGAATAAAGTGAATCTAACGATAATGGTGAAATGCACACTCTAGAAGGCTCTTCCAGATTGCCAATCGCACACTATCAGCCAAGAATTCAACATGAAATAAGTATGGAACAAGAACTCACATTCCGACTCCAGTTGCAGCATACGATGCATGCCAGAAGCTCACTTCGCCAGCTCTAGCACTGCCATCTGGTAGGTACCACGGCATAACAAGTAGATAGACGTTTTTCAGAATGTTGAAGTAGACTGCAATATCCCAAGCTCTGTAGGTTCGGGCAGGCAGCCCTAGACGCTTATGACGCCGCCGAATTATCAGGAGACCGACACCCATGAGCAAGTCGAAGAACGATTCTGGGATAATCCGGAGGTCGACAGCTATATACAAGAGTTATCATGAGCCAGGAGCCCGTGCGATATGCAATTGGAGACATACCGGAATTGAAATCATCTCTTGCAGGAGGTGCAATGATCATGATGAGTATAGCCTACCATTTTAGCAGGTATGGTCCTAAATGTTGTGCCGAAGGGCTTGGTTGAAGGCCAGGATTTAGGAAATAGGAGTACGTACCCCTTGCCTATGATTATCACGCTATTAGCCCGTTTCATTGCTAGTTTTGCATTAGTTAGTTACCTGCCGCATTCCTGAATCACACGAGACATGTCCAGCAGCATGACTGCAAGCATATCGCCGAACGAACTTATGACCACTAGAATATTCAAGCCCTTCGCTACACTCGCAGATCCGAATATATCTTCAAAGTAGAGCGTTGCGGGAACCTGCTTTGCCTGAGCAAGATAGTCCTTGGGCACTGTGGGGTTTAGTGGCGTCAGCATCGACCGCCGAAAGTGGTATATTGACTCAAGTAGAATATACCAGCGGCAAAACACGCGACACTGATCAAGACATATAGAATTACGACCATCCATAAAGAGATATAGCCGTTCTTCCTGATTTGTTCGACGGGGTTATATATGACACGTGTTAGACACAGAAGACCACTTAAATGCGTACTCCCACCCTGAATTTGCCAACAACATTGAAGGCATTTTCGTATCACAGATAGGAGTAAATAATTTAATTTCGTATAACGCGTTTTTTTATGCCATATCTGCTTGCATTCCCCTTAAAGGCATTGTGGAAGTTTGCTTTGGGCCAGCGATTCTGGTGTCTCCACCAAGAACAACGAGGCCGGTGTTGCTCATGAAGAGGAGAGTAGCCACTCTGAGAAAGCCAAAGGCATTCAAGAGCCAATAGAGAAACTTGGTACTCATCGCATCAAGTAGAGATGCACATCAGCGGAGGTTTAGGTGCGAATGGTGACATGTAGGTGGTCAGAGACTATACATACGTAGCTGGCGCAATGTCATCACAGCGGCAGCAACGCCTTTCGATTGCCATGGAGTTGGGCCGTGATCGCCCATTTGAAATAGGTATTCTACCATGGCTATTCTCATAGTCAGACGAAGGCAACATTCGCTGATTGTAGTGCATTTACCATCCAACCCTGCAATTTACTTTTCTCCGGGTCAATGGTCAGCATCTCCCGCAGAAATTCGAACAGGAAGTTGATATTTTGCCGAACATTCATGTCGGGAACTAGTCTAGCTTGCCGTAGCATTAGCCCTATAACTACGATCACCGAATCACAGAGCACTGTACCTAGTGGCACGCAAAGCCTCGGCGTAATAACGTTATTGAGTGTGTTTCACCTCATCATATAATCATGCATATTCATTAGAATGTCAATATCTGGTTCCTGACAATTCATGATCTCTATCTAGTATTGAAGCTTTCGAAGCTCTACCTACCTTGAGAATTTTTGTAATAAGTTATGCTGTGAACATAGGCATTAACAACTCATACAACAGCTAATTCTGCCGTCGGAGTGAGTGATGCGGGGTTAGTGATCGACATAAGGGTCCCCTGTACTCTGTATGATGCCATCTATCCAGATATCACGCCAGTAATATACTCGATATAGCCCAAGGATCGATGCAATTATCGCCGAGCTATTCTAAGGAGTATGCAGGCTTCCGGCATGTTATAAATATAGGTAAACCCTCCCTCTAAAACTACATCTTCCGCGAATTGGCAAAGGACAAGATAATAGTAAACGCACCATGTCAGCCGTGACCATTGAGACTCGCCCTGTGTTTGGTCCTGTTAGCCAGCCAGACATCACATATACTCCCAACTACGATAAATATATTGCTCGAGTCAAGCGTCGCCAGGAGACCGAAATACTCGCAACATCCTTGCCCCCCAGGTTTCCAGAAAAGTTGGGGTCAGATCTCGTCTGGGATGGAAAATCATTGCCTGAGACCGATAATGGGAACTATGTCCTGACTGACAACGATATTACATTGATTGAGGCTGGTCTAAGGCACTTAAATGTAAGAAAGTTCTATTCATGCGATAGCGTGAGTCAGCTAAATCGTGATCTATCATTGAACCTTCCACCCGGTCGTGTCTCCCAAGATACATTTCGCTTCCTAGCTACACTGCCCATTTCGTGAGATTCCTAAGGAGATACACGTTGGCCATGGGTTCAAAGTAATTCGGAGAATTCTGGTGGAAAGGTATTCACGAGAAGATAGTATTCTCATATATCTCGGCGTTTCGTCTCTTGTTGCCCCAGTTCTGGGTCGGCAGAATAGCTTGTACCTTGGAAAGCCGGCAGAGCGATACTCTCCCATATTCAGGATTTGTCAACGTGTAAAGATGCCCACAAGATTAGATCTCCTGCACATACCGCATAGAAACAAATCTTCCTTACCGGCTCAAGAGACATAATTGCGCTCCTTTGCCTTAGGGAGAGTGCTAAGGGAGGCGAGAGCTTTCTTTCAAGTCCTTGGCATATATATAATGACATGGTCGCCAACAGACCTGACCTTACCCACACACTCGCTGAGCTTTGGGCGGCCGATGGGTGAGAAAAAATATCCCAATATTCATATATGACGTCTAACTAGCAACCCATAGTCGATCCAGAAGGCAACAAGTACACGCTGCGAACTGTTTTGCAGCATACGCCTGCCAGGGGTAATGGCCCAGAGCACTGACCATTCTATACGCTCGTTGGTACTTTACGGGATACTGGGGGCGGTAAAGATCTGCGAACATCCCACTGATTACTGAAGCCCAGGCTGAAGCGCTGGACACACTCCACTTCATCGTCGAGGAGCATGTGGTGGCGTTGGACTTTTATCGTGGGGATATCCCGTTTGCGCACAACCTCAGCCTATTTGATGGTCAAGGGGGTTTCAGGGGCTCCCCCGAGAAGTAGTATGTTGTTCCCTATAGGACAACGACGTCCAAATTCCTTTTGCTAAGGACTGATCTGTAATGGACAGGTGGCACTTCTCCAGCTGTGGCTTCGAGACCTAGAATATGCATGGGAAACCCCTAGTGTACGCCACGAAAGATGGGTTAGCATCTACAAGAGTATTGATGCTGACGCTGCAGCACTGGGAGTCTAATTTGGGGATTTAGCATAGACTACACCATTTGTCGGTCAGGAACTAAAGAATACGAAGCTTGAATTTCTCGGCTTTCAGTTCATGCACCATCTTGACAAGGGTTATTACAGTAATTCTAGCCCCAGGAAATGTCACTGCCGCCGCTCTTAAATGCCAGTAATCCGCTGCTACATAACACGCCCTTATAGTTTATGGCCGAATTATCGCTACTATCCGGAATTCCGATGGCTTTCGCGCCTGATGTCAGATTCATTTTGCCGTCTTAAGTACAGTGTACTACATTGAAGCCAATACACCCTTTAATTATAATGGGCATTGGTGGCTCAAGCCTCTCAATGTCTCCCGGACAGATAACGCCTGTTACCACGATTACCCCGTTAAGCTTTCTACATGTAACAGATTTATCGCCTATCACATCGCGAGACTGTATCGTGAGCCTCCTGATCTGCACAGAGGCGAGACGGTTGAGGTATTTGTTCTCCAGTGTTCGACCTCTAGACCAATTCGGAAGCGAGATGTTCCTTGTCTTGCTTTTTACCCTGATTGCGAATCAGTTGCATCGTCCCTAAACGTAGCCCTTCATCCCACCCCTACCACTAACACCCTAGGCAGGATCCATGATTAGTTCCGCAATTCAGGATTTTTCAGCTCATTACATCAAATTACATATGGGGAGAGGCAGCGTACAACATCCAATTCATCTTCTGATGGCAACAGCGGCCCTGATCTCAAATTTAGACGTATGGTTCGAGGTAAGCGGCTCATAAAGCTGCTTGCCAACGTCCTGTAATTGCCTACTTATGGCTTCATCACCGATACCATTCTCGCCCCGCCATTCAAAGCGGCCATGTTCGCCATCCCAACACAATACTTTACCCTGTATATCCTCGAACTCCCACCGCCGATGTACCTGCACGTCATCATCCTCCCATTCCGGTTGTTCTCCTACGATGATAATCAGTTCTTCCAGCCAATAGTAATGGAGAAACATATCCGGTATCGCAGAAGGATCAATCTGAAGCAAGGCCTCAGGAACCGCGACGCGATCGATATGCGGTAACACCTCACAACCCTGATCGAGAAGATCCGGCTCAAATGATCGATCAATAGGCTCCACCAGAAAACCATGGACTTTGTCTAGCGGAACGTATAGCGCATCACGCTCCTGCTTGAACGGAAGCGCAAAGACCTGACACTGCCTTTCCTCGAGGAAGCGCATCTGGATATCGGGCTGTTTGCACGCCCAGGACAGGGCGACGTTGCGTGCCTCACGGTTGACAAAGGTTAACTGTACTTTAACTTGGACGTGGTCTAATAGATCGTTGCGAAATTCGAAGTCTATATGGCTCAACTCATGCCACCGTGGGTCCGACCTTGGTATTTGTCGGGGACACCAACATCCCTTTTTGTAGGGGTATAGGGCTGGGCTGAAGTTGTCTGGTAGGGCTTCGCGCCATATCTGCTGGCGCAATTCTGGGGGAAGGCACGGGAAGCATGTAAATGTTGACGAGTTGGTTTGTGCTGACGCCATGACTTTTGGGACGGTTAGCTGTCTAGATGACGATATGCAGCCTCCCTGTGCAGTATATAAGCGCGAAGGCAACGTGGCTGAGCATGTCCTTACAAGGCCTATGCCTTTAATATGGGCTTATATAACCAATCGCGGGGTGGCCTAAACCCGGCTGACCAACCATTTCGTGTCAGCGCCCAATTAGTCTCTCACTTGATGGCTCTCTGCTCAGTGTAAACAAATCCGTACAAACCCTAGTCGTTTGTTCCACACGGATTATATATGCCCCTTTCTAGAGCGACTAGAATGATGGCGGCGTAATCCAAAGTAGTATCTTGGGCCCCTAGCTTGAGAGCTTTCCGAATTAAGTACGGCGACTTTCTATGGGAATCGTAGCCACACCATGGAGTAGGTCATAAGCACCGTTTTTAAAGCATCACGTTCGCCCATTGCTACACAAAACAATGCAGCACATTCGGTCAGACACTAATGCTTTCATATAGGGGAAATCTGGGTTAAGAATGTGGGTCACCACACCATTATTGTTTTTGAGGGATGTTAAAACTTAATCCAGACCCGCGCATACCGTATATCGTATTTTGGCTGGGCATCGAGGACTGTATCCCGTATCTTCCAACTCAACCCCCACTAACCATCCTCTCCCACGTGATTATCCTAACCCTAAGCCATGTAGGATGCCCAACAAGTCGACCCCTTAGACTCGGAGATATCTTGTCCCCTTCGGAGTCTTTTGGACTTTTCACCAAAAGGGGAAAATACCCCCATCCTTCTCCGACAAGGCAATCACGTATTGACATACTTGTGAATAAATATGCACCTCCTACTGATCACCGCCAATAAGCACTCTTGAAAAATACCCTATGATCTAATAGCCCTATGCTAAAATCGGAGGGATGATCTACCGTACGGTTTGCGGTCTGGAGTATATATAAGCCTCAGGACCTGGTGGCGTAACCTATGGTCCCAATCAATCCCCTTAACCAACACCACATACCCTTACCATATTCGAAGCAAAGTGTAAAGAAAACAAAAAAGAAAAGAAGAGAATGTTCCGCTCATTCCTCTCAATCACCGGTCTCGCAACCCCAGACTACATCTTCCCTTCCGTCGATCCCAAAATAGACGGCGAGGACTGCCGCCAAGACTGCGCTGATTGTACCGTGCGATGGCCGGCCAAGGTGAAAGTCGATACTACGCTCCCGATGTACGGGCACATCAAACAATTTCATGCCCATGTGCTTGTTGCGACCGGCAAGACAGATTGGGTGCAAAAGGTGGAGCATGAGAAGGGGAGTTTGATGGAGGCGTTTAAGTCCGACGGGGGGAAGTCAAAGAATGGGGTGTGTATATTTGTATTTGATCACTTTGTTGAGACCTACGAAACGCTAATCAGGGGGGGTTAGAGGGTCATGATCTCTGCATCCAACTTATCGCCCCCGGATGAAGAGGTGCCTACTTCGGGGAAGACGAGCGTGCTGCTTCTCCCCTCGTTCACATTCGTGGATGGCGTGGGCACAGCGGATGTTAAGCATGTCATCGATTCGTTTATTGACAACCCATCGCAAGCGGGTAAATCGCACTTGACTTCGAGACCATGTCCGCATGACTATGTTGTTCTTCTATGCTCGCATCAGCGGCGTGATGCGCGTTGTGGGATTACGGCGCCGCTGATCAAGAAGGAATTGGAGAGACAGTTGCGTGGTCATGGTCTATACCGGGACCTGGATGATGAGCGGCCGGGTGGCGTGGGGATTTACTTTGTTTCTCATGTCGGAGGGCATAAGTTTGCTGCGAATGTGTTGATCTATCGGAAGAAGGAGCAGCAGATGATCTGGCTGGGGAGAGTGAAACCGGAGCATTGTGAAGGGGTTGTCAAGTACACGATTCTTCAGGGCAAGGTTGTTCATCCGGATTCGCAGTTGAGGGGGGGATTTGATCGGATGAAGGGGATGACTAGTTGGTAAGATGTGTGTTCATGTGTAATTGGAAAGTCGGATACCACTTTCGTGTATGTCTGTTGTTGCATTTTCGTTTTGTTGACTCTTTTGCTATGTCGAAATAGATTTAATGTATCCAAGCGAAAAATAGCTCCAACACAGCATTAACAGCCTTGTTATATACACAGCATATTTCTGTTTTTCACCATTGGAAACCAAAGTGGCCTAAGAAAACACTAGCCCAGACATATTGAACACTATATCCAAAACAATATACACTAATATTAAGACAATAGAAAAATTAACCCTCAAATCAGAAACCCCGAATCCTTCCATGCCCGAATATATTTCATAACCAGCTCTCGATCAATAGGACCCAACTTCCTCAACGTCGGCGAGTGTCTTTTACTATGCGTCGTATCCAGTATCATCCCGCCACAAGACATGCGCAAGAAGTCCGTCTGGAAAAAGTCCACCAGCCGAGCTGCCGGGTTATCCGAAGCCGTAGGATATTCCTGCACGCGCCGGAGCCATTCATCGTAAGGGATAATATTAGCCTGCGGGATGCCCAGTGCATCAGAAAGCACAGAGATCATCTCGTGCCAGGGCTGTCGCACGGGGTTCTCGATGTGGTAAATCGGGTATGCGGGTTGGTCTCCTAGTAGGAGTTCCCCCAATGCGGCGGCCACGTCGTTAACTGGACACCACGATAAGACCTGTTGCTTTGTTAGCCAACCTGACTAGAATATGAAGGGAGGGAGTGAAACAATCATACCCCGTCGAGATCCGGGAGAACGCCAAGTGTCTGCGATGACTTGATCAGGCGCACCAAGTGTTCTACTGGATTCCAGAAACCATTGACCTTGGAGCCGCTTATCTGTCCGACGCGCACGGAGGTGGTACGGAAGTAGTTGGGATAACGGTGCAGTGTCGCGTCCAGCATATGCTCGCAGATGAGCTTGGCGTCCGCGTAGCCCATTGGGAGGGCAGAGGCTACGTTGACTCTTTGCTCGGGGACGCGGGCCTTGTTGGTCAGGAACGGGTGGCAGCCCACGACGGAAACGGAAGAGACGAACTCGAACCCGATTCTCCGCTGCTGCTGAGAGGCACAGTCGCGACACAGATCGATTAAATTGCGCAGCGCCTTGAATTGGGGATCGAAACCACGGGTAGGGCGCGTCATGCTCATGGCCCACGCGTTGTGCACGACGTCTGTGACACAGTTGGCTAGATGTTGATACTCGTTGGCGGAAAGGCCGAGCTTGGCTGTCGAAGAGTGGCATTCAACGACTTCAAGTTTGGACATAAGGTTCTGGTCAAGCTTGAAGCCTCTTGACTGCATGGCCTCATATTGTCGGGCTGTAGCATCTGAGCCGCTCACCCGGTTGAGGCAGATTACTTTGTACACGTCCGGTTGCGCCGCGAGATGTGCCACTAGATGGGAGCCCAGACTGCCCGTGGCGCCCGTCACCAACACACAGCGAGAGGAATAATCATTTAATTGGGAGATCGAGAGCGAGGAAGGGGCGAAAAAGCTTTCGGTATGTTTCTGGACGAAGGAGTCCACTACCACTTGACGCGCAGAAAAGTCAGCCGTGTGGTTTGAATGTGCTGGGGGACATGAATATACCAGATTTGGACTTTGGGAAGATGCGAGCGCGATAATGATCCGCTGGATCGAGTTCTCGGGTAGCGCGCCATCAGTCCAGTCAACATGGCCGTATCCATTGGCGCGCAGCGTCTTATCCCACAGATCGGGCTGGGCAAGGGCGTGGTCGCGGCCGTCATTGAATAGCCACCACCCCTCTACCAGGCCGAACACCGAATCAACCCAGGGCACTGCTTCGGTCATTTCTAACATAATAAGGAAGCCGTCAACAGGACGAAGAATACGATGTATATTCTTGGTAGTCACTTCCAGACTATGAGTTGCATGCACGCAGTTGGTGGCTAACACGACATGCTGACTTTGCAGGAGTTTGCTCGGAGGAGCTTTTTCAATGTCAAGCACTTCGAACCGCATCCAGGGGTATGACTTGAACCGCTTGCGGAGCCCAGCCACCAGCGATGACGAGATATCAGTAGCGGTATAGCAGACCGGCACGCCCGAGCGTGCAATCAGGGGCAACAGTGCCGCTGTTGTACCTCCTGTGCCAGCGCCCATCTCCAGTATATTGATGGGTTCCCCATTCTGCTGTTGCCGCGACGCGTGGGTCAAGAATCGCTCCCAGAAATGCTGTAACTGGTGTAACCAGGCCACATTGATCGGAGACTTGCCATACATACCGGCAGCGAGCTCTCGCCCCTCTGCGCTGCCAAACAGCAGGCGGATTGCCTCTGTCTTGCCTGTTATGCAGTCAGCCAGCTGGCATCCAGTCAAGCTTGTCAGTTTATGGTCGTAGATATGTTCAGGATATTCGACGAGAAGCTCCTGGAGCAATTGCGAAGCTGATTTAGATGGTAGCGGCACAGCTGTCCGAGTCAGACTAGAGCCATCCACGTTAATCTCGACAAGACGGGCCTTTTCTAGCAGGCCATGTAATACGGCAACAACCTGGTCATGCTTGGGGAGATGAGGCAGTCCCTGAACAATCTGGCCAGCCTGCGCGGAGCGAAGTGAGCAACCTAGTTGGTCGAACGCGTCAAGGGTGTGAGCAATGACAAGCTCTGTGAGCTTGGGTTGAACGTAGTCGGAATAACCAGAAAGACCATTTTGTTCGATAAATCGGTCAGTCAGGGCCTTGGTCTCCCTGAAAGCGTCAACAATGAAGTCTGTAGGAAGACCTCCGACGCTTGACTTGGCACCACCACTGAGATCCTCAGCAGCCTCGCTGGGTGGTGTATGGATATCACTTGCTGTTGAAGCCACTTCGTAGCCCTCAGTACTGTCACTATCTGGCTCGGAAGAGTCCGATGCCCCCATGTTAGCCGCAATGCAGTTCACCAAGCTGCGAACATCCGTCATTTTCATGAGCTCGTCCAGCTCGAACTTAATGCTGAACGTCTTCTCCACCTCACGGGCGACCTCCATGGCCAGCAGCGAATCGATACCCAGTTCAACAAGGTCCGATTCAGGTTTAATCTCCTGAGGTTCGAGGCCGAGCAAGTTGCAAAACAGGCCTCGAACACCCCCTATGATATCAGGCCCAGGTGCCTTCTTAGCCTTGGGCTGCTGCTGCTGCTTCGGTGTCGGGGAGCTAGTGGATGTGGCGGCCTTTGTTTCAATGGCCTTGCTCGGAGCCTTTTCTGTTGGAGTTGCCGAAGGGGTAACGGAAGGCAGGGGTGAGACGGCCGTAGGTACGGGGACTGGTGGCTGTGCGGACTGGATTCCAGACAGTCGTGACAAAAGCCGAGACATACCCGCAATAGACACTTCAACAAAGTGCAGGCCAAAGATGACCCACACTAACTTGCCGTTCGAGGCATCAAAGACGAACAAATCACTCACATATTCTTTGGGCGAGGGTTGGTGATGGCGGGCGTACACTTCCCATTGACCTGGCCGCGAATCAAGAGGCACGGTAGGAGAACGGATCCAGCGCTCCACGCGATTAGACAAGTACATCTTTCCATCCTCGCAGTCGGCCATGCAGTTCAAAAAGACACCAGCGACTTGACAGAAAGTATCAGCGAGCCCCACACTGAGTAAAGTGTCTTTCGGATCCTGCTTGACGATACGTCCCGCCGACTCATTGTTAGTAGCAGCGAGCTTCTGCAAACCCTTATAACCGTCATCATTGTACTGCACGACACCTGCAAACACCTTGTAAATGTTGCGGCTGCCTTGAATGACCTGTTCGGCCTCTTGTCCATCAAGGAGGGAAAGGGCACGCCTGCGATCCACAAGACGTTCGGCCGTGGTAAAGGCACGCGCAGAATCACTGAGCGATCTGAACATGAGCCTACCGGAAACATGTTGAGTGACACTACCAGCCACATTGTTCCTGTCTGCGCTGGTTATGCGGAAGTCCCAGGCGTGCGATTTATTCTCGGCTTTGACTGCGTCAAGCCAAACCTCCTTTGATCCATCCAGGCATAGCGGTGCGTCATTTTCCATACCCTCAAGCTCCGGCAGCATTTCCGCGTCCTCTTGGAGACTCGCCAGAGCATCCCTGGCAATAACGTGCTGGAACATGCTGGGGCAAATTGGCGCAGTTTGTGCGACCAGGTGGGCGCTGACATACTTCTGGAATTCATCCGAGGAGCTGTGAATTTGGAATCGCGCGTGAGACTTGCTGCTATCTTGGTAGCCCCTAAACGTCCAAAGTCCCTTGGGCTGCTCGGGCAAAGGAGCGGCTGGGGCTACAATCTTGGCTTCCGGCTTCCGGCGCTCCAGCCAATGTTTGGACTTGGCAAACTGGTACGGGGGAAGGAGAAGTAGGGAGTTGTTCGATGTCTGTCCGACGTGCTCCCAGAAGGAGATGTTCAACCCCTCCTTCCACAAGTTGACCGTAGCAGCGGCCACATTCTCGACGGCCCCAGGACTGGTGATGTCGAGCGATTGGAAGGTCATGCCCTGGGACTCAACTGCTCTACTCGCCAGGGAAGTTACCCCCGAACCAGATCCAGCTTCGAGCCAGATGCTCGAGGGATACCTCTGTGCCAAGCGTTCGACGGCCTTGTCGAAATAGACGGGGTCCCTCATATGGGAGGCGAACATGTTGAACGAGGGTGGGCCGCTGACGCTATGCTGGGTAGCCCTTTCGTGGGCAATGACTGTTCTGCGGAAGATCAAATCCTCCCCGAGCTTCTCGAGGTCGAATACAAGAGGGTCCACCAGAGCTGAGTGGAAGGCATGAGTGGTGTCCAGGCCCCTGGCCGTGATGGAAGAGAAGGCTCGGTCGGTTGAAACAGTTTCCTTAAGTGTCTCCATCGCTCTAGTGGTGCCTGCCAAGGTGAATTGACGTGGACCGTTGAAGCAGGCAATGTTCACAGGTGGTTCCAGGGAGCTCGTGGCGTTGACGTGGAGCACAAGTCTCTGCACATCTACCAGATCCCCAGAAACGGCCACCATACAGCCCCTTTCCGCGCCCCATTTTTCTTCAATGAGACGGGCACGGCCGGCGATCATCTTCAATGTGTCTCTGACCGAGAGAGTTCCCGAGATACACATGGCCGTGAGCTCCCCGAAGCTGTGGCCCACGAGGGCAGCAACCTGTACTCCACTGTCAATCCAGCTCTTTGCACAAGAGTACTGTAGAGCAAATTGCATTGTCTGCAACTCAACAATGCTACTTCTGGGGGTCCGTTCGAAGATTCCTGGTAGAATTCCATTGAGGCCGAGGGACAGGGACACCTCGTGGCAGTGATCGAGATGAGTGCGAAGTAGTTTGAACTGGTCATAGGCCTCACGGTCTAAACCAATAAAGCTGGACCTCTGACCACCAAAACACAGGATGACCGGTCGAGATGACTGGACCTGCCGTGTTGAGGTCAATCCACCCCGTCCGTCCGCAAAATTCGCTAGTTTGGCTTCGAGCTCGTCAACAGTTGCGCAGCTAAAGATTAACCCTTGCCCTAGGGAGCGGTTAGACTGTCGCGCCAATTGAAAGGACAGGTTGGAAATTGTGAAGCGGCGGTCGGTCGTCTTTCGTGACCGGAGAAATCGGGCCATCTTGGCGGCGTACGATCGCAAAGATGGGTCATCTAGGCCGGAGAACCAGAATGGACGCTTGGCAGCGACTGCCTCGGTCACTGTTGGGGTGACAACTCCCTGGTCTGTATGGTCTGGTTGTGTAATGATAATCGATGCGTTGGAGCCAGACGCGCCGTAGTTATTGAGCAATGCCGCTCGGAAGTCAGCCTCCCAAGGCTTTAGACGAGTAGCGATCTCGATATTATCGGATGGCAAGGCGTTCAGCTTGGAACTGATGCTGCGGAAGCTCGCTTGCGGAGGGATCGTGCCATTCTGGATCATCAAGAGCACTTTGATGAGAGCGGCTACACCAGACGCACACTCCAAATGGCCTATGAGCCCCTTGACAGAACCTAACGTGAGAGGGTCGGACCGACTAGGTCCTCCCAGCACATTGCGGACGCTGTCGTACTCTGCGCGGTCTCCGACCTGCGTACCAGTCCCATGAGCCTCCACCACGGAGATTTGCTTAGGGTCCAGTCTGGCCTTACGGAGGACACTATTAAATACATTCCCAAGGGATCTAATACTGGGGGCAGTGATGGCTGAGCAGTTCTCATTCTGGTTCACACTGGAACCCCTAATGACACCGAGAACCTGATCACCATCCTCAATTGCGGCGGATAGTTTCTTTAAGAAGACAGCACCAGCACCCTCTCCCCTACAGTAGCCATCCGCAGCCTCGTCGAACGGCTTGCACTGCCCCGTAGGACTGAGGAAGGAAGCGCCATCAAGGTTTTGGTACCATTCTGGGCTCGTCATGACGTTAACACCTCCAGCAAGAGCCGAGTAGCACTCGCCGCTCAGGATAGCTTTGCATGCATGGTGGACAGCCAACCCAGATGACGAGCAGGCGGTGTCGATGGTCACGCCAGGCCCGCTCCAGCCAAAGAAGTGGCTGATCTTTCCAGCCGCAAAAGCTTTGAGGTTTCCTGTGGCCGTATAGGCTGTGGGTGAATGGCAGGCAACATTATTCTCGTAGTCTGCCACCCCAATTCCGACATAGCAACCGACATGCTGGTTCACTTCAGGCTTATTAAAGTATCCAGATTGCTGTACTGCCTGATAGGCCACTTGCAACATCATCCGATGCTGAGGGTCGCTAGATACGATCTCCCTTGGACTCTTTTGGAAGAACTTATGATCGAAGGCGTCATGGTCTTGCACAAAATTTCCATACCATTTCTTCTGCTCATCATTCTTGCGCCATGCAGCGTAGTCGAAGTTCACTCGGTGCGAAGGCACCTCAATACATTGAGACTTCGCCTCGCATACTGTGTCCCAGAATTCATCTATGTCGCTACCGCCAGGGAAATGGCAGGCCATACCGACTACGGCAATAGCATCGTCCTCAACTTGGCCCAACAGGGCATCCAGTGTTACGGGTAACTGGCCCACCTCAAACTCGACATCGGCGGCGTGTACCAGCTTAGGTCCAAGCTTGCGCAGGAACCATTGGGGCACAAAGCGCTGGCTCCCAAAGCAGACAAGAGACTGCTGAGGGGAGGCCGATTCATATAGCGTCGTAAAGAGCGTGTGCCAATTGGCTTGGTCAGTCAACATTGCGCGTGCAGCCACATGGCAAAGGTTAGTATTGCTGTCAAACTCTTGCCCATCGGGGGCCCGTGTCTTAAAGGCAAGTTGGTGGGGAAACTGAAAGAATATATCCGAGTCAAAGAAATGCAAGAGGGATGCCGCCTGGTCTTCGCGCTTTCCGCAGTGAAATGGCCCACGTAAAGCAGTCTTTGTGAATATGAGACCAGCATCTTTCAGGTTCTTGAACAGTTCATCTGCATCAGCTTTCGGCACAGTAAGGGTGGCCAGTCGAGCTTCTGAGACAACTGATATGTATGCCTATTTAGTGTAAAATTATGTTAGTTTACTTTTTATTCATAAGGTCCCTGGGAAAGGTGATGCACCTCTGAGAATTGCTTCACGATCCTATCCAATTCAGTCTCTGCGTTCTGGGATGTCCATCCAACTGCCAGAGACTGCCATTTCTGCTCGCCCTCGTCGAGCTCTACATCTCCTGCATCAACTAAAGCCCCAATAGCTGTGGCCATGCGAATAGCAGCCGCGCCATGCTGTTGTAGCTCTGCCAAAGTCGCGGAGCTTGCCACGGCCGCTGAGCTCAAAAGCCCAGTACACAGACCCACTGTCTCGGCATGGAACTTGTCCGTAAGATTTTCCGATACTTGGATCTTCGGGTAGATCTGTGTGATAAACTTTGTATATTGAACCAACTGTGTCGTCACAACCAACGGGGTGACAAGTATATTGGGAAGTGGAAATAGATTCCGAGGGATTGTACCCCTTCTAACCCATTCATCCAACAATTGTAAATACCGTTGGCCTTGGAATGCTCCCAGCTCGGGATGTGTCTGCGAAATCTTCTGCCATTCTTGAGGAAGTTGGGTCAATACTTCCACAATCCATTGAAGGTTTGGCGTTTCGAGCAGAGTTGTGCGGAGTCCTTGCAAGTATTCAAAGTCAAGGTTAGGGTCTTGTGGCCCAAATACGAAGCTGAGGTTGGGAACTGATTTGACCATGTTGAATGTAGAGTGTGTGAAAGGCGTATGGAAGAATTGAGGAATCAGGGTTCGTGTTTAGATATACAAGAGTTTGGAATATATCCCTGTATGCGATGTAACGATGCATTAAATACTTCCCAAATATGTTGGCCCCTAACAAGTATTCTTATTAATGTGCATCTGAATACTTCTAAGTGGTTGGGCCTACCCATACTCCGGTTCTTGCTGAAGCTAATTCCACATCGCATAGATTCGGCGTACATTGTCCGGGGTGCTCGGGGCCCTTGCTGAGGCTAATTGCCTAGTGAAACCAATAGATTTGCCGGAAGGTATCCACTGAGATCCTGCAGCCTTACGCTATAAATCGGAGAAACTTAGTCTGTTAAATGATTGTCCGAGGATTACTTGTCCGACTACTTTTCTAAATTTATTGCTCTTCCCCATGTCCATACCATCTCTAGACTGGTCTTGGCGATCATGGGGCCACTATGCTCCAGACTATCTACAGATTCGAACTCGCAAAATGTTTATCCTGCAGCAATAGGCGTCGAATTTATATGTAGAGTAATTTGTAAGGGCTACACTGTAATAGTAATAAAATAGGTCCAACTCCAACATTCATATTAATCAGATCACAAATCTATAGCAATTGAATAGAGATACCCAGTATACCCCCATTAATCATAAGCTAAAGACTAAATATATCATTTAGGAGCAACCGAATCAACCCACTGCTCAACCGAAATAGGCTCCCTCCCCAACAGCCACCGCATAACATTCGGACTGCCCTTCAAACCACGACGATTATAAAACAAAATCAAGTGTTCTAGTGTATCGCGAACAAGATCTCCACGCAAGTCACCGTCACTCGCCAAGCCCAGCCCTAAGTCACCAGCACCCTTGCCCTCACCGCCATACAGCGAATTAAGGAGCTTATTAACACCTGTCTCAAAGGAAGGCGTCTTGACCTCGATCTTCTTGCCAATGCGCTTCTCAATGATCCGAATAATATCCGTCTCCGAGATGGGCAGTGTAGAAACCAACGGATACTCAGCCAGGTAGTGACTCTCTCGCTCGTTCAAGACTTTGGCCGATGCCTCGGCGAGATCAGCCAGGGCAATCACGCTGTTCTCGTGCTCTGGTTTCCACCATTTTTCGAGAACGGGCTTCTCTTGCGCGGCCAGTGCAGCGACGGGATAGGCGTCCAAGAACTATGTCCCAGATGTCAATAAATATAATCATACTGAAACCCATGCTACTATAGAGTAAACTCACATTCCCCGGCTTGAGAATCGTCCAGCAGTTAATCGGACTAAGGAAGAGTCGTTCCTCAACATAGCTCTTCAGGTCATGTTGCAGCAGGTTTCTATGTTGCGTGCCGAGCACACTGGAGAGAACGAAATGCTTGAACACGTTTCCGTCCCGCTTAGATTCCGCGACGGCGGCATCGACTAAGTTAAAACCAATCTCCTTTTCATGGGAGTGTAGACTGGGCAGAACGGTGTTGATGGCCGTGGCGCCTTTCAGTAACCTGAGGCAGTCGGCGAAAGACTGTAGGTCTATGGTCACGACTTCAGCATCCGGGTAGCGCTCTTTGAGTTTGTTGGCTGATGCCTGTGAGTGTGCTGCCAAGCGTAGTGTGAATTTGCCCTTTTTATAGAGGAGAGGGATCAATCGGGAGCATTGCTTGCCGCCTGGGCAGGTGATGGCGAGGATTTCACTCATTGTTGCTGTTACTGCGGTAGAGTTCGATTACACGATCTTGAAGAACGAAAGAGATGGAAATAGGAATGTAGAAAACTAAAGAAATTTAGTCCAAACTAATATAATTAATCACATGGGAGATGTAGAAGGAAATATTACCCTCTCAAGTCGGAGTATCTTTTCTCATCCACTATTCGGCCCCCAGCCCTAAGTCCAGCTTCAATCTCGTCCCTTTACGCGGGCCCGGTACTTAATTATGAGGCCATAATAATGATGTACGATCACAAAACCAAAATCCACAGGGAAATGGAATCCAAGAAAATAGTCGTCGTCACTGGTAGGTCCTAGCGCTTGCACAGATACTCAATACCAGTAGCTGAAAATCTACAACGCAGGCGCCAACACGGGCATCGGGTTCGAAACCGTCAAATCGCTGTGGCGCTCCACTCAAAAATATCACATCCTACTTGGGGGGCGCAATCTGGAAAAGGCTCAACAGGCATGCCAAAGGCTGTGTGAAGAAACATCTCAGAGCTCGGTCGAGCCCTTCCATGTGGATGTTGAGAGCGACGAGTCAATTAATGCAGCTTTTCAGTACATCTCAGCCAAATATGACCGGGTGGATTGTCTAATCAATAATGCCGGTAAGTGAAGAACCCCCCTTTTCCCCCCACCTCAGAGACCTCAGAGGTCTGGCTTACCAATCAGAGGTCTGGCTTACCAAGAACCAGGAGCTTGTTTCGATATCCACATCACAGATGGCCGCATGACGGCCCGCGAGGCCTGGAATAAAGCATGGGATGTGAATGTGACAGGAGCGCACATCATGACGACTACTTTCCTCCCACTATTGCTCGAGTCGCATGATCCCCGGTTGCTATTCATTACCAGCGGGCTTTCCTCATTGCAAGGGTCTTCTGACCCCACGAACCCTAAGAATATTATCCCGGCTGCAGGTCTTCCAAAGCCGATGCCGTTTGTCGGTTACCGGTCCTCGAAAGCTGGCCTCAACATGGTGATGGTGGAATGGACGAAGGCGTTGAGGAATGATCGTGTTAAAGTGTGGGCGGTCGCTCCTGGTCTTCTGGCGACCTCCCTAGGTGGTGACACGGCACTGTTGAAGAGGCTGGGGGCACAAAATCCAAGTATTGGTGGTGATACCATACGGAGAGTCGTCGAGGGCGAGAGAGACGGTGAGGCTGGGAGTGTGGTACGCGAGTATATAACGCCGATCCAACCATGGTGAGTGGAGGAGCTAGTATGCAAGATTATGCAGGGTCTACTGTGCAGCGCATATTTATCATGCAAGGTCCCTATTTATCATTATTTTGCAGCTCAGATCAGCATCATGGCGGAAATACCCTGTCCCTGTCACCGTGGGTCTTAGTTCAGTGATTTAAGATAGATAAATAAGCAGAACATAATACCATGCCACACGTATCTCCAACTCAAAACCTATTCCATCGCGCTTGGTCTAGTCTTGTACATGCATGCAGCATACTGTACCCAACTTATTTGAGCATTAACTTCCAAGGAGCACTACCATTGTGACCTGAATCTCCCCAAAGGAGAGCGAATGATATAGATAGTCGGGTCGGGGCCGAACGATCAATTGTCTTAAGGAGCTATCTCAAGCCTCGCCACATCAGAGCTCCCTATAAAATACAAAATATAAAGCAATTAGTTCAAAGTCCTATCTAAAGACCCAGTTTCCTGCCTGCTTCGCCCCCAATAGTCTCCATCAATCTTTGTCGGATATGCTCCCCAATGACCGTCTCAGTTCCCGAACCATCTAAAGCGTGACACTTGAGGTCCAGATTTCCGTTCAGGAAAAAGGGTGTGCTGTATCGGGCCTTGGTATTATGATTAACAACACGATGGCGTGCACTCCGGTAGTATCCAGCAGTCCATTTCTGCATCATATCACCCATATTGATCACGTAGGAGTGTTCCTTCACTGGAACGGGAACCCAAGTCTGCGTTGGTGGGTAAAAGACTTCCAATCCCTCTCTGCCTTCTTCCTGCAGCAAGACAGAGACATTGCCGAAGTCGGTATGGTCGCCCACTATAACCATTATCAGATACATGAATGATGACGGAGGAAGGGATAACATACCTCCAAACTGTTTATCATTTTTAACCGCTTGAGGGGCATAGTACAAAAGACGCAGCGGAGCCGACGGGTTAACTGTCAACTCATCGAAAACGTCGGGCGGACAGCCCCAATGTTCGGGAAGACCGCGAGCAAGGATCTTGAGGATTACCTTTACCATCTCAAGCATCTTTGCGTGATATTTCATCACGGGGATCCGGAAGTCTTCGTCGGCGAGTGCCTTGGGCCATTGATTGGGTCCCGTGTGGAATGTGCCCGCCTCGGGTGCATCGGCGGGTGTCTCGCGACCGATGATAAACCCCTTCTCTCGTTAGTTCCACTTGTCCAGTACCCGGCTAATCGCGACATACCTCTTTTGTATCTGGTAAAAGACCTTCCTGGTGTATCTGGAGAGCAGGTGGCTCGTATCCTCGGAACGACCGGCCCATGGCCTTTCCGATCCACGTCTCCATCTTGTCTTCTTTAGGGAGGGAGAAGTATAGTCTGGCGCAGTTCAGGATTGACTGGCGGTCTTCCTCGGGGATGCCATGGCCGACAAGGTAGAAGAATCCAAAGGTGTGGCATGCATCGCTCATAGCCGTGACGACTTGTTCCTTAGCCTCAGCAGAGGCATTCTCGTCCAGAAACGGGCTTATATCCACAGTAGGGATCGCAGTTGGAGGCAAGGCACCGTTGCTGCCCATTGTGTTTGTTGTTTCTAGGATATTCTGGGGATTATGGGGTATATTTTGTCTATCGATGTGCGGCTTTAAAGTTGAATTGTGACAACTATTCAGTTCTTGTCAAATTGAGACCATGTCGAAATCACTACAGATAGACGAGTTACAGTCCTGCGTACACTCTCAGGCCTAGCAATTCATGATCATGCGACATGAAACATTTTCTAAAATAACTCCGGTCAAGTTTATACTACGCTGATAGCATTGTGCCTTGTACGGAGATACGTTTGGCGTAGAATCCGACAGTTCGATTCAAAGATATATTTGTTGATAACTCTTGCATAACGAAAGTCCACGATAGGCCTAACCCCTAAATTATTACGCGTCGCAATAACTCAAGTTGCATTAAATAGACTAGTCTATTTAATATAATTACATTTTTGTTTTCTTCTAGCAATCATGTTTCTTCCATAACTTTAGCCCGAGACAGGCAGTAAGCACTGGAAAAGGATACTCCGACGCTTAACCCTAAAGATCATATTGCAGGAAAAGGCCTAATAAAAGTTATAATTGTAATAACATAATACAATAGGACAAAACAATCACACAATATAGGAACAACAGCCGGCAAGACATAACTATCCTCGGCGCTTGCGAAATCAAGGAATCCCTTAAAAACCGCTCAACCACGACTCACCACAAAACCAAATCATACCGTCCTCCCCAAACTCATATCTATAAAATTCATTATCTCCAAACACTTCCAAAATGTCCGAAAAATACGACTGGCTCGTCCAAATCCCTGTGAACACAGCCGACATGCAAGCATGGGCCAACGCCCGCGAGGCGCATCTCGCCCACCTCAAACCCTACGTTGCTGATGGAACCATCGTTTTCGCCGGGCCTACCCTAGCAGCGCATCCCAAAAGTCCGGAAGACAAGTTAGAAATCACAAGCAGCGTGATGATGTTCCGAGCAGGGACAGAGCAGGAAGTGCGCTCCATCGTTAGCAAGAATGCCTTTGTCGAGGTGGGCGTTTGGGATATGGAGCGTGCGGTGGTATCACCTTTTAAATGTGGAGTAAGGGCTGCGGCTTGATCAATTTGATTTGATTTGGGATGTTGGGATATTTTTGTTTATAATGAAATAATGCTCGATATCTAGCGTCGTGAGGAATTAATGTTACAATATCGCACATATTACAAGATCAGGTGAAGAGGTTATAGACCCCTAACGGGCATATTAGTTTTAATTTGAGTTGGGGGTATATTTATAGTTGATTAAGATCCGATACGGAAGATTTCACCTCGTTCCATCCACCATCTCCAAAATTCCATACTTTTATTCATAAGTTCGTATCATCCGACAAGCACCCGCTCGATCCACATCCAACAACGCAGTTGGGACTCAAGGCCACCTCACGCTTTGGTCATAAGCTTGGGCCCATACTTGCCCACGCGGATCGCGGCATACATAAGACCAGCGGCACAAGTCGGGACACCACCGAAAGTCCACAAGCTATGCCAAGCCAGGCCACCAGACCCTGCATTGAGGATAGCACCACTACTAGGTCCACTAGTGAGCACACCCAGCGCGATAATCGCATATCCCATCCCAATACGCGTCCCCAGTCGGGACTTGTCCTTAGTGAGCATGGCGAGACACATGGGTGGCAGACCAATAAGCGCACCGCTCATGAAACCAGAGAGTAGAGCCATGACGATGATCGCGCCTTTGGAGTGCACGGCCATCATGCAGAGCATTAGTAGTCCGGAGATTAAGGAGGCTGGTACGAGGAGGTTGAAGGGGCCTGTCTTGTCGGCCATCTTGTTGGGGATTGTTCGGCCGAAGACGGATGCGGCGTTGAAGACAGCGACCAGGTAGAAGGCGAGGGAGTCATCGGTAATGCGCTCCGCGGCGGAGTAGTAGGACAGGTAGAATAGAATGACGAACAGACCCATGTACGCGATGAGGGAGGTGAAAATAAAAGACATGTAGCCGACGTCGGTGAAGGCTGTTGGGTCCAAAATGGCACGAACCTTGGGGGGCTTCATGCGCAGCTTCATGACGCTCAATGGGATCAGAAGTGTACCCAGTGCAATGAATCCGATCACGCGAACGGCCCAGGGAAAGCCGATCTGGTTGATCAGTCGGTACAGCACGATAGGGTAGATCACACCACCCAGCGCGGAGCCTGAGGCAGCTATGCCCATGGCCATGCCCATCTTAGTGCTGAAATACTGAGGAATAATTGCGACGCAAGGAACGAACAGGCATCCAGTTCCGATACCGACGACAAAACCTTGGGCGAGCAGGACTTGCCAGAAAGTATGGCAGAGACTCAGCATCATGTGCCCGAAGACCACCATGAAGCCGCCCACGAGGAGGAGGGTACGGAGAAAACCGCGATCATACACAGGACCGGCGAAGAGACCCACAAATAGCAGCATGAAGGCTGCGATCGAGCCAACCCAAGAGATATCGGAAGAGCTCGCCTTGAAAAGATCCCCGGACTCATAGTAAGTCTGATAGGCCCCGAAGGCGTTGAGGATACCCCAGGTGTTGAAGTAGAGCATGAAGCTTCCCAACACATTTAGCCAAGCTAGGAGACCGCCATTGGGCGGAGGAGGCGGCCCTCCGGGCGGTCTAGATGGAGGCTCTTGAGGCTGTGGCGGCATACTCTCAACCGGCTTCTCGTCGTGCGATGATGAGTCGCTCATGGTGGCGGTTTGGATCTCTGTTTCTGGAATAAAACTTCGATAGACAGACTTAAGCAGTAAGCATTAAAGGAGTGACAATTATAGAAGTGATAGCCAAGATACAGTCTTGAAGGTTTGGTTCGTACCATCCCCATCTCCTTTTCCCTTATATACAAGATCGTTACTCGGGGCTAGGGTTAGGCCTACTCGGAGAATTCACCCAAGTTGTCGATCCTCGGAGGTATTTGGCCCTTGGCTCGGAGATGTTTGGACATATAGGGTTTTATGCATCTGGATGGGTCTCGAGGAAAAAGATACTCCGAGCATCCAATGAAACCGACTCCGTTTCTTGGAGATGAAGCATTTGTTATTCGACAGAGTTGTATAGGGCTTGGACATTTTTTTTTTTGTTTTTTGGATTTGTTTTATTCTATATTTTTTCACTTCCAATTTATAATTAAATTCTAAGCGTGCATACACGATATCTTTTAATATAATAATCTAGAATTATGTACCTAGAACGTGGCAAACACATGGCAAGAATATATATATATATATATATTTTTGATAGACTAAGTAGGACTTCTAACTTTTGTTAGAGATCACTGTCTCACAGATAACTTAAAATAAATTCTCTATATAAAATGTTTGATCTCTAACGATCATTCCAAAATCTTAAACCTTCCTTAATCTTTTCCATCCAATATTCTTTCCTGGGAAAAACCTCCATCTAAACACTCAAGCCCGAGAGTGCCTATATTTAGTCGATACACCTCACACCGCTGCCCAACGCATAGACAACAATAACACAACATCCACGATGACAATCGACACCGACCCAACCCTGCACCTCCCACGAATCCTCTGCCTCCACGGCGGCGGCACCAACGCCCGCATCTTCCGCATGCAATGCCGCATCCTCGAACGCACCCTCCGCCCACACTTCCGGCTCGTCTACGCCGAAGCAACTCTCCCAGCCCGCCCAGGCCCCGACGTAACATCCGTCTACAAAGGCTACGGCCCATTTAAAGCCTGGTTGCGTATACACCCCGAAGACCCCATCCAAAATGCCTACGACATCATCGACAAAATCGAGACCTCCCTAACCGTCGCACAAAAGGACGACGACTATCGCGGCGCGACAGGGGAATGGGTCGGGCTCCTTGGCTTCAGCCAGGGGGCTCATCTGGCCGCTAGTATCCTCGCTACGCAGCAGGAGCTGCGGCGGCGGGGTGGAGACCATTCGGTGTGGCCGCGATACCGGTTCGCTGTGCTCTTGGCGGGGAGGGGGCCGCTGAGATGGCTTTGTCCTGATTTGCCTATGCCGACAGGGTTTGTGGATGCCGCGCAGTGTACGACTGGGTGTGAGCAGCCGGTTGTTAGGGGTGAGTTGCTGTTACGGGTGCCGACTGTTCATGTCCATGGGTTGGCGGATCCGGGGCTGGAGTTGCATCGTGCACTACTTTATCGTTATTGTGATCATCGGGCGGTGGCGCTTGTTGAGTGGGGTGGGGAGCACCGTGTACCTATTAAGGGGAAAGATATTGCTCCTATTGTGCAGCAGATATTGACTGTTGCGTGGCGGGCGGGCGTGTTGGGTGAATCTACTGAGGTTTTGGCGAAGGGGTATGGTATTGAAGGCTGGATTGAGAGGTTTCAGATAGATTTATTATAGCGGGTTGAGTTAGGGCTGGCTTTTAGGGAGTTTACAATCTCATTGGTGTTTGGCGCTACGCCGTAGCTAGATTTCCTGTCGATCTCCATGGCAGGGTAAGTCTGATCTTTGCTTTTTAAAAATCAGCCGCTCTAGCCAAAGATAAACTAGTCATATAGTCGCTTGAAACTCTCCAGAGAATAGTATTCTCGGAATAACCTTCTGAACTTAAATTGGCTGATGCGGAACCGAGTACGACAGACTATCTCTCTCGGCGAAACTATACACAACATTACCCAAAGTGAAGCACCGTAAGCCACAAGGCACTGGCTATTATAAACATGTATCTAGCATTTTTAAGAGCCACCTGATCGCATATCTGCCGATCCAGATTTGCTCAAAATGATCTCCAGAACACCAGAAATGACTGCTACCCCTGAAATCGCTATCGTTGGCGGCGGCATCGTCGGCCTCGTCCTGGCCGCCGGCCTGACGCGAAGAGGCGTGAAGGTGCAGCTTTTTGAGCAAGCACGCAACTTTCGCGAAATTGGAGCCGGAATCGGGTTCACCAGAAATACAGTGGGGTGTATGGAGAAAATCAACCCGGGTGTCGTGAGAGCGTTACGCTCTGGAGGAGCAGTCAATGTTTCGTTGGACCAGCAGGACCCTAAGTCGTATTTGAGGTGGATCGATGGCTATGGTCAACAGCAGGAAAATGACCCGATGTACCAGAAGCCGCTCTTGAAGCTCGATGCGGGAGTCAAAGGATGGGAGACGGTCCGCCGGGACCAATTCTTAGATGATCTCGTAAAGGTCATCCCCGAAGGAGTGGTTCATTTGCAGAAGAGATTGGATACTATTGAGGACAACGAAGACGCAGACAAGGTAGTTCTTAACTTCACTGATGGTACTAGAGCCGAAGCGGATGCTGGTTGGTCTTGGTTCCCAGTCCTCACTCTCTCACTATAGCTGACAATCATGGCCCCCAGTTATCGCGTGTGATGGCATCAAATCCAGGACGCGACAGCTCCTGCTCGGTGCTGACAATCCCGCCTCGCACCCGCAGTATACGCACAAGGTCGCATACCGAGCATTGATTCCCATGGACAAGGTCCGCGAGGCGATCGGCGACTACAAGACTTTCCGACAGCACATGCATGTCGGACCAAATGCCCATTTAATCCACTACCCGGTCAACACCAACACCATAGGAGCGACTGTTGTCATTTCTGATCCCAATGACTGGCCCCAAGACAAGCCCACCACGGCTCGAGCCTCACGCAAGGATGTTTTAGAAGCACTAGCCCACTGGAGTACTCCCGTTCGCAACCTCGTCGATCTGTTCCCCGAAGAGTTGGACCAGTGGGCGCTCTTCGACCTGTTCGAGTACCCGGTTCCCAAGTACAACAAGGGGCGAATCTGTCTGGCGGGCGATGCTGCACATGCATCTAGCCCCCACCACGGTGCCGGGGCCTCCTTCGGTATCGAAGATGCACTTTGTCTGTCCACGTTGATGTCCGAACTGATCATGGATCTCCGTGATAGTCGTACATCCAAGGCCAACGCCTTGCGAATTGCGTTCGAGACGTACGACCAGATCCGGCGGACGAGAACCCAGTGGCTTGTCAATAGCAGTCGGCGTGTTTGCGACTTGTTTCAACAGCCAGAGTGGGCTAACCCGGCTAAGCGGGTGAAGACTGAGTCTTGCTTTGAGGAGGTCAAGGACCGCTCATATAAGATTTGGCACTTTAACTCTGCAGCTATGGTTGACGAGACTATCCAGAACTACAGGGAAAGGATGCAGTTGGTGACGAATAGCGCAAAGGGCGCAAATGGGTTGAATGGTGCGAACAATGTTAATGGTATTCGGTTGTAGATCTTACATAATGAACGTATCTATCTCCTTTCGATTTTCAAATATGCGTTTTCGATAGGTGTGTAGAGTCTAGAATAAGTGTACAGGTCTCCTACTTAATACCTAATATTTTTTTAAAAAAAAGAAAATAAAAATAAAAAAAAGGTAGATGAGTAGAGGAGTTTCTTAGGAGAAACCGACGCTCAAAATAGTTTATACCATACAATATATCGAATCACTTATATAACCAGACCCTAACTCCCTTTCCCGGAACACAAAAATGAAATAGAAGAAAACAAAATTATAATCTAGAACAATAACAAGCGCAGAAACACTAATGATCTTCATGCCACAACTTCTTCACATCCCGCTTCACACCCCTACCCAAGGCCTTAATCTCCTTCTTAAGGGCCTTTTTCTCCTCTTTCGACCACTGACCACTCCTCTTAGCGGCTCTCACTTCACGAACGTACCCTGTTAAAAGAGTTGAGGCGTTCTCCACCGCACACTTGGTGCACTGGTTCTCGTCGGCAATATCGTTAAGAGACACGATAAGCGCCTGCAAGATGTCCTTTGATTGGGGCGTTTGAAGCTGACGATCAAGATGAGGGGTTTGTGAGGCGCCATGCACGCTGCAGGAACCCTTGGATCCGCTAGCCTATGTGTTAGAGGCATTGCACTTAAATAAGTGGAGTGATCGACCTACCCTTGTTTCTCGGTAGCGTCCGATGTGGTGGAATGTACCGACACGTTGGTCTGGGACTTTCCGTCGGACATGTTTCTCATGGTCATTTTGGGGGATTTAATCAAAACTTAAGTTAGGCGTTTGTGGATGAATTGAGATTTACTTTGAGATTGTTCCAATGGTTTTCTGAGGATACTTGGAGGATGTTCGAGCACAAAATCGGCGAATAGGCTGGGTTTATATGTGCAAGAGGCCAGGTATAGGGCATATCCGAAAGTGGTTAATTTTCCGGTCGGATATAAGGCCTCGGCCGAAGAGTCTCGGAGTTTCTTTCGATTGTTGCCTTGCCATTGATGCCTTGTTGCCAAGAGAGGGCCTGAAACACGTGATGTAAGCTCAGCTAGTGCTGAGAAAGTACGAGAAGAAGCTGAGCTCTTCATTTGCCTTTGACATATTGCTCTTCCAGAGTCACAGTTTCTAGTAGCTATTCTGCGAGCTCAACTGGAGTGCTGCCGCTCAAAATGCTAGAGTCAGTAAGCAATCCAGTTTGCTAGGCATTCTACCATCTCAACGTAACTCAAGACGGGTATCTGTTAGTATGATAAAGTACCGCAGGGACTCCCAGCTGTTTAGGCTCTGGAGAACGGGAAAGAGCCTGCAGTTCGCAAGATACTCCAAGAAGGGACCGATCTAGACACCAGAACCGCGCGCTGACGAAGACTCCCCTTTTCTTGGCGGCAGCGAACGGACACGAAGACGTGATCAGACTACTTCTGCTTGCAAAAAGCCAAGGGATAAAGACAGCCGCATGCCACACTATGTTGTAGCCAGTAACGGGCATACTGCGGTAGTCAGAGCCTTGCTTTAAGCACCGTACCGGTCTTTAATTATGTATGACACCACAAGGTTATGTTGACAATAAGATCATAAGTGAGATAAGGATAGTCCACTCAATCTATTTTTAAAAATACAGCAGTCGATTTACAATGGTCATGAGTATCGTTTCATACAGGCGATGGCTCTTTACAAGCCCCTAATTACTGAAGCCACCTCTGGGGTACCCTGAAGCTCGAGTTCGAGCATCCTTGCGAGACTGTTAGCAGGTGCTAGATTACTGAGAGCCGCAGAGAGGGCGTTGAAGTCCGTCGTGGTGTTCTGGTTGAGCCCCTTGCATGGACGAGCAAATTCGGCACAGATGAATAGCGCGATAGATGTAAATGGATGGACCTAAGAGGTCGGTTAGAAACGCTTATACAGGCCGCAGAAACAGATTCATACTTTGAAACACCCAAGTTGAGCCAGCTTCTGTGCTTGATACCGCATTCTTTCTACCGCCTTAGAAGCTTTTTTTTCGTACACTTTATAGATGTCCCGGTAAGTATTCGTCGGTTCTGGCACAGAGTTCAAAGCCGTGAATAGGATAAGTACTGCAGCTTGGGTCAACATGTCGATGAATAGGAGCGTGGGATCACACGGGTCTTGATCAGTGGACAAATTTGTCTGAACCTCGTGGCTCAGGATACTATCGAGTACTCGATGGCGAACCAGAAACTCTTGAGATGTGGGTTCTATGATACGCTCTACGTGGCATTGGTTTCGGTGACAGAGACAACGTGCAAAAACGGATAGTATGACGATCGATTTGGCGTATGGGGAAAGCTGTTTCTCGCTCTTTTTAGCTATTGCTGGGGCCAGGAAGTCTGTATTAACAGATCTCTGGCATTGAAAGGCTGCCTCTGGAGCCGGTAAACGGGTGAGAATCTATAACCATCGGATAGTGAGATAAGCAGGTACTTCTATAACCAGAGGGTCTCTTACCATTTCGTCGTTTAGTGTTAGCGGTAGACCATTGACGAGATTACCATAACGATCCAGTGCATATGCTGTCCAAAATGTCCTCCTCCGCTCCTCTATCTCTACCAAGGAGAGAGCTGGTGATTGCCAAGCGTTTGGGTTGTCAATTTGGTCAAGCTTCACAAGATGGACAAGATGGAAGCAGCGGCCGGCGCTGATCCAGCCCTTTTTAGGGTTGATTTTCAAAATCTCGTAAATTGCCAGTAGTAGTCGAGCCTGGGCCAACTCGATTGGAAGAGCCTCGTTGGGCACATTCTGCTCCCATGCGTCTAATGTGCAACACGTGTGGGTGTACAGTAAGGGCAAGATACCTTTAAACTGGCTTCCCATTGATGCAGCAAGCGTTCGTATGGCATATTGTAAGCACGTAAAAGGCTCACTTGAGTCCAATTCCTTGGCTGCGCGAGCATAGTATCGCTGCTGATTGATGATGGGCGCAAACGGGTAAGCCCGTTCAAAGAAAAGATCGTCCCTGTCATGAAGTGTTAGTTTATTACTGCATCACCGAGAGAGTAGACTCAAAGTACATACAGATCCGCAAGCTCTAACGGTGATAACTGAAGAGGGAGCTGGCTTGCCAGGAATTTCGGCGTCAATGCCTGAGCACCCAAGTCCAGGGGACTCATGTCGGCTTCGAGCGGCCAGGTTGACGACAGTGGGTTCGATATATTGCTCGGTGGGGTTGGTTCGGATGAAAAGTACGTTGAATCTGGGAGAGACCCAATCGGTTTGGCCCATTCACTATCTACATCCAACAGAGGAGCCATTGAAGGCCATTTAGGAAGCTCCATCGACTGCGCTTCCATGTGATAAGCGGCACACTCTTCCGATGACCCTCGCACTTGTACAGTGTTATCCTGCTTAGTTGGCTCTTCAGCGATATTCACCTTGACTGAGTGGTCTGCATCGAAGACTTTGAGAGTAGGTTCTACATGACCCGGCCCATAGCCCGTTTGGCCCTCAGAGCTCTCCTGCAAAAGACGCTCGAGCGACGCTATATCTTCATTAGCAACAGCTCTGACCCACTAAACGATCTGACCTCTATAACCTCACCGATGCGAGACCTAAGAATCTTAACATGACCCTTTCTCGGGCCTCGTGGCCGACGAGCTGTGTTTGTGACGCATGGCACTCCCAGGTTATTACAGGTGCCACACTGGGGCTGATTCATATCGCACCGGAGCTTGCGGGAACGACATTCCTCGCAAGCCAGCCCTTTGTTCTGTCGGCGGCCCTTTGTCGCTGTTGTCGTATCGTCGCTCATTGGGTCTTGTGGTTCTGACTATCACTGTCCCGTCAGGGTTGAGTGAGCAATGAGGCCCGACCAGCGGGAGGAAATTCCAATCCAATTATGAGACTGGCGCGGACCCAGAATCTACCCCGGTGTACACGGTGCCCAGCTAGGTTAAGAAGCTTGTAGTGACTCGATCTCTCCTTGGCCCGCTAAAGATGATCCCTCGAGATAGATCGCCTGACATGGCTAAGGTCAGACTGACCCTCTTGTGGCGGAAAGGCCAGACGTTGATATCTGTAAATCCAACGCTCCAATAGAATATATGCTGAAACTATCATTTCCTTTCTATCAGTCTTGATAGCTCACGATGATACTAGAGCCCAACTAGTGAACCTCGGGGCCCGGACCGAGTTACTAGTGGTAAGTAGAAGTGGGCGACCGCCATGCGCGCAGGGCGTCCTGATTTTCAGGCCATTCTAGCAAGATAGTTCTATTGGACAAATATCTGTACTCCGTGTCGTGGCGTAGCATTAGCTCTTGGTGGCCATCGCTGTGGACCAATCTTCGCCTGGAATACTTCATGGCCAAGAATGCGCACAAACCCATTGTCGAGAGAGGGTCGCCATTGCCCCATCGTTCAGTAGCACAGTCCATGCATGAAACTAGCTCCACTTAGCGTCGGTTAGGGCCCCATGGGGTTGGTACTCTGCCCAGACTGGTTGATCTCCAGCCTTACATATCTGGCACACGCCAACCAGATGTGTGCCTGCATCCAACACGACCAAGATCAGTCCACACTACACCTACTGCGCAACTTGGGGATCTCTTCCCGCCAATCATTGTGGCTGTTGTGTAATAATAACTTCAGTCAGTAAGCACTAACGTGCTCCAGGCTTGGGGGCTATTGGGGGCTATTTCGGCGAGATGTTCAATGTGAGAGAGTGCTGAGGTTGAAGAACCACAGGTTATCTATGATCTACTTCAAATGCAACAGTAGGAGATACAAATGATATTATAATTACTTTTGTTGGTGCGGAATCAACAATAACTGCACCAGTGTTCAGGTGATGGCGCAGTAATGGCTTATCGTTGCATAATGAAAGCAGATGATCTCCGGCCCCCGCTCAAGCTCAGACTTGCATTTACTGTTGCCTATGTACGAGCTTGGTATTGGACTTAGTCTCTTTTGCCTGGTACTGAGACTGACTCCTACCAGGGAAATATTCAGTTGGGGTCTAGACAATTCCGTACGCGGACCTAGAAAGCAAAGAACAGACTATCAACTCATGCCCTATTATGTCCCTCATACGGCCTAGACCTGCTATTGCGGCAGAAACTGTGGAATCTGCGCTATGTCATCGTACATAATTTTGGAACCCGATAGCCAGATGCCGCCGACTGCCCATTAAGCTCTTCGAGAACAGCTTTCAACCAAGGGAAACCTACCCCCTAAAGGCAAGTAGCGCCACTTGACATGTCACCTCTGAAGCAGCGAAGTTGATAGATATAATGAGTAGTATAATTAATTGTAGAACAATGTCACTAGTTCTAGTGTTTGTGAATATGATTCGCTGCATGATGATAGACACCACTTAAACTAAGAGAGGCGCCACGGAATGACGGCCCAAGGTTCTCTAGAGCCAGAATCAAAGACAAACCCGGCCTATTCCAGACAGTCACACTTAAAATCAATTATGCTGATTGCTATTTCCTGTTGGAAACTCAATCACCCCAATTGACTACTGCGATGTCGATTCCAGCCGCTAACAGAAGAAAAGTCTGGACTCACATAAAATCTGGGTCACGACTCCGTATATGTAACAATATCAAGGCTGGCATGGACTGCAATAAAGCCAGCAGTGTGTCTAGTAGCTTTTGCACAACTTCGCTGTCTTAAAAGGACTCCTCGTTCAAGTTCATTTAGCATGAAGTACCACATTGTGATCGTCTCTTGCTTCAGCATCTTGGGTGCCAGCAATTCGATCCTTAGACCAGCCCCAATCGCCTGTGGTGAAAGTATGTCAGCCAACCTTTCTAGCCAACCCCGACACTGACAGGTGCTTAGGATGCTTCCGTGAGGATGATTGCACCGTTGGCTGCTCCTGTGACTTGGGCAAGCAAATATGCTATAGAGTATGTGAACAATGCTATGGAAGTATGTCAGTTTCTCATGCTATTATTCCACTCCTGCTAAAAGAACAAGGGTGTTATGACATTAACGATTGCAAGCCTGGCTGCAAGTGTGGTCTCTCTCGTGATCTTATCGAGGGCATGTGTATTCCACTGTGACTGTTTCCTTATCCCGCGATTTGGGACCAAATCCTTTGGTTTGTCACTTGGATTTCACTTCGTAATAATCTAAGTGTAATTGCATAGTTCACTCTTTTGTTCAGGATCAAACCTATGTCCAACCATAATGACCATCACATATATTATGTTAGGAGTGGTGCTGTAGCTTCACGGTTAATCATCTTTACCTGCCTTTTAATCCCGGTGGGAGACGAATGTTTCTGTTACACCATTGAGAGTCTATATGGTCACTTTTCGGTGAGAGCTTGTCTATCTGGGACGGTCCACTCGAGTCTAGAGTGCAGCGTTATAGAGTTTCTTTGGAGACTTGGATTTTAAACCCAGGTCCCATTTCATTCCTGCTACTCGAGGCTATACCATTCCGCCACAAATCTATGCACATGTTTATTAAATTCAGTGCGTCCCCCACTCCCAAGTCTACTTATCGTTGACAGTACTTCAGATACTTCATTGTCTATCCATTCCTAGCTGTTCAAACATGCGCTCCCATTTGGTTATAATCGCTCTGTTTGCCACTCTAGTAGCTGGCATGTGTGGACAAGGTAAATACGCCACGAGGCCAGTTGTGCGCCAGCTAAGAGGCCCTAGGATGTAGCAGAGACGATGATTGCACTGCCGGCTGCAGTTGCGACAGTCGGAAAAAACTATGTGTCTCAGCTTGTTTTCCATGCATGGGCGGTGGGTAGACCGATCACGAACTCTCGCCCAGCTAATCATGGCTGCAGGGTGTATCAATGACCTCCATTGCAGCAGCGGCTGCAGCTGCGATATGGGTAGCCATTTGTGCGTTTGATAGCTAGGCTAGATATCTGCAAAGGCCACTGTGATCGCAAATTTACGGTTATTTAGAGGAGTAGTAGGCCCGTCTAGCTTTCGGGATTCAGGGCAAATTGGGAGCAGCGGGATAGAGTTACTGTGGATGCGGGCTTCGAATGAGCAGTTGGTGATTGCTTCGGCATTGAAACAGATGCAAGTCTACTATGCCATCTTCATCTTGAGCAGTACATCAAATGTCAGTAGATTCATCCTGACGTAATGAATTGGGTCTTGGTGTGACATGGCATACCGTTCTCACATAACCATGTTTCTAAGTCCCTATTTTGGTATGTCCTAGACTCTATTCTGACCGTCTAGCATACGAACACAATAAGGAATGGTGCGTCCAATGGGAAACTTATCCTTGCATTTGCATTTAGAGTCAAATTATGCATCATATCACTTTGGATAGCCACATACGTCTTCCTGAAGGTGTGGTGAGATAACCCGCTCAGCCTACGACCCTCTCTTTACGGAACTTAACGACGTCCAACTAGCTATTAGATACATAAGCTATAATGGAGCAGATATTTTCTTATATGTTCCAAAGGTTACCTTTGCCTTCTAGCGACTGATTTACATTGCCTTAGGCAACCTCACAATGTACTTCTCAATTATCACTATAACCCTTCTCACAGCTCTATGCCCTAGGCAGACTCCCCCACCAGGATCCATCGCAGGATGCAGTCAAAGTAGTCATTGCCCCCTTAGACAAGTCCTTTCTATACCTTTGTAACTAAGCTATCTATAGAATGTGATATCACACATGACGACTGCGGGACTACACTGCAGGGCTGGAAGTGTGATCGTGGAACATGCAAACCCGTTGCTTGCAACAGCGGTAAGAGCTCCCAAGCTGAACGGCTAAGGAAATTTCTTTCCCAATACTAACTGTGAAAAGACTACGACTGTTGCGGTGGTTATATGTGCAAAGGGAGGCGCTGCACGGGATGTCCCCATGCCTGCGACACCGGTGAGTTAAGCATTCATCAATTCCCAACAGCCGCTAAGATTTTCAAGTGCAATGTTCTTCGGATAACGACTGCCCCCCGAGTTGCAAATGCAGCTCTGCGGAGAAGCATTGTATTCGCGAGTAGTTGTAGAGAGAAGTATTGTTATAGTATGGCGGCAGTCTTCTCTTGTGGTTTCTATAGCCAAAATTTACTTAATTTATCATGCACTCTTAGTAAGTTTCAACTTGGGAAGTAGATTACAGGTATTTTCCCTGTGTATAATATCTAGCTTTTATCAACGGCCTATCAATTGACACGGGGTACGATACCAGGTCTCTTCATTATTTGCTCCCGACCTGTACGCGTGCAGTTCCTCTGAATGGTAGTACAACGGGGAGTACTAGAAGTGCTACAAAGGTTATGGTGGTTAAACAGTTAGGTAGCCTAAGGATTCAATAGCTCGGGTATGGAATAAAACGAAGCGGGCAGTAGGAAAAGTAGTTTATTTTGACTATTCCTTCAGAGAGCAACGGAGACACAGTGGGGGATGCCTCTGCATTTGCATGACAGTATGGGGAAAACCTATGGATAAGGGAAAAACCCATGCTGAGGCACATAGCAAAAGATATAAGAGGCTACTTGAGTCGAACGCACACTCCCATGGCAGAGCTGCACTTGCATCCAGTGGTACAATCATCGTCGCTATTGCAGGCTGATATCTCTCACTATTGTGGGAATAGCTTGTGGGGACAGCGTTTTACTCACCACCACTACAGGCGAATGCAGGAACATAAACAACATCATTTGCAACTTCAGCGGCTAATTAGTATATGTATGGTGTCAGGATGGTGGACCTACCAGCATATTGACAAGCCGGCAGGGGGACAGGTTCAAACACCCTGCTAGCGGCGAGAGTAGCAAGGACAGCGGCCACGGTAATGATGGAAAAATACATTTTGGATGGTTAACTAATCAACAATAAGGATAGAGAAGGGTTACCAGGTGTTCTCTCCACTCTTGAGCAGTATAGAATGTGCACCTTTGTCCAGATACTTTACTATCAACGGTCCAATGGCTTCGAATATAAACTGATCGCTTAGGCGTAGCTCGTGATATCACCATGTCTCTCATCCTGATGTAACCTGGATTTCGAGTTCCGAGCCACATTTAACAAGTACCAACTCTTAAACTCTCCAGATTTTCACATATATCAGTTTGACTGGAACAAGACATGATTCGCTTGATAAATATTCCTATAATACGGTGCCTGGACGTCATCCCGCCTTTAACCTCATTCCAAACCAGAAAATGGAGGAGTATCGAGAGCCTCTGACATCAAGTCACAAGCGTAATATGAACTAATAACAATTGTTATAGCTCGTTGTGGCGCATCGTAACCTATTTTTACTACGAAGGTTGTGGAACAATACATTAAGACGTCCGGAATTACATTGCGCGTATTCCATTGTCGATATTAGGTAGCCGACCAGCTCGGTGATCCAGGTTGTCGACGAGCTCATGACCGCAGAACTCAGGCATACAATTCAGCTTCAGGATTGCCCTGTTTCGAAAATCCTCGGAGGGGAGCTGCATTTGCTTCGCTGTTGCACAAGATGGTGTGCGGACAGATTGTCAGTATACTTCACTACTTAGATGGGGCTTCTGATCGAACGCTAGGTTCATCTCTGAGTATGGCACATACGTCGTTATATGTAGATCAGTTATAAATTTTATGTCTATTATAATAAACCCATAGTATACATATTAAGGAGTGGTAACTCGATGGGGTTGGGACTGAATTCCCACCTGCCATAATTTCATGAGTCATAAATGTTCAAATTCCAACCGTTGATGTATGACCTGGCCATATACGTTGTACACAAGGGAAAGAAAAGAATGATGATTATCGAAGGGGTATTATTTTACAAATTCGTAACTTTGAGACACGACGACGTCCTTATGTATAACGGGTCGATCGGGATGACTGTTCTGCCGGCTCACCAACGATTCCTCGGTTCCCTCAACGCCTTCTGCGGTTGAGATGAGGTGCGCTTGGTCAGTCTGTTGAGTGAAGGAGGCCGGGTCGACGCGGCTCTTCCTCGAGGCAGAAAGTTTCTTCCAATTATCGAGCTCATGGCTGCGCACGTAGTAGCTGCCACTATTGGCGTTGCTGCTCTTGTTTTTGACAGAGACGAAGTACGAGCTCAAGGCGGGCAGACAGGCGCATATAAGGCCGATACCTGCTTCAGCGTTACTGGGAGTATATTAGTTTGGGAGTCTTTACCTATGCGAGGAAGTAAACAGAGATCTTACGCGGTCAACACGGCATGTATCCAAAACCACGTTGTGTCAGTTGTCTGGGCTTCCTCCACCATGATCACTAGTCGCCAGATACTAAATGCTGTAGCAAGTCCACCCGCTCCCAAAAGAGCGATGACCCGTAACTTCTTCACGCGCGACATGTGCAGTGACCACAGCATCGGTACCGGTAGAATAAGGATCCACAGGTCGCTGACAATGCTGATGACGGAGTCGGCGATGATGACCTTCTGCTGATCAATGCAGGACCCACCGTGCTCAATTCCATACCAATATGCCGAAATGGGTTTGCAAAAGAATATTTTGATGAACAGGGCGGGGATATAGTAACACAGGAGCACAATCAAGCTGGCGTGGATCACAAGGACTTTACGGCGATCTGGGGCAAAGATCCGTAGCATAACCGAGAGAAGGGCAAGCTTGACGACGAACACCGTGGGGACGTAAATGATCGTGATTGCGTAGGATGCCTGGAGTCAGATTCGCATTAGCATTGCTGGTGTCTGATTTACACTGAGGACTTATGGATGGTTTCCTTTTGCAGGGGCAGGTACCTTCTGGAAGTCAAGGAACTGACTCTTTGGCACGTCCCAGGCATGATACCCGCCGCCGTGAGAATTTACTGTTTCTGTTAGTTATTGTTCGCTGTCTGGCATTTGCTGTGAGAATAAGGATAACGTACGAACAAGCATGTTGATGCAGAACCCAAGGAAGAGTACCTATGAATGGGCGTCAGAACCAACTCAGGAAATTCAATGCCAGGTGTGATACCCATCCTGCAAATGTTGTATCTATATCCAGTCAATATCGGAGCTGTGGGCCATGCATTGCACAAGGGCAACCGTTCACTCACAGTCTTCCAGTCCCAGGCGTTTCCGAAGACGTATATTGATAATTAGGCGCAGTATGACGATAATCGTAACAAAGATGATACATAGCAGTTGCGTTACCAAATTGACCGTGTGGAGGGCATCCTGCGGGTGTTCAAGATTCGAGGTGAACCCCGGTGGTGGGGGTATCACCGGTTCTTCGGCCATGCCAGGCAAGCGACTAGAGACAATGTATACGCGGGCGTGTCGACGTGGGCTGGGGAGGTCAAGCCTTTTCAGACATACTCTCTGAGACAAATGGAGATCTCAGTCCAGTGATCGACATTCGGGAAACGAGGGATGTGGAATAAGATTGAGATAAGACGAAGGCAGAAGGGAAGGAAAGTAGGGAAAAGACAACGGGGGAAAAAAAAAAAAAAAAGAGGGTAATGGCAAGGAAGCAGAAGGTTGCATGGTGTCCATCCCATCTTATGCATCAAATGACTATAAAATTGCCCAAGAAGCACAATAGTTCCTATGCATCCACGACAATCTGCACCCCAAAAACGAATACCATTCCATCAAGCACTCAGGAGGGCGACCTGACGACTCCAGAGCGCTAAATCCATCCTGTTTTAGGCGAGACATCTTGGGTCTCAACGATCCGTTCCCTCGGCCCGCTCAAGCAACCGCCCAGGCCGGAGGGTTTTTGTCACAGCGGCCCTGCAAGGATTCTCGCAGTGGACAATCAATTTCCAAATATGGAACCACGCAGGTGGAGCAAGGAGGAGGCGGGTTACATCGAATCTCTTATAGTGGGACTCCTATTTCGGAGGAAGTAGACCATCAGTTCGCCCATTCTCTCTTTTCTTTTCTCTCAGAGATAGGTATCGTATTAACCAATGGGCATTCTGGGACTTACTTCAGGCGTATAGAGTAGACTGACTTGAATTCAACATATATAATTAACGCTAATGCATGTCGCCACAGACTCAGCAGTCAGCACACTATCTCCAACGGAAATGATTTCCATATTCCTCAACCCCCGGGATATTGAGACACATTTTCCCTACTAGCCTCCCCTACGGATGATTATTTTAATATCCTCGTAAATTATTCCGATTTGGTAACGTCTCTTACCAACTAACCCGACGCCTGATGGGCTGTGGAGATGCGAAGGATTTCAAGCCCTGTCTAGAGCCAATTTAGCATCCGCCGCGGAAATTCTCCCGCATCCGTGAACCGCGTTTCTGAAGTAGAGACCTGCCTTAGATTGGACGAGCAGTGGGTCCATATAAAATGCCCTCGACATTTTAACGCATTAAAAATTCAGCAGATTCATTTGGTCGGGAGGATTCCGTTGGCTTAGCTCTCTGGCGTAGAAGGATTAGGGTAAATGCTGCAGAAACTTACTCTTATTTCCTGATTGATATACCCAATTTACGTAATGAAAAGAAAAAAGAACTACAATCGATCCTCAAAGCTCAATTAGTGTAATAGAGAGAAGCAAAGCAGAAACAAATTATAATTTGTAAAGGATGCAAAAAAGAAAAAGAAAAGAAAAACCGTTACATCAAGAGGTCATACACAAATCGCTTCCGTCATTGCCGCCAGGATCCACCCGCTAGATATTTACTATAAATTGGTCTAACCACAGAGTATTCGGTCTTCTTTACGAGGCACCAGTAAGCCTACCTAGTGCCTTCCTTCTAATATAGCGCCAGTGCGCTATTTTCAAGACGAATTTGAGTTATCAGCACAGCTGAATGCCGATCCTGTCAACTTAGATGTCAGTAGTGGGCCACCAGCGCAGAGTAGTCAAGCACATACCAATGGTTCCAGAACTATAGGCATCAATGATCTGAATAACGACGCCATATGTCGCTCCGACTAAAAAGAACAGGCCCAGTAGCACCAGGCCACAATGAAGCAGGAATACAACCTTCTCCTTCAACGTTCCATTCTTGTAGTGCCAATGGTCATAGAGCCACAAGCAGCCCGGAAGACTCATGGCAAGTGGGGCAAAACATACCGAGCCCACAAGGGCAATCAGATAATTAAAGATCGGGATCGCCTCGGCCAGAATGAACGAAAGGGCACCGAGAATGACCGTGCTTGCAACCCAGGTTCCCCAGTGGATGACCGTGTTGGCCTGCAAGTGCCGCGAATTTCCTAAAATACGCACGAAGACATATTTGGCAGCCACCTTCAGGGGTCAGCCTGCAACCAACGTGGGATTGACTAGAATAAATGATGGGTCAACTTACATGCAGGTACAGGGTAGCGCTCACGATCAACCCCACCAGCGCAACTCCGTAAGACACCATCTTGATTGTTTGTCCCGCGCTCTATATAATGCCTGTTGTTAACCTCCGATCCGCATCCAGGAGAAAAAGTAATAAAAGTAATACGCACCCCCAGCGATGGGCTCGCCACCCACTTCCCACACCAGCGGTAGACGACCAAGCTAAAAGCGAGGTACGACGCGGTGACGAGAGCCATACAGAAATAAAGTGGCTTCTTGTAGTCCTTCGGGTTGCGCATCTCCGAGATCACAGGCAGGAAGGCGCTGGTGCCCGCCGATGAAACGAAGATCGTACAGGAGGCAACCATGCCGGCTGCAAATCCAGGGTTATTAACCGCAACAAAACCCAACTCATAGGGCCCCTCCTGAGGTGCAGCAGCTGGGCGGTCTTGGGTTGTTACTCCGATCACAACGATCAGCACAGCGGCATATATGGATATAAATCCAGCGTAGGTGAGCCAGCCCACATGTTCAAGCTTGCGAATGCAGGCAGTTGCGATGATGATGACCGTGGCTATCAAAGACCACCAAACGGTGCACGTAGCGTGGTGGGAAAGGGCATTCAGCGCGGTAGTCACGCCAATAATACCGCTGCCCGTCACCAGGATGTAGGCAATGATGAATAAGAGACCCGTCGCTTCTTTCGCAACTACGCCGCCGAGGACCTCAGCCATGTCAGCGATCGAATGGCAGTGAGGGTGTCTCGTGCGAAAGTTGCCTAGAATCACGGCACAATAAGTGTTAAAGCATCCCCAAGCCACAATACTGATTGAACCCCCTACAGCTCCCAGGGAGTATAGTGCTGATGGCAGGGATAACACCCCTGTCGCGAAGAGGATCTTGATGAAGATCACGCCCGCATTGAACCAGCCTACCTTGCGGAAGTTGACCCCAGTATCGGTCTTTTTGAAAACTTCCTGCTCCTCGAACGTTGACCCATGAGGACTTGCTTGCTCCCTGTCGTAAGCCGTATAGGCCTCTGCCTTCTCGTTCGTCATGCCGATGAATCTTTTTCTTTTGGCGAAGGAAGATGTCTTCAGACAAGATCTGGAGTGGACAGGCAAGCTCAAAGAACTTCAAACGGGCCACGTGGGGGAGGCAGCTGTTCCTTTTGTTTTTTTTCTTTTTCTATTTAGTCTATTGAGCAGAGAACTACTGTAATGGAGGCGGGTGAGGGCCGATCCTTCTTCATGTCGACTAGGCTATATGCTGATTCGCCGGAGTCCAATAAACCAGGGCCTTTTAGCAGCACGGCCCATGACAACCCATCCACTCCAGACCCACTCGCCATGTTAACTAGGAGGGGTTAGGGTATGGTCTGATATATTGTCTTGCCACTCAATTTATAATAGTGTCAAATTAACTCTGAAGAAGTAGGGAATGGATTGTCAACTAACTCCCTAGTAAACAGCCTAGACTGCTAGTAAAGACTGTGCAGAGTTTTTTTTTTCGAAACCATCTGATCCAGTGCCTAATAGCTAGGCCATTTTACCTCGTCAACAAACCCTATAAAGTGACTACCAAATGGTATCATGGTGGATTATGTGCTGACGACTTATCCGTCCGTAGTCTAGGCGTGAAGTGGCTAGTAATAACCAATATGTAATTCCGGCTACTCTTTACTAAATTAGTGTTGGTCTTCGCTTAGCTCACTAAAAGGAATGGCACGCATTAGACTGTCATTATCCCTATTTTCTCTTCCTCCAATTGTTCGCCAGCGTCCAATGAATCTCTAACCACTGGTCCAAGCACCGGACGATAGGCACAGGTACCTTGTCCGAAGTTCTAGCTTTTAGGCAGTAGTTCTCTAACTAAAAAGAAGAACAAGAAAGATGAAAGAAAGAATAGTACACGAATATAATAGCCTGATAGCGCTGAGGAATCTACCTAACTGTTTCTACAAAGAACCCATTCTTTTGTCGTCATATACTAAGTACGGAGGAGAGTAGGCGCTTAGTAGAACATTTTATAGCCCAGGGCCCTCTTAAGGGTTCTGCCTATACTCGGGAAATTCATCTTTCTAACTTCCTTGACGACATTATCCATAGAACTGGCACATATAGCATAACATCCACAAGTTTATCTATTCTTCCCCCCAGATATCTGGGGAATATTATCCACATGAATGCCTCTGCGACTAGCTAAGCCTCAGTCATATCGTTCATCCGTGTTAACCGAGCTCCAACGCATTATATCTTTCAGCGCTGGTGCTTCAAATTCGTGACTTGATAGTGAAGCTTTCTTTTGACTGAAACCCGGGGCTAGGTTGGCTTTTAGGCTCGAATAAGTCTCAATTTTAGAACCAAACCGACTTAAGCCAATATAATGAAGAAACCTTGGTATACATATATGTTGATATCTTCACTTACGTTCCTCGTATTCGGTGACTCGATGACTTGCTCAGTCATAAAATCCATTGCTATGTCTTCTTTTTTGTCTTAGTGAGAAATGAAACACCTAAACTCTTCTAGCATTCTCAGCCAGCTCCTATCTAGAATTGTTCCTGGTTGTTCTGGTGCACAGGAAGCTTCTATTCAGATCATGACTACTGCTATCAGTATTCTATATATCTACCCCATATCAGCTTCCCACAAGCATGTAGGGATCTCCAGCAGCAAGGACATGGGCATCATTTCCAAGGTCAATGGGGTAGTATCAATAACACTGTTATCTTCAAACTCAAGATCTAATCTCTCCCCAAAGGCCGAGGTTACGAATAATGACATGGCACAGGCCTAATTGATTACATTATCTCGGCTGTAGAGATGACTCCATCTCATGAGGGAAGAAACGTGTTATAATCTTGTGATACTAGAAATACAAAGCACTATATAACACTCTAAGCAACCTATATCTATCCTCTCTTTCCTTCGTATCCCACACCTCATATTGCAATATCAACATCAGAAACCCAGAAGTCAGACAAAATGCCAAATGCAACCACTCCGCCAGAGTCTTACGCAGCTCTCCCTTTCGAAAACATATCTGTCTCCAATGTCCCAGAGACCTCGCCCTCCGTCACCAGGGTAGTCCTCCTAATACTCAATCGCCCACGCCAGTTCAACGCCGCGACAGCGCAAATGATCGAGGAAATAATCTCCGCATACCAATACTTCGACGTCGACGACCGCATAAAAGCAGTGGTAGTAACAGGATCGGGACCAGCATTCTGCGCAGGTGCCGATCTCCAAGTCGGATTTTCCACCCTAATCGATGACTTAAAGAAGGACCCCTCGAAGATTGAATCTCACAGGGACGGGTGGGTACTCCCACCCACTCTTCAGCCGTTTACCCCCTTAAGCCTTGAGCTAACACATTACCATATAAAAGAGGCGGACGTGTCACCCTAGCCATCCACAATTGCTCCAAACCCACCATCATGGCCATCAATGGACCTGCCGCCGGTTTCGGAATCACCCTTACGCTCCCAGCAGCAATCCGGGTAGCCTGTGCAAGCGCCAAGATCAGTCTTGCTTTTTCGCGCCGCGGTCTAGCCATGGAGGCCTGTAGTTCTTATTTCCTCCCGAAGCTGGTGGGAATGTCGCGTGCGCTGCACCTGGTCACGACTGGCGCTACCTATGCTGCGTCCGACCCGTTGCTGGGCAATCTTTTCTCAGAGGTATTACCGACGCCGGAGGAGACGGTTGCGTCGGCGCTTAGGATTGCGGGAGAGATTGCTGCGAGTACTTCTATAGTGAGTACGAAGGTGATGCGCGATTTGATGTACAGAGCTCCTGGAAGCGCTGAGGAGGCGCATTTGTTGGAATCGAAGGTGTTTCTTGGTATGTTGATGTCCCGAGATAGTGCGGAGGGCATGAAGAGTTTTGTTCAGAAGAGAAACGCGGACTTTAAGGGGAATATGCTTCGTGATGCGCCATTTGGCTGGCCGTGGTGGAAGGCTGTTGACGCTGCTTCAACTGAGAACCGCAACGAGGGGGGGAAGGCTAAGCTCTAGGCTTTCTGGCTGTCGGGGCTGGGTGAGTCCAAACAGTTTACGGGTTGGTTGAATATCCGTTTTAAGGATATTTGCTTCGCTGCACATGTGTGTAGTTATTAATCGAGATGCTCCTTATAGTGTATGGCCATTGTCCAATTAGCGCACAATTAATTGCTCGCGCAGACACGTAAGAACGACGGAGTTATGTGAATGTACAAATTATGGAAGAACGTCACTTCGTAGAACCATCCTTCTATGAGTAAGAAGCTATGGCTGTATCATTGTGTCTGTGTCCTCAACGCAGACTTGAAGGCCGCTGCAACGTCTGTTTGTCTAAATCCGGGCGCCCGGCCTAGAATAACAACACCACGGAGTAGCCCTGGCGTATGTTAGGAATTACACTCGGTGGTGGGATATTGCAATCAGCGGAGACCTACTGCTCAGAAACTGTTCGATGTCCAACATGTTGCTTTTAGGGCGCATAGTCAACTCTAAATTTTCGGTCCCTTAACAAAGTCAGCGCTTTGGGTTTGGTCAAGTGCGTTCGGTCGTACCTTCATGAGCGGTAATAGGGCTGTTAGAGCCAGGTTTCGATCGACTAGAATTCATCTCTTTATCCTGTCCATGGGGCTCGGCTGGCTGGCGAATCCGATCACTGCGTACGATGGGGCATAGAGAAGAACCATATAAATTCACTCCTTTTTCTCTGAGGTAACCTTCCACATCGCGACAATCAAACCACTCCCCGCCATATCCGCAAAGCTCCAAATATTTCTGATGATTTAGCGCTTGGCCAGCATCGGTTGTTGCTCCTGAGGTCTGGAATAGCCCGAGAACCCGTTTAGGAACCCTCATGTTAGAAGGGTAGATAGGATTTCCCAGATCATTTTTCTTAGGATAGTGCGTCCCAGCACCGCCGACTGTATAGAACGGAAGACTTGATATCTCCAAAGAATCCTTGGCCCCACCGCTGACGAGCCTCCGGAAAATAGGGTACATCTGTGCTCTGTTCTTTATGCAGGGAACCAACCTGAAAACTCGGTATACTTCGAGGGGTTGAGAGCGTGGGTCGCTAAACAAGCGAAAGGCGTACTCCAGACAATAACGATGGAGCCTCCGGCAGAAATCTTCTTCTCTAAACGAGTATGTGTAGTGAGTGTCTCTCCGTTGTGATTGTGCAATATCTTGGATGCGGACTGAACACCTGTTCGATTTACTTTCCACTTCATCGCTGAACGATACATGACGAGGCCTCTTCTTCACACGTTCTACCAGAGCATCTGGGCACTTCGTCTTTATGTAGTCCTCCAGGCAGTCACAATTGATCTTGGAAGAGTGGTCACTGGTCACGACATCCTGTTGCAGTGGCGATGGGATTTCCTCGGAATCGGCACTAGGCGGGCTGCCCTTTCGTGCACTGAATTCTGCAAGAGCCTCGGGGTTTAATATTAAAAGATTTCTCATACAATCGAGATGCCTCAAAAGCGCAGGATGGCTAGTCCTTAGTTCTGATGGAAACGCAGCCTTATAGTCTTCGATTGCAGATGCAACCTCATTAAGGGTGTTCTCCAGTTCTGCCACACGTTCTTTAGCACTTTCGTAGCTAGCTTCTTTTTTGAGTCTGTATGTCCGTTGAGCGCGTCGGATCTGATCTCGACGATCCTAAGTATAGTTTAAGTATACTCCGACTCCATGTAAATGGACCCAAGGTCCTACCTCTGATAGAATAGCTTCACCACTACCAGCATCCAGCCTAGGTCTCCCTGAACTTCTACACACATTGCGTCGAGAGCGCAATTTTGACATATTTTTTGAGGGTTTATCCTGTTTAGCCTTTTCCGTGTGTGACGACTCTGCCCTCTGAGCTGTGGACGAAATGGTCTGCTCTTGTTCCCCGTCAGAAACTATTGTTTCGGTGGGTACAAGTTCCGACTTCGCTGAGCCATCGCATTCGGCTAATATATACTGACGCGCCGAAAGCATATCTTGCAAGCGACTGTCCGGGCTGGTTTGCCATGGGTTCACCATGTCGGCTGGAAAAGCCGTGCGTTCGGCTAAACAATCGAAGTGTGTTTTTGCTGTCTAAAGTTACTAGCTTGTCACTAGACCTATTCGCATGGCGGAGAGGAAGTTCGGTTCGTACATTGAATGCATCAAAAGTAAAAAGTCGAAGGATGATTCTTATTCAGGGTTGTTGAGATAATGTAATCTACTATCACCTCGGCTTCCAACCGGGTCAACGGTTGGGGCAGATCCCGTCGATGCCCTTAAAACTTTTATTGATGAGAATACCTCCACTTGACTCAACCGGTTCCCCACCGGCTTTGATCTGATGGCAAATTCCGCGAGGGTATCTTTATACAAAGAGCGTAAAAAACTCAACAGTATCGCGTCTCTATTCCTATCTATCTAGCTAGCTATACTTCCATCCGAATATCGCCCTGTATACACCCCAATAAAAACGTAGAGTAGCACCCAGTCAGTAACCCACCTATCGCCACAAGAGATCAGTATATCGGCCCAGAACGTTAGTAGCATCGCCATCAAAAGTATCATGCACAGCATTCCATCCAATCTTCAACTGCGCAGCTTCCAGATCCCGTTTCCTCCTCTCCTCGATAGCCCTCCACGTCGCCGCATCCTCCTCGGACATACGTTCCTTAGAAGGTAAAAGCCCACACTGAATAAGCATCCGCTCCGGCGAGAAAGTCTTACGCCCCTGCTTAAACACGTACCGGGAGACAGCAGAAGCAAACACCTGTTTCTCCGGCGCCTGGTCACCTCCGGCTTTAACCCGAGCACGGTCTCCAGGAGTATTCGGCTGAAGCAAGAACTTGCGATGGGAAAATGCGCCCCTCCTGACAAAATGCGACACGATATAGATCCACTTCTCATCCCAACTCAGAACTCGTGACCAAACTTCGTATGGCTGGTAGGGCTTGATTTCTCTGCGGAAAACAATCTGCGCTCCGCTCAGGATCATGACTGCGGTTGTGGGCGTAGGCCAGAATGACAGTCGTTGGCTGAACAGTAGGAGGCTCAGGTTGCCGCGGGAGATGTCCAGGTCAGTAAAGTAGGTGGAGTTGGACTTGTGAATGTTGTAGTCGCATTCTGTGAGTGGGGATCGTGTTCGGTGGATTGCTGGGAGGAACAGGCATTCTGGACTGAGCTCCTTGTGGGTGATAGGGGTTATAAAAAGTCGGGTGACAAGAGCTCGGAGGAACCGAATCTTCAAGGGTGTTAGGTTATGTTGCATTAGTGTTTAGTGGAGTATGCTAGGTAGCACTCACAAACCACACGAAAGGGAGGTTCTTGTATGCGGCGACAAGGATGCATAGCGTAATGAGTATCCAATTGCCTAAGAAAAATGCCATGCTGTGTGATGGCCACGGCGCTGGGCTAACTTCTTGGTAAGCAAGGTACGAACAACAGGGATGTTTATAAGTAGGCCATATGAGTCCAAAGGTTGCCACTATATATTATAGAGGAAAACAATAATGTAATGTTTTGTTGGGACCCTTTTGCCGACAAGATTTGATGTACAGCTCAACGAGCCATTCGTTGGATAAGCAGCGAATGGGCCCTTTTCTTACGTTACTTAAATGGGTCAAATCAAAATTAAACCAAACTAAGGGTCTTACTAGAAAATCCAAATCAGGTGTATATGGCCGACGATAGACATAAAATTATACTGCCATCTCCGAGGTCCCGAGGTTTATTGACTCAGGCGTACGCAAACGTCCACCGACATGGCAGAGCCACATTATGCTTATTATCTCTATATCAATCGTTTCGTCTATCCTCGTATGTCCTCCTTGTGACATCATATTTCAAAGTAATCGAGCTTCATTGTATGGCCTCGCGTAGATGAGGCCTCAGGGTCTGCCAGTTAGATAGATCTCTAGGCATTCGAAATCATCTCGACTAGAAGATATGGTTTTAAGTCAATCATTTCTTCCACGATGTTCACATAATCTGCTAGGTAGTCTATATTCATTCCCATTTCATAGGAGGCAATTCAGTTGACGGCCTCTTCCACTAACCACAATCAGACTCACGCATGGAAAGGACATCCAGCAGCATAATTAGTTCCCTTCAGGCTCAGGAAGATAGCCTCCATTTCATCTTGTCCCTTTCTCTCCTGCGCTGCAGGGCCAATCGTACGCAGGTCATATCCCGACTCTTTGTAGGAACCATTGGCTGCAGGGATAGCCCCGTTCCCAAAAAGCCGTACTAGGAGAGCCTTCGGGCCCCATCTGTGCGAAAACGTAGGCTTTACATACCATGGATGCTCAATCCAGAGATTCCATGTATACAGTCCAGTTTTTGGGTCTGGGGATTCACTCAAAACCCGCACAGCCTTAGGAACCGGTCTCGGTAAGCTGAGATATCGCAGTATAAATTTGCGCATTGTCAAAATGCCTTTGGCAAATGCCGTGACAACTAAACCTGGCTTTTCGAATCTTTGTTCGAACTTAGCATAGTAGTTCTGAGAATTGGATCGGGGTCGGCCAACTCACCCCATGCTGATTCGAGAGTGCTCTTCCAATTTTGTAACGATGATGCTCTCGATCAATGGCTTCAGCGGGGCAGGCATATTACACTTGGCCAGTTCCATAAGTTGCCGGCCGATATACCGCGTTGAGTCTGTTGGCTGAGCTGCCACCTTCTCATATTCCAGAGTCCAGTCAAAAATTTCCTGGGCGAAGTGTATCCCGTCCCTCCAGCCAGTCTTATGAGAGGGGAGGAACGTGAAGGAGATTTCCATAGCATCTCCAAGAGCCTTGTGAAACACACCAATGGCACATCTCTCTACATCGGTCAGTTGGCGCCATTCATCTTTATCGACACCTCGGACAATATCCACGACAGCAGACCCAAGAGTATGCAGCATGTCTTCGTCTAGGATTTTACCCGCCTTACGATACCGCGCATGTAGGTAGTTCATCCGGGCAATCCCCATAAGGTGGGAGTCAGATCCGGGCTCTCTATCGTGGACTTCATTGAGAACCACCTCGGTATCCGCTGCTCGTTTGGATGCGTTCTTCTCATTCAACTGGCGAGTAGCGACAAATAACTTGGTCATGGTGGGAATCGATCCGGTCTTAGCCACACATCAGCTAGGGTTTCCGTAACAGTCTCGCACAGCCGGCCTACCTTTAACAGAGATAATTTCATTGCGCTGTGGAGTGTGTAGGGAAACTCCAGTTCGCGCAGCTCGCGAATAATTTCATGGGCTTCCTTCACCGTCATGCTAGACAGAGGACGTCCGCTAAGCTTCGACTCGATCTTACGGGCTCGTTTGAAACGAAGACGATTGACAAGAAGGATATACGATACCACCATTGCACCCACAACAAGAAGATGCTCGGGTGTTATTATGAGATCTGCCATATTAGCAAAGGATAGCTGTATGATTTCTGTATCAGTAACGGGGTAATTTGTGAATGGTTGGTGCTGAGCACCTCCTGACCCAAGAGCTTTATTTATCATTGTGAAATAGATATCTCTTCCATGTGGAGAGAGAAGAATTATGTTGGGCCGAGATTGGTGTTGAGATTGTAATCGTAGTTGTTGCAGGCTTAGGGCCGCCGAGATAATGTAATCCATGCCAATCGTCACTCTCGATCTACAACCAAGGATATTTCCTCTATACAACAACCGAGTACCCTCTCCCCGTGGGTACTGTTGCCCAGGCATGTGCTGTTATTCATAGCCAAGTGTATTCTGCCTTCACAGGCAATGCAAATGAGTTACTTGATCATTCGGAGAGTTTGGTACTTGCTTCAGGCTACCTAAGGATAGAAGTCAGGAATCATCTGCTGGAAAACACTTCAATCAATTCGTGTCGTATATTTTTTTTTTTTTTGCGGTAACTAATGAGTCCTATAATTTACATACATCATTGTCGTTGATTTAGCCCCATTGTCGTGTTTAATCAAATTTACAGTTGACGAAGTACATAGGGTGTTCAACTGAGAAATATATGCCTCAGAACCTATATATGTCCGAGGATAGGAAAATATCACTACTTACATGGGAGATACCCAGAGAGTATCTCAGTAGGACCTAAGTCGTCCATACTATCTATTTGAAAAATGAAAATCATCTAGGAATACAACCCCATCCTCTGGATTGGTCGATGATCACGTTGGGTTGAGGGTGGTGGTGTAACATTGTTTATTGGCCGCTTATATAACATAGAAGTAAAGAAGATTTTCAACAATTGGCCGGATGGTGTAGTTGGTTATCACGTATGCTTAACACGCATAAGGTCCTGGGATCGAGCCCCAGTCTGGTCATTTATTTTTATTTTCTTAGTGCTTTCATATACTCTACGTGTACGTACGACATACCAATCCCTACGGTAAAGTATCTTTTTTTTTTTTTGATCCTTTTTGATTTCTTCTTTTACTGCTTGTCGCCAACCTCGTTACTTTAAGGCGCTTTAGATATCTTGGAAAAATCAAGGTTAAGTTTGATTGGGCTTGATTATCTTATCTACAAGCCCTGATTATAAATGCTTATCCGGCCCCTTCCTTGCTTTACCCCAGATCAAAGCACGTATAAAATTCTCCGTTGTACGTCATCCTCATAGTGAAATGAATATTTATATGCCCGATGAGGGAGAAATTTCTTCATTTGACAACATAAGCCACGTATAGTATGGCCGCAGAGCAGCACTCAGAGGACTTGCCCTCTGAGGCAACACCCCTCCTAAACAACCCGCCGGTGGAGCTAGATGGGAATAATGTTCCGATCTCATTGAGCAGGGGAGTTACTATCGTGGTGACAATGGGGCTCCTCCTTTTTATACAGAGTATTTCGATCTAGCTACAGCACTCCGCTGCAACGGCTGAGCCTTTTATAGCTACCAACATGTCTATGATGACAACGGCGCAATCGGACATTGCAGCGGATTTGGATGCCTTTTCTGAAACGACATGGTTCAATTCAGCTTTTCTGGTATATCTTATGCCCGTCAGGATAAAACATGCGTTGTCCCCAAATTAACCTGTCTTTCCAAATAGATTGCACTGTCCAGTGTCACCCCGCTTGCGGGTCGGCTTTCCCAGATCTTTACGCCTCGTGTATACATTCTCTTCTCCTGCGCGGTTTCCGCGTTAGGGCTATTTATCACCGCTGCAGCTCGAAATTTAGCCGTTTTCCTTCTAGGACGGGCACTTACTGGATGCGGCGGCGGCGGCATAATGGTCGTAACAGTACTCCTGACCCTTGACCTGACTAGCAAAAAACGGCGGGGACTATTCCTTGGGCTGATCAATGTTGGAATGACGACTGGTATCTCTTGCGGTGCAATTCTGGCCGGGATGATAACGCCGGCTTTTGGATGGGTGCGTTATTCTAACCCTAACATTATCCCTCAAATACCAACACTAAAGGATTCCACCAGCGTGTAATCTTCTGGTTTCAAGCCCCACTCTCTTTGGCCCTGGGCCTAATTCAGTATCTCGCTACCCCCCCTAGTCCAACAGATGCCCAGCCTCTCTGGGGCCCTCTGGTGCGAAAATTGGCCCAAGTCGACTATGGAGGAGCCTTAGCCTTGGTAAGGTCATGCGACCCAAACGGTGATATTGGCCTGACACTTCTTAGACTATATCCGTCTTTCTGCTGTTATTTAGTCTCGCCTCGCCAGAAATTCAGCTCGCACCGTTGCTCTTGTGTTTCGTCACCTTTGCCGGGTTTTTGTTGATTGAATCCAAATACACGTCGGAGCCCATCATACCAGTCGAGGTACTCCGAATGCGAAGTGTATTATTGACCTGTCTCTCAGGCCTTGCTTCAATGATGGCTCGCTGGGCGGTTCTCTTTTTCACACCTGTGTATGCCATGGTCGTCCGGAACTGGTCCCCGGCCTCAGCTGGCCTGATCCTAGTGCCGACGAACGTCGGGTTCGGTCTCGGAGGGCTCCTGGTGGGCTGGCTACATATCCGCCAAGCCGGTAGTTACTATATGTGAGTGCTGGTGTCCACATTCTCCTGTTACGGATGAAGCCTGCTGACCAGCGCCATAATGTAAACAGCTCAAATATCATCGCGCTCTCAACTTTCGCATTGACAAACCTTATCCTCGTAGTTATATCAACACCTTCCTCGCCTACTGTTGCCTACCTCGCCGCAACCTTCTTCAACGGCCTTTCTGTTGGCGCTCTGATGAACTACAGCTTATCCCATTTACTGCACCTGACCAGACCAGACATACAGTATATCGTGAGTGCCCTGATCACCATGTCGAGAGGGTTTGCAGGGAGCTTTGGCTCGGCCATTGGTGGAGGATTCTTCCAACGCCAGTTGAAGATCAGCTTAGAGACTGGGTTCGCCGCACATGGTCTCCCCCAACAGGATGAGCTTATCCGCAAACTACTCGGTAGTCCCGCCCTGGTTAAGAGCCTGACCGGTATTGAAAGAGCCGTTGCAGTCCAGGGCTATGAGCAAGCCGTTAAGGCGCTTCTACTGGGCGGCTGTGTTTTGGCCCTGGCGGCAACGGCTGCCCAAGCAGGCACGGGTTGGAGACCTTATCGAGATGTTGGGAAGGGGCAGGATGACCTGGAGGAGAGTCTAGATAGAGATAGCTAGACATTACTTTCTACAAAAGTATATATCTAAATAATAAGAAAGTCGTTCTAGCACTATGGCTTTTGAAGATGGTGATTCCGTAAAGTTCCTGCCTTGGTGCCTGACAATGTCTTGGCGGCTCTGATGCGGTTGTTGGGGATCTCCAACTTTTTTTCTTCCGTCTCAACGAAACATCCCACGTCTTGTTGCGACTTGCTACAACGCGCGCTTTTATTCTACCAGCTACTCAACCTCCTATTGCATACATAATCCGCCAAGATGCCCCGTGCCGTTCGCGGTATGTGTTCTCTCCTACTCGTCCCCCCTTCCGACCGTGCTAATATCCGACAGGAGTTCTCATCGAATGCGATCCATCCGTGAAAGCCATCATCCTGAAGTATGACGAAGAAAGACATGACTACATTGTGGAGGACTTAGACGACGACCGCCACTTGGTCATTAAGGAGAGCCAACTGCAGAATCTGAAAATCCGACTGGGAAGGGTATGATTTCACGGAGAGCCTGTCTTTGTTACTTTTGCTGACGACGCGTAGGATCTCGATGAAAAGGTCATGCAGCCCGACGAGTCGGAATCTGAATAATTCGAGACGGATGATTCGATCCCCTTCTATCCCAATCGCGTACCCTGTTAGACATCGATGCGCCTAGCAGGTGTGAGGGATGTGCGAAGTGTCGTACAGGACTACTGCGAATGTACTACTTACTGTCCAACGATGAGTGGAGAAAAAGCGCCATATTCTGCCGAAATCACGAGGTGCAACATAGCTCCATTGTGTTGTTGACCAATTGCTCGTTACGGCCGGCAGGAGTTGCTCCTTGGAAAGGTCTGATCGAAGGAGGTGGCAAGATTGCCCGTTGTTTCCCATCGCATGGTGGAGGATTGACAACAGCAGGAGGAGGGTAGAGAGCTTGAGTCTCTGATCGTCCCATTGGCCTTACCTGGCACTTGCAAGAAACAATTCATGTCGGGATGATTCTACCTTGTTGGCTGGTCTGGGTTTTCCTGTTTTCCTGTTCTTTTGGAAGCGTCCAGAACTGCGTATGACGAAATTGTGAGATTTCTAGCAGTGCAAAGTACGACTCCTAGTATCTTCTAGATATCAGTTTGCGAATCGCCAGTGCTTTCCAGCCAATAGCGCGTGCAGGCGTCATATGATGGTTGGTACCCGTCTAACCGGATTGGGACTCCACCTGGGGAAGCTCCAACGGTTATCATCATCACGTGACTCATCGAAACGCCCAGAAGGCCCGCGCACCAACCAGAAGTGTTCAGTGGCAGCTCGAAGGTACACGACGCCTCAGGCACTTTCGAGGCCATCCTGGAGAGATGCTTCCTGCATGTCAGGTGCTCTGGTCCTGTCAGAGATATAAGGGCCCTCGAGCTCCTGTCAAGCTGTACATTCTCTCCAACAGAACAACAACACAAACACAAGAACACATCAGCGAACAAACATTCACCTCAATCCAACATACTTCTTTCCATCAAAACAAACGTGCTTCTGCATACTCTTCTAAACAATCTCCTTCAGAACACTGCCAAAATGTCTCTCTTCAGAACCTTGCCTACTGCCGGTGACTTCTCTCCCCTCTTCCGTCTCTTGGACGACTACGACACCCACCGCCAGGCCCGCGGCCAGGTGTCCAGCATGCGCTCCTTCGCACCTCGCTTTGATGTCCGTGAGAGCGAGGACGCCTACCACTTCGACGGCGAACTCCCTGGCATTGCCCAGAAGGACATCGACATTGAGTTCTCCGACCCTCAGACCCTCGTGATCAAGGGCCGCACTGAACGCGAGTACCAAACCCCTGAGACCGGCGAAGCCGAGTCTCAGGATGAAAGCAACAAGCAAGTTGCCAAGAGAGAGAACAAGCACCGCTTCTGGGTTAGCGAGCGCTCCGTCGGAGAATTCCACCGCACTTTCACCTTCCCGTCTCGTGTGGACCAGGAAAACGTCAAGGCCAGCCTCAAGAATGGCATCCTGTCCCTGGTCATCCCCAAGGCTACTGCTCAGGGCACTAAGAAGATTACTATCGAGTAAACAAACCAACGAAGAGACGAGTTACGATCCTGCATCTGGAGTTGAATTGTTGATCAAATCAGTTTGAATAGCGACGTCTGATCATTTTGTTTTCTTTCGGTTTTATTTGAACATCGAAAACACAAATCGAAAAACACAAAAGAAAAACAAAATAGCCTCCGTTGTTGAAGTTGAAGATGTTGAATCGTTTTCATTCCTTGACTCGCAGGCAGTGGATGATGGATTTGCTGGCAATTCTTAATTCTACCTAGTATTCTACCTAGTGTACTTAATCAATTCAATTGTCTTCTAACTCATTTCCTCCTAGTAATTATCCTCCTTTCTAGTGGAACAGTAGAAAAATATTGTAACAGCATTCTCCATGTCTATAGAGTAGATCCAAGTTCAATGCCAAGCTACTGGTCGAGTGACATCATCTGACATTGTAACACAACAACAACATTTATTCAATCCGGCGCTTTAAAGACTAAACTCTGAGACTACAACATACCTTACTTGATACTAATAACGAGGACCTGCATCGCTCCCCACCAAACCCTCAAAAATAAAATACGTACAAAGTTGAGAAATTCGTGGATATCGCTGGAAACCATATATCACTTCTCCCGAACCGAGGCACGTGAAGGTCAGCCGCGGTTATCAGATCGATCTGATCCATATTCTTCTCTCTCCATGTCTTCTACAACTGTATATATGCTACTTAAGCTACAGATCATAGTATATATATCAAGTATATAAACAACCTGTCTATATCGCATCAATCATACCCCACCCAGCCACCAGTGCAAATAAATTAACACCTACTTAACCCTCCGTATCCAACATCAACACCACCAAGAACAAAGCACCAACCAAAAAAATCTACAGCACCACCATCAAAATGGCTACCCCAAATCCGGCCCCCAAACACTTCACCCTAACCTACCCCCAAGAATACGTTGCGCACGTTGAAATCAACCGCCCCGCCAAAATGAACGCCTTCTTCGAAGAGTAAACTCAACCCCATACCCCCCAGCCCCTATCTCCATGCAACCCCTTACTAACAAGACCTCTCAACCAAAAAAAAGAATGTGGCTCGAAATGCGCACCCTCTTCGACGCCCTCTCCCACTCCCCCGATACTAGAGCTATTATCCTCAGCGGCGCTGGCCCCAGAGCCTTCACAACCGGACTAGACGTCAAGGCCGCCTCAACGGGCCTTCTAAACCCCGACAGCGACGGCCTCGATCCCGCCCGCAAAGCCGCTCACCTGCGCCGCCACATCTCCTCCTTCCAAGACTGCATCTCGGCCATCGAGCGGTGCGAGAAACCCGTCATCGTCGCCATGCATGGCTTTGCGCTGGGGTTGGCAGTTGACATCGCCACCGCGGGCGATGTCAGGCTCTGTGCGGCTGATACAAAGTTCGCGGTGAAAGAGGTGGATATTGGGTTGGCGGCGGATATTGGGACGTTAAGTCGGTTGCCGAAGGTTGTGGGGAATTTTGGGTGGGTGAAGGAGGTTGCGTTGAGTGCGAGGGTGTTTGGAGCGGAGGAGGCGCTGAGGGTTGGGTTTGTTAGTGGGGTTTTTGAGGGGAAGGAGGGGGTTTTGAAGGCTGCAGGGAGTATTGCGGGGTTGATTGCTAGTAAGAGTCCAGTCGCTGTTGGGGGGACCAAGGAGATTTTGAATTGGAGTCGGGATAGGAGTGTTGAGGATGGTAGGTTTTCTGTCTATTCTTTTGTTTTCTTGGATGGTTGTTGCGGGTTGGGGTGGAATTGCTAATGTTGGTACTATAGGACTGCGATATACGAGTGTTTGGAATAGTGCTGCACTGCAGACGACGGATGTTAGTGCGGCTTTGTTGTCGGGGATTCAGAAGAGGAAGCCTACGTTTGAGAAGTTGTGATTTGTTTATGATATGAATATACTCCGCATTGGATTGTGTTGTTTCATCTCTCGCTGATTTGTCGCTATTGCCATAGTTAGATACTGTACATACATACATACCCTCTTATTCATAAAAACTCCATACTATACTATACTGAATCGACCCAATGACCTGACAAGCCCTAAATACATACATACTTATATCGGTTCATATCGGTTCATCACACCCCGAACAACATCCACATCCCCGAACTCCAAATAGCCGTCTAACAGGTGGAAAATAGAATCCAGAGCCATGGCTGCCCAAAGCCAAGCGGGGAAACACATCCGGATGAAATGATCGATCAAGTCGCTTGAACAATTCTTCAGACCCCGATTAAGCTTCACCGGATGCCACGTTTTCCACAAATAATATATGCAGGGTGAGGACGGGAACTTCTCCCGCGTCTGTTCCCACAAATAGCACGCGGTTAATATATGCATGACAAGAGGCTAGTGATCTGCCCGGAGTACGGGCGGGGTTGACAGGTCTTCTTGCTGCGTTATGTGTTTGGGAAGGATGGTGTGAAACTCCCGTCGATCCGTGGCGGTTTATACACGGAGTTAAGACTATGTGTGTACTGTGTCTGGAAAGTATTGTACGTACGGAGGATTGGTGATCACGACTGAGATTCGTCTTGTATATTTAATTATTTTTTTTTTTTTTTTAATTCCAGTTTTCTTTGGCGCTTTGTGCGCTGCCCATGGGGATTTTCCGTTTGGGGTTGTTCCTGAGGAGGATTCCTCCGTGGGCCATTCTAGACCTAACTATGGGTATAAGTATTGTGGTGGTCGAGCGGGATGGAGTTAATTGTCTATAGATTCTTCGCTGTGCTGCTATCTTCATTACGGGATATCACTGCCTCCATCATGAAATCCGCATTCCTGCCGCTGTTCCTCCTTCCTGGCGCCTTGAGCGCAACCATCTACCTCGCTGGGGATTCGACCATGGCAAAAAATGGCGGCGGGTCAGGCACGGATGGTAAACTACTCCTCGACGAGCACCGCGCATTGAACATAAAGAGTTAACAAACGCAGGATGGGGCCAGTACCTCGACGACGTGTCCATCACTGTCTCTAATAAAGCGATCGGCGGCCGCAGCGCTCGCTCCTATACCCGCGAAGGCCGCTTCGACGCCATCGCCGCCGTCCTGAAGGAAGGTGACTACGTCGTGATCGAGTTCGGCCACAACGACGGCGGTTCGCTGAGCACCGACAACGGTCGCACCGACTGTCCGGGTACAGGCTCGGAGACGTGCGAGACCACATACAACGGTCAAGCGGAAACTGTCCTCACGTTCCCGGCATATGTGGAGAACGCCTCGAAGACCTTTGTGAGCAAAGGTGCCAAAGTCTTGGTCTCTAGCCAGACCCCGAATAATGTCTGGGAAACGGGCTCGTATGCCTACTCGCCCTCGCGCTTTGTCGAGTACGCTCGCCTGGCGGCGGAAACGGCTGGCGTGGACTATGTGGACCACGGCGCTTACGTGGCCGCCCGGTATAAGGCGTTAGGGGCGGACACGGTCAACTCCTATTACCCCAATGATCACACCCATACTAGTCCGGAGGGAGCGCAGGTGGTGGCGGATGCTTTTCTGAAAGCGGTGGTGTGCAGCGGTGTCGCACTGAAGGATGTCTTGACAAGTACTGATTTCCCGGGCGACTGTCTGTAGAGATAGCGACCACCTAATGATAGAGGTGTTTTGTGTCGAAATAGTGTATTGGCATGTAGTATGCTAGTGCACATTATGTATATAGTTCTCGATACCCACGCGTTCAAATGACAATTTGGGTCAAGACAGATCCCAGATCCGTCGGCATTATAGGTAAACCATGGCCATCATAACATCATATCGTGTAAATAGACCTGAAGCCAATGTGCAAACCAAAATCATTTCAATTCCTCCAGAGACTTTCTGACGAAGCCGCGATTCTCGACCCGCTGATAATACTGAGCCAAGTTGCGATACGCCTTCATTGAGAATGGCCCACGGGCCTCTACAATTTCTTTCAAAACTGGCCAGAGCGAACAGTCGTCCAGTCCAAAGGCGGGCCCATTCAAATAAGACTGTCCAACCAAGGCCCGCTCCCATGTATCCAACGCTCTCAAATTGTCCTCATCATCTTCCTGATTCTCTCGCCAGCTCTTCAAGAGTTCGTCAATCTCCGCAAGCCGATCACCCCCATGCAACGGTTCTACTCCCGGTCGGTTCAGCTCTGTAGAACGGCGTGCTACATGAGTCATAATATTAATGTCGCCAGCGACCTTGGTACCGTCCGTATCGACGTATAATACTGGTCCAGCATCCTTCCCGCTGTCAGGAGTTTCCAGATTATATCGAATACCGTGCTCGCTCAAACAGAGCAACACTCGCAGATTGGCCACAGCATCTGGGCCTACCACGAGCTTGTTCGTCGATGAGGTGACAAAGTTAACCCCATCGAATCCCCCGCCGTAAACAGCATCCCAGTCAAAATCAACCGCACGGTTCTCTTCGCCAAATGCCCGGATGAGTCGCTCCGTCTCCGCGGGATTACCGTGGATCACAGCATTGGCCTGGTCCTGACTTTTCGACACGGCTCCTTGGCCCCAGATCGTGTCACCGGTGGGGTTCAGGAAGGTGCCAATGTGGCGGAAGGTGAGCGATATCCGCTCACCATTATAAGCCCGCTCGTCCATGGACTTCTCGTTGTCCGCACGTTTGTCGGGACGAATGCCATGAAGCCACCGCATATTAGTCTTCTCACCCAAGATGAAAAGGGACTCGTGCGGCATCGGTACGCGTTGCGTTGCTCGACTCGACTCCCCCTCTTCACCCTCATGGGATTTGCTACGGAGGACCATCACTCGCTGGGCGCCGAGGCTGACATTACAAATCGATGACCCGCGGACAATATCGAGAGTCTTGTCCGAATGCTCGGAAATACGGTCTTGCCCGTCGCGATAGAGCTGAATGAGGACATGATTTAGAGGATGCCGCAGAATGCGTTCCACGATCATGCGCACGCGGTCCACGGTGGCCGTGAACGGCTGCAATGGAGGCGATTCATCGGCTGGATGACGATAAATGGGAATAGAGCCATCCGACAAGGCCTGTCCTTGCACGGCGACCAAACGCGGGACCTCTCCAGACATGTGGTACATCTTTTGCCAGGCGACCTCATTGCGGATCTTTTCAAAAGAATTGGACGGAAGCTCCAAATCATAGATGATGCGTGAGTCCCCTTCGCCGATGGCATCTCCTGGCTTGCGAATGTCGCGAGACGGCTTAGACTTTGTGCTCCGTCGACTCTCAACCCGCGACGTGGATTCACCTTTAGGCTCTCTCTGCGTTCGACGAGTTTTCACGCGCTGCTTTTGCGCATGCGCCGCCGCACGACTGTGGCGGGTGCGAGCTACTGACGCCAAAATATCGTCATGATCCTCCAGAGGATCTTTCCCGAGGGCCGCGCCGAGACGGGGCGGGCTCGCCTGCTGAATTGGTTCGGGTTCTTCTACTCTAGCGGGCGTGGTTAGCTTGAAGTCCAGGTCATCCATGACCCTTTCAATACCCGAGGAGGTAGCATTCCGAACGGGTCTGGGACCGCCTTTCCGTGCGATGGCATCGGTTTCCTGCCAATCGAGCTCTTCATAGAGTTCCTCCGTAGTAATACCACTGGCCCCAAAAATGTCGGCCATGCGTCGCATCGCCTCCTCGTGGCGAGGGAAGCTACGAAAACCCAAGCAATCCTCGATCAGGGTAACCGAGAACCCGTGTCGGACGGCATCGAGGGCGGTGGCATACACTGAGGCGTTACAAAGAGAGCCGCACAGGTACAGCTCTGTAACAAAGCGTGTGCGAAGATAAAGAATTAACCCTGGATCCTGTAATGCCGAGTAGTCGGTTTTGTCTATCAAAGTATCCGACTCAGCATCGATGGCGGCTAAAATAGGCGCGGGGAACTGCACGCCCGGCGTCTGCGGCCGACAGCATTTCGATGTTTCACTCGACAAAAACGCCTCCTCGTCGACCGGGGCTTGTGGCTCTACACTTCCGGGACGCGTAGATTTCTCTGAACGAGGTCTCTTATTAGCCGTGTCGGTACCTAGGATGATATACTCCTGCTCATCGGGTCCGACAGGCGGTCGACATGACTCGTATTGCGTTCGCACCCAGACCACTTCGCCGGTACCACGGAACGCACTCGCCAACTGAGGCAAGCTTTCTAAAAATTCGGCGGTGTTGGGAACATGTAGAGCTCCCGACGGGCGCACAAAATCATTTTGAAAGTCCAGGAGAAGCAGGGCTTTCCGCGTTTGGATTAAGGGTATATTACCGATTCGGGGTAAGTAAGTCATGATCAGCACATAGCGAGAAGAATGATAAAAGGGGATACTAAGGCGAAATAACGGGGAGATTAACCAGTAGGAGGAAATGTCAGGAGAAGAGTGGAACCAGCTGCAGCGGGAAAAGTTTAAGATGATGTTCCTCAATTAATGGAAGAATGAATGGAATGGAATATTATGGCACGATGTGATGCGAATGTTTTTGTGGAGAGTTGCCGCCGACACCTCAGGCAGTGCTTTCTTTGTGCCTGTTTCGGGATTAGTGCATCGTCCATCCTGATGGAGTAAATGGTGTAGTAAAGGGGAAGACGTGGGGTAAAATTGAAAGAAATGGAGATGGAGGTCAAGGTCGAGATCGGAGAATTGGATCCATGACTCACCAATTGCCCGCCAGGGTCTTTTCCATCTCCCAGACTCTCCATGATTGACAATCGGAGGGTCATTGTCACTGGTAATGAGTCTTAATATTGCGTACTGTACCAGAAAGACTTGACAAAACGGAGCCAATCAGACGCTGACATAATCCCGCCCGTGGTCTTCCCAGCCAATCATGGAGCTCCCAATCCGACATCGGCCGGGGAGTTCAGCTCCAACTCCGGATCACGTGTAGTGACTACGACCCAGCAACCACCTTATAATCCGACTCACTTCCTCCTCCCTCTCGCTCTCTTTCCTTCTTTATTTCCTCATCCAACACATTCAATTCCAATCTCCTCTCCCTTTCTATACCCTCCATCTCCTCAATTCCTCCATACACATACACAATGGCCTCTCGTGGACTTCCCCGGGCTCTCCGCCTGGCCCGTATCGCCGCCCCTCGCTCCGTCGTCTCCGCCGCCCTCCCTCGTCCCGCTCTTGCAAAGGCTGCTGCCAATGCCCTCCCCCGCGTGACTCTGTCCTCCACCCCCGTCCGTGGTGTCAAGAACATCTCCTTCGCCGGCCACGAGGAGACCGTCTACGAGCGTGAGGATTGGCCCCGTGAGAAGCTCCAGGAGTACTTCAAGAATGACACCCTGGCTCTCATCGGTTACGGTTCCCAGGGTCACGGTCAGGGCCTGAACCTCCGCGACCAGGGACTTAACGTAATCGTCGGTGTTCGTAAGGATGGTGCTTCTTGGAAGGAGGCCGTCCAGGACGGCTGGGTTCCCGGCAAGAACTTGTTCGATGTCAACACCGCCATCGAGAAGGGTTCCATCATCATGAACCTCCTCTCCGACGCCGCCCAGAGTGAGACCTGGCCCACCATCAAGCCCCTGATCACCAAGGGCAAGACCCTCTACTTCTCCCACGGTTTCTCCCCCGTTTTCAAGGATCTCACCAAGGTCGAGGTGCCCTCCGACGTCGATGTCATCCTCGTCGCCCCCAAGGGCTCCGGCCGTACTGTTCGCACCCTCTTCCGTGAGGGCCGCGGTATCAACTCCTCCATCGCCGTCTACCAAGACGTCACCGGCCAGGCCAAGGAGAAGGCCATCGCCATGGGTGTTGCCGTCGGTTCCGGTTACCTCTACGAGACCACCTTCGAGAAGGAGGTCTACTCCGACCTCTACGGTGAGCGTGGCTGCCTCATGGGTGGTATCCACGGTATGTTCCTCGCTCAGTATGAGGTCCTCCGTGAGCGTGGCCACAGCCCCTCCGAGGCTTTCAACGAGACCGTCGAGGAGGCCACCCAATCCCTCTACCCTCTGATCGGTGCCAACGGCATGGACTGGATGTACGCTGCCTGCTCCACCACCGCCCGTCGTGGCGCCATCGACTGGTCCAGCCGCTTCAAGGACAACCTCAAGCCCCTCTTCAACGAGCTCTACGACAGCGTGCGCGACGGCACCGAGACCCAGCGCTCTCTGGACTACAACTCGCAGAAGGACTACCGGGAGAAGTACGAGAAGGAGATGCAGGACATCCGTGATCTCGAGATCTGGCGCGCTGGAAAGGCCGTTCGCGCCCTTCGCCCCGAGAACCAGAAGTAAATGTAATGTACATTTGGGATTTGGGAAAAAGTTATGACTGTACCATGATGCCTTGTTATACTCCAGTTACTTAATTTTATTTCTTTTCTACCTTCTTCAAACAAACGATCATGACCAATTCAGCATATTACTGTAGTTCGCGTAGTACTTCGCGAATGACTGCTTTGCCCAAATCCAGGGAATATCCTCTAAACTCCTAAAGCTTAATCTGCACTCTCTCCTGTACAGTGCCATGACTTCTCCATTACTGTACCACCCCAACCCCAGTATCTAAAATTAAAAGAGGATAGAAACATAGTCCATGAGCTCAATCATTGAAGACTTCTCTTCCGGCCCAAAAATCGAATACACCAGAGCATCAACAGATCAGCCTTGTACCAACACTTCTCCGAAAAGCCACCAATAAACATGCGCTAGGAAGCATACCATGCCACATCAGCGTCAATAAGCCCAGCCTCTGAATAAACAGTTCCGGCACAATTCTCAGGTTCAACCTTGACGTAGAACCATCGAGTAACAGAAGTTCAATCAACAAGTCTTATGATACACCGCTGTAGCATGAAGTCCGAAGCCTTCTCTCCGCGGATCGTCAGAGATAAGCAACAGGAGAGCTTAACAGTCCTAGCATCCGCGCCACTGCGGATCGGGCACGGACTAACGGTGCAGACGGCGCGAGCCTACTTGGTATAAAGTGTAGCCTAGCAAAGGTTAGACACTGTCTACGTCCAGTTATCTTTGAGGAACGTAACTAGCTACGGATTAGCTTCTTAGTAAGCCTTGTTGTAGAAGTCCTTGCTTGCTATTGGTGATAGAGTTTGGCGGTTTATGGGTATATGGCTTGATATACCTAGGTGCGTAATGTACTAGTTGGTTATGTTGGATGCCTCCAGAAAATGGTTTAGATGTTATATACTATGTTTTCATGCGTAGATTAGTTGGATATCAGGGGTAAGTATAGGTTTCTTGGGAATATTGTCCGGCCCTCAAGAGAGAAGGACGACTAGGCAGGATACTTACGTTCAAGAACGCGATACTTGCGAGAGGGGGCTCTTAGCTAACACAGTCTGACGGCATTAGATAATGGTATAAAGGATGATCCTGGGAAGACTTGGTGAACCTCTTCTATCCACTAGACGCAGTACTGACTTCTACAAGGCCACGGCGTGATCAATAAGTCGTCAGTCTGTACAATCTAACAGCACTTCAAGACTTGATATGCCCTGAACTGGATCATCAGGTATTCTTCAGTCAAGGATTTGATTTTACGCGGAAACACCCATATAAGATAGGCCAACTAAGGCCCACTCGAGTCTCGAAGAAGCACCTGTGAGGGAAGATGGGATTGGCCACGGCGTCTAATGCTTACTTAGTGCGGGTCATGTCAGTGCGAGCTTATTCGATATGATGTTTAAAAGTTCCTTGATAATCCGAACTAACCCTATCGAGAAAATAGGACATGGATGAGACGGTTGGCTAATCGATATGCAGCTATTCGATTCTGGTAGGGCATGGTGGGACTGTCAGCGAAACAACCAAGTCCATTGTAGGAAGGGTACTTGTTCCACCTCCCCTTATGGCAATCTCCCCGAGTGACAGGATGGGAAAGCAACCCCACTATCGAACATACAACCCCCCCCCCCCCCAACCTACAAGAAAGTTCCCACAAAACCACCGGCTCCGACCATAGTGCTAATCGCCCGCCCAGACTAGCCAAGTGTCCCCTATAGGGAACGACTGGCAAGACCAATGTCTCATAAATCCTTGGATCCTCCGCTTGGCATGCAGGCCACGTGGACGAACGTACTACCCTCAACGTACAACGGGCTGACACCATGCATGCAGATGTCGCCGAGAGTAGTAAACTCCTATGCATTCTCTCCACTCCATGTCCTCCGCTGTGGTCTGGTCGACCGTCATATCGAACCGACGGATCATCGTCGCGAAAGCCACGTATAATTCGCACCAGGCTAAGTTGATACCGAAGCACATCCGCGGACCCCGACTAAATGACACTAGCCATTGCTCAAGCTCGCCGGCGCCGTCTTCCAACCATCGGTCTGGGATGAAACTCGAGGCATTTTTGAACACTTTCTCGGACTGATGGACGTGAAGGATAGCCATACCGACTGTCGTCCCTGGCGGGATTTGCTCGCCCGATATCATTGCTCCAGTTGGGGGCACAACACGTGGCAGGGAGGCGCCCATTGGGAGGTGACGAAGGGATTCCTTAATGGTTGCTGTGAGGAGCGGTAATTCTTCCAACTCCTTCAGACTAGGAGGCTGTTGGAGGTCAGGCCACACCGTGAGCAGTTCAGATTTGAGACGTGCGAGCGTGTGGGCCTGGTTGAGAAGGTTCCAGTGGCCTACGAGCAAGGTGTCCGCAACGGTGTTTCCGCCGGCAAAGATGATGGTTATACCTTCATCCAGAAGTGTGGCATAGTTTGAGATAGCCCTGCTGCGGTGAGCCTTCGCATCCAGCATCCGGTGAAAGATCGTTTGATGCGGAGCATCGTCGAGCTTTCTGGGGCTCCGTAGAACCTCTGTTAGCTCTTCTTCAATCATCGTACGCGCATTGCAGACTCGAGAAGCAACATTATTGGGGTCTGGAAGAACCCTCATGATCAGGCCCGTTGGTAACGAGTGGAGCAATTTGCGGATGAGTGGAAAGTTCTTCAGAAGAGGGATAGCACGCAAACTCGCATCCATTGCGATGATCAATGGATCCTTGAAGCCCGGTGCATCTAGAGCGTTTACGCTGTTGCCGAATGTGAAACACATGATAGTATCTAGAGTGAAGGAGCGGAAAGCATACAGCAAGTCGATTGACCTCCCCGTGCTATTGACTTTGGTTATTGCGGAGGCAAGAGTATTAGCCTGTAGAGTTAGCTTCTATGCACACCTTGTATCGGGAGGTACTACGTACATTTCGCCACACGAGGCTCTCAATGTTGGAAATGGCTTTCTTAGAAAACATTGGCTGAAGAACATCCCGCCTTTGCTTTGCTTCCTCATACTTGAGGAAGACAAACGACCCAGACTGAAGACCAGGGGTTCGGTAGAGACATTCATCTTTGTCCCATCTCTTGGTACCATTGTAAATTTCGTGGAAAGCGCATATATTCCCAAAATGGAGCTGTACATGTTAAGGCACGATAGTTAGAATATCGGTGGACTAACGAACCTCATTCGGACCAATTCGAACAATGTCCCCTGCATAATGGGTTAGAACACACCAATGCCACTATAACCAAGCAGCCCTCACCATATTTTTCGTGAAGATCAAACAGCAACTTAGCAATGGTCTCTTGTTTGTACACTTCCTTATAGGCCCTCCACCACGTGGTGGCGGCGGCGATGCGAGGCCCAGGGAAACGGTGCAGCGGATGGAAGAAGAGGTTGTAGATGACACGACATACTGTCACCAGAATTGCTGTCAGAAGCAATATGTAGACGCCTATCATGGTGTGGTTTAGAGAAATTGCCCTGTCTGAAAGTCGAGTAATTTGTAAGAGACTGACCAGGGCTACAACTCTTTCATATTAATAACAATGGCCCCTGACATATTTGAAACACCACTAAACAAGGTTTTTCTCGTATTTGATATGCTCTTTCTCACATTCCCTGTGCGACTTCCCGTGGTCTAGTTTGCCAACTCATTGCATCTTGATCTAGAGGGTGACTGGATGGAGACGGCCGCACCGCCATAGGTAAGCTGCATATATAGCTTTCAAGGTGGAGATAACTAGTCCCTCTAGAAGCAAGCATGTGATAATTTACCGTTGTTCCCCTTGCAATGTTGCGTGTATCTGTAAGGATTGCTTTTGTTAACATACAATTACTTGGGATTGCTCTAGAGGCCAAAGGAAGACCGCTGAACAGCGCAACGATCCAAGGTACCCTTGAGATAGCCCCCACCAATACGGGGATTATGGGATCAATTCGGGCTGACTCATTCCTTCATATTTAGAACCCTGTACAAAAGGGAAAAGAGTCACCGAGGCCTGTCCAGTACTACATTGTGCTCTTACTACCGCACTGCACTTAGCACAAGCGAGTTGCATTTCATTGGCGTCCAAGTGCAAAACAACCGTTGGATGTAACCTAAACACATTTTCGGACTGTTTATATTAACGAGCATACAAGGATTGTCCCCAGTCTTACTCGCCAAGCGGGAGGGGTTTTAGGGCTAAGAAAACCTCATGACACAACAGGCGTATTTTCCAGGCGTTTCACTTAGTTATGCCAGTGCGTAGTCCTCGTTGAGACCTCACTATACAATCTAATTCTATCAATTTCGAAGCTTTCCAAAGCAACACGCTTCAAGCAGTTTCTCAAGATCCCTCCTAAACATGGGTATTTCCGAATGTGCTTGGGGTAATCTGTCGGTCGCCAACATTCTGGCCTGGAGCAGCAACTCGCGGGCGTAAGAGGTACACTTATATTTTCCTGCCATCGTCAACGTAATTGACTTGTCGGTCTTAATCCATTTGTCATAGCACGAAGACGACGGTTGAAGGTCGCTGATTTGGGGGGTTTTTTTATTCCGAGTATGTAACCTTAGAATGACACTAGGTCCGTCTGTGCATAGCTAGATCCGACTACATGCCTACAGCTTACCATATGTTTTCAAGTATAGGACAAGGGAGTGGCCCTTAGCCTAGAGGAGGAAACTTTAGTGGCGGGGGAGGACCTCTAGAATCACTCTAAACAGTGAGCTATATTAGCCTTGAGCGTCCAGTTATCGCCAGCATCTTCTCAACCTAGAGAGAAGGACTCCATATATGCCAAGCTGTTACATATTGGATGACACCAGTATGAACGATATAGGATTCCTAGCCATTATGTGCACATTATGTAAAACCTTGACAACCAAATTAGATCAGAGAGCAGCCAACTGTACGTGAATAGAGTAAATACAATACAATCCACTTGAAAAGTACCAAGCTCCCAAGTCATCATATATTCCCAGCCCGAAAGAGAAAGAGGAAGAGACAGAGAGAGCTCTCCATTCAACAGTGGGAAAGGTAGTCAAGATACAAATAAGTTGGTTAGCGAAGTCGGGAGGATAGTGGCGGGGTTAGGATCAGATATTGCCATATTCTTCTGGCTTTCTATGCCCATTTTATATAGCCTCCAGATCTCACTATTAAGGTCGTTCCCGAAACCATGACGATCAATTTTCCTTGAGGTGATGAAGATCATGCAAAGTTACCCTGCACAGTACATAGCTTCGAGGCCCTTCCCCAACTGCCCCACTATCTCAAATTCCCAGCTGAAGCTCATCTTCAATCACAAAGAAATCCGGCTGTGGGGTACAGAAAGTGCCCAAAAGGCCAGCAACTCAACGCGCGTAGGACTTCCCTCGCCCACGATGACTACACGATTTCATGGACTATGCCTTTGCCAATTGAATTGACTGCCCCAAAGGCCATGCTACATAAGGTCCACGATCAACTTCGTCAACCACTGTCGGATCATAATGTCTACACGCTGGGAAGCATCCACGGGCACAATATCGTGGTGGCTTGCCCGCCATTTGGTGTTTTCGAGACTGTATCTGCTCCGAATGTAGTATCGCACTTGGTCGGTCTCCATTTTTCCCAATGTGCGGCTTGGATTGATGGTCGGTATCGGCGGGGGAGTCCCCAGCAGAAGTGCCGACATCCTTCTTGGTGATGCTGTGGTCAGTAAACCGACCTCCAAGTAAAGAGGTTCCATCCCGTATGACTATGGGAAAACACTTCGCGCCGGGGACCTCCAGCGCACTGGCTCACTAAATAAACCCCCCTCAGGTATTCTCGAAGGCAGTCTTTCAAAATTAAAGCGGTTTGTATAAGTGGAAAGAGATTTGTTGGTCATATTGTGGCCAATATGTTGTGGCATAATGATGAGAATGTATCATTCATGGCGTGCATTAATCCCCGGGTTCTCTCCTCACTCTCTTCTACCTCAATGTAGCCCTAACAAGAAAAAAATTGACGCGATTGGCATTTTGAAGGCCTAGTCATTTATTACTGAACAGGCTCATCAGGGCTTCCTGAGTTTCCATCTACTTATGTATCTCGCAAGCCGTGACTGGCTAAAAAGAAAAAATCAACAATTTCGCCAGCAAATCTCGAAAACGGCAAACCGATTAAGAGACGTTTTCCCTGACGCAGATTACGATAATCGAGAGCTGTGGGAACAGTACTTGCCTCCTGCCCTATCTCTAATCGGCGAAGAGGAGTGCCAGCTGGAAGAATATCCCACTCTAGTTGAAAACCTGACCCGCCTGAGCAACCCGGTCCACACTTGGGAAGCCCTAGGAAAGACTCAGGACGCTCCGGGCTTTGTGCGAACTTGGGTTGAGGCTCACAGAAGAGACCCAGTATTAGCCGGTGAGGCAGCTTCCCAGAAACTCTATGCACAATAATTCTTTCTGTACGGTTGATTGTTCGCTGTAAGGTATCTGTCAACATATTGCTAATAAAGTAGTACAATGGAGCCTGGCCAATATGTGATGTGGTTGATTCCCTGCTGCAAAGAGGCACAAAAGTCCTGCTATTCCACGCCATGACACAAATTACAGATCACAATCATCCGGTAAATTTTTATCCCAAACATAGTCTACTCTAACTTTACTCTAGGACTACATCGCTAGTTAGTTCTAAATTCATTAGCTGACTAAATGCGATTATGCACTGAATATTAATGAACCAAGGCAAAAGCCGTTCACTGTGGTGGGACCTATTAAAACCTTCGATTAATAACTTTAATGGTGATTTGGTCCTTTTGATATTGGAAACTCTGTCTATATCCTGGGCTATATCAACAATATTAACGGTCATCGTCCTTTGTTTCTACTATGCCATTTAGATTAGCAACCCACCCGCTATCTATTGTAATTGACGTATTAGCCACAAATTTTTGAATTGTCAAAATCCTTCAAGGCATTGAACATGGTTTTCAGGGAACAGTAGCAATGGCTCGGGAGGATATGTGCTGCCTAGAAATAGTACGAGAATCATGCTCGGCGATAACGGATGGCGGTCCTCCAGCTGTGGAAATGAGGCTACCGAGGGGTCATAGCCGCTAATACTGAATCCAGACTAGTACCTGACTATCTATCCCGAATATAAACTGGACTATATCCCCAAGGATCGTTGACGGGTAGATGCGTTCTCCTATTTTGGTAGTTCCGAACATCGAAGGACTAAAGCAGAGCAAAACTCCTAACATATCAATAATCTCTCATGGGTCAATTCTGTTCCGCTACCGGAATAAGCTTCAACGGAGCTTACCCCGAGGGTACATTGGTAAAGTGGAGATGGGGATCCAGAATGGGGGTTAACGAGCAGGGTCTTATCAGTAGCTAATTTAACTATTGTCTTAGTCTCCACGGACATCCGACGGTCCACCGAAGGCTGGCCGCGGAGTATCAGAACGTATATAAGGAAGGAATTGGTCAATTCTAAAGCCATGGCCGCTGACAGGTTGATGCGTGTCACTCAGTTCCCGTCGACATGCATTTACAGAACCTCCTCGTCGTTAGCTCCCTGGCAACAGGCGCAGTAGCAGGGAACTTCCGGAGACAAGCCCCCACAAATGGAACAGGGACTGCGTGTGCACAAATAAGTAGCAGGGCAGCTAAGACCTTAGCGGCTTCGCCCTCGGGTAAGTTCTGTGTAATTTCAGCAATGTTGTTGGAGAAATCGTATACTAACTTTGTCTTACTGCAGCTACCCCCGTCGTGGATGGTGAGCTTGCTCTGGCTTGCTTGAAGTCCGTTCCTTTGGGAAAGAATGAGGCCATCCAATTGATGGAGTCAATATTCCCATACGTAGAGTGGCAATCTGGTAGGTAGTCTACCTGCCCTATCAATGTCTTTCTCAGCCACAGGTTACTGACGCAGCATCAGACACCTCGTATATTAAAAACCCACCCTCCGCTTACCTGGAACCGGCGGTGGATATCTGGGCTGAACTGGACAAAGTGAATGACAAGGTCAAGTCTGATGCCTATAAAGGCGAATATGATTTTCAAGCCGATCTCTTTAAGGCGTTCAACCTGGCCCATGACGGACACTTCCGTTTCTTTCCAGACCTGTTGACCAAGGCACTGACTTTCCACCGCAATGTCGGCTTGGTCTCTGTCAGCTTAGATGGCAAGAAGACTCCCGAAATTTTCGTGCATAGTAGGATTTGTCCCTATAAAGCTTCTATGGAGTCTATTTCTAACCTCACTAGGTGACATCGTCGAGAAGGTGGAGAACGGCTTCGATCCCTCTCCGGTCAAAACGATCAATGGGGGAGATGCCGTGAAGTACCTTGAAGATTGGTCTCAGCTTGGAAGTCTTAATGACCCCGATGCACTTTACAACTCACTGTTCTTCTCAAAGCCCTTTGCAGCCAGCACCCCAGACTTCGAAGGTTATTTCTCGGGCAGTGCTCGCTTTGGGTACCTTTGGCCGGGGGCTAAAACTACGATTGGGTTTGCAAACGGAACAAGCAGGGTTTATCGAACCACAGCACAAGTCAAAGGAGATTTCACCGGAGTGACTGATGGAGAGAGCATGTATCAAAAGTTCTGCACCGGTCCTACCAGCACGGCGGCATCTGCTGCCTCATCGTCCACATCGGCATTGGCAACACCCTCGGCGACAGCGATAGCAACTCCAGCGCCTGGCTACCCCGACCCTGAGGTCATCAGCTCCGACAATGTCGTCTCTGGCTATTTCCTGGACTCCGACCGGAACTCAGAGGTAGCCGTGCTGAGCATGTTGTCTTTCGAGCCCAGCACCCCGGCCGAATTCCAAAAGGTCGTCGAAACATTCCTCCGACAAGCAAAGGCAGCGGGCAAGAAGAAGCTCGTCATTGACCTTTCCGGCAACGGAGGAGGCTACATTCTCCAAGGCTACGATACCTTCCGCCAGCTCTTCCCCAGCATCGTCCAGGACGGATACACGCGCTTCCGCTACACCGAGGCCTTAGCCGCCATGGCCGAACAATTCGAATCAGCCCTCAAAGACTACAATCCCGAAACAGCAACCGACGCCGAAATCCAAATGTTCGAATCGCCACCAAACTACCGCTACGACGTGAACCTCCAAGGCAGGCACTTCACTTCCAGCGAGGAAAAGTTCGGCCCACACGAGTACAACGGCGACCCATACACAAGCATCATCCGCTGGGACCTGGACGACCCGCTCACGACCATCAACGAGACCTACGGCATGGGCATGGACATCACAGGCTATGGATCTCGCCGGAACTTCACCCAGCCGTTCGCAGCAGAAGACATCGTCATGCTCTACGACGGCTACTGCGCCTCGACCTGCACGCTCTTCTCCGAGTTCATGCGTCTTCAAGGTGGCGTCAAGAGCATCGCTATTGGCGGCCGTCCATCCACGGACCCCATGCAGGGGATCGGTGGTATCAAGGGCTCCAACAATTTTGCCTTTGGCTACATCTATTCCCTGGCTCAGTTGGCCATTGAGTCCGCTACTCCCGGGCAGCAACACTCGGCTAACTGGTCTGCTCTCACTGAGCTGAGCACACTACCCACCAACCGCTCGACGGATACCTCGATCAACGTGCGGGACAATATACTGCCGGATAACCTGGAAGACGGGCTCCCGTCGCAGTTTGTGTATGAGAAGGCCGATTGCCGTCTGTTCTACGAGCCTGAGATGGTCGTCGACGTCACGGCGATGTGGGAGGCTGCGGCCGATGCGGCATGGGGAAGCAAGGAGTGCGTCAACGGGCACCTCGATCTGAAGAAGCGGACCGTTACGAGGCATCGCCGGAGTAGGAAGACCCTACCGCGCATGATGACCGTGGATGTGCCTGCCAACCCGGTGTCGGACCGCGTGTCTTGGTGGACACAGAAGCATGGTACCAAGGTACCTCTGTGATTAGTCTCAGTATTTTAATGAATCGTAAGGTCATGGTGATGCATGCAAGGTATTGAGCTCCCCAGCTTCCCTCAGCGTATACAATGGCCCGATGTTGGGGTTGGGGGGAAGAAATGGGTTCAAACGAGATCATGTAAGATATCAGTGGTACATGCCTACATAATAGTTTCTTAGCAAGCTCCAGTTCTGCAACGTGTCTGAACTTGTAAGCTCCTTTGACCTATGATCATTAGGCCCTTACATTGAAGGCGAGCCACATACCACGCTTAGCCCCTCATTGTACAATTCTGGTTCCTAAAGGCCATTAGGGCATCAAACGCAAAGGTGACTATGAGAAGAACACCCAGTCTTCTATCACTAGAGTTCTACCATTTGTGCTAGATTTCCGAAGGGAACCATTAATTAGTAACGAAAAGCCTCTAGAATACATAACAACACAACAAGAACCACATCAACTTGGACAAAATCAGAAGTTCCTATCATGTAAGGTGGACGTACCTACACTTCAGACATTGACAATTATAATTTCCCAATTCTCCTGCTAGCCTCTTTCTTCCCATTGCTGCGATCAGGGGCTGCGCCAAAAAAATGACCGAGTGGGAAGCACAAATTAACTAATGGAGATTGAGAGCAAGGGAGCTACGGAATGATAACCTCTGTGCTCGTGAGGCAGCAGTTCGAACTGCAGGAGATAGGTTACAGACCAAAGTGACCTCTCCTGAACAATGCGTGACAGACATAAAGCTCTTCTTCGTCCAGCTCAGATGGAAGTGTTGTCACTTCGGCTCGATTTTGAAAAATCTTGTCTAGTTTTGCCTCAGTTTCCTGGACACACTTCCGTCCATCAGTTAGTTCTTGCCAGAGAATAATCTGCTGCCTTTCTTGCTCTGCGAATTCCCGCCACTCCGCAATGACTGGTTGCCAATCGCCCTTTGAAACAAGCGCTTCTAGGTGTTGGCCGGAGAGCAACTTATAACGCCTCTCTATATCTTCGAAAGTGTAAGCAATAAGGTTCTTTTCCAATCCACACACGTCTTGGATATCCTTGTTACAAGCTTTCAAGATGTGTTGCGAACTCAATTTGGCATTCTTCCATGTCTGTACAGCGAAGTTCCATGGCTGTAGGAAGGAGTGCCATTCCTGGAGAATATGCTTCCAATCCAAATTTAGTTTCTCGACCAAAGTCTTTGAGTCGATGCCAGCCTCTCAAGGCACTTTGCCATGTCTCACCGACGGCTGCCCAGCTTCGATTCAAGTTGTCATGATCTCGCCTGGCAATTTGCCATTTCGGCTGATCGCCGTTCCAAAGCCTGACCTTCGCCTCCTCCGGCTGATCCCAGAGGTTGGAATTCTCGTGTCTCCAGGTTTCTGCTGAATAGTACCAATTCCTGGCTTCTCGCTCCCCCCGAGCGCCGTCCTCTGTCAAGCGTTCGTCGTGGTTTTGATGAGATCCATCCCTCTCCATCCTGAAATAGTGCGTATACTTCCCAATAGAATCACGGGACTTGGTTTCGGTGGGATAGCATCCTTCCAGGTTTTCATGGCTTCGTTTCATGGCTTCGCCATCCTTCAGCCCCTGAACGTAGCAGTCACCAAGGAGCTCATCTGTATCAAGCGATGTCCAGGCGAAATTAGACCCGGATAGGACCAAACTGGACCTTGTAGTCTTGGTGTAGCGGGACCGAATGATAAAAGGTGTTCTGCCTCCTGGAGATATACGGACATGATCGCCTTTACCCATGCTTGTAGGGCCCAAGCCAATTCTACGGGGAAGTACGAAGGCTTGATGAGAGAAACAAAATTAATGGTCTGCTTCAAGGAAATGATCGCGACTTGCATTCTCGTACCTTGACCATTGGGCGCTTCTTTTCTTTTTTCTATCCCATTGAAATAGGCAACACGCGAGGCTGTCCTCGATATATGGTCCTCCAGGAATGCGCAGCGACATGTGTGCTGTCCATTTGATCTTTTTATTTCAGTCTCATCTACTGCACCGCCATTGTAACCTGCTCATACCACTCCATCTGGTCAAAACGAAATAAGAACAGGAAGATAGTGAGAAAGCCGTCTAACCGCACCCCAATATATAACTAAGTATTATACAGTAATATCAAAACCCGGGAATAACCTCCGCCTTATCAATCAACCGAAAACCAACTCAATTTCCCCTCGTTTTCCACCCCCACCAACAACAACAACCATAAATAGACTCATAAACCCACCCCCCCCCTCCCCCCCAAAACATATATTCCCAAGAATAAGATATACAACCCACCATAAGAGCAAATATGGACCCAAATATGGACCCAAAAACCCTCTCCCAATCCCTCAGCCCCTCCAAAATCCACGCAGCCCACACCCTCATAAAGCCCTACATCCACCGCACACCTCTCCTAACCAACAAGACCCTCAACAGCCTAGCCTCCACCCCGCAGACCCCCGATGCCCTACAGGGGACACCCTACGAGGGCCAGACCCCCGCGGAACCAAAGATAAATTTCTTCTTCAAATGCGAGAATCTACAGCGGATTGGCGCGTTCAAGGCGCGCGGGGCGTTTCATGCTTTGCTAAGGTTGATTGAGGAGAAGGGGGAAGATGAGGTGCGGAAGAGGGGGGTTGTGACACATAGTTCTGGTATTTATTCAGTTTTTTTTTTTTTTTTTTTTTTT